TTGGTGTCTACTTTATGCCAAACTATATTTTTTTATAATTCCTAAGCCTGTCATGATGCTTTCTAGTACTTATGTAACTCTAAGTTTTCTTTAGAACTTGAAAACTAGCATTTTTTTCTAGAAGCAATTGATGTTAATTTAATAATATACTAGACAACAAATTGTGTTTTAAACCTGACAATTAAACTAAGCTGTGTTAATTAGTGTATAATGTTTCAACATTTCCGTAAAGCGGGCCATAGACAGACCGCATGTTGCAGCCGATACCGACTGCTCTAAGCGGTCGCCGCACGGCGATCTGCAGTTTCCATACTAAATTCATATTCGCAATACACGGACGAGCAGTTCCTGAGCAAACCGCATGTTGCAGTCGGTCTTGACTGCAACATGCGGGTCCGTCTATGGCCCCCTTAAGCTTCACTAAGGACAACTTACAAGAGTCATCCAACTCCGTCCATTGGTCATCAGAATCTGAGTCAGCACCCACATCAGACACATCGGACGCGACTTCAATACGACGCATGCGAAGCGAAGCTGCACGACGAGCAGCAATACTGCGACGACGGCAAACCTGTAGAAGTTTTTTGGTTACTACTAAATAATCAATGTTAGCCAGACATTCACGGGCTGAGAGCCTTTAACAAAAATCATTATACGAACTTGGGGCCAGCTTCACCACATAAACAACACATGATTGTATGGTAAAGGAAATAGTTTTCATAAGCAGAGGATTTTCACATAGACACCCACCCGTCCCAACAGCGACTTAAAAAATTTAATGTTATCTCTATACAATCGGAGAACTCTAGCCGGTGTTACCTTCTCGCATAAATTGCTCAATAACCATATACAGAGCAGTCCTCTTGCAGGATATAAAAATTGTCGTCCCTTACTCATTCCCTAAGTTTAAAATCAACAATATCTTCTAAATTCCTTCTGCCAAAACCAACCTAGGAGTTCAGGCACCTCTCGTTCGAATTCTTCTCGATTTTAACAAATTGAACACAGCTTATCCGGAGCTGAATATATTCGGTAGTGGGCTGATCGGTTTTAGAGAGAGCATTGTGGGGTGCATTTCTCGAACCTAATTTAGCTGTTTTGCTGATGATTTTTCTTTTTTTTTCTGCTCTAAGTGCCAACAAATTTCTATAATTTTATTTTATTTTAATGTGTGCTTGTGTTATCGTATGTGTTTTATTTGTATTTTTTTAATTTCTATTTAAATTTTTTTTTAGAGAAAGATGCTAACATTAATTGTCACACATTTTAGATGTAATTTTGATTTTGTAAAATAATTTGTAGATTTAGGACTGTGTGTGATGTCGTAAGCTTAATAACTAAATAAACAAAAGAAATATAAAGAAAAATTACAACAGATGCTGAATTGTGTCCACTCTGTACCTTTTTGTATCAGGTCTTTTACTTATGGTTTTTGTTTAGATCCTGAGAACCCACATTTGTTTCTAGCAAATACCCATATTTACAAAAAAAGGCAGTCTGTTAAGTGGAAATAAGATGCCTTTCAAAATATCAAGTTTTTGGTCAATGTAAACATTCTTTTATTTCATAGAACTTACCTCTTTTCCTTTGGCAATAGTCCGACGCCTCTGCGTGCGATGCGGTCGAGTTGCACGTCGGCCTTTCGCCCCTCGAGCCCCAGACCATGATGATGATGTAGATGATGAGCCACTGCCTGATGCGCGGTGACCAATCTGAAATAGTGGAGACCCATCAGAAATTTACTTTGAAACCTGATTGGAATCAAATACAAAAAAATTAAGACTTCATGAACCAAGCAGGTCACTCTTTTTGGCTAATTTAAATCTTAGCCTAAAAATACTGAATATCATTATTAACACAAAATGTACCTAACATGGGGTCTATGTTACTCAACTCAACTAAGCGCTATTATGCAACTAAAGTTCTAATACATATCTACTATAATTAACAAATGTATATTTTATTGAATTTCATAATGGTCAACCATATCTAAAATATTGAGTGTACATAAAATACCACTAAACACCAATGGGTTCCTAAACCAAACCAACACCAATACACAGATAATGGGTGGACCTTAAAGACAACTGTATGGAAAGGACCAAGAGGAAGGAGGAGAGGTCGCCCAAAAAAAAATGTGGATAGAAGATATAGAAGCGGTAGCAGGAAACAAATGGAGAAAGAGAGCAATAGACTGAGTCAGTTGGAAAAAGCTGGAGGAGGCCTTTACCCGTGAAGGGGTTCCGATCGACGGTACTGAAGGAAGCTAGAATATAGAATAACAAGCAAAAGAAAATAAAATGTATAAAAATTGTAAAATAATCTAACCTGTGTATAATAAATTGTTTTTTTGCCACGATTGGAAATAAAACGGGCATTATTATTATTAAACACCAATGTTGTACATACACATTACAATCTACCCATACAAAAAAATATATTTTAAACCAGGTCAGTAAGTAGAATTTACAAGCTTTCATCCACTACTACAGACAATTATTATTTTAATCAATTCTAGTCATAAAATATTTAAGAAAAGTAACCACAAAGTATTTGATAGTAAACATCCAAAATCTAGCTTATATATTTAAATAGTTTAATTAATTTAATATTAATTGGAAAAGTAAAGTAAGTTAAGTAAAAAATCATTTAATCAAATAGGTAACAAAATTTACATTTATGACTCGTCAATAAGGAAATACATATTAATGCTTCTAATTTTACATTTACTGCCAGTTCCAAAACAAAGGCGTAGAGAGGAAGAGAAAAACTAGCAATAAACTCTCCGCCACTCTATTTAATCACCATTTTTTTACACAACGTTTGTAAGGAGCTGCAACCATTAATTACACCATGTTCCACATAGGATTATATATATATAGGGTGAAGACTGAGTGCAATCGCTACTCAGTATCCATCCTGCCCAAGAGTTCTTGAACATCATTCAATATTATTCCTAGGGATATATAACCGAGCCTAAATGCAAGCAATTAATTCACTTTCAAGTGCAATACTAAGAGACTAACACCAAAGAGACAAAGTGCGAAATAGTGAAGAGAAGTGATAAAGTACTGTATGAAGTGCGCGTAATTAAAGTAATTAGTGACTGTATTTTGTGTATGATAATTAGTGTATTTCTGCACTTAATTTGCATCTTTTTAGTGTAAACAAATTCCAAATTGATTTATTTAAAATAAAGCCTTGGAAAGTTCTACGGCATTATCTATCTGATTCCCTAGCTTCTAACATTCTGGTTAGCAATTCTAGAATATCTATATTATATCAATTATTACTATCTAGTTCAACAAGAATTGTTGATGCAAGCCTTGTTCTATTATCGTATCTTAATTAAGGTACATATACATCAACACAGTTCCTAAAGCTTTCCTGAAATGTAATATGAGATCTCTTGACTATAAAATTTAGCAACCAATTAAATAAGGTATGTTCTAAGCAGGTAGTTATTTGACTTGTTTTGATAAATTTAAGGAAGTTATCTTCATAACAATTGGTAGCATTTGTATTAGGAAATCAATTTATAAACAACTTTTACTTCATGATTTTGGTAGTGTTCATGTCAAAAGGTCAATGACACATTCCCATAAAATATATTTTCTATTTGTAAACCCTCTTACATTATATTTTTACAAGACTTAGTCAAATAATCAATACGGATAATGTTTAAATTACAACTAACAAATGAAATTGATATGAAAATGTGCACTTAATAGTCAGTTAGTTTAATTTTATTTTCGACAAATCTATACATACTTACATTACGTATAATTTTTTAAGTGTGTAGCAGACTACCAGCATCAATCGGAAAATAGTAAAAGGTTGTAAAAGTATGCTACTTACAGCTATTTCGAAAAGAGACGGAAAATCTTGTTGAGGCTCGTCTGCCAGGCCCGCAAGAAGTCCTAGTTCCGCCCGTAAACCTGCTAACTCGGCTCCAATTCGATCCGCACGATCAGCATCCCCCAGTTCATCCTTAAGGATATCTCCTATTTCATCCGACACTGCTGCCACGGCAGACTCAAGCTCATCAGAAGGTCTCCCGGCCTCCGTATCACTCGAACATTTCGGCATGGGAAACATCATTTACAAACAAAAATTTCTAAGTTACACGGTAAACGATACATCTAAAGTTCAAGAACGTTGTACGTAATCACAGTAGCTTTTCAATAACGATTTGGATGATTTGAAAAACCATTTTCTCTTACACACCGAGAGATCCCGAAGATTTTGACAATACCAATATGGCGACGGTATTTTTAGGAATTTATGATCAGCCGTAGACGGATGGAGCATCAAATTTCACTATGGCAACCTTGTGTGTTAAGTGATTAAAGAGAATGAAATTGTATTCTTTATGTTAAAGTATATCTTTACTTATTTCCACGCAGATTAGAAAGAATATAAATAATTAACTTGCACTTATACTTTTTGATTTCAGAGTTGTTTATTATGATTATGTTATATAAGTATGTAGACTTTTTCGGTAATATATTTTTTTTCTATTTTACATACGAATATTTCATAAATGTCTTAGTTATTTAAAAACCTCCATGAGAGAAAATGTAAGAGGCAAATTTTACAATTCAGACTAGCCACATTTGTATGTAAATTGATTAAACTTAAAACTAAAAAAAAATGTTTAAAGTAAGACTGTTACTCAGAAATCAGAAATGACATTTGAAATTATGGTGACTAGACTTGACATTTGACGTTTCAGGTCTATAACGAGCTCCTGCTGGTACTGCTTGTATGCTGTATAGTTTCATAATGTTCGTAAAAATTTAAAACATAAAATAAGTAATGCAGGTAAAATGCCGCAATGCGTCGGACGTTTTAAATTACTCTCAATATTTTTACATACCTGTTTAATTTAATTATCTTTTATCGAATCTAGTCATCAAATTAATGATACTATATAATCCGAGGAGGTCTTGCGTAGTGCACAGTTGACTAAGTTATTTCTTTACTCGCAATATCTTACCATGGCGATTCAAAATAAAGTACTTTACGCATTTCGCGGCTGGATAGCTTTCGTGGCCTTCATGGACCTAGGGACAGCTGGCCGATCATACATAGAAAAAAGGTCCTTTTTAAGCCATAACGGTGAAAATGATCCCTTGGATGGTGAGTAACTTTTATAATTATTTAAAATTATTCAAACCAGTTAAGATATTATGTTATTCTTATTATCTATCTTAATGACACTGAATCATTTTGGTAGCAATGTAAATTTACATTGTGAAAAATTAGTTTCTGAATAAAAGACATGTTTAACATCTGAGAAAAAAATAGTTAAATACAGTTAGTAAATTTACAAAAAATTCTATTAATATATTTTTAATACATTTCTAGTTAGTGCAATTAACTGATACCAGTATCATCCATGCTTTACATAGAGTGTATAGAAGTAGATTATACAAACGTAACACATTAGGTTCCTCAGCATTTATTTAATTAAGAAATTATTATATTATAAAATATAACAATCAACTATTTTTTATCTTACCTTTCAAATATGTGACAGACAATGAATATCTACTTATTACTTTGATGTATAAAAATTTATGTTTTAGGTACAATATCAAGAATGTTGGGAATGTTTTCTGTGTTGAAAGCTTTGGCATTGATACATTGCACATTGTACATACATTATAGACCGTAAGTTACTTAAATTTTTTAATGTTATCATAAATTATAGACTAATTCTAAGAATGTTACATTATATATTATTTTTATATTGATGAAAATAAATTGAAATCATTTTTTTTTTTTTAATAAATTACTAAATTTACATTACTGCTAGTTCTATATACAGAGGAATCTCTAAAACTCGAACTATATCTTTAAGTTTAACAAAAAAAAAAAAAAAAAATTAAATTGCCATTCCCATCCGCTGAACTTAGGGGTTAGCGTGCATTATTGAACAAATGTTATTACCCTACGAAGTATTGATAATACATATTTATACTCTATAACTCGAATTTCAAAAAGGAGACTCCATAAGTAGTATTTAGTAAAATATAATGACGTCTTACTTGGAATTCTCCAAAATAATAGCAAAAAAAAAAAAAATAATGTTTGGGTTTGGTTGCGGTTCCTCTAATCTATTGCTTTTGTCTTGTACACATGCAATTAATGAATATATTCATAAAACTTTAATACCGCTGTGAACTTTATATAAAATATGCAAATAGTTTAAATCAAAAGAAGATAAAGGATTATTTTAAGTCCACAGTTTACTACCAGTCAGTTTATTAAATTTTGCAAAGCAAAGGTTGAATATCTTTCAGGCCGCTAGTTAAACAGCGCCGTTTAGTTAAGAGGCTAGGATGTTAATTGAATGGCTAATTAAGCTAGTTGGCTGCGACATATACATATATGCATTAAAAAAACACAATTTTAATGTAAAGTGAATATGACTTATTATTCATAAACATTCAAAGCCTTAATGTAAAGTGAATATGACTTATTATTCATAAACATTCAAAGCCTCAAGATTATTATATTTATCTCTAAAACTATATATCTTCTATGTAAAAGATTTACTCTATTACACCAGGGTTGTCGGTCTTTTATACAATGATTATGATTTTATAGCCGGCAAGAAACCCCTCAAACGTACTTAACTACTTACCCTAGATAGGTACTATCGCCACTCTATTGGTACAAATGGGTCAAGAATCAGATCATTGAGATTGAATTGCACTTGATACTTTGTTGCAGTTGAAATCAATTATTTTTAACTTGTATCTGAGGTTTAAACCAATTTATAATCACGAACGAGTTATCGATTATATCAGTAAGTAAGGATGTTTAATTTTAAACAAAAACGCTCCAATAAAAACGTTTTCTTTGCACCAAGATGTATATTAGTGTATGTATAGTATTAGATATAGTTTACATTTTGTATTTTCTAAACTTTTAATTTGGGTTTAGTCGACGGCAGACATTTCGGTTAGAGTATCTAATAAAAAAAAGGTTATGGTATGTGCCCGTTTAGCGTTGAGGAATAAACAGATTATCAAAATTAATTATTAAAAATTAATTAAATTTTTTTTCCATATTTTATTCTTATGTAGGTACGGGTACATTACATTCCGAAATCTCCGCCAATGATCCCCTAGCACTTACTATTTTAATAACGATATACACCTTTACACATCCGATAAAAATAAGGTACATATATAGGTTGCGTCAAGTTTAACTATATTTTATATATATACACACACATCAAATATTATCTAATAGTGTGTGTAAAAGACCAGAAAAAATTGATCTCAATATTGTCACTTTTCAAACGTCTTTACTATATTTTGTAAAATGTTCCTTGTCGGAATTAGCTGGATCTTGCAACAAAGAATTATTGTAGGAATCAATGGTTTTTAAGAAAAAGCTGTTAATTCGACAAAAGCTGTTTATAATCAAAGTTAGGAATTTAGTTGCTACAAGCTGACTCGACAAACGTGGTCTTGTATTAACTATAAATATTAAATTCAAATCAATTCAATGATTATTAAAAAAAAACAAATACTTGGCTTAGTTTTCAACTTTAATCCGTCTATCGCTGACAATTATGCCCGCCTTCCACTGCGAGCGGAACGGACCCATTACGGACTCCGCTATACTCGTAACGATGATTTTCATACATTTTCATTTCCGTGGGAAACTCGGTCAACACGCTAATCTCATATGTGACTCTTTCAACTCTCTCTCTCCGCTGCGCTCGTCTCCGCTTGTGGTGGAAGCACATGTATGAAAATCATCGTTACAAGTATAGCGGAGTCCGTAATGAGTCCGTTCCGCTCGCAGTGGAATGCGGGCATTACTTCAAACAATTGACAGTTGTAATGTAATGTAAAATTAATATTGTCGTTAAATTTTGTAAAGTTCCGCTCATCTTCCTTAATTTTTATGAACCTTCTGACCATAACAAACACAACAAAATAAGAATTAAACTGTATCAGCCGTTCACACGTGATGCTATGACTAAGGGAAAAAGTTATTTTCAACACACAAAATTTATAGATATTTTAAACATTGTTAAAAATTAGCGTTTACTTAAAAACACATCGAAAAACTGCCAAAATAAAAATTACTTTAGCTGATATTTCCAATGTTTATCGTAAATGTAAAGTTCACACAGCCCATACGTAGATGACATTTTATATATTTCAGAGTGGTTTCCATGGGTTACTGGTCGCTGGTGCTGAATATCGTGCTATATTTCTCTGAAGCCTTCTACTTTCACTCAACTACTCTCAACTTTTACGTGGTCTTCCCTTGTATTTTGAATAGTGAGTTATTTTTTAATGTATTTTCGTTTTCATATTAATATTTGCTATACTATATATGTATAATATTTTTTACACTAATACTTAAAACGCAAAACACTCTTTTTTTGAACTAATAAATACTTAATAAGGGGTTCATACACATTTGTATGTGTATAGTTGGACGTGAATAGCTTTTAGGTATTTTTACGAGAGCAGTGTTGGCCTAGTGGCTTCAGCGTGCGACTCTCATCCCCGACGTCGTAGGTACGAACCCCGGCACAAATAGACAAAAAGTCTATACTCTGATTTTTAATTCTGTAGAATTGTGACAGCTATGATTTTTTACGTGTCAGTGATGGAAAACCTATTTGGCCGGGCACATTTTTCAATTTCAATACGAGTCTGAACATTTGAGTCTATACATACATTTTATTGTTAGTTAATGTTCAAATATTATTAAGTGCGCTGCTCCACATTAAAATAGGTGGTAACGGCGAGTGGTAATTACGTTCCTTTTCAGTAAAAACAAACAGTAAAAAACGCACAAGTAAAGATAACATTTTATTTTTTTAAAAAGGTTTAGGTACTAAACCTGGAATTAGTAAGCAGTGATGCCAGCTAAATAATTAAAGTTAATTCGATATATTGTTCGTGATATTGAAATATTTGTTATTTTTGTATTAGGTCACTTGAGTAAGTAAATTTTTAGATTTACCTTTTTGTAAGTAAAACATAAAAAATACGTAGCATTTTTTTTATTGCCCTTAAATAAGTCAAAATTATCCCTTTTTCGGTGGAGAACTTATTTAGTAGCAACACTGAAACTTCAGAATCCAGAGTATAAGTAATACTCGCTCGTACAGTAAAGGAAAACATCGTGAGGAAACCTCGTCCTAGGCGGACGTGGACGTGTAGATCCAAAAGCGTGTGTCAGGCACAGAAGGCTGAACATCTACTTGCCTCTCAGAAACAAATTACCACGAAACAGATACGAACATCTGAGACGCCGCTGGTTTCTTTTTGTAATTTATTCAATGGCAAAATCTTGCGAAGTCATGCTCGATTTTACTAATTTTAATCCTTTTATTGTCAGTACTTACGCTCCTTGGATTAATCTACCTGCCATCAAAAATAAAACTTTGGGGTACCATCCCCGGTACATCAGGGATGGAGAGGGACCTAGACGATGAAAATGTGCAAATACTTCGACAGATGGGCAATTTCCGAAGACGAAAAGGAAACCCAGTAAAAAATAAGCATGTTTGATTGACAGGTATAACTAGAATTGACCTGATATCGGGCGTTAAATACTCCGTAAGTAAATCTAAAACAAGCTATATGTCCAATCTTTACACTATTAGTATCTCTCTATCTCTTGTCTCGCTTTAACAGTATTTGAGGGCAAAAATGACCACCCCGCAGTAATGATTAGGTCGTTTCTAGTCAATATTTACAATTTAGTAAATTAAGATTAATTGTTTTTGTACAAAATGTTCTTCACAATTGAAAGCTCGGACTTGTTGTCTAAAGAATTTTGTTTATAAAATATACACTATTCAAGTATATACTGAAAAGAATACTTGATGACTGTATTGTTTCCGTATTTCACTTGTAATGAGTACGACATGCGGTGCTTTTGTAACTTTCAAGCTGCTGCGACCTTGGCTTATATAATACATGCAACCTTTTTCCCTTACCATTATATACCCAAACCTTACCATAAGGCTTGAAGGTTTTTGAATTAATAGAATATTGTCCTTTGATGCACAAAGTTGTATTGCATGGCACTTTCCTATTTTCACCTTTGCCTTATAAGACTTGTTTAATGTGATTCGCTCATTACTGGAATGTTTCGCCGTCGGATTTGCACACTACCACATTTTTTTGGGTAGTATTGAAAAATTTCAGTTAATAGGTATTTGCAATGAAGTGTTCGCAGTAGCTTGGAATGGAGTGTACGCAGTAGCGTCATGGCCAATTGCATTTTATCGTTTTAATTGTATCTTTTAAGAAACATTGAAAAATGTTCCCTCATACATTTTTTTGATTGTAAAAAAAAGCACGCATTACCTACCTAAAAGTTTATGAAGTAATACACAATAATGCGGGTGTTATTAACAGTGTCATTACACATGGATTCCCTCTTGCCACCTTTCTATACATAACCGCAAAGAGCTATTTTTCCCAAAGGTTTTCTTTATTTTATCTTAATTTTGAATTTGGATGACGCTGGAAAGCAAAAAATGTTTTTTTTAACTTTAAGTGCGCATTCTTGCAATCATCTAGGTTTTGTTTAGTTTATTCCATAATACCTCTAATGCTTTAGAATAAGGATATTTTAAATCTGAATGACGTATCACCTGGAGGTTGGGACAGATTTAATTTCTTTGGTAGATTAAGCCAATAACGTGGCACAGATAGACATACCATGTGTATTTTAATTAAATGAAAAACCACAACACTACTCACACCACACACTTCAAATTTATTTTAGTTTAAGGAAAAGCACAGTAGACTATGTTTTAGCACTTAAATAATTTCTTAGTATTAGAAAGTTTATTGTAAAAAACCGCCAACATTAAACTACATAGAATTCTACGCCAATAAACCAAAAACTAATTTTCTATACGTAGACCAACACAATTTTTACAAAATGAAATAATTTGTACAAATCTGTGCCAATGCAATATATTAAATGTTATTTATAATGTAGGTCTACCGCCTAAGACCTAAGCCCTCCATAGTTATAATATTTCGATGGGGTCAAATGTTTGCAAATTATCTGTTTATACTTTGTTAACATTAAACTTTTGAAGTTATACTTCTTTAGGCGCGTTATGAAAAATTGATAAGAGTGAAATTTTACGATGCGCGCGCACCGTGACCCAAAATTAACAGAATGAAGTTGCCCACGAAAGATGCTACGGCATTGGACATTATTTAAAAACAACATTCGAATAATAATAGAATTTATGTTACAATTAATGTAAGAGAATAATAATAAATATTTATTTATTTAATTTTTCAAATGTAAACTGAACTTTATTGACTATGACTCCTTTTCCAGTCTTTGATTATTTAATTGTAATTAATAATTTGCATGCAATCAAAAACTATTTTTAATAATGCCAAAGAAGTATAACTTCTTACGCGCGTACATAAGTACACGCACCCTTTTTTTATTTGGATAGGTTTAAATATTCCTTATACACTTTACTTGAGAGCCTTACACTTAACAGTTCATACAGTAGTGGTAATAATAATTTACTGCATACTATTTAACACTTATAAGAGGATATATATAAGTATGTTTATTACTTCAATGATTTTTATTCAGATTGAAATCCTTTTTATTTTCATAAAAATATTGTCGTAACTGAACGTAAGTTTATACTTATTACAAAAACTGGAATGATTTACTGTCGCGCTTGGTGTTGGAAGTATTTAGTCCTTCGGTCCGGAGTCGCTAATACAATTAGATTTCACAATTATAGGCAGTCATCTGCATCCGTAGGCTATACAGTTATGGACTTACCTTACCCTTTTAGAGACACGGTGTGAACGCCTCTCTGAACTTGGCCTGGAGTGATCAGTCTGGTCAAATCAGTATTTTTCCTGTTTTAGGACGTCCTTCATCCACATATCAAATTTGACACACTCTAATAACTCCGTAGGTCTTTGCGAAGTGTTTTAAATCTTTGATGATATTAAAACTAAATAAATTTCTTTAATTCGCTTTGCCACCTAAATAGGTAGGTAGGTATATTTTTTTGTTTTAAGACCTTAAAACTGGATGCTGTGTTATTGTTACAGTTTGTTGACCCTTTTAATACTAATGCCCGTTTTAATAAACTTTCAAATCCTCTTGATAGTTTTTAATGTTTTGATTTGTTAAGAGTTAACATTATTTCTATATTGACACCTTTGTAAGCTGTAGAGATCCGCTTTTCCAGAATAAGTTAGTAGTGTGAAGAAAAGAAAAGACTTTCTGGAATACGCGTAGAGTACTTAGTGCTTTAATAGTTTTTTTACTGTACTTATAAAAAACAATCCTATATATTATAATTGTGAGGTCTGTGCAACAGTATGTACAAAAGAATCTACCACAGAATGTTAGTCTGTTTACACATTTAATTAGACTATAGAGTAAATGTCTAATAACTATCTGACAGGTCAAGATTACGTGTGTTTTCTAAATGACTGCGCGAACGCGACCATTATTAAATTACTAGTTAATTTATCAACAGAACATTAAATATCGCCATATTAATATTGACTCTATAGTCATTATTTTTTTTTATTTGGACCACAAAATTAGGACCAACACATGATATAAATTGACATACATACAAAAATATCAAAAGCGGTGCCGTCCCTAAGGCTGCCAGTCCACCAGAGCGGAGCGAGGCAGCGGAGCCGAGAAACGGACTAATGCGGAGTGGAGTTGCGTACTGTGACTGTCCACCGGAGCGGAGCGAGGCTGCGGAGCGGAGTGAGGAAGTAATGCGGAGCGGAGTTGCTGTGTTTTTCAATATGCGGAGCTAGGCAGCAAGTACGCGACGAGTGATTTCGAGCTCCCGGCGTGGGGCGATTGGTTTAATTCTACGCGAAATGTCAGTGATAGCAGACATGCCATCGAAAAAGTTGATACATTATTACCTTACATTGCTTGAGGAAGAAGAGTTGGAGTCAGAAGAAGCCGAAATACTTACCATATACCATTTGAACAATTCTATGAGGAAACATAGATTTTGGTTAAGAAATCATATCAAACATCGTTCAGAACACAGTGAATATTTTACTTTTTTCCAAACAGCTGATGAAGAAACTTTCGAAAATTCTTATAGAGTTTCAAGATGTACTTTTTATGAACTTCACTCCCTGATTGAACCATATATTCGGAAACAAGACACAAATTACAGAAATTCAATTAGTAGCCGTGAAAGATTAGCGGTGTGTTTAAAGTAAGTACACATTTTAAATCAAAGTAACTTTTATTTTTGCATACAGTTATAGAAGCCATGTTATATTAATTTAAAAATCGTAATCTGTCTCAAAATTGACCGCATTTTCATTGGGTTCTGTTGGCTCTGCTGCAGATGTTTCAATATCCTGGGTTGTTGGAATTTGTAAAGCGCTAGGATTAATGATACTAGTGTTAATATTATCTGAAGCACTAGGAATATTGACACTAGTGTTGGTATTATCTGAAGCACTAGGAATATTAAGACTAGTGTTGATATTATCTGAAGCACTAGGAATATTGATACTAGTGTTGATATTATCTGAAGCACTAGGAGTATCGATACTAGTGTTGATGTTATCTGATGTAGGTGTTGAGCCTGTAGAATAACCATAATTATTCGGTGAATACCAACTATGTTGAAGATTACTTTCTTCAGCTGACATTACCGCATTAAAGCAGGTTTTTTTAATTTGAAGTTGAAAATAATACGGCAGCTTTTTTGTCGATGCAGCCAAATTTAAAAAAAATAAGTCTATTTCATCGTATTTATCACTGGCTGACATCATGTTTTTAAGTTCTATCCGTTCTCGTTCCAACACTTCGCGGCGTTCTTGATTTTTTTTTAAATAATCTAGAATTTCATCGTTCTTTCTTTTTTGGATGTTGATGGAAGAGATTCCGAAGCTGTTGGATTCTTAGGATCATCGGCAGAAGGAAGATTATTTGAATTTGATGGCAAAAAATTGCATGATTCCCGTGAACTCTCTTCAATGGTATTTGGCGGATTTGAAGTTTCGCTTACTGAGTGGTCCAGGGGCGTAAAATTTGTTGACCGGTCTCTGTTACTCATGTAAGGCAATAAAAATGACATGGCTTTTTGATATTTCCATTCTTTTCGTTGTTTTCTAGCCTGTCCACTCCTTGTTGCATTTTGTCTTTTTAAGGCATCCCGATGGTTATCTCTCAGTTGTTTCCATCGCGACTTGGCAGTTGTAACTGAAACAATCAACAAACACAAAAATGTATTACATGGTCTATTTATGACAAAAATATTACATCACTTACGCGAAGTACAATTAAATACGTTTTTTTTTAGGTATTTAGCAACCGGCCAGTCATTTACAACGATGGGAGAGAATTTTAGAATTGGATTGAAAAGTGTATCAAGAATTGTTGAGGAGGTTTGTGATGCTTTATGGAATATATTGCAACCTCTTGTCATGTCACAACCAACAGAAAACGACTGGAAAGAAATCGCAAAAGATTTTGATGAACTATGGCAATTTAAAAATTGTATAGGTGCTCTTGATGGCAAGCACGTATATATCAAGGCTCCCTCGAAAACCGGGTCCTCGTTTTTCAACTACAAAAAGAGATTTTCTGTAGTATTGATGTGTTTAGCTGATGCCAAAAGGAAAATCATAATGGCTGATGTGGGATCTATGGGAAGATTTTCTGATGCAGGAATTTTTGATAACAGCATTTTCGGAAAGAGTCTAAAAGAAAAGAGATTGAATTTACCTCAGCCGGTACCATTTTATCAAGGTGGAGCAAAAATGCCGTTCGTATTTATAGGAGACGAAGCTTTTCCATTAATGGAAAATTTTATGAGGCCTTACCCACGTGATGGACTTAACGCAGAAAAAAAATTTTTAATTACCGATTATCAAGAGCACGTCGTATTGTTGAGGCAACTTTCGGTGTATTGACGAGAAAGTGGTACGTGTATCATAAAGATTTTGAATGCAAAATAGAAACAGTTGACAAGGTAATAAAAGCAACATGTGTTTTGCACAATTATTTAATTCAAAGACAACCTAATTATATAAACAATATTGAAAATAACATGGAGCAATCATTATTATCAGTTGGTGATATTATAGAAACACAACATTCTAGTAACGATGGTTATCAAGTTCGTGAAATGTATTGTTCATACTTTAATAATCAGGGGAAGGTACCATGGCAAGATACTCGAATTTTGAAAAGAATCTATAATAGTCAGTGATGTGAGACAGATATAGATAATTTGGCCAGCTGCGGACATTATTTAACTATTTAGGCTATTACATTATATAGGCTATTTTGTTAAATAAAAAAAAGATATCAATATGTACCTACTAGAAGGTATTATAGAATAAAGATACATATTATTTACCATCCGATATGTTTGTTTCAATGATAATTTGGTCCCACGCAGCATCTTTTGTTTCGTTGCATTTGTAAAATTCTGAAGATGTGTTCCAAATGCACGGAAACTTTTTCACACTTTCAATAAGTTTTTCATCCATTATCTTCGGTCACATACGCACTGGTCGGAATACGGCGGCACACTGCCGGCGCAAAGTGCGCCCGCGCCCGCACTCGCTTCCCCGCTCCGCATCCCCGCTCCGTGTCCCCGCTCCGCATACCGGTTTTATATGAAATTTTAAACTAGCTCGCAAGTCCCTGTCCACTTAAGAGGAGCGGAGATTTTGTGCAATCCTATTGGTTAATATTTCTCCGTTTCTCGGCTCCGCTGCCTCGCTCCGCTCTGGTGGACTGGCAGCCTAAAAGATGTGGACACGACCAGCAATTAGTAAGTCATTAATAGTATTATATCCCTAACCAAAAGTCCTTATTAAACAATTTCAATCCTTTATTAAGGACTTTTGACTAATTTCAGTAATTACCAGTCGCTAAGTGCCATCGCGTCGATTTTCAACATGGGGTCACTCAGTCATAATTTTTAAGGAACACGTTTTCGTTTTTTTTACTTCAGCTGTATCATTTGAATTATCTTCTATTTCTAAATACGACACATTTATAATTGTAGTGTTTAATAAGGAATATTGTCAAAAGGACCACACTCACATAGTGCCATATCAATTTGTTAAGTTTTACAAATAAAACACGATTGAAAATATAATTGTTTTATTTACCCTCCACCGTTTTAAATATAATAAATAATACTTAGCTTAGAAATAATTATTGACATGTCTGTTAAATCCATTTTGCAGTTTTGTTTGTATTTGAAGTTATAAAATAGGTAAAATATTGAATAATATTTTTGTAATCAACTTTTTTCAAAACTTTTCCCTTTGTGACATGTGTCGTATAACCACAGTAATTACTTTATTTATTATGCTTAATATAAATTTATTTGACCTATCTACTGTATATATATTCATACTGTAAAAAATTGGATGGAACATGGAATATTTACTTTATTTATAAACTACTTCTAACTGGTCCCATTTGTGTTTAAATAGCTTTATTAATAGTAGTCGGGTACAGGCGCGCAAGCGATCTTCACAAAGTCCTCATAACGCACAGAGCCATTGTTAGAAACATTTGCCTCACGGAATATGTTGTCTACCTGTAAGTAACAAGTTCTCATGGTTTCATTGGTTCGATTCCAGACAAGAAAATATACAGTCAACAATAGCAAATGAATTCATTGCTTGTAATGCTTAAAACGCGTTGTTTCTAAAATAAGTAACATGTGTAATGTAATAAATTAAAAAAACTTCTAACTGATCACTTAAATAGTGAATATTGTTTATTAATTTAGATAGATCAGAGTACAATGGTACCTCGACATACGAGTTTAATAAAGAGTGGCGGAGAGTTTATTGCCAGTTCTTCTCTTCCGTTCTACGCCATTGATTTGAGAACTGGCAGTAAATGTTAAATTAGCATTTAATGTATTTTTTTTGTTGTTGTTTTTCATAAGTGTTTATTGTGTTACCTACATGAATAAATGGTTTTTGATTTTTTTGATTCGTTCCGTAACCTTTCTCGTATCTCAAAGCAATTTTCCCCATTGAAAATAATTGAAACGCCATTAATCCGTTCCAGCACCCAAAACACCACCTCAGTTGTTTTTGAATAAGAAAATGATTTCACGCTTTAATTCAATAGACATTCTTCGGAGCTATGGTTATAAAAAAAACGAACACAACTTATCAAAAATGCTTCGAAAACGAGGGAAACAAGCAAAAAGACAAGTCTAGTCTAAGCTGGGAAAAACTGTTAGTCTAGTATGCGATTCCTCTTATCAAATTTTGCACTCATTTCAAAGCAAAATATCGCTTGCTCGGCTGCTCGTATATCGAGGTACCTCTGTATACATAACTTGTCCTATATTTGTGTCCAATACTTATTGTAAGAAAAATCTTTCCCGCAGTCAAAAACCAAAATTATTTTGTTTGTAAGGCAAGGCCAGTACTGTACTAACCTCGCGTGCTGATAAGCCTTCGCCCCAATTCTGTAGCAAAGTCCGCAACTGTTTTGCTGGTACTGTTCCATTTTTGTCATTGTCTGCTGCTTTGAATGCGTTTACTACCTTAAATGTGGATGTTAACAGTGATTGAATAAAACACACTTATTTGGTAATTTTAAAGAAAACAAGTAAAAATAAGTGTTTCCTGGGGCCCAAGACATAATCACTTTTCAACAGCAAACGCAACAAATTTGTCTGTCTCATGGCCCTGTAAACCAGGCCCAAAATAAAAGATGGAAACCAATCTGATCAGTAATACTGAATTCAGTAGAAACAATGCACAATAGTTAACAGACAGGTGTTTAAAGATTTACAATACAAACCAACTAAAACAGCAAGTAGTACAGGGCTGCCCTAATTTGATAAACTTTTAAGGGCTGTCCATTAATCACGTGAATTTTGAGGGGGGGTTCGGCAAAAATATCACAAGGTGGAGGGGGGGTATAGTAAGATATCACGTGTACTTATTTTTTCGTCAAACGCGTGATTTCTAAACCGAAAAGTGGCTTAGAAAAACGATCGAGAGAGATTCTCTGCGTAGTGCGCGTGATGTGCCGAGTGACTAAATAAAACCGACGTTGATCTTCAACAAAGTACAGTACCAACAACTGACTTGCAAGATGCTTATCCAATTGTTAGTATTGAAGAAAGTCTTGTTAATCCATCCATCCAATTTACATGAAATATGTTCATGTACAATATATGTTTTTCATGATTCTTTTTTTTTTTATATTTATTAAACCATATTATTATTTGTATGCCAGTCAAAAACAACCTGCACCTACCTAGACCTTTCTGTCTAGACATTTTTATCGTGGGCCTTAATTAGGATTCTTTGTAGGTACTAAAAAATACACGTGTATTTTGGTGGGGCTGGGGTAGTCACAAACCTAACCATGGGGGAGGGAGGGGTTAAAAAACATCACGTGATTAATGGACAGCCCCTAATGAGTAATATTAATATCTCTTTAGCATGAGATGGTTAAAAAATAATAATTGTACACCAATAGAAATATATATCTACTTCATTCACCTCATGTGGTAGATTTTCAGCTCTGGAATGTATGTGCATCACTTCCAAGAAATCAGCAAAAGACATTTTACCACCTTTTCCTTTCAAGTAGCCTGAAAAATTTCATTTTCCTAGCCTTTAGTCAACTACTATATTACTGCATAATATAATATGTAGTATAGAAAATATTATGAGGACGGGTCTTGGTAACAGCAACAAAAAACAAGGCAATTATAGATTAATTATATGGTGATCAAGTGAGCAGATTTGCACGTAGTTATTTTATATTAGGTTATCTTTATCTTGATATACCACTAAATTCTTTAAAATAATTTAATTTCTTAGGCCAGATGCAATTTTAGATGTGTGCTAATTGTATGACTATAGCATAGCTTTAACTATAGTGTTTTCTTTAATTAATATATTAATGCTAATATATTAACTATATATAATAGCTTCAGAAATCATACAGTTTTATATAAAATTTCACAATATACCAATTTCAGCCTTATTAAAACAAATGTGCAATAGAATAATAATCCATAAAAATTATTTCATTTACCAGTGAGTTCTTGTATAGTGGGACTCATTCCTAAAGATCTCATGACCACTGTCAATTCATCAAGTGACGTTATCTGTCCTGACCGAGCAAATAAGTAGAAACATTCACGGAACTCTGTAACCAGGGAGAAACTTATTGTTAATACTAAAATAGCTAAGCACTTTTAAATATATTTATCATGGTTTTTTGAATTCATAACAGTTTAATTGATAATTTAATGTGCATAAAGTCTGTTTTAATTTTCAAAAAGATGTTTAAATTAAATAATTATTATGTACAATTAAATACAAAGGCTGAAAATGATTTCAAAAACATAGTCTCTTTAATAAACAACAGTTATTTGGCCTACTTTGAACTATGGTTTTATATAAATATTACATATTTAATTTAAGTTTTCTATATTCACTACATTTTACAGATGAACCTGATTTAAAAAATTATATTCCATAATGTAAGTGAGTTATGTTTAGTCTTACCATCTATGTCTTGTTCTTTAAAATAGCGGGCCTGTAAGTAAAAAAGATAAATAATAATGTATACTAAAAACTAAACAGAATAATTATTTTAACAGGCATACCATTTTAAAACGAATTTAAATAAGTATGATAAACAGAGTTAAAATTCGTCAGGAAAACTGTATATATATCTAGAAGTTGTAAAGAAAATAGTTTCACAATTTACATTAGTTTACTTTTTAGCGTTTGACAAAACTAAGAGACTCAAAAGTCAAAATAGTAATTGTCATTTGTCAGTATATTGATGCCATTTGGTATTGAATGCAAGGGTTTTGGACACAAAAAATTTAAGTTCTTAAAAGCGATGTAATTATTTAGACATCTATATGTAAGGTTTACATTCCAATGTTTAATATTTATGTAGTTATTATTTATTTATACAATAAGTATTTTATACTAGTATATTTTTATATTGTTAACAATTTACGTGACTTGTAAATTGTCATAAATATGAATCAGCACTCAACAGACAACTTGTCAGTAAGGAAAATGGTGTTTTCCAATCAGCTGAGACACAAGTGACAATTTTGAAAATAATCAATGGTTATTTTTCTCCATCTTCCAATTAGTGTGTAAATTATTACATAAAAGATTTTCAGTTGCTATAAAACTTGTGATGTGTAAAGTGATAATGTTTTAAACCCAAATAATTACGTGAGTACTGAAGTAATTTTCTGATAATTCATAACAATCGATTTGCTTATGTTAGACAATAGATAACGTAAAATGTAAGCGTAAACATTTCCGGAATTGACATCACATTTTTCGCCAGTTTGCTCTTCGAGCTGTTTTAAAACACAATGGACATTTCTTATAATCAGTCATAATGTTTCATTCAATACAAAAATATAAAAAAAACTACTTGATTACTGTGGCGATTATAAAAATATAATCACAATAATTTCTTATAGTTTACATTCAGTTAATTAAAATATATACAAGTACTTGAAGGTTTGGTAACATTCAAATTATCAAAGCAAGAATGTAAGTTTGAAATTAAACTATAAAACTAACAATCTCTTATATCCTCCCATATTAGACATCAAGGCTACACACCATTAGACTATTTATATAAGGTTATTTATAGTTTTTATGGAAAAATAATGCAAATCTATTATGCCATGTTATTATAACAACTAATTATTAAGTTTATTTTTCTATGAGATTATTACAACAAATAAATCTTACTCAGTTGTAACTGATTAAACAAATTAAACTGATTAAAGGTTAAACTGAATCTACCTCTGTTTATCAAAGTACTTTGTGAATAAGATATTAGTTAGCATTCAGTGTAAGAATCTATTTTTGTATTTATCCATTAACAGCCTCAAATAATCTATCTAATCGCTAATTACAATAAAGCACCAGGAACTTGTTTTGTTGTCCAAACCCACTGGACATGTAATAAACTTTCTTGATCTCTTACAAATTATTGAAATTTATTTCAGATTCAAAACATCTGTTTAAGAAACATGGAAGAACCTGACTCTATACAAACAAGATTACATAAAAAAATATCATAATTACAATTTAGTTCTAGTCAAATTTAATTTATTTAATCAATAATTTTATTCCATATTTAATTGTTTATGAAACAATGCTGTAAAGTTACCAAAGTATATAATACAATATAATTAAATATAAATGTTATTAAGTATATGGAACTGCTGGAAGGGGGACCAAGATAGTGACAAAAGAGAAAGGAGAGATAAAATGGCCGCCACTATGGTTGAAACCCCACCCCCTCAGCTGATCACAACAATTGAATGGGGTATGATGGATAAAAGCAAATTCTTTCCGCTCTATGCATTGAGTAGTTTTACAGGTACGGGTAATTCATTCTTCATGTAGATACTTGTGGCCAGAGTAGAGTAATTTATGTTGAGTTAAATATAAAAATTTAAATTGATTTCAAAGAAAGTTCTGTAATATATAATTTTTTTTAAAACAGAACTCTACTTACTTCATATTATAACTTATTCCACTATAGAAGTAGATGATTTTCTTTATTGTAACTTTAAATATTAATGTAAACTGTATGCTGTTAAAATAAGTAAGAACTAAAATGAATATTGTGGAATATTAATTTTAGGTCATGTTTCATTCCAATTATTTTAATATAACAAAAACTTGTTCTATCTTAATATATGTACATTACACGTCACCTTTTTTGTCAGCTATGGACTCCTAAACTACTTAACCGATTTCAATCAAATTTGCACACCATTTGCAGTTTGATCTAACTTAAAAGATATGATAGCTTACATATATATATATATATATAATTCTACATTACGTGTATACGTCACTGAACTCCTCTTCAAATTACCATTATACACATCGTCTACTAATACTCAACAAAAACTCAGTAAATAAATTCATGTTATCAGCTGAAATATATTATTTTTATTTCAGTACGCTGTGCCCTCTATCCGTTAACACTTGTGAAAACGCAAATACAAGTTCAGCGCAAAAAGGAGGCTTACAAGGGTGTATCAGATGCTATATTAAAGATATACAGGGCTGAGGGTGTTACCGGCCTTTATAGAGGCTTTTGGCTATCCAGTGTAAGTTAATTTTATTACTCATAAATGGTTTTTAATAATTTATTTTCTTCTTAAATTATGTAGTTTTGGAATTCAATAATTTTAATATAACTGTTTTATCTTTTGCGACTCAATATTGACATATTTTTATTTATTATTATTGTTATTTTATTATTAGATTTTACTTTATTTTATTTAAGTTATAGTAACGTGTTATTTTGAGTTTTTTTTTGTTAATAATTTTTGCATTACTTGTACTTTACCCTCTGTAGGTGTTTCTTTTTCATTGTTCCACTTTAGGGTTGCCTGGAAGAAATCGTTTGTTAGCGATAAGGCCGCCCGTTGCCTTATAACTTTTGTGACTTGCTTTTTTTATTTTTGTTTAGTGTATGTTTTTGATTACGGTAAAATTCAAAATTCAAAAATCATTTATTCACGTAGGTAACACAATGTACACTTGTGATTCGTCATTAAAGAAATACATATAATTAAGTATATATAAATAAATAAAATTGAAGTCTATATCACCACTGAAAGTTACTGAGTAATGGTGTCAGTGGCTTGCGAATATGATGATAGTATAAAAGAGTAAAACTTCTAATGTAACATAAAACAGTTTCAGATAATTTCAGGTGTATTTTACATTTCTACGTACGAAGGTGTAAGACACGAACTAGGCAACTATGAAGTAACCCCGAGGGTGAAATCCTTTATTGCGGGAGGCTGCGCATCATTAGTGGGACAGACTGTCATAGTGCCATTTGATGTTCTCAGTCAGCATCTGATGGTGCTGGGTCTGGTTAAAGGGTCGCCGGGTGGCGTACATAACTCTGTAAGTAAATTTTATTATACCACTAACTTACCCGTCAAACGTTTGTTTTGCCATGTTTATTATTTCTAGGAAACATTTTTTTAACTATCTACAATAATAAAAATTAGGGCTTGATCGTAGAGGCGTGAAAATTAGGGGTTGTATGTATATTTGTATGCTGTATCATAAAAAAATACAAACAAACAAAAATTCTACAAAAAAAATTGGGGTGGACACCCTTTATCACATAGGGGTTTCAAAAATAGATAGTAGCCGATTATCAGGCTTACTGAATATGCATACAAAATTTCAAACGCATCGTAATAATGTGAATTTGACTCCAGCTATTTTATGTCATATTTTTCATCTTTTTTATTTCTGCCAAATAATGACTCTATCGTATGAATGGCCTAAGCATTAGCCAGCCAGTTTATTAAATGTTGTAAGAAACGTTACGGCTGAATATATTTCAGGCCGCTAGTTAAACGGCGCCGTTTAGTTAAAAGGCTAGGCTGTTAATTGAACGGCTAATTAAGCTAGTTGGCTGCGACATTTATAATATGTAGGCAAACATCGTGAGAAAAGTGATATATCCACATTCTTGCCTATAATAATATAAAGAAATTGTTGCAATTTAAGGTCAAGAACTATATAGGCGATTTTATTTTAGGCGAGATTAGCTTATTTAGATTGTGTATCGAAGACCCATTTATTAATACTACGGGTTCGCTTTGGTATAAACTTTAGATAGAAATTACTATTCAAAATATTTCTATGTCTAAACCTCTGTACGAGGCGTCGATTTTTAAATAGGTAAATAGTTGAGATATCAAAATCTAATTAATTAACTTAGCTATATTTGTTGTGCGTCTGTTACGTTATTTTTTGCACAATAACAAAAAAAAACTTCAAATCTGGACGGAAAAGAACCTGCGCGGTGGTTATGCGATATATAACTCCTATTTGCTATCATTTATTCTTTCAAAAATTATAAACTTAATTGTTAATATTAAGTGTGCCAACATAACTAAAAAGCTACTTCATCACGCGACGGTTCTATTTCAATAGACTAATTTTTCTTAAAATAAATATTTTTTGTCCTACCCAACTTAATCCGATTCCAGAAAGGGGAGTTTTAATACAGTGTCACCATGTAACGTCCCTTGATTTAACAAGAAGCCCCCTAAAGCGTCGGAATCATTCGGCTTTGGTTGGTTTAGCTTGTCTTCGATACAATGATACACTCTACTAAATAATAAAGTACTTTTTAAGTTGCCGGAATTAGTTAAAACTGCGGAGCTGTGTACGATGTTTAGTCGCTTTATTGTCCTAACTAGAAATAAACTCTCTCGGTACTCAACATACGTACCGAACTTTCCAAGAAATCCGTTCTTTTTTTTACAAATTCCGCTTGCTTGCAAGTGCTTTATCACGAAGATGCCTCAATATCGCAAGGTATGAATTAAATAAGTAAAAAATACAACCTAACTACTGGTACAGTACAAAAATAACAGACAACACGATAGCGTTTATATGCGAATTGTTTTTATATAATTACTAACACTAGGCTGAAATAAACTTTATTTTTCTAATACAGATTTTACGTTCCATTTAACGGTACCTCTTTGTAACGTCAAAATAGGCACAGTCCCTTGAGTGTCGTTACGTAGAGTTTACACTGTAATTAAAAGTGTATGTTTAATTAAATTTATTCACAGAAAGTGAACCCGCTAGGCCTCGACTTGGAGCGTCACTGGTCTAAAAGCGCTTTGGCCCGTGAGGTGGCCCTTCGCGTGTATCGGCTTCATGGCCCTTTGGGATACTATCGTGGGTACGCGGCTTCGCTCGCAGCATATGTTCCCAATTCAGCGCTGTGGTGGGCGCTTTATACTGCATACCAGGGTGAGTGACCCAGTTGCTAACACAAGAAATTGAGCGCTGTGCGAACTAGTGGAGATGTTTTTTTATTTCTACTTCTATATATTAGAGAACTCTGTAAATGCGAGTACCTATCTATATTTTAATTATTAATTCTGCGACTGATAACACCTCGTGAGAGTCTTTACTCTATTATGATAAATGGTTTAAATTTAAACTGACTTAAACTTGGTAATTTAGTCAATATTTTTAATTTCACTAGATAATTTTATGATTAAATTCGTTTGATGGCGATTTTATATAATTTTTATTGATTGATTAAGAATTATAAGGTGCCTTTATTAACTGGCATAAATAGGGGTGTGAAAAGCTACACACATGTTATATTACTTGAAATGAAAGATTTAAAATTTAAAAAAATATGTATATATATTATATGAAATAAATATCTTTGAACGTGAAATGACAGTCGATATTACATTGTAATGGACGTCCAGAAAAACTGTAGCTTCTATTAATAGTTAATGTCCTCTTATATAATGTGCAATATAAAAGTTTCATATTAATTTACAGATGAACTTCTCAAAGTAAGTCCGTCATGGGTGTCATACCTGTTGATACAATGCGTTGCGGGTACTCTTGGAGGCTTTACCACAACAATACTGACGAACCCTTTGGACATCGTACGCGCTAGGCTACAGGTATTGTAATTTTAGTTCAAATGTATTTCATATAATATTAATTTTAAAATGATTTATTGAACTCTTTACGCAAGTACATGATTTACATTCAATTACAATCCGATAAGTCGGTTTAAGATTTTCTAAACACCACTATCTTTATATATATAAATCGTATATGCGTGTTTGTAATTAATCTCCTTTATGATATTGATGAAAATTTAATGTCTAAATGAAAATGGTTTAAAGAAAAAAAATACATTTATTTTATACGCACACAAACATAAAAAAAATATACAATCATTTTGATCAACTTAGTTCAATTATTGTTAGCAGCAATACTTTTCAGTCGGCCGTTACTATTTTGGAATGGAAGCTGCTGTCAACTGTGTACCTATTAAAATAAAATTATAATTTAGATTTTTTTATTTGTTCAGGACAACGTCGGGTCTGCTAGTAAAATACAATTGTGTTCATTGAAAATGAATTAAGAATTAATTATATACACCTACTTTTACTATCTGATACCAAATTTCTCATTGCTGTTTGGTATTTACTTATAATTAATGTTTTTTTTTGGAGTTTATGGCCTGCTATCTAGACCTTTAGGCCAAGTTTTGTGTTATAATTAATGTTTACAAATGAATAATGTTGCCAGATGTCAGATGTCGCCAACAAAACATATTTTATTTAAAATTAAACTTAGGAATGAATTACATCTTTAGGTTGAAGGCGTCAGCTCGATGCGAGAAGTAGTAAAAGAACTGTGGAAAGAAGAGGGTCTAATTGGTCTATACATGAAGGGACTGTCAGCAAGACTAGTCCAGTCCGCCTGTTTCTCCTTCTCCATAATTCTGGGTTATGAGACCATAAAACGAGTGAGCGTCAGCGATGAGTATAGAACAAGAGTGCGCTGGTGAAATAAATGTGATCTATATTAGATTTTGTTGTTTGAATTACTCCAAAAACATATATGAACTTTATTGTAGCTACAATCTAGTTAACACGATATAGCGGGCACGATAAAATAATTGTCGATGTTAAATGTTATTGCAACTGCGGAGTGCGGGGGACGGGCGAGCGTGTGATGTTCTAACGTGTCGGTCATTCGCCTGAGGTCACTGACCACACAACTCGCCGCACGTCACTGTTTCCGTAACTGCACACTTTTTTAGAAATATTTTTAGGAATTTACGTCGCAAGTACATCGCCGTATATTAAGTATAGATAAAGGGTGAAATAAATGTGATCTCAACCAGATTTTTTTGTTTGAATTATCCAAAAAGTATAAATTAGAAACACTAAAATAATAAGTTTCCATAGTTATTAGAGATTTGCCTTATAAGTGATAATGGTGGTGAAATAAAAGCTAGATTTTGTGGTGTGAATCAACCCATAAATTCAGCTACATGCCAAGCCATCTGTAAACATGTTTTTAAGCTATGCTTTAAGCTTTTATAGAGATTCGACGAATATAGCTAATGGATGAGATCTAAACTAGTTTGTTTGAATTACTCATTATTATTAGCTTTGTAGTAAACATGTTTTAAAGTAATGCGCCACTATGTAAGTATGTGGTTAGTTAATCGTCCGTTGGCTTAAATTCTATATAATGTTAAAAAATAGAAAGGATAGTGTCGGAATCGTTCTAAACTCTAAAGTTGTCAATCAAATCTACTATTATCAACGGGTAGGTAAGCTAACTGGCAGATAGAAATGGAATAATAAATCATCAAATATATAATTACGCATAATTAATAATTGTACACTTACGAAGAAAAAATACTTTATCTTCTTTGAAAATAATACAGCGAATGTAGGTAAGTAATGTGTTTGTTCTAATTAATGTCTTAATAAGGGCCTATTGATGATAATTTCGAAAAATACCAATTCTTAATTTATAGCAGAATATGAAAAATTTTGTTTCTGCTACGAGCTAGTTTCAATTTGAAATACGCATTATATATGCTAACTTGCGCTTACTTATAAATAACTTTATAAAAAAGCATATTAAAGCAGGATGACATAAGCCAGGATATGTTGCGTTACAAATAACTTTCGAAAAAAGGGTCAGGGTCATCAATTCATCACCTTTACCTACGTACATAATAATTAACAAAGCGAACGGAAACTTCACAAATAATTGACCTAAGAGATAACCTGTTTCGCTTAAGTCTTAAAAATGATTTCTATATTTCTTCTTGAATCATACGATGTTTGATAATTTTATCATAATTAACAAATTATACGGAAATTTAATAAAACAATTAAACTAAAGACAAAACCGCATAACAAATCGTAGCGGCAAATCAATCGTACGGCACTTCTGCACCTTTTGCTACATAAAAACGATAGTTTTTGTGGTAATCATTTAAAATTACAAATAATTTAACGGATGTTTTATAAAACGAGGCAAGACGATGTCTATTATTGCCATAATTCAGCTATTTTACAGAATCACAGATAGTATTCATATAAATTGTTCATAACGAATTCCTTACTGTATCGTAGTCGGTCCCAAAGTTCTGTCATAAATGGAAATAATGATAAAAACAAAAGTACTGATCAGTTTGTAATGAGTGATATATCAATTCTTAGTACATTAATTAAGGAATAAAAAAAGCATAAAAATATTCGAAATAACCTCCCTCATTTTTAATACAGGCCCTTAAGCGTCGCGGCCAGTCGTCTATCGCAGCACGCACCATATTCGTGTCGATTTCAGTCACTGGTTTTTTTAAAGATGACTTCAGATTCTCCAAATTTTCATGAGGTTTATCACAGACCTTCCTCTCTAAGCCCTGTCATAATTTCTGGTCCAAAGGATTAAGGTCCGGACTGGAGGAAGGCCAATCCTCATGTCTAATTAAGACGATGTTTTGACGCTCAAACCAGGCTTTAGTGGTCTTGGCTTTGTATGCAGACGCAGAGTCCTGCTGGAACACGAAGTGATGTCCCGCAAATAGGGTGCTGGACATGTCTTTGACAAGGCGATACAAAACCGTCTCTTGGTACACTGTAGCACTGTTTGGCCCCTTCTTTTCGAAAAAAAATTAACCTCAGTTAGCCCGTAATAGGACACTCCCAACCAAACCATTACTGATGATGGATGATGTCCATGTTGCACCCTTGGAACCTTATTTTCAGCTTCTTCAGAACTCCTAGCGTACACTGTATAATTCTGTTTATTGTACTTCTCTTCAATATCGAAAAATTTTTCGTCCGTAAAGAGGATATCACGGTCTCGGTTTTTCGCGTACCGCTTAAACAACACCCGCGATCTCTTAAGCCTTATTGCTTTTAGACGAGCATTAAGTAAGTTCCCACTCTTTTTTTGTATGCTCGTAGACCAAGATCTTCATTTAAAACCTTTTTTACTGTTTTCCTACTGACACCCATCTGCAAATCCATCAACTTCTGTTTTCGGACAGGATTTCTTACTATCCGCGCCTTGATAGCTTTGATTACTGCTGGTGTTCTTGCGGAGCGTGGCCAGCCAGTTCTTTTCTTGTCCTCAACACTGGAGACTTCAAGGTACCTATCAATAGTACCGTACACAAACCTAAGCGTTATATTCAAATTTTTGAGCAACTTGAAAATGGTACTCGGCGAGTGTCCACAGCGGTGCAACGCAATAACAACTATTCGGTTTACTTTCAATGTATACTCCATCAAGAAAAATTACGGAAAGTTATTGTTTTTTGTTTTAAAACAATAATCAAACATTCCAAAATAGAATGCAATAATTTTTTTATAAAATCCTGCTCGAAATGTAGAAATAATGTGCTAGTGACAGAACTTTGGGACCAACTACTGTATAGTAGATATAAGTATTATTTTGGTAGTATAACTTTAATGTACGAATGTATTCCTATTGTAACAATACAATGAGACGTTGTTTCCGTTAATATTCTCCGCTTTTAATCGTTGTTTAGAAGATATTCAGTAATTTGAATGCTATAATTAATGCTTATAATTATAGTAATTTTATATCGATAAAATTGTACAATTTAATAATTTTGGTCTAACATATTGTCAAAATGTAGATTCATCCTAATGTTTGTTCTTTAAAATGGCCGCGCCGCCACCGAAATATTTTTTGTTACACTTACACAACAACAATTCCTTGTAGTGGAGTATCGAAAAGTAAGTATGTAGGTATGTAAATATAGGTACAAAGATTCGTAAAAAAAGAGGCGCTTCATAGTTTTCGCACACAGGCTCTGCCGGGGATCGGTGCGGCCCTATTTACATTGCCAGCAAAGGAGAGTTAGTTTACAATGCTATACATAGCATAAAGTACATATGTATGTACTTTAATCACCAGTGAGTAAATCAACATTAGTCACCTTTAACTATAGTTATGTATAGTTATACTTGGCGACTGCAGACCAAAGAGCACTGATATAGGAAAAAAATATTTTTTTAATAAACGTGTAATAAATTCTACTACTATGTTTCTTATATGTATGGATAAAAATAATGGAATCCATTGTTAATTGCCAGCTCTTGAGGTATCTAGAGGGCCACCAGCTGATTAGCGATTATCAGTACGGCTTTCGTCGTGGTCGTTCGGCTGGTGACCTTCTTGTATACCTTACACATAGATGGGCAGAGGCAATTGAGTCCAAGGGGGAGGCGCTAGCGGTTAGTTTGGACATATCGAAAGCCTTCGATCGGGTGTGGCACAGAGCACTGCTCTCGAAGCTTCCAGCCTATGGGCTTACCGAGAAATTACGCAATTGGATCTCCAGCTTTCTGGCCGATCGGAGCATCAAGGTCGTCATCGACGGAGCATGTTCCGACCTAAAACCCGTAAACGCTGGGGTCCCACAAGGCTGTGTTCTATCCCCGACCCTATTTCTTCTGCATATCAATGATATGTTGAAACTTAGCAACATTCATTGCTATGCGGATGACAGTACTGGAGATACTTTTTACACTGGCCGGGCAGGTATTTCTCGGGCAGTTGTTGATGAGTACCGGAACAAACTTGTGTCTGAAGTTGAAACTCTACTTCGTGGAGTCTCAGATTGGGGCAGACAAAACCTAGTCCAATTTAACCCCAAGAAGACACAAGTTTGCGCGTTTTCCGCTAAAAAAACACCCTTTGTCGCTACTCCTCTTTTCGAAAACACTCTTCTTAAAGCCACAGCCAGCATTGGAATACTTGGCGTTGACATATCGAGCGACGTTCAGTTTCGCGGTCACTTGGAGGGAAAGGCTAAATTAGCCTCAAAAAAGCTTGGTGTGCTCAGTAAGGCGAGACGGTACTTCACTCCGGGCCACCGCATGCAACTATATAAAGCGCAAATTCGGCCCCACATGGAGTACTGCTCTCACCTCTGGGCGGGGGCTCCCCAGTACCAGCTCCTTCCACTTGACCGTATACAACGCAGAGCGGTTCGAATCGTTGACGACCAATCCCTCTCCGAGCGGCTTGATCCTTTGGCGTTGCGTAGAGATGTGGGGTCACTCTGCATCTTCTACCGCATTTACCATGGAGAGTGTTCAGAGGAGTTGTTCGGATTAATACCTGCAGCTGAGTTTCATCATCGGACGTCGAGGCAGAATACGAAATTCCACCCGTATCACCTCGACGTCCGACGTTCCACAACTGAGCGTTTCTCAAGGCAGTTTTTGCCGCGCACCACCACTATGTGGAACCAGCTGCCCACTGAAGTATTCCCGAACCAATTCGACTTAGGGTCCTTCAAGAAAAGAGCGTACCAATTTTTAAAAGGCCGGCAACGCACTCGCGAGCCCTCTGGCATTGAGAGTGTCCATGGGCGGCGGTATCACTTAACATCAGGTGAGCCTCCTGCCCGTTTGCCCCCCCGTTCTATAAAAAAAAAAAAAAAAATGTACTTATATATTTTTAACTTTACCCAAAGTAACGAACGGATCGTTACGCACTAAATAGGTTACGCAAGTTTATGCCTATCTCTACTACAATTTCTGTTTCTTATTCTCTTTTACTTTCTATTCTCTATTACGCTGATGTGTAATATCCAGATTTAACTGACTGATTTAAAGACTGTATTTTATCACTCCTCCTTTAATGTGTAAAAGTAATCAGCATTGGAACTCTTTACCTCTTGATGTCAGAAGAGCTGTCTTAAAATTTATTTATAAATCTTCTTTTTGAGAATTTAGCTTCTGTCTCGTAATCAGCTTCATATATATATAGGTGGGGTATACATTATACAATACATAATTAGTAAGCATGTTATGTAATATTCATTTTTGTTAATTATTAATGCACTTGTAGGTTACCCTATATATAGGTCTTTCATTTTTTATTTTTCCTTACTAGAATTGCCTGAAAGAAATCGCTTGTTAGCGATAAGGCCGCCCGTTGCCTCACAACTTATGTAACCTGCATTTTATTTGAATGTTTTTATACAAGGTAACGAAATAAATAAATAATTTTTTTAATGGATTGTTCTACTAAGGCGTTTAATAAACACATAATATCTCGAATTAAATTATAAAGGTGCTGAAACTTTAATATTATATAAAAAGCTTTTTATATAATTAGTAATTATATAAAATCTGAAAAAAAAAACTACAGAAAAAAAGGTCTTGTCGCTGATACCTCAGAACGCCACGAGCAGTAGAGAATACTGGCAACCTGCAAAGAGAATATCACACAAAACTGCTGGCCACCACTAGAAAATAACAACTTGGCAGAAAAATGGCACGTCGACTTTTAAAGTTCAACACAATTTAGATAATTAAGAACTTTAATTAATTACTTATTTCAGAATAAAATACGATGATATTATCGTTTAAATCATCTTACTATGTTGGCAGTGAAAATTACTTATTTATCTGAAGCATACGTAGGCGACATAGTGTTTTTTTTTTTACAAATTCATACCAATTGACCTAGGCCCATGCTAAGCTGGTGAAGCTTGTGTTATGGGTACTAGGCAACGGATATACATACATATTATACATAGATAGACAAATAAATACATATTTAAACACCCAAGACCTCGCACAACACCAAATGCTCATCACATCGATGTTCGTCTCAGCCGGGGATCGAACCTGGAACCCATGGATTCGCAGTCAGGGGTACTAACCTAACCTAACCTAACCACTAAATGAGTGTCTAAATGGTATTTCAGATTATCTATCACAACTAACTCCATTGGCTTAATAGACCTGGGGTTATTGATTAGCAAAAATCGAACCAACCGAAAAACCATGTTTTATCAATGTTAAACGAGCTGGATCTGGACCTCCATAGTTGCTCACCTCACACTTTGAGAGCGATTTTCGTTTAATTTATTTTTATTTACTTAAGTTTTTTTAAATTATATTATTGTTTTGCTTAATTAATTTTATTACTTGTTGTATGCTATGTTTGCCTGTAAGTGCTTGACACATTAAAAACTGTATTTTTCTTTTCTTCTGTCAATGTATCAGTGTGCCAAGCGTTGGCAATTTTTTATGAATAAATAAATAAATAAATAAAAGCTAGTCTAGTGGTAGATGTTAAAATCTTGTTTAAAAACTGACACTGTATTTTTTGTCTATTAACCTGTGTACCAATCCGAGAAAAAAAATTTATGAGTCTATCAAATACATTCATACTATTTTTGTTGACATTTAAGCGTAAAGATATAATACAACAAAAAATATAATAACACAAAATAAATAAAAAGTAAATGATGCAATAGTAATAGACCTACGTTGTAAATGATATATCGGATAACAAACGAGACAAGCTCGAATAATAAAAAACTGATTTGCCCTTGATCTTAAAAGCGTTCTTGTAGCGGCTTTACTCTAAAATATCTATGTATATTTAACCGTTAAGCGTCACGCGAAAAGCTTGGACGGCCTTGAACCGCAATAACAATCATTCGTGATTTAGAATATTGTAAAACAAATATAGAAATGGTCTATCAAAATGGCTATCTCAATTTATCTAATCATGTTTTGATAAAATTGCAGAGAATAATTACCTAGGCATTCAGTTATAAAAATGATACCAACTTTTAAAATAATACTCTTATTATTATTACTCTATTCCGTCTTTTTTACTATAAACGGTAACAAACATACTTTTACATTGACATAACTAATATCGGTGGATTTGTAAGAAATGGGTTAATTAGATTCTAATCTAGCTTCGTCTTAACATCCTTTTACTTAAATCCTTTGTTTAATAAAAGACAATAAATAAAAACGACACATTTATTAACCCTGAATTCAATGTGATACTAGGTTTTCCCTAAAGCAAATTATAGCATCATCATACTTCGCCGTTTAAAATATAACAATTCTTTGAATACCTCACACCACAAATACAATAATAGCCGTAAGAAAATCGCATGATATACAAATGATTAAATTACAAATACATAACTACATATATTATATGTATAATCGAGAAAACGACCAACGCCCGTATTGTTACTTCCAATAGCGACAGCGATACCGATCCAGACGTTTTTGTATGGTTTGTGAGTGTTGTTCTCTCATTATCCCTAGTAGCGCATGCAACCTTGCCGCGTAACAAAATCCCATTATTGGGATCGGGATCGGTGTCGGTATCGCTAATGGCAGTTACAGAGTTGGGGCACTGGACCAATAGTTACACAAAATGACCATATTGCTGTTATTTCTGAATGTAAAAGTACTTTTACCACTTTGCATTAATATTTTATAATTCCCGAAAATGTATCGATTATTTAAACGAGTATTTAAAACCATTGTTGTTACCGGTATAAAACAAAATTATTACAATTGTAAAATTGAATCTTAAATTGTTAAACCTTGTACAAGACCTGTTTGGTCACAAATTGACAATCCATCTATTGTTTGTTGTTTTAAAGCATAAGCAGGGTATTTTCTTAAAATTTAATTTAAAAAACTTACCCCCTCATCAGACCAATTAACTTGCTCAAAGCATCAAGTAAAAATACATATTACTTTCATTCAGTGTGGCAAATTATGTATGCAAAATACAAAAATACAATTAGTTTTCTATTAATGTTTAATTAATTTTTGGAGTTTTTGTACATTTGAGTTCTAAATCACACTTTTTAAGACTAGGTTTATATAAATATAAAAGCTACTGGATGCAAGCTTCATACATAATGAGTATCGTGTCTGAGAGAATGAATGTGCTACAGATCAAAATATATGTTTATTGGACATAATTTCAACCAGTTCACAGCAATTATAACAAAAGAACTGCTATATAAAATGTCCTAGTAATTCTTTATCATCTCTGAATGATGCTTATATGGTTATATGTATATACATATATATATATATATTCATCAACTTTAATTTTTCCTTGTAACTCCAATTTCATACCCAAAGCTTAGTAAAATTATAAAAACCTACATAAATATGTAAAAACTGCTTTACGGACTATTATGTTGATTCTTTGTCATTATAATACTTAATTTACATCCCTTAAACTAACTGAGAGTACTACAATAGCTGTGTTGGGTTCTTTGTAGTAAATAATCTGTCTAAATATCTATCTAGTATCTAAGCTACCAGAGACCACTTTATATGCTAAATTACACTGACTACACATAATACTTAAAGCATTAGCGACATTATATATAACATCAATATCATCTGAGCCGCATAGACAAGGTCTTCATAAACCAGTCATCTAGAGTTTTCTTTACTCATTTCTGTTAATGCTTGGCCAACAAGAACTTTATCGCCACCTTTTAAGTCAAATTTGAAGTCTGCTGGGGCCTCAAAAAGTAATATTATAGTACTACCCATATTGAATTGTCCAAATAATTCACCTTTTTTAAAAGAAATCTTTTCCATAACTGTTTCATCTACTCTATTTCTCTTTCCTTTTGTATTTGTTCTTAAATCTGGATCCTTGTAAATTTCTATAGAACCTACATTGGTAGCACCAACAGCTGTCATACTAAAGAAACCATGTTTCCATTCTCCAATATAAACTGCTCGCTCATTCATTGTAAATAGCCCTGGTATCAAGCTAGCCATCCAAGGGTTTACAGACAAAAGTTTTCCTGAAAAATGTCTTCTAAAAGAAGAATTCCAGTCACAGGGAGAATGAAATCTATGGTAATCACCAGGGGCCAAATATATAATACACTGATGCAGTACATTCTTCTTATCTTGTAGCAATGAGTCATAGTAGCTCCTACCATTTCCAGACCATTTATTTTCCCCCAAAAATTCTTCCAAGCTGTAAGTTACACCTTTTACTTGTTCTATTCTATCAGTTTTAGCTGGTCCACAATTTAATACAACACCGTCACATGGTGAAACGCATGGAGCTGGTGATATATATCTCGCGCCATCGCGTAAGGCTCGAGTGAAAAATGCTGATAAACTTTTATAATATGTTAAATCGGATATCGCAGCTTCACTCAGGTTTACGCTAAACATTCGTGCATATGTACCATACACAAAGCTACGAAGCGATACTGGGAGTTCATACGCCGCAATCTTACCCCACAATCTGCTCGTAATTCTAAATGGAAACATTTCGTAGAACTTGATTTCCACTTTCGATATCTCGTAGTTGATTGTAGCTCGAATGTAACACCATCCTACGTAGATAACACTGCCAAGAGGAACCCATCTTGTGAATATAGCACGAACGTTTGTCCATTTAGATTTCTGAAGTTGCGCCGTTGTATTAACACTCTTTGTCTGGTAAAGATTTGCTTGACGAAATGGCCTGTGGGGCTTCAATCGCTTGAACATCGGGTTTATGACTGGAAGGCAGCTTCGAATGCGCGTCGCCGGAAACATTTCGCACTCGGCCACCTTCAGTAAAAGTTCAAAAATAAAATGTTTATTTAATTAGCGAAAAATAGTTTTGCGTAAGTATTAACGACTGATAACATCACGGCCAAGGCTTATTGGTTTGAAGTCGAATTAAAATAATAAAATACATAAAAAATGACATTGACAACAAAATACAAATCGATTTTTGTAAATCAATCGATATGTTTAACCAAAATTGAGTTTGAAATTTTATTTAAATAAAATTCTACTAATGAATGTATTAAATAATTAATACAAGTTTCTAAGGCATGATAATATGAACATTTTTATTTGTATATTTTTTTCTAATAATAAAATGTAAACAAAAAGTAAACAGAGAGAAGTCATATTACACCTATATTTTCACCTCTATGGAGCACACAGCGAAGGTTTAGTGAAGTTAATTTAAACTACTCAAGAACACCACTCCATTTTATAGAATCATTCCTTTATTATTAAATTAAACTTTGAAAGGGATATTTTATAACTTACGCACTACGTGCAAATAGAACAAATATTTTAAAAAATTTGAACCTGGTTACCGATTTTTTAATTTCGACTAGAAGTTAGAACTCGAGTACTCGAGAGTCGAGACTAGTACGACTGTCACTGTGATGCCAATTGTCATTGGATTTGAATGTTGTGACTTGTGTTGTGTGTAATCAGTAATGTAATATCAAAAAATCAAAAATACATTCCTGAATCCACAAGTTTAAATCTTAGTTTACTGCTTACATTTTATGTAATTGATATTTAAAACTTTTGAAATTTCAGCAGTTCATTTTTCTTTCTTGTAAATTAATCACTCATGTCTTTATGCTATAATGGATACAACGAAAGTCCGAATACGTCAGGGCCTGAGGTGACGATTTCTGGCGCCAATTGCATTCAAGAAAACTCATTTAGTTTCGATAAAATAGCTCAGGTTTGCCTAGAACGTATTAATATGTCAAAGTATGTGAAGTCACTAGAAGCCAATATCGAAACCAGTAATAATGATATTCCAAATGCTGAGAATCTAGACAACCTAGCAGAATTCACCAGAAATTGCTCAGTGCGACTGGTTCGCAATGATTTAAACGCGTTGAGGGACTTATTGTTTAAAAACTTGCACAATCTGAAATGTGACATTTGTGATAAGGTTTATACTAGTGAAAAAAAGTTAAAAAAGCATAAAGAAAATAAGCATTTGCTTGTGCATGACGAGAAATCTCTGAAGCGAGTCTCGTTTTCAGACAAAGTTATAGTACATGAAATCAATGAATATCACCGGTGTAGAAAGTGTTCAAAGATATTTGAACTATATTCAACTTTAAAAGTTCATATGAGGCGTGAACACAAAAAGCGTAAGTGCTACATTTGTTATTATTGCACTAAGAAATTTGTTGATCGCATGTTCTTTAAAGTACATATTAAACTACATTGTGATGTTTGTGGTTGTTTTATGGCGAATAAACACAAATTGATGGAACATAAACACAATGTCTGTAAAATGGTCCAAGAATACAAATGTAAAAGATGTGAGGATATATATTATTCATTACTGGCTCTGCAAGATCATATGTCCAGTCATGGCACAGCATTTGTTTGTGATATTTGTAAAGAACAATTTGAAAGTAAATGCAGACTTGCTTACCATATTAAATTCTTACATTCAAAATGTTTGATGGACTTATATACATTTAATTTGGGGAGATATCAATGTAACTTTTGCCATGAGAGTGCGGTTGAACAAGATATAATAGAAAAACATGTTTTACATCTTACAGAATTAAATAAATCTCTATCCCAGAGTAAGTTCACCTGCGATTGCTGCAAAGCCATATTTTTGTCAGAAGCTAAATTATTCAAACATAAATTAACTCATTACTTGGATTTACCTGAAAAAGGGACTAATTGTAAATCGAAGATTGAATTTAAGTTTAAAGTAGGGGACCCATTGCCAGATCACTTTAAGCCTGAAGTAGTTTTAAATAGAATTCAAATTCCTGAAAAAGTGGCAGATGAACCACTGGATTATATAGAAATACCAAATGGTTTGGATGTGGATCTTAAAAAGGCTCTTATTGATCCAATATCAAAGAAAACACTTTTATCAAAATATCAATGCACAGTAAGTTATAGATTTTATAACTATTAAACTATATCATTGCTTACCATCTGGTTTCACTATTCTTTGTCCCTTATAGTATGTATTTAAAATGTCCTTAAAATTTTGCTTGTTTTATATTGATATTTAAATTCTGCATTTTATGTTCAAAAGAATTGATCTTAAACATGCCTATGACACATTTTGTTTCCCATATCTGTAATAATAATAGAATTCTATCCTTGAAAGTGGCAGTAGTGTAACTCAAATTTTTCATACCTTAACTATATATGTATTGCATGAACTGTATTATTTGTATACTTTATTTTAACTAGTAGAGTAACTAATCAATGTCAGAATTTTAGTTATAATGTTTTTAGTTCTTTTTGAATTTGTGTTGTGTGTCAATAGAAAATAAAAATTACAATTGAACTGAATTGAATTAAAATAAGATACATCAAATTATAAGTTACAATTTCCCCATTCACAGGTATATGCTTCCTCCAAGAAATGCCATTTTACTCTTCCAGAAGCCACCTGGAGCCAGTATGGGCCAGCAGTTTTGGAAAGGTCCTTTGCGCGCTTTTTTTTCCTTTTCGTGATGTGAAAGAAATAAAAAATATGTGACTCGTTGTGTCCATCTTCATCATCAAACTGTGTCCCGCCTTGAATACTGCGCTCACGGCCCCTGTTTTTTTCGAAGCGTATTTGTTTGCCTATACCACAACAGCAGCTTTTAGTATACGATTATTTAGTTTTCCACCAATCTGCTCTTTCTCCATTGGTCATTACCATGGTTTTTGAGAGGTTCATCTGCAGCCCAACGTCTTTGTTGCTATTATTTAAAACCATTGTTTGTAGTTGGTCGGATGATTCTGACAAAAGGACTATGGCATCCGCAAATCGAAAATGGATCAGGTGTTTACCGTCTATAGGCCAGCGTTTTTCCAGTTTTGGTGAAAGCGGGTATCCTTGCCTCACGCCTCTTTTTATGGGGAAGCTATTTCTATGTTGTTTTGCCTTTTATTAACATAACTTTTACACATTTATAAAAGAAACATAGAAATAAGAAAACACTTTTTTAACGGATTGAAGCTATGTATTATTATAAACGTATAATTATTTTACATAATTTTAAATTTTCTCCGACGTTTCGTGTGCTTTACAGCGTGCGTGGTCACCGTGACCACGAAATAATTATAAGATTATAATAATACATAGCTTCGATCCGTTAAAAAAGTGTTTTCTTATTTCTATGTTTCTTTTATAAACGATTACAATGATATGTTATTTTTCTACTCCGTGCACATTTAGTCCAATCGAAACGCTCGGATGGACTTTAGTATCAAAAGTCTTTTTGTAGTCAATGAAATCGACATAAAGATCTCGCTGTTTCTCGTATTATACGTTATAATTTAATTATTTTATCAAGTATTTTATTTGCTCAAATACACTAACTCACAGATTTTCTTCCAGATCTGCACAAGGTACCTATCAAATAGCTATGGTCTAAAACGCCACATGGCAAGAGTACATAAAGATACAGTACAGAACTATACAGATGATCTAAAATGTTATACGTGTGAAGAGGTGTTTGCGTGGCCATCGCTACTACACACACACAATTGCATCCGGAATAATATACCAGACCCACCATTTAGTGATGCGAGGCCAGAAATTGAACTACAAGAGAGTGACGATTATTTTGAAATCCCACCACCCATTGTGGAATTGACAGTTTATGAAGAGTGCGTTATTCGGCCAGAGAAAATGTGTAATAGTGGTTCATACAAAATTGTCATGGAGGAAGTTCCTATTGAATTCTAATAATCTCGTAATCTACCAATAAACATGTGTCTCTCTGATTGTTACATCAAGTTTTTAAAACGGAATTAATTATGGGATATTCGAATTTTAAGATAAAAATAACATTTTCTTGGATCAGATCCCACAATCTGAAGTAATGTTAAGTGAACTTGACATATTAATACATATTATGTTAGTGTAAATATCAGTAGATGGTTATAACGGACTACCTTCATAGAATGTTGTCATTAAAATTTTTGGAATATCGGCTCGGAATGATCGTGGAATGCTGACCATAAGAAAACGTTCCAATCGGAATCGAAACTTAAAAATATAGTTGAATTTGTTATATCTGCCTGATAATTGAATATATTCCGATCTAGCTAAGATTATGTTTCTGTTATAATTTTTTTTTAATTTGTATTGTTTAACAATAGGAATATTTTATAGTCGGTTCTAATAATACAGATAGTGTGTTTGCTGGCTGAATATTGTTTTAATTTGCTTGAATTTGTTAAGTTCCTGTTCATTCTAAATCCAATAAGGAGCAAACTAAAGTGGATAATCGTGCTAAGTCCTAGCAAACTGTATTAGATTTTAATATGGAACTTAATTATATAATTTCCGGTTGTATAATCGAAAATGTTTAAATAATTTACTATTATTTAAGTATAAAGTATAAATTCAGTTGGAATCTTGTTTTTTTTTTCACATTCCTAGTTTAAATAAAACAATATTTCAAGAAAAAGTTTAATGTAAATAAAAACAGTTGAATTATAGAAAAAGTCAGCATTATTCTTCCCTAGAATTTGCAGATTTGGTTTGGTTCTTCAAGTCTTCGTAGGATATCTGGTTCTGAAATAAATATTGAGATAAATATTTCAGCGTTATATTGATTATCTTTGTGTATATCTCGAAACAATTATTGTTTCGCTGGGAAAGGAACGTACGAGTTAAACTCCGAGTACAATATTTCACGAATACAAATTCTTAAATATAAAATACAGTGCAAACTATAACAAATTTCAAGGGACCGAGCAATTTTTTTTCGTTATACGTAGGCAAGAGAAAAAATAACCAAATATAAGCAATTACAATAATTTCAAATTTTATTACAATCAATAGGTAAATTATTCTAAACACATATTATATTCTGTTCACTTTGCCTGACGTGTTTTGCTATGACAGGTATTATAATCTAAGAATAATGACACACGTGTTAATGCAATTAACAATAACAAAGGCGATACGGCTGTTTATAACCTCAGGTATCTTTCTTAGAAATTTCGGCACTACAAAAGGTTGTGTAAGCTGATTATAAAAACATTTACACTTAAGTATGTTGTTGAAGTCTAAATATGAAAATACTTCTACGTAATAGAGAATGTCTGTTGCGTTATAAAGAGTGAATTAATGAATGGGTTTTGTGTTAAACCAAACAAATTGAACTCATTTTTACGTTATAAACAGTTTTCACCGTACTATAATAATAAATTGGCTTGTAGCTACTAACACTATGGCTTATATCTGCAATTCTTTATAATTATCGTGTCTTTATATTCATATAGCATATTAAATGTTGGACTCATACCTCCCACATATCGTCTTCCCACTCTGGGAAGTGCTTCTTGAAGTTATCAGGCTCCCGTCCTTGCTTCACAGTTACCACAATGGCCGAGTCCACTGTGCGTTCCAAGCCGTCGTCAGAGATGTATTTCTGATAATAAAATGTATAACGGTTCAAAAAATTATTTATTAGTTTACAATCCAAATCTTACCTTGAAATAATACAGCAAACGAAAATAATAATGAAATATATAAATGATAAGTTTTCATTACAAACTAGCTACCCCCGCGAACTTCGTTTCGCCTTAATATGGTGTATTACTTAGTATATCTTAAGTAGTCTACATATCGTCATGTGGAACATTTTGCTATGCTACCCCATAGAGACTTCACTTTTGCGAAACAAAAACCTAAGGACTAGATTAGTTTTTTATATTTTTCCAATTATTATCTCCATAAAAACGTTCCTTAGAGTTCAAAGAATAATTTTACAAAAATACACGAATTGGTCATCCGTGTTCGAGTTTTCAGCTTAGGAACATATTTTTGATTGTAGCAATAATACATATATAGAAAAACTCATCTTTATTTCATTTCGTAAATTAAAGCCACAGAGTAAGAGTACTGTATACTGTATTACAAAAATAATCTCTCAGCATGACCAGTTACCAAATTATTGCAGTCTCAATACCTCAATTATCTTATCCTTGGCGAGTCTCGCTCTCACGGGTATCTTGTTTCCTCTCCACATGTATAACTCTTCACCGCCATCTAATATGTACACTCCGTCATCGGACAAGTCCTGAAGTTTATCAAAAATAAATTTTAGCGAAATTTAAGTCCTCGGTTGTGCGTCTGAGCTATATGCAGCAATGTTATGTATGCGATTAACACATTCTCGTGGAAAACATTGTGAGGTCTCGGAATCTTGCACTGACCCTAGATTCATATAGTCTAAGATCCGGCTGCAGGATTAGTGCGCTCATCGGTTATTTGCTAAAAACCAAATTTTTATGTATCAGGAGAATATATATCTAAGTTGCCTATCAAAATTTGGCCGCTAGTATTTTTGATTTTTGGGAAAAAAAATTCGTTCACGTTTTTATATAAAATATCGTCTACATCACGGCAATTTACAAAAAGATTTTAAAAAGTCACGGTTGCCGTTGCGCTCTTGGCCGCACTTCTTCGTAGCCAGGTGTAAACAGGTATGATTTCTATACATTTATACGTTTAATTATATATCAAATTGAATCATATATGGTTGCCTAATTAAATCGTGCCGCAAATAAGGTCTGTTAAAGATGATAAATATTTAAGGTAGAGTGAAAAAGAGTTAACGCGTAACATCATATTTTGTCAGACGAGGATAGCGATTGCCGGCTGTGCGACAAAATCAAACGTTTTTGTCATATCGGAGTCACACTTAGCATGTGAAGTTTAGACCCAAAAATACTTCACTTACGTAATTCTTTAAGTCGGCAAAACTTTGAAATACTAGGTTGACTAAAAACCTAATTGAGTAGATAACCATTTGTGCGTTTCATTTCTCTTTCAATTAAAACTGAATTGTTTCGCAGGGAATCGAACCCCTATCCCAGGTGTGAAGTAAGAAATTAGTCCGTTCAAACAGTATCGGGAATTTGAATTTTTTCAAAACTTATTTATTTATTAGGAAGTGCCGAACACTCCGAAGAGTGTGAAAAATGTTGGTCATGTGATGTCATCTAATATTACATTTGATTAAGGGTTGTTTTTCGTTTGAATGAAGGAAATCTAAGACTAAGAGGTTGTAGCGCCACTGGATTACATTAATATATTAAATTCTATTAAAAACATAATTCGCGATACATTTTTAACAGACCTCGTACGTGTGTTACACGGTATTTAAATTCTGAAAGAGAGCTATAACTAAAAAGTCTCACCTTTTGAGTAAAGTCAGGCGGTAGTTCTTCCAATTTCACCCTTCCTGAAGTGGAGACCGTGACAGCAGTAAGAGTCATAGGTGTTGTCACCCGGCGGCTTAATGCCTGTTGCCAACCAGACCTGCTTTCCAGCTCTTCAGGCGCGCCACCTGGAACCGAAAAAATACTGACAAAATTGAATGAATTTAAGTAAATAGTAAATTAAGAAATTACTATATATTTTAACACTGACAGGTTTTCTAACCATTTAAATATGGTATAACTTATAGATTTTTATACGTATCTGTATTAACTTTCTTGCAAAAATCCTCTTAAATTATCTTTGTCGCAAACAGTAAAGCATTTGAAACATTATGTACAAATAAATAATTTAATTAAATAATTTGGTTTTTGAAGTTATACTTCTTTAGGCGCGTTATGAAAAATTGATGAGAGTGAAATTTTACGATGCGCGCGCACCGTGATACAAAATTAACGGAAGATGCTACGGCATTGGACATAATTTAAAAAAAAAACATTCGAATAATAATAGAATTTATGTTACACTTAATGTAAGAGAATAATAATAAATATTTATTTACCTATTTAATTTTTAATAATGACTCCTTTTCCAGTCTTTTATTATTTAATTGTAATTAATTATTTGCATGCAATCAAAAACTATTTTTAATAATGCCAAAGAAGTATAACTTCTTACGCGCGTACACGTACACGCACCCTTTTTTTCCTTTGAATCAAATCAATGTTAATTTTTCCCCTCAATAATGTGAAGTTGAATCAGGAATCCTGCTCGCCAACAGGCGATAATTGATGTCCCGGCTTCCCTACTCTCTTTAATTTGAAGTGTTTATTCTCAGATCTATCAATCAGTCATCGTTGATCTATCAGTCAATTGTTTTTTTTAATGTTTTGGACAATAATAGACTCAAGTCGCTCACTCAAAAAAGATTACGGACTTAATTTCGATACTAGAATTTGTGAATAGGTATGGATTTCATTGTTAATACATAATAATAATATATAAATAATAAATCACTATTTTGATCAAACTCTTATTTACATGAACCCCCACACCCTCTTGGTTTTTAAAAGCTTGTTATTTTGAAAGTTATATCTGGTCCCTTAGTTTCAAATTATCGAAAGTCGACCGTACTTATGACTACAAATTTCTAATTTCAGTTATGAATTAAGATTTTCTTTCTAAACCATACCAAGAGCCTCCCAGAACTCCTCAGGTTCCTCGCCCTGGTTAACAGGAGTCACCTCTCTCTCATCTTTCACAACTTGTTTGGTGAATTCCAAAGCTACTTCTTGTTCGCTTTCATTTGATTCCTAAAAAAGTCATAAATAACATAATACTCAACTGGCAAGAATACGATATTTATATATAAGTTTTTTTTAAAGAAACCGTCACCGTGACCACGCACGCTGTAAAGCACGCGAAACGTCGGATAAATTTAAAATTATGTTAAATAATTGTAAATTTATAATAATACATAACTTTAATCCGGTAAAAAGTTTTTTCTTTAAATGTGTAAAGGTTATGTTAATCAAAGACAATACTAAGTTTTTTTTGTCAATCAATCTAATAGGCGAGTAGGTGATCACTGATCAGCCTCCTGTCCCTGACGCACGCCGTCGACTTTTTGAGTCTAAAGCAAGCCGGTTACCTCACGATATTTACCTTCATAACACGATACTTATTTTTGCCGTACCTTTCCATTCCAGACATAAATCGCGGATGACGTCTCAAAAATAAAGACGGCGTCATCTTGCAACGATTTTTCACTTTCGCGCACTTGAATTATTCTCATGTCGTCAAAGTCAGCCCCTTCCACCTTAAAACATAATTTAAGTAATAGTTTTACAGCTAGTTCTAATAATAAATCGAAAAACGTAAACAAATCAACTGCATATCACCGTCTCCAAGTGCAACATAGAACTTGTTCTAGCCAAGACGTTACGAAAGAGCAGAATAAGAATTTCAATAAAATCTAAATAACGTGTCCTAATGTATGGAAGTCAAACGTGGGCACCAACAGCATCCGAATAACAAACTTATAACATGCTAACACGCAATAGAAAGGAGCAAGGTAGGAATAAGAAAAGCTGATAAATGGAGAAACCAGGATCTTAGACAGTTTACAAGAGTAAGGGACATTGGAACGACTATTAAGAATCTGAAGTGACGGGGCAAGCTATAAGGGGTAGAAGGAGAATGGTCCAGTGATCTGACACAATGGCGTGGTAGAGGACGACCACATAAGTGATGGGACGACATAGTCACGATGGGAAATTTATGGCGTTATGAAAGCTAGAAGTATGGGTGGGGTTTTTGCCACTTCGCAAACGGCTGAGGTGGGTATTAGATATAAGATCAGAATATGACCTAAAGTTCGAATTCGACTTTGTTATTTTATTTTTTATTAAAAGAAAAAGGGTTGTATGCACTATTAACGAAGCATAATTATTAAGAACTCACCCTGAAGAGTCGCAAGCCATCGTCGTCGTATGAATTGTTGAAATTGTCTGGTTTATATTCTTCATCTTTGTTGCCATACAAAATGGCTACTTTTCCTGTAAAGAAAAAGCCTGTTAGAACGAGTAATTGAACCGAATTCAACAAATAAACTGAAAGATAATTAAATAAGAGTTTTAGTCTTAGCTTTATATTTGCCCGCATGTTATAGGCGAAAGGAGTTTTTGACAGGAAATCCAAAGTGAAGCTAAGGCTTTCGTAGTTTCATACGCGGGCGATTACCTAAATCGCCGATGTTGCGACCGGAGAGTCGCAGGCACTCTCTTTAGACTAGCATTTTCATAGCATTTCATGAAGTAGTTGTAATACAGAGTGTTTTTTTTTTTAATTCAATATTATTTAAAATATCCCCATGACTCAGGCACCGCACGACTAATATTCTTCACCCTAAAATAACTAAATAAGTATACTCGTAAATTATTGTTCAATATTTAGAGATTTTAAGATTTCTTAAATGATTCTGAATAATCTTAGCTACATTAATAATATAATTATTAATAATTTTATAATAACGGCACATCAGAAGACAAGAATAATTAAATACCTTTCAATATCTTTAAGAAATGTTTTGTCTCTTTCCCCTGTGGGACTCTCACAACGTTGACCTCTCCATCTAAATCTTCTTCCAGTTTTGACACTAAATCGATTCCAGCTAATTTGCTTTCGGAAGTTGCATTTTCACCCTTCAAGGAATTAAATTTATATACATATATGTATGTAGAAATTCATATTTCATTACGATTTAGACAAATGTAAGCATTGGCCATTTTAGTCAGCAAAAGTAACAATTATTTAATTCTTAATTTTATCCGGCTTAAACTGCACAGAACCAACAAGCTATCCACTACACACCACTATGTGGCAACATTGGCATTCGATATCGAGATCGTCCTTTCTGTCCGTAGTGACAATGTGACCAAGATACTTGAAGTTCGTTCCCTACATTTATAGAAGTATTTATCATTAATAAATGCGAGATATTGTCCGGGACCTTATTGTACCTCGATACCAGAATTTCAGTTTTCTTCTTATTAAACTGGAGGCTGTATGAAACAGCATACCTTTCTCAAGTTTTCTCAATCATTTAATAGACACTGATCGGAATCATATCATTAGTTTAAATTTCATATTTGCAAATCTGCCATCTAACTGTAAGCCTACTCGAGGCCTGCGCAGTTTCAATATTCATTTACGTAAGTATTAAATAGATCAGGTGTGTCAGCCTATATTGACTTGACACCCCATGCTAAACGATACTTTCTGACATTGGTTGCTTTGATTTTTAAACCATAAGATTAGCAGGTTCACTATACTGCGGTCTTTCTTTGCGGCCTACCCTTGGGGGCCTATGTGCTTTTCGTCGGAAGCTCCAGATTCCGTCGCTGCCTCTGTCGCCGAAGTGGTTCTGCAGGGCATGGAACTCTTTATTCCATTTTCTGCGGTGCCGATCGGTGGCAAGTCTCAGCCCTGGTTTAAACGTTCTTGCAAGGCGGCCTCGTGCCGAAAGCGAGAATGCTTTAAGGCATGGGCGGAAGCGGCGAAATCTCGTGATGCCAATACCAGCGAATTTAAAAAAGCATATAACTCAGCCTCCAAGTCCTTCAAACGGGAAATCACTAAGGCAAAGTCAGAGCACATTGCCAGATTTGGCGAGAGATTGGCCCAACTCCCTTCAGGGACTCGAGCCTTCTGGTCTGTTGCCAAAGCTGTCCAAGGGAATTTTTGTCAGCCCGCCATTCCACCACTGCACAGGGAGGATGACTCGCTGGCCCACACTGCGAAGGAGAAGGCCGACCTTTTGGGCTGTCTCTTCGCGTCCAACTCGACTTTGGATGACCGAGGAAGATCACCACCGACCATTTCGCGGTGTGATTCTTCGATGTCGGAAATTACATTCCGGCAACGTGCTGTCCGCAAAGCACTATCTTCCTTGGACATTCATAAGTCGAGCGGGCCGGATGGTATCCCCCCAATTGTGCTGCGTACTTGTGCTCCTGAGTTGGCTCCGGTCTTTACGCGCCTTTTCCGGTACCTGTACTCGCTTGGCACTCTCCCGAAGTGCTGGAAAACCGCTTCGATACATCCGATCCCTAAAAAAGGCGATCGCTCTGATCCGTCCAACTATCGCCCAATAGACATAACCTCCTTGTTCTCCAAAATAATGGAATCCATTGTTAATTGCCAGCTCTTGAGGTATCTAGAGGGCCACCAGCTGATTAGCGATTATCAGTACGGCTTTCGTCGTGGTCGTTCGGCTGGTGACCTTCTTCTATACCTTACACATAGATAGGCAGAGGCAATTGAGTCCAAGGGGGAGGCGCTAGCGGTTAGTTTGGACATAGCGAAAGCCTTCGATCGGGTGTGGCACAGAGCACTGCTCTCGAAGCTCCCAGCCTATGGGCTACCCGAGAAATTATGCGATTGGATCTCCAGCTTTCTGGCCGATCGGAGCATCAAGGTCGTCATCGACGGAGCATGTTCCGACCTTAAACCCGTGAACGCGGGGGTCCCACAAGGCTGTGTTCTATCCCCGACCCTGTTTCTTCTGCATATCAATGATATGTTGCAACTTAGCAGCATTCATTGCTATGCGGATGACAGCACTGGGGATACTCTTTACACTGGCCGGGCAGGTATTTCTCGGGCAGTTGTCGATGAATACCGGAACAAAGTTGTGTCTGAAGTCGAAACTCTACTACGTGGAGTCTCAGACTGGGGCAGACTAAACCTAGTCCAATTTAACCCCAAGAAGACACAAGTTTGCGCGTTTTCCGCTAAAAAACACCCTTTGTCGCTACTCCTCTTTTCGAAAACACTCTTCTTAAAGCCACAGCCAGCATTGGAATACTTGGCGTTGACATATCGAACGACGTTCAGTTTCGCGGTCACTTGGAGGGAAAGGCTAAATTAGCCTCCAAAAAGCTTGGTGTGCTCAGCAAGGCGAGACGGTACTTCACTCCGGGCCACCGCATGCAACTATATAAAGCGCAAATTCGGCCCCACATGGAGTACTGCTCTCACCTCTGGGCGGGGCCTCCCCATTACCAGCTCCTTCCACTTGACCGTATTCAACGCAGAGTGGTTCGAATCGTCGACGACCAATCCCTCTCCGAGCGGCTTGATCCTTTGGCGTTGCGTAGAGATGTGGGATCACTCTGCATCTTCTACCGCATTTACCATGGAGAGTGTTCAGAGGAGTTGTTCGGATTAATACCTGCAGCTGAGTTTCGTCATCGGACGTCGAGGCAGAGTACGAAATTCCACCCGTATCACCTCGACGTCCGCCGTTCCACAACTGAGCGTTTTTCAAGGCAGTTTATGCCGCGCACCACCACTTTGTGGAACCAGCTGCCCACTGAAGTATTTCCGAACCAATTCGACTTAGGGTCCTTCAAGAAAAGAGCGTACCAATTCTTGAAAGGCCGGCAACGCACTCGCGAGCCCTCTGGCATTGAGAGTGTCCATGGGCGGCGGTATCACTTAACATCAGATGAGCCTCCTGCCCGTATGCCCCCTGTTCTATAAAAAAAAAATATATTTAGACATGACATTTTTTACTTACTTCATTATATCATCTGCAATGATTCAACAACATACTTTTTTATTAGAAGCAATGTTCATTCAAACTTACAATCCACAAATAGATGACATGTGTTTGCCCATCTCCTTCATACTCATACACAACAACATAGACATCGTTCTGGTATAGAACTGAGAACTCTGCCAACTGTTCTGTTAGGTCCTCGGGCTCTTCTGATGCTCTGGAAGATAAAACTTGATATAACTTACCAATACTAAATACAACAAATTTTTATCATTGTTTTGTATTTTGCAGTGTCAGTGACCCTTCTACCCCACCATTGTAGTACTCTCAGCCCCGATATAACGGCTACCTCGTACCGCACCGTTGTGATACACGCAGTCCCGAAATTGTGGTTCTATAATACCCCGCCATTGTGGTAGTAGCAGCCCCGACATTGTGGTTATCTCATACCTCGCCAATATGGTACTCGAAATCGCGACATTGCGCATGGTGACTACCTCACCTGCTCCCTTTTCCATTCGGGTGCTTGAACGCATCAGTCCTGTGATCGGTCGTCTTCGATTGATTTGTTTATTAAATCCGGTCTTGACGAGTCAAGAATATATATAAAAGATTGCTTAAACCACGGCGTACAGCCGGCGAATTCTAAGTGCTTCGTCATAAGACCCGCAAGAAAAAAACTAATAATAAGAAAATAAGCAAATGTAGCTCTTCCAGCGTCTCTCATCTGCTCACAAATCTATCAGTCTGGTGGGTCCTTAGAATCCTTAGAACTTATTATGTTATAATGCGTGGTCAGCACCCGACCCCGGCTTGAGTTTGCCTTCTCGCGTCAAATTTTCCAAGGAGCTGGGATGATCCTCTTTGTAAATCTAAATTCTAAAACTTATCCGGTCACACCTCAATTGCAGACCGCGCAAGGTTGGGTCTAGGTAAGTTGACTATGAAGATTACAGGTTTAACGCTTATCGCTTAGGGGTACCCATATGTACTCCGCATAAGTGTCCCTGTGTGCTTTGAAGTGGACACCATGGCCTCCATTGCCAAAAGGGTGTAGGTCATTTTTCTCACCACGTCGCGCTCAACGACATCATGCGCCGCTCTCTTGTCTTCGTCAATGATCCAGCCGACAGGCATTGCAAGCGGCCGGATGGGATGTGTTTGATCACGTGGAGGATTGGACGGGCTTTGGCATAGGATGCTACTTGTATAGACACGTTAGCTGGCGCGACCGCAGAGCAAGAGGAAAATAATAAACGGCTCAAAAGTCTTTCCTCCAACTTTAATTTTGTTCCCTTTAAAGTAGACTCTTGGGCCCAAGTGCACAGTGCACAGGCGATAATTAAAGATTTAAGTTGTCGCCTGGTTTATAGTACCGGTGACTTCAGAGATGGTGCTTTCCTCACAGCGAGTAAATGCTGCCAGCATTAAAGGTACACTGCATAGAGAACAAACTTTTAAAAGTTGTTTTAATTTTCTATTTATCAATTATGATTAGTATGTAGGCTAAGACTGTAATACGTAATGTAAATACGGTATATTTGTGGATATAAGAATATTAATAAATTTAAACCTAAAGATGGTCACTTGTCCACTTCCATCGTCCGGCATGTATCCGCGAGCGGTGGCGCTCTTCCCGATATATTTTGCAGCATTTGCTGATTCATCAGCGTCACTTGAGAAGTACCCAGCATCTGTGTCACATTAAAAATTAAATTTGTTTTTATATATTATATATAATTTTAATTCTTAAACATCTGATGATGTCAGATACATCGCCAAAATTTTGGGCAATTATTACCAGTAAAATGGCATATTCATAAACAAATAAGTGTAAAATATAAAGGAATGTTTTTTATATTTAAATGTTATAACGTTCATAAGTGTACGAAAGCTACCTAAATGATTTTATTTTTTTGATGACCCAAATATGTTTAGAACATCTCACAAACTGCCTTCCATGAGCGCTGCTTGCTAGTACTAGATATAACATACCGAACTCTGAAATCCTGGCCCTGACTGATGATGAGGAGGATATGGTCTGCCAGCTGTGGAAGTACTGTTTGAAGGTGTTGCTTTCTACACCCTCGGAGATACGAGTTACATTCAACTGCAAGGTTATTTATTTTAAATAAAAATACATAACAGCAGTGGAATAATAAAGAAAATTTACCATGAACTCTCGTGAAATATTTTATCTCAGGATAATAGGTTTGTATGTGTACATAGTTAGTAGATTATATATATGAATACATACCCACGAAGGATACTCCTTAACATCAAGATACTTTTGTGCTATATCGTTGTAGTTCCTCCTAACTTCGATGTCCACATCGCGTCCAAGCCAAATAAATACGCCCGCGTCTGGAGTGTCCAATATGAAGATTCCCTAAAATATTGAATTTATTAAGAAAATAAGTGATTTTCGCTCCATCAGGTATCCATTTTCAAACAAATTCGTTTGGCGCTAGTGGATGACGCTGTGGCAAAGTGTTCATTACACTGTTTGAACCTTTTTCCCTCTTTTTACTAGCGTAAATACTAATACAAAGAAAGGGATTGAAATAGATAGAGGCCGTAATATATGGTTAATACTTCATATATTTTGCATGCAATAAAAAATCAAAGATATAAAAAATACTTGTACGAAAAAGGGTTAGGATTTCAAGTCGAGACTTAACGAACTACGAACTATCATTCCAAGTAAGTCCAAATGCAATACGTTTTTGATACGTGGAAGGCATTCTTAGCGCTAAATCTCGACCTCCGTACAATTTACTTTATAGAATTTTTTTTTAGAATTTATCTAAAGTAATTATGCCGACCTATCTAAACAAAAAACAATTATCGTAAATCGAAATATGATATTGCAAACCTAGTCTTACATACAATAAACCACGACCCTGAAAAATCACTGGAAGGGCCTTTGATAGAATTTCGAACTGTCAATCTCCCATTTAGCCTCACTATTCAGACGCAAGGGATCCTTGAAATCTTCGGGGCGTAAAGATTTAGTAGGAAGAATTTCTTTTGTGTTGTACCCACATCTTATATCTCTGTAGCTTCTTTTCCTTAAATAATAATAGACAATGTTTATACTTACATCAGATTCAAGCTGATTTTGTTTGAAGGGTTTCCTAAGTGCATCCAGCTCTATATCTTCATCATAGAGCACCTTGTATAAGTAAACAGAAGATACGCTGTCTCTTGTGTAGGCCTAAAATGAAATGTTTTTTACGGTTTCAGAGTTAAATTTTGACATTACATAACATTTTTATAGAGATAACGGATTCAGATGATCCCATGGGTTCCTACGATCTCAGGTATGAAAATCGCACTCTCAAGCCACAAGGGCAACACTGCTTCAGTCTTTGTATAGTCAATGTAGAGTAACGATATTTACTAACTAGTAAGTGCACTATATGACTACATGAGTCCAATGTAAAAATATAGACCGATACCGTACGCGACTCTGCGAAATTCATTAGTAGATACATAATATTAACAACAAAAATTAATCAAACTTACAACAATAGATTCTGTGTCTTCATCAACAAGATCATCAAGAGAACCAGAACCGAGGGCGTCGAAGAACTGGTCGTAGTCTGAACTTGAAGAGAACTCATCTGCGAATTATAAATAAATCTTCCTTTATCTATAAATGTTTTTTTATTAATTATGTTATACGATATATTGAGAATGAGAATATAAGTGCTTGAATGTAATCTAGGAGACTGGGTTCGGGGTTTTTCTTTGATTTTCTTATTTGGTGATTACGTCAACGGTAATTATTTACTTTTTTACACATATTACCCACACATTGTCAATGCTTGAAAACGAAATGCATTTTCAAGGATTCCTACAAATAATTAATACTAATACTATACTGAAGAGGGCAAGACAACATTTCCAGGAAGCTCATTCCATAGATCACCCTGTTTGGGAAGAAGTATTAAACATCTTTGGCATCTTCTTCTAGGCAGTGCCATTACATTATACTGTATTTGAGTGTCTTAGATGCTTGTTTTCGTGGAATGTATGTGGAGGAAGGATGTTGTGCGCTTTCTACAACCTAAAGGGACGGACCGAACCAGGTCTAACCAGTCTACCAGTCTAACCACTGACTGGACCGAAGGCCCCAGTGGCTAACTTCAAAAAGTTGTATATTTCCTTAGCGGCCGGAATAACTTCGTTAGCGCATTTTACGGTATGACGGCATCACAGCGATCACGAGGCGTAGAATGTACCTAGATGTGAACATTATAATAGCCAGATAGAATGTTTATTTCGTTCATATTTGCCCAATGTGCGCTAGCGTGAAAGTCTAAGGGGCCTATATTGGAATTATTAATTATTTTTTATTTTCCAATTATTACGTACCAATAATTTCAATAGTGGCCCGTCCATTATGCTCCTCATCTCTCAGGTTATTAGCGACACTTATGATCTTTCGTCTCTGGGTAGCACGTGCTCCTTCGGGAACCAGCACATAGATATCATGTTCCACTTCCAGAATGAAGCAGTTGTCTCTAGTCAATGATGAGACGTCGGCTGGTACCTTGAAATCCATTATTTATATTAAAACTGAAACCTTTATTGTTATGCGAGGACTAGACATTAGAGAAACTTGTTTTATCCGTATATAAATGCGAAATTATTACATTATCTACATTAATTATTCTCATTTCGACTGCAGCAACGGTACTCTGTAATCTAGCAGCCTACAATCTCCAACGATACACAGTACGATGACGTACCCTGAATCGCGCTAACAAAGTTCCGATAGCACAGCATATCAACCTTAGCAAGCGGCTTTTTGGGCTAGTCTGTGGTTAGACTGTTTGAGGATCCTCCGTTAGGTCGGAGAAAGCGTAGATTATCCTACCTCCACAGAAACATCAGCGCTATGGATATTGATTATTGATACAACTACATCGACAATGTATACGTCGCGATTGGTGTTATTAGAAGTTACAGAGTACCGGTGCAGTTCTTGCAATTAGCGTAATCAACAAACGCTAATCATTGTACCTCGCGTAACTATGCAAGTTTTTACGTGGTAGCAAAGGACCTAAAACTAAACTGTGCAGCTAACAAGACTCTTATTAACAGTAACAATACTAATGCAATCAAAACATAACTTGTAAAAAAACATTGATTGATGTAATACCAAGTCGGTTATTTTATTCAGTCCCTACTTATGGTACCTTCTGTCTTCATTATTACGTAATTAACTAACCTAACACCTTATACTAATCATATCAATATTACAAATCTTTTATATTAAAAATACATTTACTTGGCCATCGCATGAAAACACAATGTATCTCACAACTTATACAAATTATAATACATTAGAATGTTAAGTGAAATTAAAAACTCAGGCTTATAATTTTATTAAGGATAAAATTATAAGCCTGAGTTTTGGGTCGAAGTGGCCTGAACTGTTTCAAGAAAAGGAGTAAGGCCGTGCCATTTTTTTAATTTACTTGGCGAGCGCACTGCCGTGATAATTATTTAGCATCATCTATATACGTATACTTGTATCGAACGATATCATAGAGGTAAAAAAGACGAACAGAACTACGTTCGCGTGACTTAATTTACAATGAGAATATATTTCTAAATTAATATATTAAATAATTAGTTATACCTCTGCGATCCTCATATTTTCGCAGCCTGACAACTTGAGTAATCTCTTTTCTGCGCCCGCGTTGATCTCCACTTCATTGAAGCCTGACTCGTTGCCACCTTCAAGATATCTGATAGCTGAAAAAACTGTACTGCTTAGATTCAGACACGAAAACAATTGCGAACTATGATTCTCATATTTAATAAAATTTTCCCTTTCTTTTTATTATTTATTTCTTTACTATTCATCACCTTATACAACATCATACATAAGTATAAAAAAACGACGGGTTGCACTCCGGGAGTGCCGGCAGAAGTGAAAACTTGAATATTAACGTGAATTAAAAATGTTATTAAAGAAAAAATGTGAATTTTTGATATTTTGGAACGGTTAGGGAATAATTTTGCACGAATTGCTTTAATTATCAGTATAAAAGTATTATCATTTATGTGGTAGAATACAATATTTATTTATTGCGCTATCGTACACAAACATGACAATTTATATTACATTAAATAAGCTGTCTACTCTCCATCCGTCTTACGAAACCTACACAAAATAATTCAATTAGGAAAATTCACTATTTTTTAAGTTGCACATTTTTTATTCGCGTCAGTCTGACCAAATCGTTAATAATAAAGCTTTAGACGTTTCGCAAAATTAAACCTTGACTTATTGACTTAAGGTCCAATTCCACATGCATCAATGTATCTGAGGAAAGTTCATAATCCTTTAAAAACCTATCGCGATCCTATCCTAACGCGATTTAAAAAATTTTTACCCATTCCAAAAAAGTGTACAACGCCGCTAAACTAACATGCAACTATAACTAAATAAAATAAAGTAAAATCTAAAGAAAAAATATAAATAATAATATGTATAAACAAAAATGTAAAAATTAATATAATATATAAGTAGTAGCTACTAACGAGGCAGAAGAAAAATTATCAAAAAGAAGATTTTTAAATAAATTGAAAGACTGAGCTCGTCTGATATCAATTGGTAAGAAATTCCATAGCAATTATTCAATAGCATCGATTCATATAATATAATATATGAATCGATGTTTTTTTTACTCTTCGTAATTGTTATAAGTGCTTGTTTATATGAAATGTCATGTATTTTTGTCTATATGTAGAGATACAAATGTATCAGTGAGCCGAGCGTTGGCAAGCGTTTGTACCTAAGCAAAATAAAATACGTTAAAATCGTTCGCACGATAGTCAACTTCGCAGTACGTTATGACTCTGAATCTCACACATAAGGCCGACGAGTTTGTTTAATTAAAATTTAATGAAACACTGTTTTGAATTAGCGCATTTAGTGTTCTAACATAGTTCTCAATAGCTCTTTTATTGAAGAATAACATCCTACTAACCGGATCATGATTTAAATATGTTTTTTCACTCACCGGCCCGGCACCAGCACCGAAGCCGGCGACATTCCAGTTCAGTTTTGCCACTGAGCAGACGTTGATGCCGGTTTACACCCGTTTTTAGGTAACGTCACATTTTGGATTCATCTAATACTGACAGAAAGACCGTAGTCACACCCTCATTTAGTTTTGTAGCACGAGGAAGTCGTCTCTTTCGTCGCGCGCAGCTCTTCGCTTTTGCCGCGATTTAGAATTCACGTAGTCGCTCTTCTGCGTTGAACTTTCACCTGCATCGCGCTCCAGCTGAACATTCTCTTGTGACGGAGAAGATCTCTTCATTATGTACTACTAAAAATTTTAGTTTTCTTAATACTTCAAATTTTTCCCCGCTATCTATATTATTTCATCTTCCCAGGTTTCTGCTGAGCATCCTGTTTTTTCTCTTCCCACTGGGCCATTCCAAGTAGGGGTTTTTTGACCGAACTGTCATCACAAACGCGGGCAAAGTGACCGATTATAGCTTTAACTTTTTTGAGTGTGTTATTTTGTTATTTTTGTAAGGCTTTGTACACTTTTTTACACTGTTTTTTACTTTGTCTTTAATTTTCCACCGTATAAAAGTTCAGTTGAAAATAAGACACACATCTTCACAATTCTTAGACATAATCTATGTTTTAAACGATTACTTATACGAAATTAAAAAAAAAATAAACATACGCGTCGAATACATATATATTTTCTCCTTCGGTTTTTGGAAGTCGGTGAAAAAATTTAAATGTTCTCTTTTCTTTTAATAAAACACTATTTTGACCGGATTGAAGTTATGTATTATTATAAATTTACAACTATTTAACATAATTTTAAATTTATCCGACGTTTCGCGTGCTTTACAGCGTGCGTGGTCACGGTGACCACGCACGCCACCATGTTAAATAGTTGTAAATTTATAATAATACATAACTTCAATCCGGTCAAAATAGTGTTTTATTAAATGAATAAAAGTTATGTTAATCAAAGACAATACTATGTTCTCTTTTCGATTTATATCCGGTAATATACATTAATTGTTACGCCAGGAAGCAAACCTCGAACCTTTAAATTGCAATATGCGTACAAAACATGGAGGCTGTAATAACAATTAATACATATGTACGTACCGGGTTTAAAATACCCCACAAATTGACTGGACTCATGCCCCTGGACCTCTCTATGCTGAATCGCTCGACCGCCGAGCTGGTCATCCAGGGTCACTGTAAGAATGGCAGCGGCCCCACACTTGTCCTGAGTGGCATTGACGCCAAGCCAGAAGTGAGCATCGTAGTTTAACGTTGAAGTGTTGTCGCCAGATGTCTGAACCGTAAATAAGAGTTTTAATTCAAATTCAAAAGTCAAAAATCATTTATTCATATAGGTTACACTATGTAAAGTAATGAACGTCAAAAAAAGAAATATACATTAAATGTTTCTAATTTTACATTTACTGCCAGTTCTCAAATCAATGGCGTAGAACAGAAGAGATAAAATGGCAATAAACTCTCCGCCACTCTTTTTAATCGCCAAGTTTTTTTTACACAAAGTTTGTAAGGAGCTGCAATCATTACACCATGTTCCACATGATATCTTAACTAATAAATAACAATAAAATAAATTAAAGACAAAGATTTGTCCTCTATCTGCAGGAGGCATGGTGAAATAGGAGCATGCACTTACATTCTCGTGGGAACAACACGCAAATACATAGTCGAAATAGCTAACATCACCGAATACACGAATTCAAGTACGACCAGTCACCACAAGTAGTGAAATTTGTAATGAATTTCGTATATATTTTAATAATCATCATCATTGCTGATGATATATACAATATTCCCACTTAGCACGATATAAAAGCGTGTTTAAATGGACGGAAGTATCCTAAAACTAATCTGGAGAAGGCCTATACCCTAGGTCAAGATAGAGTTCCTACCCTGACCTAAAGACCCAACCAAGTACTGAACTGTAGCTTCAGGCACTGCGTATCCAGAAACAGCCACCAATAAAACCCGAGCCGCCTAATCCACTGCAAGTGTAAACACAAGAAGCCGCTACCAGCATCAGCAACTCTATTGTCTGCACGGATTTTTTTAAATAAATCATCATTCTGGACCTCCGTAGTCCGTTCTCACCGAGCACATCTCTACAGAACTATATGTATAACGTTCATTCTCAATTAACTTTTATGTATTTTTTTGTGTTGTAAATATCTGATTTTTGTAAGGTTTGAAAAATACAAAGGCTTAATCATGGGGTGGAAATAAATATTTAGCTTTTTTCAGGTCTATTAAGACCTCACAAACCTTACCTTTAACACGATGTAAGCATCTCCATTGTAGAATTTTCCATATTTTGTGCGCTCAATCAAAACAGGTTCGAATTTCTGTATAAAGTTATAATTAAATTAATATCAGAGTAGGTACAAGTTAAGAGGACAAAATATACAAATAGGAAGTCTTAAGAAGTGCCTAAGTTAAGCTTTTGCATATTTGTGTGTAATGATAATATTATTATGAGTGTCACGTAAAAACTACTTTTGAGGAAATATTAAAAATTGTATGAAAATTAAAATTTCCCTCCAAATTAGTATAATTTACGAATAGCGCCAAATCTGTGCATGAACTTCATCAGGCGCATCAGTTACATTTAAGCTTCTATGTGAGATGATGATGCCTTAAAAATTGCAGGCCCGTTGGTGGTATCTATATCGAAGATGCTATCATTAAAATTATATTCTCGAAACGTTCATAGTTTTAATAGCTATATCGATTTGGTCTGTGATTCTATTTTTAAAATTCAGTGTCATGTTTAGAAACGTAGTTCGTGTTTTAATGAATTACGGCTATGGTTAATTACCTCATGTATGTTCTAATCTGCGTTTTTATCAACCTGTGCGATAAAGAGAGCAATCAATGATAATTAACAGAGGAGTTACATTTTCCTTTATTATCGACAAGCATATATCCACACGGATACAAAACTGTCTCTTGATAAAGAGCATTAAAACCTAGTTTAAAACCACTATGTTAAAACGTACAGACCGCGGAAAGGAACATTGGTAAGGGTTTATATGTAAACAATAACTCATCCCCGCAACTTCAATAGACCTTTTTATATTGGCCACTACCTAATAATGATTTGTTATTAATTATTATGGTGTTAATAAATGTTTTATTGAAATTCATTTACTAGTGGGCGAGATTATACGTATACATACTATTTTTGTTTTAAATATCTGTTTAGATCATATATCAAGACCATAAAACATTACATTATTTAAACTATAATAAATAATACTGCATACAAATTACCCAACAATAAAATTGACCAACTTACGTCTATGGTCCATATCTCCAAGCCCGGTCCCGCTCCCGCTTCAGCAAATGCCGGGTGTTCCATTTTCAAATTTTACCGCGAGAACGTTTTCAGTTCAAAATTTAATTTAAGCGATTGAAATACTAAATAAAAATCATAAATATTTTATTTGTATTTTTACATTTAACACGACGAAGGCGTCCTATCGAAGAATACTAAGTTAGTACTAGTGACTCATGATAGATAATAAAATCGATGCTTATCGCTTATCGTCCATTCGGAGAATTATTTTGTAAAAACACGGCATAAACTAATTTTCCTGGACACTTTTACTTAGAAAAATTAAATAAGTCACAGACTCACAGTGAACTTTATTATAGTCGAATAATTTATGAAAGTGCTTAGAATGAATTTAGGGAAGTTTAATATAAATACTATCTTTAACTTCTATGATTATATGATAATGCCATATTATATGATTGTAAAATTGTGTTTAAATGCGAATTCTTAAGGTTCATAATAAAAGTTACAAGAGGGGTCTAATACCTAGTTATGAGCAGTTTTATAACTTGAATATGTTACGTTATCTAATCTCGTACATAGTAGATTGAACGTTAAAACTTATTGTAGATGAAGTTAATAATATACGTTCAGTTAATCCAGAGATTACCCCCTAGAACCTCAGAAACTTTACCTCTTTATAATATTAGTATAGATAAAAATATATAGTTACAATAGGAAACAACTTTGAAATAAAACACATATTATCAACAATAAAAGCATTTATTCTAACCGAAAGTATTCTAACAATAATATGGCGATACATTGCACATGACACAACAGAGATCAATAATAGCAAGAAACCATAAAAGAAAAATAGCGATGGCAATACCAAACCGTAATCAATATAGGAAAGATAAAACAGTGCTAGAATGAATAATACCTACCAAAGCTGTAATAAAAATATGGCAAGCCCCAAGTCTGCTATTTTAGACATTCTAAACTGTCTGTCAAACTAAGATGACACAGCAGTTTAAATAGATTTTGGGAAATCTGTAGGGTAGTTTGCAAAAATCTTATGTACCCTCATAATAATATTTAAATTTGAAATTATTTGGCGGCTGTAGCTATAGGTAGGTTATCCTTCCTCGTGGCAAGTATTTTCATTGTACACAGATTCATATAAATCAGAATTCACCCAAAAATATTTTTATAGAATATATTTTTTTTATATACGTTTATCAAATCACTGATTAATCACGACATCATTTCGAATTTAATCAATTTAAAAAGTATAAATCAATCTATTGATAAGCTGTGTTATATTTATTTGATAATATAATTGCTGTATACTATCAAATATATTTGATAGTATACAGAGGTGGCTTCCACGTCTCTTCCTGTTACGCAGAGCTATCTTTTCCAAAAAAAAATCTCTCTCAGTGTTTAGATCACATATTAGGTAAGAATTCTGTTAGTTAGCAACGGTAATTATGTATAAAGCACGCAGGGTTTGCCTGTTAAAGGGTGTACAATCAGTTTTTATTGTTATATTTGTATGTTCCTGGATTTTATCGTAATGCAAATAGGCAAACATTTTTTAAATGAATAACATATTGAAACAGCAGACTTCGGGATTAACACTAAAAGCCCCCGTCAATTCGTTAACAATCCAAATTAATAATAAAAATAAAATCTATGACTAGTCTTAATCTATCGACAAAATACAACAGCACAAAAACAAATACCAATTGGTTATACACTTCAACACTTTGACGTTTCATATTAAAATAGAAAGTATGGTTTAAAACCATTAACATTTTTAAGGAAGTCTACATCATCAGAACCATCGACGATAGTCTAAAATGATCAGGTCAACAGACAATATACCAAAAATCATTAGCCAACTGTCACAGAGATTAACCCTCTTTTTAACTCAATTTTTTTCTATGTTACTCTTGTGTCTTTTTCTGTCATATTGTGTTTACGGTATGATGAAAAGAGAAATGTACTTTAGATAAAGCGGTGCTTAGATGATTTATTCATAAAAAGAGGGTTACATTCTGAGACAACGTGAAGCTCAATCGCATCTGTCAAATTCTGATATGATTTTGAAAGATGGAACAGATATTTTTCGCCTAGACCTATCTTTGAATCTTAGCGAATTTTAACTTCAGGCTACATAATCAAAACCCATTGACGGTGACAGCCAAATAATCAAAGTCTTGTGTCAATTTGAGAGAAACTTGTCTGTGGATAAATATGCGAGTGTTTTTTTTAATATTAAAGCATAATGGTATGTCTTTTAAATGATTCTGTTGCTTCACAAGCGTTTAAACTTTACTTCTAAGATATGTCTAATAGACATACCAGATGTAGAACTGAGAAACTTTCAATTTGCACCACCCTTATACAAACAAATATTAATAATGCAATTAATATTGCAATTTAGCACCTCAATGAAAAAAACCTTAAGCCTAACAAGTAGAACTTTAAATGAAATACAGTATTTTTTTAGTTCCTAATAAATGTAGTATTTTAGTGAAATAAACTTTTAATCCAACAGAAACGTGTATTTCATTTAACTATGTCCTACTCTCGTAAATAAGACTTTATTAAAAACTCTCATAATAAAAAACAAACTTAAAATAAAATGAAAAAGTAACAGGTAATCTTAAAGATTATTGCCATACTAAAAAAAATTTCAGTGCCGAGTTGTTACAATATTAGTTTAAATTTGTCTAGCTTTTCGATATAGCTAGCTAGAACTTCAAAATATCTTAGTTTTATCACAAACTGTTAAAACTAAGATCTTTTGATGTGTGTTCATTTAATGTTGTAATTGTAGCGACATCTTGTTTTGACAAAAATAAACTAATTTCGCAAAACCCAACTATTGATCTTAACCTATGCAATACGCTACGAAGAGATTTATTAGAATAATTTTAAAAAACACTTACCCTACAATTTTGTACTCAAAATCGGCCGATTCAAAATTTTTATTTCTACCATAAACTAAAAATACAATGGTATTCGCAAATTTTGACTAATTAACTAGCTACTGACATTAGTACTTATTACATGAATTGACATTTAATAATAACAACATAATACGAGAGAGCAAGCAAAAGTGTTGCCTCCTCTCAAATAAAAAAATATCCCTAATGCGTTGATGCGTCAAATACGTTGCTCTGGCAACCGACTATGATTGCGCCAAAGGTTTGTCTGTCATATCTGATAAAGACATAATATTGCAGAGACTTCTGTTAATTTAGACAAAGACAAAACCAATAATTGTTATAAAGACCAATTCCAGTAAAAAATCGCTTTTTCTTTTTCATGTTTTCCTGATACATTATGAGATTCCGCCATGTTTTAAAATGGTTCCACGGCAACTAACGTCACTTGTCAAAGCGAACCATTATTTTTAATTTATGGTATGACATCCTAACTTACATCACATCCAATCACAGATTGTAAACCCTGCCATCATTAACGTCATCCAGGTTTTTAAATAAGTATTACTAGCTTTTCCATCGAATTTAAGTCCAAATTACCCCAAATTATATCTTATATAATTAAAAAATAGTAATAATCTTAGCTCCGTAATACTTATTTTAATCCTGAACAACCACCCATTCCCCTTGAATACCAAAACGCCAAATCATCTATCTATATCTAATAATTTTATAGGTACGTCAAGTCGTAAAAAGTACAAATAAACAAACCACTTTTATGACGGTATTTGTATATACTATACCCAAGGTATAAAGACTCGAGAATTAAAATTGGGTCTTTATTGCACGATATTAAGAAATAAAAAATCATTAGCGCCAACATTTACATCAGAAGTCATTCCAAATAAATCACAGTGTGGCGTGGGCTAATACGTTTAGCTTCCACAGACCTAAAGAGGACCGTCAATTGTTATATTCTCACCAATTCTAGCCAGTAATATACAATAGAAAATTTCTGATAGATAATATCTTTACAACTTAGCGTACACTATACACTGTCAGCAAAATCTCTCAAATCTCAGAATTAACAGATTATTTGTCGAAAAAGGGAAATGTGACTTACTAAGGACACTACTCTAAAAAAAAGTTTCAATTCACCAAATTTAAATTTTGGAAGTGAAAAATTTGCTGACAGTATACGTAAACTTAACGAGTAATGTTATCTAAATCTTTACTATTGTAATATTTGAAATGTCACTGAATTTTTTAAATACTAGAAAAATACAAATGCATTATTTGTATGGATTTTTGAAATCAAGATATGTCACTGTTATTTCCTTATCATTGAGCAGTGAGTTTAAAAACATTTAAAACGTACATCGTCCCGCGATTTTTAGATTAAAATCCAATAAAATAAAAAATATATCAAATTTCATATAAAAAAACAATATTTACTTATTGTGAATTCCGTTGCTCTGCAGTTAAATGTGGATTTTCAAAATGACTCATTTTAAGATGACGCCTGAAAAAGAAATTATTTGAGGTGCTAACATCAACTAGAAAAACATCAAAACAGAATTAAAAAACACCGCAATCTGCACAAAACAGATATACATAGATATATTGCATTCAATTATATTTTTCTTAAACACACAACTTTAATAGACGTCAGTAAACAATTTTTTTTAATGTTTACAAGTGTGAATGTCTGATATTCTAAGATAGACAGATCTCTGCCCGATTTCCTGTTTTTAAAGGCAAGTAGTCTATGCAGACTAACCTAAGATACTCTGTGATTGAACCCACAGCTTCGTACAGTAGAGTAGAGTTTTGTAGGAGAGTAATTTTGAGGCTGACAAAATGTTAAAATGTTTATCTCAAACTCAGCGATGGAATAAAATTAAAAAATATACCCACCTAAGCCCTCTCTCCCCTCTACAAACCAAGTTGCAAATTTTGCAAAATCTTTTATCTTTTATAGATATCTCAGAGGAGTCTGAATCTTTGCTTTCTATTATCTCTGGTTTTGATATCTTCTTGTCTTTGACTGGTGTTGGTGATTTGATTTTATATTTGAGATCTGAAAAATATAATTTTTTTTAGGTATGAGATTGACTCACATGTGTTGGTTCCTTACTATAGAGGTTCCAATATTTTAGTTAACACCATGTTTCCCAAGCAATTTATCACCAAGTGTTATCCCAAAACCTCAGCTCATTATTATAGAACAGCACATTTATAGTGCAACACTTCTACTAGTAAGAAATATGATAAGTTAAGCAGACACAAATTTTTCTCTTTCTGATTTTTCTATGTCCATACTAAACTCACCACTGGTGATAATGACAATATTAGGCACCCCCATAACATCATTAGGTCTCTCAGGTGACGTACTTCGCCTAACATCTATATCCCCAACTCGGCTAAGTGGTAGACCCTCATCACTAGAACCATCTGACTGTTTTGATTGTTTTTGTTGCTTCTTTATTCGTTTCCGGAATCTGAAACATTATAGTTGTAATTTAAACAAACTATCAAACATCCTCCAAGGAAAAAGTGGTTTTATATAATTTTAGTTTCATTTTGTAAGGAAGAAGAAGTTATTCAGAATTTTTTAACTTCAAAATATTTAAATTTAAGATTAGAGAAAAGTTGTAGATCAGCTAAAATTAGAATTACATACACCAACACATATACACATAAATAATAATGTGGCATGTCGGGTGTGATTTGCAGGAATTGATATGAAAATTACAAAAAAAACTTAAGGCATGTCACAACCTAGTACCTATTCTCTCTACATTTATTAAAAGTACTCTGAATTGGCATTAAATGCAACTGATGTTAAACAAAAGTTACAAATTACTATATGATTTTAAATAATTCAAGAAGATCACTTTATAAGAAAAATGTGGCTGACATTTTATGTTACATATTTGATTTTAGTTTTATTTAAGTATTTAGTAAAAGTACTTTCAGTTAGAAAACATGGAATCAAGAGTGCCTGTGTGCATTATGAGACAATAATCAATAAAAATCACAGAACAGATTTTTACATTTTTTTTTACTTATGTAACTTTAATGATGTTGTGGTTTATGACATTTTCCTTTGAATAATTGTAATGTAGAGGGAGGGTAAAACTTGCTGAGTTTCTTGCCCGTTCTTCTCAGAACAAGGCCTCCTGATAGTTTTGCGAACGGATGGCGTAGTCTTGCTCTTTCGCGAATTTTGTAAACGTTTTTGACATTCATAAGCATGCACTAAGACGCATCTAAATTGAATAAAAGTATTTTGATTTGATTTGATAATTGTTAAAGATAATACTAAATAAGGCTTATTTATTAGAGTGACTTATAAAGAGAGAATTGTCTTTGTTTGTCCAGAGTGAATACCATAACACTTTAATATATAATTTAAAATTTGATACCTTTTCTTTGGCCTTTTTGGTTGCCAGGTCTGCTTTACTCTTTCTTCATTGTTATTTATGTTAATATACTTCTCACAGGCAATGCTACCCAACTCCAATCCATCCAACTCAGTACTGCTTGATATAGATGATTTATCACAGGCAAAAAGGTCAGTTTCATTACTCAAGTCATTGCTGTCAATAGATGCACTGAAAAAGATTTATTTACACTAAGTGTATGACTCAGAAACAAGACTGAGCACTAATTGTATTGGATTTTATCATAGTTTGCGCTAAGTCATTTTTTTTAATGTCACCTTAGACCTCCAGCTACAACTAAGCCAAGAAATATGGCTTACGATGCACACAAAACAATGGATAGATAATTATAGAAATATAAATATCATTCTAAATTAATAATTAATTTTGCACAAGAAATAATTCATATTAATTGACTCTGTTAGAATGATGATTATATCTAATACCTGATCTTATAAATACTAGCATGATGCATCTATATGAACTGGATTTGTATAAAATAATATTGTTTCTTTGTAAATAAAACTTGAATTGGGATAGTTATACCTTTCTGACAGATCACTCTGAGGTGGATTCTCCAATTTCTTCACTGGAAATGTAAGATTTATACGTTTGTATATCTCTTCTGTAATATTTCTACACTTTTCATACTTTGAGTCCAAATTTTTTTGTTTTATCTTCGTCCAATCAGTTTGACTGTGTAACGTCGACATTTTTATAGTATAATTGTACTTCTAACACAATTCTTATTGGAAAATTATTGAATTCATCCTTTTTTACTTAGTGTGGAAACCGTCTACATTGCAAATTGCGATTTTCCAGTTTTCTTACAAAATGGCGGGATATCGAATGTACATTGTGTCAATTAGGCTCTAAAACATTTGTTTCACATTTTCATAACGTACTGATATCACTTTTCAAAACAAAATCACCATAAGAAAGTAACTTCTTTTCATAACAAAGAAACCACTAATAATAAATGGCACAAAAATGAATATCGTCAATGGTTTAATACTTGCTACTTTTTGTAAATTGAAAAAAAGGACTAGAACAAAAAAATTGCACTAAATATGTGATAAAAGCAAGAAAAACAACATTTTTAAACGTAAAATTAAAATATACACAGCCTTTGCGGCTTTTTTTATATTTTTGACGTTTTCAATTTAGTGTTGCTTGACACTAATTGCTCGTAAAATATTAAAATTAAAAAGTCTTTCCTACCATAAACATTACGATTCACGAGTCTCGTCTCTATTTTTAGCATTATCAACAGTCGTGACGTAGAAATTTGTACAGAGCACCACCAAAAAACATTTTAATAGATTATAGAGACACCACGGATAGCTTCAGGTAATCTTGGTTTAAATATTAATTTAGAAGTTACTATAAAACTTTTTCAAATTTCACTCACCTACAAAATTTCTAAATATGATTAGTAGTGCGGAAAATGTCATAGATTTCTATATCTTATGTAAATGGTAACACAGTAACTATCAATTTATCCCAGTGATAGAGCACAGTATGTTATTGTCTATACTTTTTCTTAACTCTCGTCTCTCCCGCCAATTCAACGAAATCCCCAATTCCCAAATCCCAATGACAATTTGATTGTCGTGGCTGTTGTTACCTTATTTCGTAAATAAAATCACGAAAGAGTTTTTCTGTTAAGTATTGCTGGAAAATTGGCGTGTCATGGGCCATGGCTGGAAAACTGTTATTACCTACTCGAAAGAATCAACACCCGGTAGCTCGAGTTGCCACTGAAAGAGCCCCTTGTTGTTTTTGCAAAAGAGACGTTGATGATGAATTGTTATATGGTAAATTGTACGCTATCGGAGACATACATTGTCACTATTTTTGTGTCGTAAGTACCTAGGATTTAACAGTTTTATTAATATATATTGTTTAACAACTTTTACTTTTATCTCTTTAAATACTAATGATAATTTAATGTAATGTTAAATTTTAGAGTAATTACTATTTTCTTTCAATTGACTTCAGTAGTCACATAGCTTTTATTGCTGTGTTCTAAAATTAACTCGGCAGAATTATAGTTTTTATTTGCAAAATACAGGGAGTATTTTGTTTACTTCTTTTAATGAAGGAAAAACGTTAACTGGCATGTTTTCCACATGTAAGGTACTTTCTTAAAGGACCTCTTACTTGCCAAGTAGGCAATGAAACAGACCAGTGATCAAGATCTATAAACTTTTGTATCACCATTGGTTACATGCTTCACAAAATGCTAAAGTAACTGTTTTTTAGCTGCTGTCATGTTGTTTAATTCAACATGGTAAAGATGAAGAAGGTTTATTTGGGTTTTTATATTCTGATATATTGGCAGAAGTTGAAAGAAGCAAAAAACATGTAAGTACTATCATAACAATTATTTTATGTAGTGTGCTGTATCTTTCTATATTGGAAACATTTCTATATCTATCTATTTAATAATTATGTATGTTATGTTAAGATACTCTTTGAAACTGTAAATTTTTAAGTCTCAAATAGTTAAACATTTTCTTCCTTGTTAAATCAAACTAAATCAGGGATATAGCATTCTTTTAACTGAAGTACTCTGTAGTCATAATGAGATTAACTTATATTTTTATGAATTAAAAGTGCTAGTTCTTAAGTTGTAGTTGATTTCATTTCAGAAATGTTCCTATTGTATGAAGGAAGGCGCAACTCTGGGTTGCTCTAAATCACAATGCAGGAAACAGTTTCATCTACCATGTGGAAGGGACAAAAATGCGGTGTCTATGTTTTATGGGAATTTTAAGTAAGTATATCTATTTTAACTGAAAGCAAAATGTGACATTTAGACACAAGTTTGGCCACAATTATATTTAAAACTGTTAAAACAATACATCAGTTATGATGTATGAAATTTGAATGGAGCACCTTCAAAATATTTTCATAGGTTGTTGAGACCATGGTGGATATTATTTTTAGTTTTTTAATTTCACACAATTTAAATAAAAAGCATTGTATAATATTCAAGTTATAATAAAATTTTAATCAAAGTATCTTTAAATATGACATTTATATCTTAAACAAGACAGTTTCTTTGATTTATTGTATTTTTTCTTTTAATTTCAGGTCATTCTGCCAACACCATGTACCAAAACAGAAATTACCAAATAATATATTAGAAAACATTAAGGATAGAAAACTAAAGATGAAAAACTCAAAATTAGATAATGAGTTGTCTGAAGGTATTTAATTTTATACTTTAAACGTTTTTTGACATACAATGTTTAACGCCTGAAATACTGAACTTATTACAGTGACATTTTCGTTTTCATGTTTCAGTCAACAGTCATATTTCTGTTTAAATCAAATTGGAAATCATTTCTCAAGATCAGTGCTGTGGGGTATTGGCTTTCTTTACCAATTATTCAGTTTTTATCCTCCTTTGTTTTAGATACACAAGAGATGGTATGCGTTATTTGTTATGAAAGTGTCGACGCGTTTCCCACAATACATACATTTTGGCCTCCCTGCTGCGCACGCGACGCCTGGTTCCATAGATCATGTGTGCAGGTATTTTAAGCAGTGTTATATGTATAACGTTTGTTTACGACTAGGAAAATGTAAAAAATTGAACTGTAAATTTGCTTCTTGTTTTTAATCGAATTACGATAGTATTTGAACCAATATTGTCGAGTGTTCAAAAAGTGCTTGCTTTTTTTTAATTTTTTATATAAGTCTTTATCAGTCAGCTAGATTATGAGCAGTTGTGTTGAGAGCTGTTAGGCGTTGAGAGCAAAATCTCCATCGAGACTGCTTCTCTCTTTCAACCGTGTCTATCAAGACTTAGGATTTGTCGCCATTTAAGCCTAATTATCCGGTATGGTTAGTTGACCAAAAAGTGCTAGCTGGCACAAAAAATATGACTTCATTATATCAATTTTATTTTACGTTAATTTATTTAATAACTAGCTGATCCGGCAATCGTCGTTTTGCCGTGTATATCATTTATAACAAAAAAAGGTATTGATCGTAGAGGGGTGAAAATTAAGCCAGGTATCCACTATGTTCGCGAACCTCTTGCGCTCCGCGCACTTGCAACAGCTCCGCGTAGTGGATACGTTTGCGAACGTGGAGCGTGAACGGTGGATACCTGGCTTAAGGGGTTGTATGTATTTTTTAATGCTGTATCATAAAAAAAAAATTAGGGGTGGACTACCCTTAACATTTAGGGGGATGTGCACACAAAATTTCATTAGAATCGGTCAAGCCGTTTCGGAGGAGTTTAACTACAAACACCGCGACACGATAATTTTATATATTAGATTTCTAGATGCACAAATAAAATAACAATGTACAACAACAACGTTGTTTATTACGAACTCCAAAACAGCGTGGTTTTTTATGTTAGAATAAAAATGCCGCGTCTGTACAGTTGAAAACACTAATATTCGACGCATGCGCAATGGCTTTAAAGCGTCGCTCAGCCGGCAATCGCTATCCTTGTCTGACAAATGATGTTACGCGTTAAGTCTCTTTCACTCTACCTTAAATATTTATCATCTTTAACAGCCAGTACCCCTTATATGCGGCCAGATTTAGGGCTAATAGAATATGTCGGTTTCCACACGATGTTTTCCTTTACCGTTCAAGCAAATGTTATGCGCAAGTCCATTGGTGCACAGCCGGGGATCGAACCTACGACCTCAGGTATGAGAGTCGCACGCTGAAGCCACTAGGCCAACACTGCTCACTGCACAATATTTATATATTCGCACAATTAAATATGTGTTTTGATTGTTATACTTACTTTTCAGAGGATGGCCTTAAGCGCAGGCGTCCATTTCCTACGATGTCCGTTATGTAATGATAAGGAACGGTTCTACGAGGCCGTATTGGGCCAAGGATATTATGTACCAGACAGGTAAATATATTTAAAGAAAAAACTTTTGAACCGGATTAAAGTTATGTATTATTATAAATTTACAATTATTTAACATAATTTTAAATTTAACCGACGTTTCGCGTGCTTTACAGCGTGCGTGGTCACGGTGACGGTGAATTTATAATAATACATAACTTTAATCCGGTTCAAAAGTTTTTCCTTTAAATGTGTAAAGGTTATGTCAATCAAAGACAATACTAGGTAAATATATTTGCATCTTTAAACTATCACAAGATTGGTTATGTGGCTTTCGACGAGTGTACCGTTCTAATTTTATTAAAAATCTAGCTGACCCGGCAAATGTTGTTTGCCATGTATATTATTTCTAGGAAACATTTTTTTAGTTCAATATAAATAACTATCTACAATAATAAACAATAGTGGTTGATCGTATAGGGGTGAAAGTTAGGGGTTGTATGTATGTATTTTTGTATGCTGTATCAAAAAAATATAAAAACAAAAATGTTTGTCTAAAAAAGTAAAATATTTTTGTTGGTGTGAACACCCCTTATCACTTAGGGGTTTGAAAGATAGTAGCCGATTCTCAGACTTACTGAATATGCATAAAAATTTTATAAGAATCGGTCGAGCCGTTTCGGATGAGTATAGGAACGAACATTGTGAGACGAGAATTTTATATAATATTATAACGAGTTTAATGATGTTTTCAGAGATGCGTCATGGGAGTTGGAACAAAACGCGTTCGCAGAAATCTATGAACGGACAATTGTGTGTAGTGTACCGGAGTGCGAGTGCCCTAATGGAAGAGATCACGATTTGGAAAGCGGGTAAATATTAATGTAGACTCTATTTATTATGACCTTGGTTATAGCGTTTATTTTATTTATTAAAGTTTACCACATCACTAAATCTACGGTATATTTTACAAAATCTTCCATCTAAAATGAATGACAATATAAGTAAACATAGTGTAAAAAAAAATACAATTAAAATATATAAAGAAATTTTTGGTAAAGCAGAAAAAAAGTTTAGCTATAGTCAAATGAAAATCCCTTGAATTTAAACCATACTTAAGTACAATATTCATATAGCTAGCTGTGGCTACTTGGGATGCCCGATTCGAATCATTTGTAACAAATTCCTATAAACCCGAAGCAGATATTGCAGTGTCGGCCGCCAAAGACTCGTTTCTTATCTTTTGCATTCAATCACACAGACGGTCAGCAAATGTCTAGACCTGTACCTTTTATTTACAGATATTGGCTAAGGGAGCGTTCAAGTATTACTTCACGCAATTTTTTGAGATTATTGACCCCCCTTCATGTAACGCGCCGTAACGTTTTTCTGTATCCAATAGTAAAACGTTTTGCGACTATCCAGTGACTCTTTATACCTAAAAGTTACCATTATGTGGTGTAAAGTACAGGAAAGTCGAAAATAATATTCAATAACGCGTAATTCAATCCCCGCCCCGCATCGTAACGTTTTACAAAAGCATCCCCCCCCCCAAAATTCGTTAAATTTATGGTTCATTTAAGTGAAGAGGAACTCAGAATGTCTCTGTATATCTTTTGCCTGTAACGACGTGCGGATAGTTAAATAGTTAAAGCTTTGGGTTTATATCGAAAAGGTTCCGTTATAAAGGTTAAAATAACAATTAAATCTAGACATAAGAAAACTTTATCTTATTTTTCAGCCCGTGGGACATAAAACTGTGTTTGCTTTGCGGGAACGTTGGGGCGCACGCGCACTGCGCGAAATTAAATGGACATATATATGTCTGTCCTATATGTTTGCCCGCTGCACCCAGCGATCCGAAATATTTAGAAGCCATTTATGCTAGTGAGTTTATTTTTAATATACTTGTAGCATATACATGTTGTTTATTTTTATTGACATCTTTTTGTCGTTACTCGCACGTATTAACTACAAAAAACACCATGGGCTCGTGCGTGCACGTAGGTGCACCGAGTGGTGCGTAAATCAGTGCGTTTGGTGGCATGTTATTGGATGCTCATATATTGAATTTTTTTATATATTATATTTGTAATTGTTACAAAACATTATTTTAATTAATAAATTTAAAATTATAGTTAATTTATGTAACCCATATACTTTTTTGTATTTTTATATTCGGTTCAATTTTTTTGCAATTAAAAAAAATTAATGAATAAATAAAATTTATTGAAAACAAGGTAAAAAAATCGGTTGTCTGTAAAGTCGGTTTACTGACGATAGTTGAACGTGATAACATCATAAGAAAATACTGATGGAATGGTTGCATTTTTCAAAGGAAAATTTTAATTTTATTTGTATGATTGAAATTTTGTATGGATATAGAAAAGGAGCTAAATGGAAATCACAATTAAATTGATCAAGTTACATTTATTTGTACGCATAAATATAATTATGTAAATTTTTGAACGAACAAACGCTGCCGAACGCGGAGGCCGTTTGTGCCTCTTCGTCGCTCGTTTCGCGCTCTCACTTGCACTTCAAGCCTTAAATGGAACGCCTCATGCGTCAAGACCGAGGTAAAGCCGCATGCGTTTCGTGCGTGCAGCCGGCTCCATCGAATTATAAGACGTTGTCACGTCAAAAATAGTAACAATATTTTAATAATAACCAAATCATGAGAAAATAATGAAATAAAAAAGACAAAGAATGACGAGTCTTACAACTAAAAGCTGTTTATTCCATATGGATATCTCCATACCGTTATTTCAAAAACTACTGAACTGTTTTCTTAGCTAACTCAATTCATTCATTTACATTTTTTTTCATAATATTATTTTCTTATTACCTGCTGTCGTACCTTCAGTACCATTGATCGAAACCCTTTCTCGGGTGAAAGCCTCCTTCAGCTTTTTCTTAACCTCTCTCTGGTTTCTCGCTTCACTTCCTGCTATGGCTTTTCTATCTTCTATCCACCTTTTTGTGGGGCGCCCTTTTATTGCCATTGGTCCTTTCCATATAGATTTCGTCTTATTTTTTCACTTTGTCCATCCTTCTAATTATTATTACTAAAAATAAGAAGACAAACATACATTTAAGATTTAGCACACGTGTTTTGGAAGACTAAATATTATATCCTTAAATTCAAATTCCAATAATATTACATACATACTGGTCAACCTGTTATGTCGGTTAATAAGAATGTATGTATTAGACAGAAATAGTGACATGTATGTTTAATTTTTTTATTTAAATTTTTGCTCGGTATAGTTAAAATCCGTCTGGCTAATGAAAGAAGATAATTGAATTATTTGAAAACTTTCGGATGGCAACACAGAATGTCATTGAATTTCTTAGATTAGTATGATTTATTGTCTTGATACTTCATGCAATTACTCATGTTTATTTCTATTTTATATTTTTCCGAATAGTTAACAGGTAAAATAGCCTAAACTTTGTTTTATTTGATAGAATATTTCGTTTCTTTCGCAGGATTTGATTATTTCGAATTAAGTTGTGTTTTATAATAAATATAGTTTTAGTTTTCCATGCAATGCTAGTCATTTTAAGTATCAATAGTAAAAGTCTAAATACGTCTAGTATTTAATTTCATAGAAATAAAGTTACTATCAATGTAAAAAATAATAAAATAAAATCAAGTAAGTTTAATCCACAAAATATATCAAACTTTTAGGGATACCATACTAATTTTTTTTTTAATTTGCCGCGCTTTTTCGTTATCTTCTTTCATTGGCCAGACTCTAGGCTCCTGAAACATGTTTGTAATCTATGGTTATAAATAATTACTACCTGTTTCTTGTTATTTTTATTATCTTTTTGGTCACTCGTGCATTTCTTTTCTTATTTTCTTTTATTTGTAAAGTTCAGATATATGTGATAACCACAAAGTTATTCGTGTTAATAGTTAATAATTTGAATAAAACTTTAATTATGTAGAAATCGAATAGAAACCTCACGTTTCGTTGACCGACTATAGTTAAGTTTTCTTTTTAACTGATTTAAACTAATATTACAATTTTAACGTTTAGTAACTCTTCCGGACCCCAATCAATCCTCGCGAGTTCTACGTGGACCCAGAATGCCGAGTCGCATGTCGATAAGACGGACAAAACCAAGGCTGCGTAATGTGTATGTATATCCCTATTAAATTAATTGTTTTGCTTAACAACAAACACACACAAACATGTATCAGAAACACACACACAAATTTACTCTTTCGTCTCTTTGTCACATTTTGTTTAAAATAAATAAATCAGTAGCGTTACCACCCTTTTTAGGTCCTCAGATTTCTGAATCTGTTTCTTGATCATTTGTCAATCAAATAGGCAGGTAATTAGCCTCCTGTGCCTGACTGTGATAAAAAGTGATTAAACGGTGCAATTATTGATTAATTTTTTAAATGATCGGGTTACGTTTTACCTGATTAATATAAACAATTTTTTTTTGTGATTATGCATTTGGGAAACGGTTTTCTACTTATAAAAAAACAGCTATATTAACACTGGCAATTAAAAGTAATCAACAATGAATATTGTTATTATAAGAATGAATATTGTTATTATAAGTCATAATAACAAAACCAAGTTTTATCATTATTTTTAAACTTAACTGCGCCATGCGGTTTCACTCGCATTGTCAATAAATAGACTGTCCAACACAAAATATTTTTTCAATTACAACCCGTAGTTCTTGAAAGAATTTAATTTATATATATTTTATTAATTTATGTAAGAGATAACGCGTGCAATAATATATACATATATGTGCAAAAAATGCAAGGGTTATGGATACTAGACCAATTATAAACGGTGAGGAATTGAATCTGGATGATACAACTTTATTTCTCGGAATCACCATGGATTCAAAACTTCAGTGGTCCCCTCATATTAACGGATTGGCGAAGAGACTTAGTTCTGCAGCCTACGCGGTTAAAAAAATTCGCTCACTAACTGATGTCGATACAGCTAGACTTGTTTATTTTAGTTACTTTCATAGCTTAATGACTTATGGCTTATTATTATGGGGTCATGCTGCTGATGTCGAAACTATTTTCATCCTGCAGAAGAGGGCTATTCGTGCAATCTATAATTTAAAATGTAGGGAATCTCTTAGAGATAAATTCAAGGAAATTAATATACTTACCTTTCCCTCGCAATATATTTATGAAAATATTATGTATGTATACAAAAATAGTGATAAGTTTACTAGAATAGAACATACGCACAATGTTAATACACGGAACAAACGCAGGCTGCAATTTCCCCGTACTAGACTATCTAAAGTTAGTAATTCTTTTTTGGGGAAAGGGATACTCTTCTTTAATAAAATCCCAGAGGCTTTTTCATCTCTGCCTTTCAATAAATTTAAGAAATGTATTAAAGAAAAGCTGTGTAAAAAGGCTTACTATAAAGTCAACGATTATCTAGTTGATAAAAGGGCCTGGGACTAGTGCTAGACAGGCTACTTCTAATTAATTTGCGATATTTGTTTTAAATAAGTGTTGTTTGATGATTTGCTGTTTTAAAAGAGTACCGAGAGTTTTTTACGCCGGCTTTTTCTCTCGGCCTACACCCTCTGTCTTCTTTGCCGATGAGTAGGGATGCCTTCAAATTGAATGACGTGGAATAAGTGATACATGTATCTTATGTTCCATAATAAACATATTTTATTTTATTTTTATTTTATACTGTGGGAAACTTTCAAAGGGTGGAGAGTTCTTATCGCCCGCTCTATGCCCTTGATTTAAGGACTGGTAGTTAATGTAAATCTTCCTTTTTTGTATTGACGTTCATTCAAGTGCATATTAGTGTAAACATGCCTAAGCGGTAAGCCTATTATTGTATATTAGTGCCGCATACGTCAATCAAAAATCGCTTCTGGTGAACAATGGTTTTATGAAGTTGGGGAGCGTTCAAGTATTATGTAACGACTTTTTTTTAAAACTTTACGATGCGAGGCGGGGATTGAATTACGCGTTATTGTTAATATTATTTTCGACTTTATACAACGTAATGGTAACTTTTAGGTATAAAGAGTCACTGGGTGGTCACGAAACGTTTTACTATTGGGTACAGATAAACGTTACGGCGCGTTACATGGTGGGGGGGAGGGGGGTCAAGAATCACCAAAAATCGCGTGACGTAATACTTGAACGCCTCCCTTGTATTATATTAGAATTAGAACTTTGGAAGACATAATATGAAAATCGCCTTTCTGGTCTCACAGTATGTGTTTTGCTTTACAGTGGGTCCAGTTCCAACACAACGGATGCGTTAACTACCACATTAACAGGTATAGTTTTATTTTTTTTCTTTTTAAATAACTAGGGGCAAACGGGCAGGAGGCTCATCCGATGTTAAGGGATACCGCCCATGGACACTCACATTGCCAAAATGCTCGCAAGTGCGCTTTTCTTGATACTTACTAGTGAGATATTATGTATATCCTGTTACTCAGGAATGTAGCTTTCTTACTAATGGTGAAATTTTTTGAAATTCGGTTCATTCCCACTGCGTTTCACGTGTATACAAAAATTGGCAGAAAAACAAAAGAGTACTTATAGTATATATATTATATAGTGTTGTAAGAGTGCAATTAAATTGAATTCGTTTTAATGAACTATTTAACCTTAATTTAGTTTAACCCCTTAGGTTAAAAAATAACTAAATAAGTGTATAAGCACACACAGTTTTAACAAACTTTTCATTGATCTCTTATTGTTAAAGTAGTGTTTCCACCTTTCATATGATACGACCCACTAATATAGGATTCCATGAGCTGCAACAGCTGCCTTTTATGGCCTTAGTCAGACTCGTTTGCTCTCCTGTCATATAAAAAAGTTATGAAAACATACTATGTTGCAACATGTAATAAAACGAATTCAGTTTTAATGAAAAAAGTTTTTTATCTCTGGAAGATAACTTTTACAATATCATTTATAAAAACGTTATGTCCGAAAGCATCTAAAGGAATCACAATTTGTAAATAGGGTAATTTCAATTTGTTTAACTTAAAATTGGCTTTCAGTACATTCAGAAAACACGATAAATAGTCGCCAAGAGCTGAATCTTAAAACGCCATCTCGACCCAATATCGAAAATGCCCAAATGATTGATAATGGAAATCAGTCACCGGTTAAACTCTTCAAACAACAATTATGCGAAAGGAATGTGCTAGACAATTTTGAATGGGATTCTGACAGTGTGATAGAGTTGGTGAGGGAAAAACTAATGAAACCGAAGCCCCTTTCTATACGAAAGAAAATTATTAGGTGAGTGAATATTTATTTAAAAAAGCTAATTTGTAGAAATTCAACCTATACTAACCTACCTATATCATACATGGTCCCCAGAAATGCTCGATCATCAGATATCTCAAATTATATTGCATCGATTTGATAAATGTTGAACTGGTCCTTCGGTGGGAACATATCTGATTAAAATAAAAAATTAGTTCTCTAGAAATTTTCTGGACTAACTTATACTTCAAATTAATTGTTGCAGCTTTATAATAGATAGTATTTTAAATGAAAAATTAAAACCAAATATCAAGGAACCAATAAAGGAATGGAAATGTCCAAAGAAAGACGTAATAGATGTTGAAATGGTAAGATTTGTAAATAACTTCGTAAAAAAAAATCTTCTAAAATCATGTAAAACTGATAATTTACGATTTAAAATTTCGTTTTCAGAAAACATTAGAAGAAAATAGTATAGTTCATGAATTAAATGAATCTATAATTAAAAGCGAAAAATTAAATAAGAATTTAGAAAATATAGATTGTGAAATAGTCGAAGATCTGTGTGAAAATATGGAATTAAATCGTGTAAATAGTACTGAAATTATAATTGGAAGTGAATGCTATAGTAATGTTTTAACTGAAGATTTTTTGGATAAAAATCTACCCATAGTGAGTGCTAGGTCAAATCCAATTCTATTAAAGAACGAATCTTCAATGGAAATTTCGGAAAATAACCAAGAAATTGACATTAATGTAACTCAGGGAAAGGAAAATAAGACAATTGCCCTGAAATTCAGTCCAACTAAAGAAGTTTTGGGTGAAAACATAAATATAGATCTTGAAATATTTAAAAATCATTATCTAAACGAAGTTGGCGGCGACCATTTGTATAAAACTGATACTTTACCTATGACTGAATGTGCAATGGAATCCAAAACCAAACGCAGGGATAATAAGTATAGAAACCTAAAAAAGCATCGCAAACAGAAAAAGGATAAAAAAGGCAGAGAACACAGAAATGTAGATAGAGATTATAAAAACATCGACAAACATAGAAACCATGATTACAAGAAGGATAAGAACTATAAACCAAAGGCTCTAGATAATACAGGTTTAGTTCTACAATTTGTTTCGGAGGAAGAAAATAAGAACAAAGAAAAACGCAAGACTGAACTATCGATTCGTAATAAAAATATAAAAGTCAACATTGAATGGAAAAAGGAGAAATTTAATATAAAAATAACTAATGGGAATAGAAAAAAACAGCATGCCAATAATTACGTATTCGAAAATGCCAAGAACAAAATCAAAATGACGCCCGGAATAGTCTCACGCCTTAAGAGAAAATATGGAAAAACCGAGAAAATTACTGATAAGTTCAAGCAAACGTCGCTTGACAACTTTTTTACTGTCAAGTCTCCTGAAAAATAATTAAAAATTTTATCTCGTATCCCTACTTAAAATAATCGTATTGATCAAAGTGATTCTATATTTATTTGTACAGCTTAAACAAAGTTTGTATTAAGGTATATTTATTGAAGTTATACTCTAATAAACTACAAGCTCCCACCTTTTCAGAATGCCAAATCATAAAATGACTGATTCACGACCGATTTGAGAGCGACCGCCGCTGTGTGAGTTCGAAAAGTGAGTTACAGAATCGCAGGGCAGGAGCTTTAAAAGAAGCGGCACACCCGGTCCAACGCTTTCGCTAAGTCCAAATGATTGCTAAAAAGCAATGGAAATGGCGAGTTATGTAAATAAAGTAATAAATTCTCGTTCGTATTATAATGAATTATAAGCAAGAAATAAATTGTAAAAAAATTAAATAAATTGAAAAATAATTAATTATAATAAGAAATTAATAGTTTTTTCTCTGTTAAATTGGCGCTATTGATCTTCTGTGTTACTTTGCTTTTAATGACTTTATGCCAAAAGTAAATCAATAAAATAATTCTGTTCAAGAAGTTTTATTTAACCACTCAGTTGATCCAAACACAACATTGAATTTTGGAGTTGATAATTTATTACTCAAATGAAAAAAAATTAAGGAAAAAACTATTTTCAACTATTTCTGAAAGTAAAATAGTTTTCGTGTTTAATTTTATTAGAATTAATGCTACATATTAAAAGAGCTCAATAAGATACTTGTTAGAATTTAAATATTTTTAAAAACTTTACTAAATTCAATTGAGAATTAAGTAAATACTTGTTGAATGTTCTTAGAATTTAGATTTTTTTTTCGAATCATTGCTCCACCAAAACAGCTCCAAATATTTTTCTATTGTTTTTTACGACTGGTATAGATAGTAGCTCAAGTAATATTAAGGAGGCGCATGGCTGTGGACCTCTTGAAAAACTGATAATAATACATGCATTAACTCTATAAAGCGCAAACTTGGCTCCACATGGAGTACTGTTCTCAACTCTGGGCGCGAGTTCCCCAGTACCAGCTCCTTCCGCTTGACCGCATTCAACGAAGAGCGATTCGAATCGACGAAAAGTCACTTTCCGAGCGGCTTGATCCCTTGGCGTTGCGTAGAGATGTGGGATCTCTCTGCATCATCTACCGCATTTACCATGGAGAGTGTTCAGACTAAGGGCATTGACACACTAGCAATTAACGAGCGATTTGAAAGCGACACGATTGCGCGGCGTACCTTTCGCGTTGTACACTCAGTAGCAAAATGGATTCTGACGAGGAAACACTACTGCTGGCTTTGTTACTTCGACGCAGGAAGCGTAAGCAGATATAACTACGAATATGGGAGGATTCATTCAAGCAATCGACTGGGAGAGAGCGACTCCGGCGAAATCGCGTCGCTTTCAAATCGCCAGTGTGATAAGGCCCTAATCTGGATCTGTGTTTCATCATCGGACGTCAAGGCAGAATACCAAATACCATCCGTATCACCTTGACGTCCGTCGTTCCACAACTGAGCGTTATTTAAGGCACCACCGATATGTGGACTTACCCTTAGTGTGGACAATTCGACTTAGGGTCCATCAAGAAAACAGCGTACCAATTCTTAAATAGCCGGCATCGCGCTTGCAAGCCTTCTGGCAGTGTGAGTGTCCATGGGCGGCAGTATCACTCAACATCAGGCGAGCCTCCTGGCCGTTTGCCTAAAAGAAGAAAAAATGCATGATGTAAATAATATTGTCTCAGTTCCCAGTGAATCCAGACCACCTTTTTTATTTTGAGCCTTACCGAGATTTTTCTTTTGTTACAGCTTGCGTAAGATCCCATTCTTGTTTCCCAATCATCTGCCTTTCAATTTCTTTATTTTATTTTTTATCCAACTCTCCTTATCGCGGTCAAAGTGATAAAGTTATAGCCAAAAATGTGTACTTTATTTCATTCATTTCAAAAATCATGATGGTTTAATTAATTTCTATGGAGTTTAAAGAGCATGCGCCGCCACATTGCATTATACCATTGCCGAGTGGTGAAAATATAATATAACAATATTATTAAACATCATGCTCTTAAAATATATATAAAGTAGGTAAAAGGATATTTACGAAATATAATTATATTGTTTATACGCAAATAAAAATAGCTAGGGGTAGTTGGACTCCTTTCTCTGCAATTAGACTCCTAACCGTTAACGGACCAACCGTTGTGCGTACAATAAAAATAGCTAAACGAGACATGAATTACCGTCATTCTTTTTGTGTGTACTGGGAATAAACCTTTATAATAAAAGGGCTTATTATTTCAATTTGTCCTTGACTCCGATTAACTTGTAATGCAAGGTACATAGTCAATCAATACTCTTTCGCAACTCTTGCCATTTCATGAGTTCTGCTATCCAATGTTAAAGATACACATTAAAAAGGATTAGTACAACCCATTATTAAATAGGTTTGCCAAGACTTAGTCCCCTGCCTCATCGGGACGCCATGGCGACGTGGCCATAGGTATTAGTTAAAGATAGCCATATAGGAGCTAGGATCTTAACACGGAGGATTTACATTGGAGCGGCTGTGCAGAAATTATTTTGTCTTTGTACGTATTAATTCTCACACATACGGTGAGGACACCAAAATGTCTTAGACACCAATAAGGCAACACAAAGTAAGACGCAACGAGAGACTACTATTATAAAAATTTATAGGTCTATGGTTAATTAAAACAAAATTGCTTTTTTATTTAAAAATAAACTAATCATTCATATCTCCACGGTAAACGAAATTGTTTGATTTAGTTTTATGAAATATATGGAATAATTCAGACGTCGGAGGAATCGCACCCAACTTGGCCCAATGCATTAGCGATTTTGCTACGTCTTCAGTCTTCAAGTCCATTTCCATTTTTATTTCCTTATTTAATCTGAAAATTAAGATATGTTAGAAACTGTTATGTAAAGATGTGGGTTCACTTGCTTTTATTCTTAAATAATATAGTGGGTTATACGTCACTGGGGTTATATCTACGACGCCAATAAATGCTTAAATCTGCACATGCATTTTTATTTACATACATAATATAAAAAAAAGAGAAGTATAGACTGCGATGTAAACAATATAAAAATGCATTTTGCAATATTAGACACCATTTTAAAGGATCGATCTCAAAAGAGATTAAAACGCAAGAAGATGCATCCCTCCTTCACGACTTCAATAAGCTAGCGAAATTCGTGTGACAATAATGTAATGACATTAAGTAAATGTCATCATATAAAACTCACTCGCAATCGCGAAGTGTTATCAACAAACTCTCGCTTTTTATTTGAAGTTTTACTTCTTTTGGCGCGTTAGGGAAAAATAATGAGAGTATTTTTTTCTATTGTTAGTGTCTTTCGTCGTAGAGACAAAATTTTGGAAAAGATTTTTATCTAGTCACGCCAAAGAAGTATAACTTCTAACGCGTGAACATAAGTACATACACGTCTTTTAGATCACATATTATTTTATAGTTTGTAAGAATTCTGTGAGTTAGCAATAGTTATTAAGTACACAGCATGATCAGTTTGCCTGGTAAGGGTGTACAATCAATTTTTATTTTACTGTGTTCCTGTTAATGTAAGCTTTTATTGTAATGCCAATGGGGATTACCTTTTCAAAAAAAAAAGTAAATTAAATGTTTATTCAAAGTAAAAATATGAAATGAAATAAAATAAATGGCATACTTTATACAGATAAATATTTTTACATCATCGTTTAATGGAAACATACAAAATTATTTTGAGAACATTAAACTACAATTCAATATTAGTAATAATGGTAAGTGTTTAAAATCAAAAATTGTGACCACTATAATTGTGACTATTAAGTTAGAATTTTTTTAAATCTTTATTTCCTGCTGTCTTGTGGCGTTTACTAAAATAAAAACGAATTTTGTAAAATTTCTTCCGACCCTTCCCACATAAGCTTGCAAACTATTTTCTATTACCTATTTTTTACTAATTACAATTACACCAAAGTACTTACATATTACGATTAAAATATTCCTTTTCTGTTTTTATTTTCAACATCCTCACGATAGGTGGGTCTGGTCCAATAATTTGTTGCACATAATGTTCATCATATGCTTTGCCTGTATAGTCTATGCCCGACTCAGTTATTATTGGTATTGGATTGTATTCTGGCAACCCAGATAGATGTTCCGCCTGATTGGTGTTGCCTGTATTATATATTCGGAGAAGGGAGTCTATGTGTTGGCCGCTAAGGGCCACATCTTCGTACGTTTCGTAGCCCAATCCTAAAAATTATATGTTATTAAACAATCCTTTACTATTTTCTAACTCTAGGTGATAATTCCTCCGTGGCTGAATGGAATTTGGCATATTGGTTTCGCTTCCCCACAAAACAATTATTGTTTCGGATTTGTCTGTTCTGATGTGAAGAAATTTGTATAAAACTGTTAACATAAACTAAATCAGAATATACTTTTTACATATGGATATCATAATCCACCTAAGGGAGCGTTCAAGTATTACGTCACGCAGTTTTTGGAGGTTATTGACCCTCTCTCCCCCCATGTAACGCGCCGTAACGTTTTTCTGTACCCAAGTATAGTAAAACGATTCGTGACCACCTAGCGACTCTTTATACCTAAAAGTTACCATTATGTGGTGTAAAGTACTGGAAAGATGAAAATAATATTAACAATTACGCGTAATTTAATCCCCGCCCCGCATCGTTTTACAAAATAAACCCCTACCCCCCCCCAGAATTCGTAATACTTGAACGCTCCCTAAATAAAAAAAGCTCTCTAGCGAGTGCTAGATTGAAACAATACAGTCTACAGTATAAGACAGATTATTTTCATATTCCATCTTTGTTTTTTACTAAATCTTCTTTAGCAAATTTATGACATTAAATTACATTTACCCTGAAATAGAACTCTGGAGTCTTGAAGTAACCGATACTTGTGTCATGGGCCTTACCTTTAACAAGTCCTGCAATTACACCAGACCGTATGGCACTAACTAAAGCAACATCTCCTTGTAAAGGTACTGCCATGTAAACTGGAGTTGGGCCTTGCATTTGAACACTTATGTATACAAGGCTGTTCATTTTAAATGTTTGTATCTGAAATTATATGACAAATTATTACTTGGATAACACTCTAAGGCCGTTTCTCCACTGCTCCGGTCCAGTTTTATGATTATAAGATAGACAATATAAAAGAAGTAATAAACTTGCCAGGGCAATAAAATATTCAGAATTTAGAATGTTTTATTAATAGAATAAAGTATATGGGTTTTAGTAAATATAAGTGTTGCATGATATATATACAAGTATCGATTATTGTCGGATCGGATATAGTGGAGAAGAGCAATCTGGCCTTCCGATATTTTTCTCATGACTCATCCCGGTATCCGACGTCGGACCGGAGCAGTGGAGAAAGGGCCTAAGGGTAAGTATCGGAGTCGAGACTTGAAAGTGTTTAGGACTCCCATATAAAACATATTCGATTTAGTTATACTTAGGGATCCTTCCGATATTTTTCTCATGACTCATTCCGGTATCCGACGTCGGACCGGAGCAGTGGAGAAAGGGCCTAAGGGTAAGTATCGGAGTCGACACTTGAAAGTGTTTAGGACTCCCATATAAAACATATTCGATTTAGTTATACTTAGGGATAAGTAAAGAAAAGGTTAAAGTTAAAAAAAAAAGTTCTTAAGTCTGAAATGCTCACTATGCAAAAATGCTCATAATATTAAGAAAATTATCTGGGATTTCTATGCATTCCTCTGATACAAATGAGCCTATGAGAGTTCATTCCTTGATGAGCATGTAGATGGAAGCAATTATATAAATCTATCATCATACCTGAGGTCGCCGATTTTTGCAGATTTTTGTAGTTTTTAATGCCTGTTTTAAAAAAAAGGATAAATTTGGAGATAGTATAGGAGGTTCATCATCATTCTTGTTCACTAATTTAATGACATGCCATGTCCTAGGTTGAGTTGTGACCACTGAAAAATATAATCAAATCAGTTATAAATACTTAATAAAAAACTATATTTATCACACAAGAGAATAGCTTAATAAAATATTGATGTACACAATTTCCAAGAAACAAGCATGATTACAAAGTGTAACAATGGTGTCAAGAAAAAAATACTGTTGAAGTTAATATGTACTGTGCATGCTGGTGTCGCTAATGTGGTGCTGAATTAATGAGCAATACAAATGAAATTTCAAATAGCTTACATTTTAGTCTAAGAATTGCAACTAGGTCAGCTAAATCCTCCGGAAGATATTTTCTGTAAGCATAGTTACACAGGACCTTAGCCACACTTGCTGGCTCCATTCTCAGCCTAGCGTTACGCACCCCTCGAATCACATCAGTCCATTTAACTCCAAATTCAGGCAATGCCAATACACAGCACACATTAAGTGACATCTTTGATAGGATGCTTTTCAGCTCTTTGATGTCTGAAATTGGTAACAACATTGTGTTTATATCCTTTGTAGATATTGAAAATAGGTTAGTTCATATACTCTTTAGCTGTGTTTAAGAATGGTTAAGAGTTAAGATTTCAAGTTAAATATAACTACCCTACGTAAAAAGCGTGATGGATAGTTAGCACTAAGTTTCAATTTAAAATTTTACTCTTAGCGTTAACATATGTATGATGCTTCCTATAATATAAAGAGTACATACTATCTTTATTAAAAAGGGTAAATAAACTAAGACTGCAGACACTACAGAATTCAGGACGAAATCATTTGTTTATTTAAAAGATAATACTTACTCTTATTATCGACAGGCTCCATTGTTGTATTATGTTTTGTCCGTAATATCTTCAAATTTAATATTAACTTATGAGATTTAAGATTCACTGTTTTATAATATAGTAAAATTGCACATTATTCTATTTGTACTTATTTTTATTAAGTGTTTCCTCACTTCTTGAATATAAACACAGATTGAGAAAAATAATTATGTTACTAGTTATATTACGTACAAAACTGCCATACAATACATTACTACAATAATTAATAATAACCCAAACGACAGCCGTTATAATTTCAAAACATTTTTTATAAACACAAACACTACACAGTCACTTCACTTCACTTCACTTTATTTATAATGGCGATTGGCGACATCTGTGTAAATCACAATTCCGCCAATGTCACGTTCTAAGTCTTCACACAGTGAGGATAGATTTGATAATTTTGATACATTGAATTTTATCTAAGCAGAGTTACCCAAAACAAAACAAATATCTAATAATATATACAAGAGGTTAACATTTTACTACAAGGTATGAAGGGGAGAATCTTATTTATAACTTTAATTTATTAACAGAAATAAATTTCCCTAATATTTTGACGATCGAGCTGGATGGGAGAGAAAGTAGGGAGTTAAGGTTACATGGACGAGGGAAATCTGGAGAAAGATGGTCAAATAACGAGTCATTATTTAAAGAACAGTTAAAAAATATATGGTCTGTCGAGCCCTCGTCCATACCACACTCACAGAGAGAACTGTCTTTTATTTTAATTTTGGCTAGATGAACGGGAGTACAAGCGTGCCCTATACGAAGACGGCAGATTATAGACGTGACCTTTTTGTTTAAAAACTTATATTTAAAAAACCACGGCGAAGAAGGGATTGAATACTGAATATTAGCATAGTGCCTGCCAGTTTTTTCTTTAGAAGATTGCCAATCAATAGTCCAGGATTTTAAAAGGTGGGAGTACGCAAGAGCTGATAGGTCGTGGGCCGAGATGTTGGGATGCTGACAAGATCCGCAGAAAATAGCACCTTTTGCACAAGAGTCAGCAGTTTCATTACCCGCTATACCACAATGACTAGGTATCCACAAAAGTACAATATGAATATCTTTTTACTACACCTAAACAAAGCTTCTCTTATTTTTAGAATCGTATTATGTTTTTTTTAGACCTGAATGGATTGGAAAGAATTGCCTGTAAACAGCTGCGAGAATCGGAAAAAATTGTAACTTTATTTAGGTTGTGGGACTCAGCATACAAAACCGCTTCTAGGATTGCAAAAGCTTCACCTGAAAAAACGGAGGTCAATGGAGGAAGTTTAAAGCTCAATACTGTTTTGAATGAAGGGACCCATACAGCCGCACCGATGCACTCATTATTGGGAATCTTGGAAGCATCAGTATACATCGATAACCAACCCTGCCAGTCTTTTGAAATTTTTTCCAGAAAACAAGTGGAAGCTTGGGTGGATTTTTTTTAATTCCAAAGTTTAAAATTATTTTAGGATCAAAAATGAGGGATTCATAACTATTTAAAAACAAGGGATTCCTAGGGAAACTTTCAACAGGATTAGGAAGACGAGAAAGTTTATTAAAACTGTGTAACAGGCATGGAACATTACCTGTACTAGATGGCATCGTGAGATTAGATAAGCGACGTAATTTGGACAAGATGGAATGAGAAGAGTATTGAAGGACTTTGATGAAGAAGCGGTCACTTAAAAATTGTCTACGTAAATACAGGGGGGGGGTCAACACATTCTATTTGGAGAGCATTGATGGGAGAGGATTTCATAGCACCAAGGATGATGCGTAAAGATTTCGATTGAATTTTGGAAATTTTATCAAGGGCTTGCTTGTTGCCAGGATCTAAAAGGAAGGTGCCATAATCAAAATGACTTCGTACCACAGCATTGTATAAAAGCTTTTGCGAGTAGGGGTGTGCTCCCACCTCACACCAGATAATGAACGGAGAACATTAACACCCTTCTCACTTTTTTTAATCACATGGTTAAAATGAGGAACACCGTTTAACTTTGAGTCTAAAATAAGGCCTAAAAATTTTACTTGCTTACAACACGATACCAAGGACCCTTTATATGAAATGTTACACCGTGGAACCTTGTATTTTGTAGTAAACGTGACCGCCGAACATTTGGGCACAGAAATAGAGAGACCATGATCATTTAACCAATCACCCAAATAATCCAAAGCTGAATTTAGGCGTGATGATGCCTCTTCAATAGAATTTGATGAAAAGTATAAGGCTACATCGTCCGCGTATTGAAGAATCTGACAGAAGGAATTCACAACAAGCTCCAGGTCATAGGTGTAAATGTTGTACAGAAGAGGACTCAAAACAGAACCTTGAGGTAAGCCCCTCCAAATAGATCTAGGAGACAGCTCCGTATTTTGAGATCTTATAATAATATAACGATTCGAAACTGCATTGCAAACAAAACGTACCAACTTCTCAGGAATACTCAGCTGAAGCATTTTTTGCCTGAGCACCGGAACCAGCACGTGGTCATACGCAGATACGATATCCAAGAAAACACCCACCAGGTACTGTTTCTTTTTAAAAGCAATGCGAATGTCGGTCGTTATTATACCTAGGCTATCCATCGTACTTAAGCCTTTCCTGAAACCAAACTGGGATTTTGCAAAGATATTGTTATTTTCACAAAACCATTCTAAACGAATTTTAATCAAATGTTCCATGATTTTTAAAAGGGTAGAAGACAAAGCAATAGGTCTGTATGAAGAGAAATCTGATGGATCTTTGCCAGGTTTTAGAAGCGGAATGACGATTTGTCTGTTCCACGATTCAGGAATAATTCCAAGATCGAAAAAACAGTTTACTAAATCTAGAAAGTACCTCTTAGTGCCTAATGCAGAATTTATGAGGAATGAGTAAGGGATTCCATCTTCTCCAGGGGAAGAGTCAGAGAGACCATTTAATGCTTTGTTAAGTTCTTCCAAGGAGAATTGACAATCTAGACTGTTTGAAGAGGGGATGTAAGAATTATACTTATAAGGAAGACAATCATAAAAAGGGACTGATGGAGGAGCCAATTTGTCGGCAAAGGAGGTAATCCAGCTAGACGGATCATTAAATGGGACATCATAAGAATTGAGGGAACAACGGAATCTTCTGATCTGCCTCCAAACAACAGACGAAGGGGTACCAGGGCACATGCTCTCACAGAACTTATGCCAACCAAGACGTTTCTTATTATTTAGAAGTCTGCGAGCAGCTGCAGAAGCTTGTTGGTAGACTAAAAAATTTTCCAAGGTCATGCAAAGACTGTATGACCTTTCTGCCGTTTTTCTTTTTCGAATCATCTCAGTACATTCGTATTCCCACCAAGGAGGAGAAATTTTCCTTTGTGTAGAAGATTTGAGTGGAATATGTAAACTGGCAGATGAGGTGAGGGAGTTGACAAAATCATTGTATGAAGATAGGCAGTTTTCAGCAGAGACTGCGGGGAGCGCAGCTATCTTAGAGTCAATAGAAGATGAAAAGTCTGACCAATTGGCCTGATTCAGTTTAAATTTTAAAAGAGGGGAAGGGCGAGTAACGCTCCTTAAATTGGTTGGGAGATCAATTAAAATGGGGAAGTGGTCACTCCCACAAGTGCTCTTAAAAACACGCCAGGATAGAAAAGGGAAAAGATCAGGAGAACAAAGTGATAAATCCACTGCGTTAGCGGGATTCTGAGATGGAAGACTCCTTCTCGTAGGACAACCATTATTCAAGACACTTATGTTTATATCATCGAGTAAATCTAGTAGAAGGGACCCAAAAGAATCTGAGGAATGACAACCCCAAGAAACATGGTGGGCATTGAAATCACCCAACATGACAACAGGAGGAGGAACCGAAAGGATAATAGAACGTATATCAGAAATGAGGTCGAAATGGGGGTGGGGAATATAAACAGAAATAAACGAGATATTAAAAGCTCTCATAGCAACAGCATTGATACCATCACAATGATGAAGAGATAATGCGTGGAAGGCGAGGGATCGGCTGACCAAAAAGGCACAGCCAGCATAGCCATCATCCCTGTCATCTCGGAGACACCGGTACCCAGAAACCCTAAAGCGGGAACCCGGTAATAACCAAGTCTCCGAAATGGCTAGAATAGATGGAGCGAATTTATTGATAAGAAAGGTTAATTCTGATTTTTTACTGCGAATACTGTTACAGTTCCATTGAATTACCAGATTCGCCATTTTTGGTGACGAATGAGTGGAGCAAATTAATTTTTTGGGCAACGTGGGACGGTATGGGGATGTCATCATATTTGGATAGCATATTACAAATGACTGCCCATAAGCAGTCAAGAAGATTTTCATTTGGGGAGACTTCATTGTTGATAAGGGAAGGGGAGCTTACGGCACAACCATTGGGTAAAGAGGAGGGTAAATTGGAAGTAATGGCCTCATGGGCCGCCTTATCAAAGGATTTTCCTGATGTTGGTCTAGAGCGAGGAGGGAGAAATACAGTTTTCCTGTAAGATGTAGTCTGACGGGAAACTTGGGAAGGTAAAGTAATGGTCTGGGATAAAGAGGAGGGGGTTGTTTTTACAGAATCTGCAAAAGTTTTGCCATTGATAGGTCTAAACCGAGCCGATGCTTCGAGATAAGAAATGCTCTCTTGAGACATACAACTCTTTATATTTCTTTGTCGATTATGTTCAGGGCAAGCTTTGTTGGTCGCAAAGTGTGAGGCAGTACAAAATAAACATAATGACTCTGTTTCAGGGATATTACACTCATCACCAGAATGGGCTAGACTACAACGAAAACACCTAGGCTTCGATCGGCATTGTGACTTTACGTGACCAAACCTACAACAGTTAAGGCACTGAATTGTAGGGAGTTGGTACGTTTCAACGCGGAGGGAACTATGACAAGAGAATATTCTCTCAGGAAGGGTTTGACCTTGAAAAGTTAGAACAACGGTTTGTGTTGGGATCCAATTAATTTGACCATCGGAGTTCGTCTTGCGGTTTAGGCGTCTGGCCTTGAGGACTATACCTGTACCTTCGGGAATTTCCAAGGTTTCGACAAATTCCTGCATCGACCAATCAGCTGGGACACCTCTCACAAGGCCCATACGGGAAACATTATAGTTAGGAATCGTAACAGAATAGTTGCTGGAAGGTACAATGGGATTAGACACAAAATTATTCGCATCTAAGCCCGACTTAAACTCGACAGATATTCTATTACGTCCCACTCTCTTAACACCATCTCGAACAATGTTGGGTATTTTATTTTTTACCAAGAAGTGACCAAATTTAATTGGGCGGATTGATGTACCAGCGGATGGGTCAGATTCAGGGCAAGAAACATGGACTAAAAAAGGGCCCTTGTCATTGACAAGGTATGACTTGGGAGAGCCAGTGAGAGATGGATGGGAGTAAAATCCTGGGTTGACGTCATCAACAGATGACCGGACATCGGTCATTGGTTTTTTGGAAGGTTCCACTAAAGATTCATTGACAGTATCAAGTCTGCGCTTGACCCCAGGTTGGGGCAACAGTGGGGTGGATAAATCCATTGATTCCACCGGAGAAGAGACCCTATCCGGAGGATCAGGGGGTCTGGAGGGCGTTTCTCCATTATAGACTACCAAAAATATAACAAGGTAAAGGGAGAAATATAACAAATAAATAAAAATAACTTACGTAATTAGTTGATGTTATTAATTAACCACCACCAATAGGATAAGTCAACTTATATTCATTAAACTACGAGAAAAAATAGAAACTACTAAATAATGATATCCGAAACACGTGTAAACACTTATACCCGCAACGACGGAATCCCCACTACACAGTCACATAATCAATATTTTATAAGCATTCATGACATGACAGTGACATAAGTCAGTGAAAGTGTGAACAGATTAAAAACATTTACTTCACAAACTAAAAAAAAACTTAATCTTAAATATTCCCGCAAGATTCTACTACTATTTATATTGTAGCATAAATATTATGATTATTTGTATATTTCGTAACACGTTTTAACACGTGTTTGGTAATAAATGCATTCCATAGTCTCTCTTACCGAATGGGCAACGAAGGATTTTATTCCGCACACTTATTAAACATTTTCCAATATCTCATTATTAACAACACAATTTTTACACTTACTTGATAAAATTCGCCAAGAAAGTTCAAACTAAACCAGTAATTTTCAAGTATAAAATGTGGTTAATTCACATGACACAACATATTGAAGCTCGGCGGTGCTGTACCAACATCGTCGTTTATCTAAATATTATTATCTACAGTATATATATATTATTCCACATAATTGTTCAATCTAAAAAACATTATTTAACTATTATGAACTATAGTCAGCGCATTATGAAAATGAACCGAGGCTTCGGGTCATAAATCTTATTGATCTGTCTTTCTCGCTCGCACTTACAGGTCTTATGGAGAGGTGTAGAGATGTTCGTAAGAATTGTAGAGGTGCACATCAATAACAGTATAGGTGCGATCGATATGCTAAATTATGTTAAGTATTTATAGTAAATATTTTTTGCTATCTGAAAAAAAATATTTTTTAATTGTAAGATAAAATCTTTGTTTCGACGTAATCATAGAGAAACGTGGCCCTGAAAAGGGCCGTTTTCATCTTTTCTAGGGATATTTCTTAGTTCACCAAAAATCCTCATCCGTATCTTCCCCATCTGTGTCGTCTTCCTGTAAGTTAATTATCAGAGGTGGTGGTTGATCTCTTAAAATGATTTTCCTTAAGTTTTTATCCTGGAGCTCCTCGGCGTGCCTCACACATTTGGCCCAGACTTCTTGAGGAACATTATCAAAAGCGTTGTGGAGAAGAATTTCAACATCAGCAATGTTAAATGTTTGATTTCTTGCAGCAACTTCTTCTTTGACTTGAGCCCAGATGAGTTCGATGGGTTATATTGACAGTGATATGGCAGTCTTATCACTTCGTGACCCCTTTCATATGCCAGCTGATCTAAGGCATATATTTCTATTGGGATACTTTTCTTAACAATTCTTCCCTTATGTCTGCATTCGAGAAAGTAAAGTTCTTTGTCATTCATTCCTGAATGTCACTTTTCTTAGTAGATGATGTGGGTAACCTTTCTAATGCATGGAGTGGTAGCTAGCGATATCGGTGACTATTACAGAAGGTTCTTCAAGAACATTAAGTCAATCTGAAAACCATGCCGTATATGTATCACCATTCATTTTTCTAGAATTCTAGCCACTCATGGACATTCCCCGTTGACATAAAATTAATCAATGTTACATTTTAGTACGCTGACATCAAAGCTATCTAGATTAGTGACATTTGTTGTCTTCTTAACATATTTTGTTCTTGGTATATTCTGGTTTTTATTCGATCCACGCTCTACTAACTCCACAAATCAGTGCTGCAAGCTCTCGTGGATTATTGAAAATGAGGAAAGCTTTTTTTCTGGGTCAATTTACAATTCTTTTAAAAACAGGAACTTTACTTTTATTACAGCCCGAACTTGAGCGTTGATGTCACCATTTAATTTCTTCAAAAGCACGTTAGAAAATAAATTTTCCATTGTGCGTATTGCGTAACTAAGCGTAAGTAATGTAATGAGTGTCATAACAAACAATCTTTTATTTATATAAAACAATCTTTATTAGTCGGATATGTCATATTGTTTATGCCTATAATTTTTTTTAAATATGAATAAGCTACCATTATTACGGTTTTTAGGGTCTCCCCCTCCTGTCCTAATTTTTTGGGGAATTTATTTCTTTAATTAGGGACTTTCTAAGATCGTCAAATGTTTCCGAAGTCGGAAATAGTCGAGCTATGCTGATTAACAGTCTGGCTTAGTGTTTTTCATTACATTCGTTTCAAGAACAAGGTACGACATTTCACGAATTATGTTTATTTGCATAAGAATTCATGGAAATTACAAAACATACTAACTCATTTAACAGTTTTCTTATGAGAAAAATTAAATCAATTTCTCAATTTCATTATTATGCATGCAGAAATGAAGAGATAATGTAACAAAAAATTTGGTTACAGAGGTTTAATACAATATTTATCTGTGGCAGTATTTGATAAAAAAAAATCATATGTAGCTTATGAAAATATAATTTGTTTAAGATAATATATTGAATTAAAAAGAAAGACGTAATCTTGTTTGGCAAATGTGAAATTATTTCTTACTCATTAAGTATATAACATAACTATATATACATAACTGTGTAATATATAACGATTTAACAATCTCTGTGCAGCTTTGAAGCAGTAGAAAACTCTTTTATTTTTTTTAGTAGGCTTGGGATTGACCAAGTGCAGGTTTCTATTATGTTGATAAAGTTGAGAAAATAATAAGAAAATAATCCTGGAATACATGATGTTGTAGTCCAAAAATTTATTCAATCATCAAAAGCTAAACTTATGTATATAATATAACTTATCTGGATAATCCGATTTCAGCACATTGACAATTTATTATGTATGTTAAAAAAATAAACTAATATATTGTTTATATTAAATAGTTACACATACTTTCATAGCTGAACAGTGATTGCTTAACCAAATTTTTTACTTCATGACAAAATACAAAAAAGTCAGTCTGATTTGGCCTACACAATTCTGTTACAAAATTGTGTAACCTTCATTTAAAAAAAACGATAGTTGACATAATTGTTACAATTTAGTCTTAACACTTAACTAGTATTCTTAACTTACAGCCAGACTAACTATAGATACACTAAACATGCAGACAATCATCAGGGACATTAACACTATAATTTTAATACTAATATATTACAATCACTATCTTGTTCAATCACTTCATATTCAATATTTTTAGGAATTTTAGAGTTCTTTTTCACTTTTTCTAATTTAACACTTGGTTTTTGTATAACTTTAGGTTCATATTCATAAGTTGCACTTGATTTTGTATCAGTATTTTCAACATCTGAGTCACTGTTATTGATATCTGTGTTAACTCTATACACATCTGTATTAACTTCTTCATCATCTGTGTCAGTACTCTTAACTCCTGTGTTGTCCTTTCCATTCTTATTGGCATTATCATGCTTTATAGATGATGTTTCTTTTTTAGGACTGGATTTATTAATATTGTTTGATAAAGTTTGTTGTGTTACAGTTATGTTTTGTGGCACTGAAACGCCAACAAGATTGAATAATGGATTTGTAGAGTTGGTAGGAATCATAGTGTTCATAGGGGCATAAGGAACCGCTACAAATACCATGTTATTATTCATGAAATGATTAGGAGCAGGTGTCATAACAACAGGTGCTAAACCACTATTAACATTTTCTGTTGAAATATTGTTGGATTTGACTGAATCTGCAACACTATTATTAACATTTACTGAACTAACAGTATTTACTTTAGAATTTGGAGTAGGATTGTTAGAAGTTTTACTTATATTGTCAGTTACATCAGCCTCAGTACTCTTGGTTGTATTATTTTTCTGACTGGAATTCTTTTTTGAATTTATTTGTGATCCACGTGACCGAGTGACCATTGGTGAGGATAAATGTAAGTTCTTTCTGACAAAATCTCTATATGTATCGTTAAAACTAGAAAACTCCTTGTCTTTATCGTCTAGTAAATCTAAATCTGTTTTAGTATTACAAGGTTTAGATTTCTGTTTACCTACAAAATTGCTAATTAAAATTTTGTTATCAATATCGTCGCAAGAATCTGTGTCTGATTGTTGATCAACAGGATATTCTGCTAAGGAGTAAGTATTTACTATTCTAGGAGAAACATCTACCATATGGGCTTTCTTCTTCAGCGGCTCAAACATATCTAAATCTGGATGTTCTCTCTTGATTGTTACTGATGCTTCTTGTTTTAAGACCTCAGATATTTGTGCATCCGTCAAGGACTTGGTTCGTTCGTGATTAGTTTTTGAAGAATTGTCTTCTTCGTTGTATGTATTTAATATCATTGTCATTTCTAATGCTTTTTCCACAAGTTCTTTTAATCCAGATATTTTTATTTTGGCCGCTGCCTCCAGTATATTTTCCAATAACATTTTAAAATCCAAATATGGATCATACCCATTCGAGTTGTCTATTGATTGCAGAAAATCTGTGATACAATATTTTCGGAATTCTCTTGCTAAATTATACTCAGAAGTTTTATGATTAGCATGGGTTTTATAGAATCTGGCTAGAATGCCTTTTGGGTATGATTGGACAACAATTATAGAGGGGCATCGTTCAGTGCACATTTTTGTTACTTTAGTGTTGATGCAATTGTAAAATTGCCTTCCATTTATTTCCTCCGAGCATAGACGGTATTGGATATATGCTAATTTCTCTATATGCTCCTTCCATAAGGTGAACTCTGTAATTCATTATTATAACTTTAATTAAACAAAAATTATCATTTTAAGTGTAAATATTGTTAAATAGGATACAGGTATCTTAAAAGAAAGACATATTCAATTGAGGAAATGACCAATAATTTCATTATAGTAACATGAATTTGCTTAAAGTTTTGAAGTAGTCATCATTATAATCATAATTACAATTAATATAAATGAAAATTCAATAAATAGCTCGTTACTTTCTTATTGCTACCTTCTACTCGTACAAAGACATATAAACAATCCAGTATTTATTTAGTTTATCCATTATAATTTGTATGTTATCACCAAAAACAAATCCTTCATCTTTATAACATTGGTTTACAAATCTTGTCTAGCCTAGTTATATGTAGACTTATTAGATTTAATATTACTTACGTGTCATATTGGGAAAGAACATGGTCTCAACACTTTTGTTATGTTGAGTCTCCACATGAACAGTGAACTTGTTTGCATTGATGAAAACTTTGCTACACAAATTACAGAAATATTGTTCAAACTTTGTTTTCGTCTGTTTTTCATTGGTGATGTTATAGCCTACAGCAATTTTATTTTTCTGTTTGTCACACTTGTGTAGAGCTAAATTTCTATTTTTCTGCTTGCAATTTGGACAATCCTGAAGTTTTACTGGGTGAATGGCTGAACTGAAATGAAAAACAAAGGGTTTAACACTACTGACACAGATTACATACAAATAACAATGAAAAAAATTTTAATGGCAGAGTAAGCACTGCAAAAGCGCCTCATGTAAATAAGCTACCAACTCAGTGTTTTATAGTGCCAATTTATATAAGCCCTACTATTGTACTCTCTCCTTGTTAGTTTTAATAGACATCGTTATTAAACATAGCTATATAGCTATGTCATGATATGCATCATGTTGAGATATCTACCAGAGCAACGGTTGATCTGATCTAGTTATTAGTGCTATAACCAAACACACATACAAAATTAAAGTACAGTTGTCTAAGATAGGCACAATTTATACTTTTAATGGAATAAGGCCCAATTTAATTTTACAACTATAACAAATTGTATAAGTAAATACTACTGATGACTCATGAAACACACAATCAAAAGTGTTAAATCCCATACTCACGTATATTTAGTATGATAAACCTCTATATGCTTGGTGGCAACAAATTTTGAGGGGAAATTCGTTTGACATATAGGGCACTGGTATGTCTCAAACTTTTCTGTATCTGCTTTAATTTTATTACCACGTGATTTCATTGGAGTTGCATTATTTACTATACAGTGCATGACTCTCTTGTGATTCTCCAAAGCATTGCTATTGGTATATGTTCTTATACATTCATCACATTTGTATAGTTTCCTTTTATCCGACATTTTCTGAAATAAATATTTCTTGGTTTTAAACAACTATGTACATAAGTTACGAAGTCAAGAAAGAAGGACAAGAAATGAGATAATGAAGCGGCCTCCTATGCCCTTTTTAAAATATGTTAAACTTAGGTCCAAAAGTAAGCAGTGCAATTTATTTATTTGCAGATGCAGGTTCTGAAGCAACCTACAGACTATAGATTTGAATAAAATAAAATATTTGTTTAAGAAAAAACAATCATCATGAGAAACCCCAACATCAAAAAACAAAAAAGGATGTTGAAGAAATTGCCTTACATACTAAGTACATGGACAACATATTGTTTTTCTTCTGCATGTTAACAAAGCAACCTTAGTGTCTTAACAGGTTACTGGCATTGCACATAGCATGTCCAGGATTTGATTCTCGGTGAAACAATTGGTATTGAACCCGGTATGGAAAGCCCAAATAAAAATGTAATGTGCTGTTTAGATTGAGAATCAGAATTATTTAAATAATATTACACCACATTGAACACTGCATCTGAGAATATAATAGTTTTATTCTTTTAATTTACAATATTTATTTGGGGTGGGCTTAGTGCAGCTTTGGTTTATACCAATATATTTATTTATGAATAGTAATAATACAGGGTATTAAAGAAACTCCGGCAACACAAAATAGCATTAATTATTTTATAAGACATTTAATTAAGATATCATTTATGCTTTATAATTAAATAACAAACATGTTCAATAAAAGAAAAACAACAAAACACTCACACTAACGAATGAAGACACAATTTTCGCTTCATTTACTATTTACATGTTTTAACTTGGCACTGAATACATTATATTTTACAATTCAAAAGTCGAATACTAAATACAATTACTTAATAAAACGGAATGTTGTACCAGATAAAGATATATTTTGGGATAAAAATAATCACACAAGCTCAGATTAAGTACCTATGGATGGATACACACAGCGTAGCACAAGAAACAGGAAGAGTTTTTTAGTGTTGCTGCGTTGGCAAAAACTTCCCCATATTGGGTAAAATTGTTACCAATTGCCGTTCTTTGTGGCAATCTATAGGGGAGGCCTATGTTCAGTAGTAGACGTAGAATAAGGTAGATCACCGCGACAAACTAAGATGGTGATAGGGTGGGACAAACTTAATGCTTTTATTAGTAGAAATTTGTGAAAGGAAAGGACCATTGTTGGTATGTAATGGGCTAACAACAATAGCGAAGAAATAAATACAACATGTCAGCAAAAGCATTTATTTACAAAGTTTTTCATTTCTTACAAAAGCCTACTCTTAAATAAAACTAGCTTAGTGTACAAGTTTCGTTCGTCGTCAATTCGTTCATCCGGCTGAGACGGTGAAGTCATAATAAAATTAATTCTAACTCTCAGATATCTTAGTTATTGCTTTGATAAATAACGAGACATGTCTGATGTGATTTGTTCTGTAATATGGTCGCACAGAAATAAGTTTTTTTTTAAAAACCCCATATGATTTTGGGCACAATATTTTTGTAGAAAAATATGCACTTCCATGTATAGCAAGAGTTTGCCTTAAAAACATTGACAATAGTAGCCAAATAAATAAGTAATAAATATGTATCACTTACATGTATACATTTTTCAGGTACTGAATATGGTTTAAGTTGTACCTTTTTTCCTTTATACACGAATGAGGCACCATTAAAATGAAGTGAACAAATTCTCGAATATTTGGTTGGATGCCAATTATTTCGTCCAGTGGCCTCCAACCATTTTATTTTAATCTCTGGATTAGATGGAAACCTAAAATGTGAATTATACGTGCTATCATAAGTAGTTAGCACAAAGTCAAAACCTTCATCACTTTTTTTTGAAGTTATACTTCTTTAGGCGCGTTATGAAAAATTGATGAGACTGAAATTATACGATGCGCGCGCACCGTTACACAAAATTATCAGTATGAAGTTAGTGGCGCATGTTAGCACTCGCACCGCCTCTGATCACTGTGTATTTATATTTATAATATTTATCCACATGCTTTGAGTTTCTACATTTAAAACACGTGTTTTCATTTTGTTTTCATTATACAAGTGCGAATTTTATGTGTGCGTCTGAATTATAATCAGAAGTGATTTATATTGAATATTTAAATTAAAACTAATTAATATTCAAGATTAAAGATTCAAAGCCTTTATTTCAACTAATACAAGAGAACAAATTATAAATGTATATAAAAAAAAACGTTCTAAGGTTTTGTTGCACAGCTGTCCTCTTGTACAGCTTGCCTTTGTGGCACTAAGGCCTCCTATTCTATTATTTTCTAATTAATATAAGAAAATAATAATAAATATAATATTAATAAATATTTATTTATTTAATTTTTCAAATTTTTCAACTGAACTTTATTGACTATAATGACTCCTTTTCCAATCTTTGATTATTTAATCGTAATTATTTGCATGCAATCAAAAACTATTTTTAATTTAGTAGGTATGCCAAAGAAGTATAACTTCTTACGCGCGTACATAAGTACACGCACCCTTTTTTTATCTTTTTGTCACATTACACCGGTTCATACCTATATCCTGAGGGTAAGATACCGGCACGAATTCCCACGGATGATCACAGCTAACATAATTTCTTACGAGAGACGAGGGGTAAATGAGATAAAAAATTGCAACACTAAATCTTTCATAGTCTAGGTTATTATGAGCCTAATTATTAAAAAACTGATTTATCTAAGATTTTCTAAACAGAAAGCATTGAATTTCACTGTAAAATATCTGACCATATTATATCATTGCAAAACCAAAGGAAAGAAATTTTTGTGTACTTACAAGTGAAACGTAATTTCATGAAGTTTTCGTTCACTACGGCTTTTACAGCCTAAAACGCTGCATCCCACCATCGTGCTTGTACTGTTTTTATCCAAATTCACTGAATACTCTTCTCACAACACAATTTTAACTATAATTTCACACAAAAATCGAAAGACGCGAGATTGTCATGAAATATTACGAACACTAATCGTGACAAACAAAAACCAGCCTGTCAACCAAGGTCATTTCATGGATTCGCCTTTCCCATCATTTCATGGATCCATCTGGGTAATCTGATCAAACAAGTCACAATACAATCATCGTAACAGTGAATTGACAAATCAAAAACCTAAGATGCAGACACTTGATTAGCTTTTTTAATTTTACACTATAGTTAGCCTACCGTCAAGGTCCTTGAATAGACACAGTAGATATAACAATCATTGCTGTAAAGTGTAACTGCGTCTCTGTCTAACTGTAAAATTCTAATCTGAAATACATACACTTCAATCTTCCCATTTCCCAAGACGATAGACTGTGGGAGAGTATATCTTTCTACTAAGTGTCAATAAATATAACACAGATATTCGAAATAATTAATGTTCACTAATATAAATTAGCACAAAAAGTTTCATAAAACAAAATAAGCACATAATTCTGGTTTTCAGACCAAATTTTATGACCAACAATGTTTTTGCAAGGTAAATGGCTACTGCAAATGATGCGTTATAATCTTATCAGTGTGACCAGATTTCATTTGACGAATCTACTGCTCGTGGAGGTTAAAAACTACTGAATTCTACCGAAAGGAACGAGAAAATACAAAAAATCTATTATATTTTTTTGCTGTTGGTTTACAACGTAAAACATGAATTTTCTTGATTAAACGATAAAATAATAAAAGTAGTAAAGATTAATTAAAGAAGCGAAGTTTTTTTAATTTAATTCTTACTACAATTTTTTTTTAAATTAATAATAATAAAATGAAACTTAAAGCTAAGATTTTTCGTCGTTATGTTGGATATTGTCATAAAGCTGTTTTGAGTCCATTAGCTTGATCATACTTTTGTCAGGATCAAATCTGCTACATCCTCCTTCCAACTGTCGTAGCCCCTCTTTTCCATGCATAATTGCAGCAACATTCTTGTTATTAAAACGATTTCTATCTTGACTTTTAATTCTATTAATATCGGAAAATATTCTTTCAACTTTGGCGTTAGACAGAGGTAGTATTGTCATTTGCTTCACAAACCGGGCCAAATTGCCATATTTTGGTTTGCTATTCGCATCGCAAATTTGGCTGACCTCACTCCAAAATTTATCCACCATAAAATTTTCAGAAGTTGAACTCGAAGTTGACAATAAATTAGACACGGAAACATCTAATTTTAATTCCCTATATTCGTTGTCAACAATTTGCATATTTTCTGTTGTAACTAAGTTAGGAAACCTTTGTAGTATTTTTATTAGAGTTCGAAATTCACCATACACTGCCTTTTGGGGATCGATAAACGACAAATCCTGCAAGAAATTATCTTGTACAGGCAGTCTTTGGAGAAATTGTTTACTTAGCTCGATCAAAAATGCTTGACATCTGTTAAGAAACTCTTCAATTTTAGATTTCATTCGAACATCATCTTTTAATAATTCCAATGTTATGGCTACGTTTGTGCCCAGGTACATGTTTTGGTATAGGAAGGAAATGCATACTTGAACTGGGATCTATTGACTGAAGCGAAGTAGTTTTAATATAATTTATCTTCATAAAACAACTCAAAATGGAACTCATCATGTTTTGTATATCTGTGTCAATTTTATGAATGAGCGTCTGATCACTTTGAAAAATAACGTTAAATTTTGTAGTTATGGGTAATATAAAATCTAAAAAGGAAAGATAAAGTTTTGTTTCATCGCTGTTAAGGTGATCAAATATAAATTGACAAGTAGCATTTGCATTCTTATTTCCTAAAAACTCATTTTGAAAAAAAAGTTTTAATGCTGACCACTGCTCTATAATTCGGTGAATGCATTGATGTAGAGAAAGCCACCTGATATCATAGTGACGAAGCATATGGTGAGTTGGAGTGTCAGTAAAATTTTGAAATTCGACAAACTCTCTTTGACGTTGGCTACTGTGAGAGAAGTATGAATAAACATCTTTGACAAACAACTCTATAGAACGAGGTAATTTTTTGCATGCATAACTTACTGAAAGATTTGTTGAGTGGCAAATACATTTAAAAAAATACAGTTTGGGTTGACTTCCCTAATTTTAGATACCACGCTATTCCTTTCGCCAAACATAACATTCGTTGTATCAGCAGCGAACCCTATTAAATTTTCTATGTTAAGGTTTCTTTCAGATAAGGCACATGTTAAACTATCAAACAAATACTGCGCAGTTTCACCTTTTAAGTCCACCATACACAAAAATTTTGTTTGTGGAGATTGCAATTTTTCTGAGTAGTACTTTATTGCTGCTGCAAGTACCTTGGTAGTACTGACATCTGTGCTTTCGTCGATAATGAGCGAAAATACTGGGCTTCTCTCAGTTTCATTTTCCAGCCTTGGACGTAATTCTGCAAGCATTTTTTCTTCGAAGTTATTGCCTAAGACGTTGTAAGCAATTGCGGCAGATTTAGTTCTTCTACAGGAAAAACGTTTTGCGATTTCAGAGTCGTGAAATGCCCTTGAAATAACTTCGCTTACGTGATCCATTACGCGAAAAGGAATATTATGTTCCACTAATGCAGCTACAATGCTGATTTCTGCTTTTTTACTTCTTCCGAAATAGTTGATGTTTTAAAAATCGTATCAATCTGTAAACAAAAAAGTTAAAAATAAGTATGCAGGACAAAAAAAAAAGTCAAAAACTAAGCAATCTTAATATATATAAATCTCGTATCACAATGTTTGTCCTCAATGGACTCCTAAACTACCGAACCGATATCAATCAAATTTGCACACCGTGTGTAGTTTGATCCAAATTAAAAGGTAGTTTAAATCTCAAATTATAGTCGCAATATTATTTTATTGCAAAATATTTGTTTATTATTTGATACAATTCTAACAGATGGCGCTGTGTTATAAGTATCAACGTTTCACATAAGCTTTCATCTACCTTTAAGATAAGTTCTCCTACCCCTAACAGATGGCGCTGTGTTAAAAGTATCAACGTTTCACATAAGCTACCTTTCACATACGTTCTCCTACCGTTTCCCTTGAATAGTTTACTACTATGTAATATAACAAAAACCTTAGCCACAGCAACGCTTGGCCGAGTCTGCTAGTTTTAATATATCATTTAAATAAATAAACATGCATAAACACACATAGTTGTATAATAATAATTGTTATGTAAATGTGTAGATAATAAACATACTTAAAACAGCGAAAGTTTGTTTTTGAATGGAAATCATAAGGTTTAGAACATAATACGGGTTCACGATGAAAGTATTAAATTTTTTTAACAAAAATAATTAACTAAGACTTACATTCCACATATCAATGTAAGTACCTTACGTACCTTAGAAATGCCGGAATATCCTTTCATGTTTTTTATATGCTTTGATGTAGCCATATGTTCCTTTAAAGATGCCACTCTACTTAGTACTTCACAGTTGCATGCTTTACAATGAGCACTCGTAGTGTTTACTCTAGATTTAGACAACCAACTTTTAAATGAGGGATCTTGCTCCCATTCATCGCGATATATTTGTGTATATTTACGTTTCATTATATACTCGATTATATAAATTCTCAGTAAAGGTATTCCCACTAATCACAATATGCTCACGAGTCACGGAACGAATGGTTTATAGTAACGAAAATAACGAAAATTCAATAGAACTTACCACCCAATCGATGAAAGGGGAATACCCCGCATTTATTCGATGTGTCCAAAAAAGTACCTACTAGAATAACTGATAAACGTGAATTCTACTAAAATATACCAAATAATTTTTACATACTAAATTCTGTTGCCAGTACCTCAAAATCTACCAAAAAAGTAGAAATCTACTAAATCTGGTCACACTGAATCTTATTTTTGAAAAAATTGAACAGTTCACAGTATTCCTTATTATTACCGCGTATAATACAGTGAGGTAAATATATATCCAAAGTCGTGAAAACTCCGAAATATTTGTGATATAATTGTCAATTGTATAAACAACATCAAAAACCTTTTAGTAATTGAAATACTGCAATTAAAATACGTTTCACCCTTAACTGACCAATACAATCAGTTTTATCGGACCATATGTTGAATATTAAACAGACTAAGAAGTGTATTGTGATTTATGCGTGGAAATTTTGTTCATACAACGCATTAAAGCGGCCATATTGTTCATTGTAGTCCTGTGTCGGTTATGAACGACCGAGTCAAAACGACCGAGTCCCAACAATCGCGTGATTGATACAATCGTTCACAGCCGCTATATCCCAATCATGTTTGACCGACACGACCGTTCGGTCTCAAAGCGAACGCTATGAAATGGTAGCTCCTCGGTTACTATCGGCTCTCGGTCTCATAGAATATTATTCGCGATTGACATACACTCGGTTAATCTCTGAAGATCGAAACTAGGGTCAAGCTATATTGAACTTTAATACTAAGGTGCGAAGGTAATAATTTTCTTTCGTATCTCGATTCAAGGAAAAAATGTTCGTAACACGTAGATATTAAGGGCTATTTTAACATGTGGATTTTAACATGCTTTTTGTTTACGTTCAAATTCTAAATGTAAACAATCGCCGTTGTAATTATTTCACTTATGATTTGTATAAGCATTTAAATTTATAGAGTCAATTATTATTATTTAAAGTTATTAGGTGGAGATTGTGATTATTTAGACTCTTAACTTCGCTTTGGATATTTAAAAAGTAGTAACTATTGTTTTATATGGTGCCGTTTTATTTCTAAATCATAATAGCATAATTTTCTTTGTTTATTGGATTTTAATAAACCATTTTCCATTTTTTAAGTTTTTATACCATTACCAGGAATCATTACCTAGCTTATTTCCTGTAAACTACGAAATTGTTGAACGATGGCCATTAAATTTGCTCTACGCCGGTCGCCGCCTTTTGTTTTGCACTCAACGAACGGTGACCGATCGAATCCTTTGACTCGGTCACGAGTGCGATCGGTCACGATCGACCCGGGTCGCGAGAAATGAACGACCGACACAGGCCTAGTTCATTGTCATTGTTTACGTTTATGCTTTGATTACATGCCTACACAGACGCAAGATAATATAGATTATAGAGAGCTGCTTGTTAATTTTTATAGATATTACAAAAACATAATATCATGTATTTATTTTTATTTACTTAACCTAAATAAGATGTCTTTTAATTTTATTATGCATAAATCTAAATCAATGAATATGACAACACTTTGACACTAATTTACATATTTAATCAATGTTTTCCGTCCTTTTTCTCTTCTTTATTTATAAGTTCCGTTCCGTATAAGTTGTACTACCTGTCTGGTACATTTTATAACCAGAGATTCGTACCATAAAATGGCTGCCATTGTTTAGGGTTGGCAATACCATGTCATGTAAAGTTCTTCTTAGCATAACGTAGATACAATTTATTCACATCTTCGTATTATATATAATATTACACTTTTAATATATTTTGGACGATTTTAGCAGTTTTATAGTGTAATACGAGCAGTGTTTTATCTCTTTTTTAAGGCTACGTTTAGGTCACAACGGTATGCGGCGGCAATAATAAAATACGTTACAGTAGTTTGAAGAGAGTGACGGAAAAAATTTAGGTACCGAGAGCGAGACAATACCTATCACATTATATGTTGCTTTCGTAAGCCACTCTCTACTACAAACTTAAAGAGGACAAAGTCAATAAAATCATGAGTATTCTATTTTTATGCCATGATTTGTGCACATAGTAAATTTCGAGAAAATGAACGCTCATGATTTTAATATAACTTACTTGATATGGAAATATTGATGGCAGTGAGTTGTCACGAAGTCTCATAACATCGAGAGTTTTATTAAAACAGCTTTTTTCAAAATGCAGTGAACAGAGGAACCACTCCTTTTGACCAGGATTGATGTTTCTCTCACCGATGGCCTGAAACCATCTTTTCCTCAAAACTTCATTCTTCGGAAATCTACAGATTAAATTAAAATTAAATTATGTTGATATAGGGCAACCCTATTCAAGTATACAAGTTACGCAAAATATAAATAATTAGCTAATACAAAACATATACATAACCGATTTTTAAAAGCATAAGTTTAGTCTTCAAGAGTGTCTAGTTTTATTTTTCAATCAGAATTATTTTAATATAGTTCTATTGCTATAAAACGGGGTACTAACCTATGAAGCGTCAATTCAGGTTGTTTTTTGTTTTTTCTTGCACCACACACTAAAATACAACACTTAGCCATTTTTTGTAACAGTTTACTTTTTTTTAAACTGATATTCGCGTCGGAGCCCCAAATCTCTTTTTTTAATAACTATTTGACGGCACAACTAGCACCGATCACGACGAAGTTAATGCATAACAAGCGCATATCATGGCGGATTCTGACAGATGCCTGAACATTTAAGATATTTTTTAAAAAATTGAAGTAGGTAATAACTTAAATATATATGTATAATGTAACTTTCAATTCAATTGTATTATAGAAACATACATATTAAGTTATTGTTAATTGCGGTATCTATAATTTAATGACGTTGACAATTGAAAGTAACTTTTATGTTAGCGCCAAACTGGTAAAACAATACCTACAGGCCACAAGAAGACTCGACAGTCGACACTCGTGAGTGTGACTCGACTCGAGATCGTAAGAATAATTAAAATAATAATTCTATTGTTTATACTCTGTAAGTCCCTGTAACTTCGTGAAATAATATTACTACTTCGTAAAAATCGGAAATAATTGGTTTTGTTGTCCAATGTCGACTAATCACAAAGCACAGCACTAAATTTATGACAACTTTTAAGAACAAAATATGTGATGTCAGCTGTATCACTAATTAATTATACTATATTATATAAACTCACACAAGACTGATTTTAGCTAGGTAGCTTATTTATCATAAGTTTATTCTTAATTCTTATTCTTTTTTTTGATTAAAAGGATCAATTTACTTCTATTTTGTTTTCAAATAATGTTATTTACATAAATTGTTTTTGTACTGTTAGACTTTAGTGTCATAAATATGATAGTCATGATGTGTTATATTAGAGTTTTCATATGTAATAATAGAGTAAATAATATCTTTCTACTTAACAACAATAATAAGTAACAACAAAGTAAAATTTTATCAATGAGATGTTGCCAGAATTATGATAACATGACTGAGGCCGACAGCTGTATTGTGTTGAAATATTATACAACTCAAAATACAACAAGTTACTTATTATACGCCAAATTACCTGGGTAAGGTTTTAGAAATAAATTTACCTTCATGAAAAGTGTAGGTATTGAATGTGGATTCAAGTAGGTTCTATTTGATTTTTGCTGGAAGCAACTGGGGTCAAAATGTTTAGAGCAAATCCGAGAATGACTCTTTGGGTTCCAATTAATTCGACGAGTACACTTAATCCATGCATCTTTTAACTGTGGATTATTGGGAAAACTGAAAAAAAAGACAAACTATTATTTAGTTATTTATCAAGAGCTTTTGATCTTACATAGTAGTAATTAGCATAATATGCATAGCACGCCACCACTATGTGGAACCAGCTATCTTCCAATGTATTTTCAAACCTATTTGTCTTAGGGTTCTTCAAGAAAAGAGTGTACCAATTCTTAATAGGCCGGCAACCTACTCTTGAGCCCTCTAGCAATGTGAGTGTCTATGGGCGGCGGCGGTATCACTTAACATCAGATGAGCCTCCTGCCTGTTTGCCCCCGGTTACATAAAGAATACAGAAAAATATTTACCTATTGACAAATATAATTTATTTTATATAATATTCTTAGCCCCACAAATTGGTTAGTGAGAAATTGAAAACAAATTATGTTATATGAAAACAAGTATTTTGAATATTCAAGAAGTTTTATGATGACGATAATAAATAGATAAATCTCTCTTATAAAAATTTATTTACATTTTTCATTAATATTCTAAATATGTATATAATTAAAAATTAATTTTGTTTTATACCACTTACCGATGAAAGGTTATGTTTGGCTGATTTCGTTCAGTGCGATTTTTACAGCCATATACATTGCAATTCACCATCACTATCTTTTAGACCCTAAAAAAGGACTTTATAACTTTAATCGATCAAAATACTTTTTAAGACAACAATTTATCTGGCTTCAGTTCCTGGTGGCATACGCAGGGTTGCCAACTCCTACAAAAGGTTCCCGCTAGGACCAACTTCAAATACCTAAATGTCGATCAAAAACCCCTAGTTTTTGTTGTACACTTGGTTTGAAAGGTATTTTTAAATATGAAGTAAAAAAAAGAGTGCGTTTACTTATGTACGCGAGTAAGAAGTTATACTTATTTGTCATTATTAAAAATAGTTTTTGATTGCATGCAAATAATTAATTACAATTAAATAATCAAAGACTGGAAAAGGAGTCATTATAGTCAATAAAGTTCAGTTTACATTTGAAAAATTAATTAAATAAATAAATATTATTATTCTCTTACATTAAGTGTTACATAACTTCTATTATTATTCGAATGTTGTTTTTAAATAATGTCCAATGCCGTAGCATCTTCCGTGGGCAACTTCATACTAATAATTTTGTGTAACGGTGCGCGCGCATCGTAAAATTTCACTCTCATCAATTTCTCATAACGCGCCTTAAGAAGTACAACTTCAAAAACGAATTGCTTCAATGTGTTTTTTTCCTTCTAATACAATATTATTAAATGTCATTGGGATAAGCTTCTAATATTTCGGCGAAGGGATCGGCCTGGCTATCGCACTGCGTTTTGCTGTTGCTGATATTTTTGATCAAATGGTCAGAAGGAACAAATTTGACACATAAAATTATTGTTTTTAGATATATAAGGATACGATTTATAGAATCGTGTGTTTGTAGAGAAAAAAGGGTGCGTGTACTTATGTACGCGCGTAAGAAGTTATACTTCTTTGGCATTATTAAAAATAGTTTTTGATTGCATGCAAATAATTAATTACAATTAAATAATCAAAGACTGGAAAAGGAGTCATTAAAGTCAATAAAGTTCAGTTTACATTTGAAAAATTAATTAAATAAATATTTATTATTATTCTCTTACATTAAACAAATAAAACACTATTTATCTTTAAAACATTTTTATTTCATTATACTATTTATTTTTAAGTGACTCTAATGTCTTCATCAGAATTTCGGTTTGTAATTTTAAATTAATCATTACTTGGTTATGCATCTACGAGGCTTCTCCAAAACTACTTGCTTTCTGGAACAAATAAGAGAATATTAATTTAAGCTCTGTCCATGCAAAACTTAAAATTTTTTATAATTCATATTATAAATTTTTTAACACATTTATATTAATATAATTATATAAATGTGTTAATAATATAATTTGTAGCACATGCTACAGACCTGGATAGCAACTTTCTTTTATTCCATTTAGAGATAGAGATAATTTAAATATAATACCGGTGTCTTCCTTGTAGGTTTCTTTGGAGTTGTTTGGGGATTCTTGTTGTTCAGTTCGACATGATTTTCTTTAACCTTTCTTTAATCCTACAAAATAATGAAATTGTTAAGTTATGTTGTCACTGTTGTGCACACCTTTGTTTGGCTTTTTTAGTATTCAAGTTATGTCAAAACTGATTTATTACCTTGTCATTGTTGGCTTTATTTGCTTTTGGGATATCAATTGTTTCGAAAATGATTTTATTTGTAATAACCTGAAATATATAAATAACATCTATTAATTTAAGTATCATGGTGAGTGGTTCGCACTCAGGTATTAAGGTGTATTATACCCACTGTCCATTATAAGTGGGAATGGGCTCACTTCTGGCAGGACAGAGTTTCGGTACTACAAGTGCAACATGGATGTTTTGAGGTATTACAATATCTCTAACTACCCTGTAGGGGAATAAAGTAATGTTGTAAGCATATGCCTATGCTTGAAAGGTTGAACCTTGAACATCACCATACATCATATTTATAATTAACATTCCTACCTCGACACCATCACAATCAAATTCATTGAAATCTACTTCAAACCATTGTGTCTCGAGAAGGTGATGGTGGCTTTGTACCACCTCCAGTTTTTGATGTTTCACGGCGATAAGATGACAACTCTTTTTTGTATTCAATTTAGTGCACTTCCACTGATTCATCAATTGTTTTTTGTCTCTTGTCCTTATATTTGCTATATTAAATCTGATGTTTTGATTAAATAATGTGGTCATTTTTTTTGAGATGCAGGTACTTATTAAAATGTTTACTTCTCTGTTATATCGCTCCAAGCCTTCATTTTCTCCTTATTAGTATTCGTGCTTAAATCTTTGTTCTCAATTATTGATATATAGGGTCGTAGAATATTTCTAAAAAGTTGCTGTAACAAACGCAATAAACAAAAGCAATGAATAATGGTTCATGTTTCAGTTTTAATCAACAATAATACTCGATAATACATACGGATAGTTAACCTCAATTGTATTGAAGCACTCAGGAAGGTTAGCACAGTTTTTTCACAAATATTTTATATTATTTCACAAATATTTTGTATAATGAAAATAACTAGGTATATAATTATTAATTTTAAACAATAATTAAAACTCCTATATTTGTTTAAAAGGTAAATGTCATTGTCAGATGTCAATTGTCATGGTCATTCAAAATTCTTGTTAAGCTGCTAAGCTAGAATATGCGTGAAGTTAGCTTCACGCATATTCTATTTCTTTTACTTGTAGTTTGTCTTATTCCCATCTCGCTCGCGCACGCTATATCACACTGCCAATTTTGTGTCATAGGTGCGCGCGCAATCGTAAAATTTCACTCTCATCAATTTTTCATAACGCGCCTAAAGAAGTACAACTTCAAAAATTCTTGAATAAAGTACCTCCTGAAAAACCCCCTGGAGATCTTGAATACTCCTAAATTTGGGGGGAAACCCCCAAGTTGGCAACACTGGGCATACGAATGAAAGTAATACATTTGTATTTAATATTATGTACTATGTACGAAAAAGAAAGACAAATATTATGCATTCTTTGTCCTGACTTTATTTGAAACATTTATGCCACAGGGCACAGACCAAGTAGAGATACTAACTAATAACGAATTTTCTAAAACTAATATCTTGTGACATCATGCGTCTTTATGAGAATTGTGAACTATTAAAAAATTCGCTTATTGAGGTAAAAAAATTAATAGAATACTTATTACTTAAATAATCTTTTGATTTTCTAGATGTGCAAGATTTATGCTACTTATTACTTACTGACGAGTGACGAATGGTTAAATTTGGTTCATTTCGTTCCTGAGACTTGACATAATAATAGTAGAAACTGGAAACTCGATTAACCGGACTAATTGTGGTCGTTATTCGTCAAGCATTCGGATACTCGTATGTATGAACAAAAGCGGTTTTCGTTGATTAAAAATAACGAAAATCAATGTTTAATTAATTTTTTTTACTTAACTAATGCTTTTTCATAGCGCAAGGGCTAGATATCGGCTCACGGCTGCCGAGTTGATAGTTTTTTTTAAACCAAATATACAAAGCGTCTTCTAAAAGTTCAATTGCATTTCCGATGTTTACTTCCGTTTTCACTATCTTATATGCAGGTGTACAATAAATTAATTGAATCGGTATTTTGCCAGTTTTGACTTTTGACACATTCATGCCTGTGTAAATTCGGCTTGTAGAACTGTATGTCTATTTAATATAATTGGTCGACCGTTGCAGTTAGTAGAGTTATTTCTGTATAATATTGCAATATTCCATTAAAAATAGCACTTAGAAGATAATTATTAAGTATTCCTGATATCTTTAATTTGAGTTAAGCTCATTACTATATATATATATAATTTACTAGTTACTAAAGTTCAATGACATAATACCTATGTTTAAGAGAAACGGTAGGGATTATTCCAGTTTCGTAACTATTAAAATTTTGAGACCTTATTTTGTATCCGTAAATGTTTCACAAGTGAGAGCAATAAAATTAGACTACATAATGTGACCATCTTATTTTAGTTATACTTTATTATGTTTTAGTAGTATGGTAACTTGCTGTTTAAAGATAAAATAATTATTCCTAAAATTAAACTATGAATTATAACGTGTTTAATCCATAAAATGCTTTAATAGCATTAAACAAAACACTGTTCATGTTCAATAACTCATCAATGGGACCGAGGCCTTTTTATTATTTCTGAATCTGTTTCATTGATCATTTAAGGCAAGTAATCAATCAACTTTCTATGCCTACCAATCCAAAATAACTATCATTCCACATAGGGTAAAATAACCTGGAAGGCCATAAACTAAAAAACAAATTATATCATTCTTTGTTGTTAACCCCCCATAGTTTTATTTCATCTTCAGAAGCGGATAATAAAATGCTATCAGATGGATGGTGACTAATTGACACCACCGGCTTATTAAACTTATGAACTAACTTATTAGTAATATTACTACTAATTAAATCCCAGTAAAATATTTCACCAGTGGCAGAACCAGAAATGATCTGATTATCTTTGTCATTAATACAATTTTCAAGCAAATAATCATTAGTCTCATGCCCCATAAACGTATTTAAAAGTTCTCCTGAATCTTTATCTATTAATTTTATGGTTCCATCTGAACAACTTAAAACAAGGCATTGCCCATCATGTGTTAAACTTCCATGTGTTATAATGGAACCAATATAATCGGAAATCATTTTTCCAATTCGTAGATCATATAATCTTGTATGGCAATCTACAGAAGTAGTTAAAACCTCATGATCAGTAACCTGTATGGATGTTATAGTATCTTTAGCATCTCTTAGTGTCTGTACTGGCTCCTGTCTTCTACTAAGAACATCCCAAAAAGCTACTGTATTGTCTATGGATCCAGATATTGCCATGGTTGATTCTTCATTGAATTTTATACATGTTACTGAGCTTGCATGGGCCCTATACCTGCGCAAAGGTTGACCAGTAGTAACATCCCATAGGATAACAGATTTATCAGAACTACAAGATACAATCTGACTATTATCACTTGAACCTGCCACATCTAACACCTCATTTGCATGACCTCCATAAGTTTTCAAGTGCAAATCGTTATGCGGGTTCCATAATTTAATTTTTTTATCAGCGCCGCAGGTTAGGCAATAACTGCCATCGATATTAAATCTCACTGCTCGAACAACTTGCTGTTTGCAGTGTATTGTAGAAAGCAACTCCAATTGTAATGTTTCAGTCATTCTTTGACTTACAAGATAGGTGCTTTGATATACATATTATTAAAAAATCCTTAATTAGCTTTACTATTAAATTGCAACCGTGTGCTGTGGTATCTGTGTATCACAGATTACTTATTAGTATACTAGTAGCGACTAGCGGTAGATAATTCCATATAAATTATTACCAATATCATAAATCGAATACGAAGTTGGAGGTTTGTAAACAAGTTGATATAATATTTTCAACTTTTGATTTTGTACTTTTGATGGTGTAATGGTACGATGTTACATAGTGTTTTTTTTTTAAGATTTTGGCCTGGTATCTAGACCTTTAGGCCATCTGTATAGTGAATGTAATGTATACAGTTTTGACAGATAATAATAGAGTATTGTAGAGCCTAGAAATCAGCATAGACTATTTATGAATGCATATATCTGTATATAAATTATAAACAGATAAAGTATTTTAATGTGTGTTTTAGATTATATTATATTATCATCTTTTCTAACTTAGGTTTGACATTTCTTACTTGGAAAACATTGTAAAGTAATTATAGTTATTTTATTCAAATAGATGTAACATCTAGTGGTTAATATTTAATACCACCATTGACCATAAATCAGAGTTCTAAGCTAAATTTCACTGTCATTTGAAATCGAATTGGAAACACAAAGACAAGTGAAGAAAGTGATTTTTATCAATGTGATTTGTCAAAAAACAAACAATAATAACTGTAGCATATTGAGTAAGTTTTAATTCATATTCTATCTTTTTAGTGTAAATTTAAATATACAAAATAATGCGTTATGAAGATAAATCCAAAAGCTCTTGTCTTATGCCCGCCTATGTATAGTAAAAAAGGTTCTTAAAGTTAGGTGCTTAATATGAGTTTTAAAATATTTAACTTTTATTGTGTCTAAAGCATGTCGGCTCCCTCACTATTATCCTTCACTGTACTTGCAAGTATTAAATGCTCACATAGAAAGTACATTGTTGCACAGTTAGGGAATTAGCCTACATCATCAGGGATTAGAGTTGCATGCTGAAGCCTCTAGGCCAACAATGCTCTCTCTCTATTCACAAAAACAGGTTCCAATATAATAACAGTTATTTTTTTTTATTTAAAGAATTCCTTGATACATGCACCTTTGCCCAGCGCAAGTAATGTAAGCTCCCAAAAATTTAGCTAAAGCCCGTTGCCTTCCAAAAATTAAAATTTGAAACATTAACTCCTGAGATTCCCCTATTCAACCAAACAAACAATGGTTTACATACTAAAATGTTTAAAATAAGATGTGGGTCGCTTTGGATGATATTTGTATTAGTTACAATGTTTCTTTTTAGTATATGATTTGGTCCTTAATGTCATAAAAATCTAAAATAGTTGCTTTTTGCGCAAATATTATAGTTGAAATTTAGAATTTACTATTATGTGGGTAACACTGAAAATGTTTAGAATGAATTTAAATTTTAGAAATCTTTGGTAACCTTATTAAAAAAAAATTTGGTCACTGATTTATTGTGACTTGTGGGCTTACTCAACAACAAAGCTATGATAGGCAATTAGAATTTCTAAATGAAGCCCCATCTCGTGCCACTATTTACAACAATTGGTTTAACGAGTTCGAGGACATAGTAATCTCAATGATGATCCGCGTGAGGGACGTCCTTTAACAGCGACTAGTGAATATAACATCAGTGCTGTGCGTTGCATGATAGAGGAAGGTAAGAGAGTGACCTATCAGCAGATACGGGCAAGCCTAGGCATTGGTATGAGTCAAGTTCAAAAAATATTACACGAACATTTAGGCGTCAGGAAGCTTTGTACCAGATGGATTCCCCATACCTTAACCGAGAAACACCTTCGCGTCCATGCGAAGGTCCATGGTGCGTCCATGGTGTTGCTAAATGTTAGATAAGTTCAACGGCGGTGACTCAAATGCTGTATTTGACATCGTCACAGGTGATGAAGGCTGGATATATTGCTACCAACCCGAAAACAAAAGATAATCAGCTCAGTGGGTGTTTCCTTTCGAGGATCGGCCAACTAAAGTAAAGAAAGGAAGAAGTCAAGGAAAAAAGATGATTGCCTCATTCTTTGGTCGAAAAGGTCATTTCGTGACAGTTGTGCTAGAAGATGGAAGGACAGTTACTGCAGACTGGTATGTCAATCGCTGTTTGCCTGTTGTCTTCGAAAAAAATCGACAGTAGCGTCCTCAAAGCAGGATCCTCCTCACCGCGACAATGCTTCAGCGCACTCCGCAAAACCGACTGTTGAATATGTGACTATGGCAGGTGTAGAGATAATGAGTCATCCGCCATACAGTCCTGACCTGGCGCCCTGCGACTTTCATTGATTACCAAGAACTAAAGATAAAATTCGAGGTATTTGCTTTACGAGCGCCGAAGATGCGGTGAAAGCGTACGAAAATGCCATAGAAGAGACCCCTAATAAGAATGGGCCCACTGCTTTTCTCAGTGGTTCCATCGACTGCGACAATGTGCAAAGAGGAACGGAGATTACATCGAAAAACAATAAAGTATTGGCAACTTTCTACAGTAAGCAGTTTTTCATTTTCTAAACATTTTCAGTGTTACCTAGCTACTATTTGGCAGTATTTTGTTGATTTCTATATTCATATTTTTACAAAGTGAATATGCTAGTCTACAGTGCAAATGTCTTGCTCAAATTAGAATTTGAACCACCAATAATCGTTTATTTTCAGAAGTAGTATTATGGCGGCAGTGAAAAAAATTGACAACACTCACACAAGAAACCAAGAAAAACGAGATGTGATTAATAATGAACTCTCATCTACATCTAGCGAGGAAAACCAGATCTCCGTGAAAGTTTATAAAAAAAGGTATTTCAAACCAAACATTCCCTTTATTGTGTTCTTTATAAGTCAAATTATATTTTATGTAATTGGATGATTTCACACAAACCAAAATAAAAATACCTCACGAGACAAATTTTGCTTTACTTTGTGTTCAAACATATCCAACAACTTTATCATTGAAATTGTTATAAGGAAACTGCTATATCGTTTTTAATTTTTTGGCCCATCCTGGGGTTCGATCTCTAGAGCTAGTCGCCAGGCCAATAAAGTAGTTTAAAATACTTGGGTGTGGGTACGAAACTCAGTCCCTCTCGCACGTACAGACAAGGATTTATATTTTTGATGTTTTTTGCTGTTGGCTACACAAATATATCAAGAAATATTAATACTACAGGTATAAAGACTCTACATCAGACAACGAAATGGACAGACGGCTCCAACGAAACCACTATAAGTCAATGGGGAACATAAATGAAGGTTTCAGGGAAGGAAAGGGATTTAGGGGAGGGAAAAGAAGTAGCATTAGTGTGAGTAATGTGGATTTGAGCCTGCACAGCGAAGAGATTAAGAAATTTGATCGATTGCAAATACCAATTGTTGGGTACGTATTTAAACTTATATGGCGATACTTTGCAAGAGAGGTAACGTGACCAAGTGTCGCCTGTCGCTTAGTATTATTGTCTAGAGCCTTTGTCTATGACTATGCCTGCCGTATGTCAAAATCCAATACATTATCGACGTTTCTTGTCTCGTTTTGTCATCTTTGAATCATATGTCAAAGGATTCACGAACGAATCGAAAGATCAAAGGAGGAATTAAAGTTTTTGGGTTTTACACAGTTACCCAATTGGATACTCTGATTATCGTGAATAGTAAAGTTTGTTAAAATGTAGGGGGGTAATCCGACATCATACGGGTTGATTATTTTTTTAATATTCAAGGGTTCGATCTGGGGCGGAACAATAGTCGTTATAAATAAAGGCTTCCAATTTCACATATAAAGTACCGGCAAACTTCTTGAGCATTAAACAAGGGAGTGGGGGAAAGTTTGCGCATCGCGGGACACAAACGTCAGCTGATTTACCAATCACGCGATCGACACGTCACTTTCCCGCCGCCCCCTTCCCAGTGAAACACAAAAAGCGCTTCTGCGCAGTCAAGGACATTTGTTCATGATGTTTACCGGTATCTGTATATAGTATACTTTTTTTAAATAACCCATTTTTTGTGATTGTCATTTGTGAACTAGCTCACTAGTATATGTGTTACAAGCAAACACATAAAAGTTTATTTTTCTGTTTGCAAAAACACTAATAGTAAAAGTTCATCCAAATTATATTGAGCACGAAAGCGTAACGAATTCATTCACTTTCACATATTATTCGTTACTTAAACAAAATGTTATGTTATCCATATTTTTATAATATCAATTATAATAATACGTATCAGTACCTCACCATAAAAATATCAGTATTTAACCTATACAATCATAATGTATTTTTATTGCTTTTAAAAGTGGGCATTTATTCAATGCAGATAAGCAATTAACTGTACTTTTTTGTGGTAGTTGGTCGAAAGCGTTTCTTACGAACACTGCCTCACGATGAGCGATGTATGATTGAGTTCTAGAGAAAAGTTTTACCTCCCGAACCCAATAACCTATCTCAATCCATAATCCACCATCTGAGATAGTAATCTTAATCCAAATGTTGTAACACGTGTGCCAATAACCAATCAACGGTTATAATTGTAATAGCAATCTGTCGATACAAGCAATCCTGGGAGGTCGTATCGGAGTCTGTGGATAGACCTTTGTATGAAAATGATAGTTGACGAAAGCTCGATTTCAACAGTTATTTATTTTAACAGATTTTAACTTACACCAGTTTTTTAAATAATTAAAATAACTGTTTTTTATGTTTTAAACATACACATGTATATTTTAATGTTATTTGTACGGTTTTATTTACTTTATTTAGTTTACATTGACTATCAAATATGAGTGAAAACTCGGTAAAATGGAACGACAAAGAGCTGTCTGTCGCCAAAAATGGATTGTCTTCGTAGGGTTTGGTTATTGGGATGCAGATAGGACATCGATCGACTGTCACGGTATGATCTCACATTGTTTTCAATCTGAGATTGTGGATTAATTATTGGGTTCGGGCTTTAGAGCTTAATAATGCCTAAAAAGTTTGCGACACCATTTTATAATCAGCCCGTGCGAAACCTTATTAGCTTATTACTTTTGTAAACTTAGTTTCGCCCGATATCTTCAGTATTTCATATTTTCGCTCGGTCATATGTTTTTCCTCGCCAAAAAATAGTCTTACACGAGAATTTGATAAATCGAATCGGCTTCTGATATTGTCGGCTATGGAACTTCACTTTGAAATGTGTATGAATAAAATAATAAAAAAAATAATAATAATAATAAAATTACATAGGTACATCATTATGGACATAATAATATTCGATGAAAGTTAGCGTTTGTTAAAACAATGTATATGTTCAGACAGTGTGAGTCCTCCTCCAACTGTGGGCATTGGGCATACATACAGAAAAATGTATATTATAAGTAGTAAGCAAATGTCATAGCTGTCAGTAAATTTTACGACTATTGTTTTACGCATATCATTAATAAATTAACCGCATGAAGTTAGATAGTTAAAAAAATAAATTCTGATACGTTTGTAAATTGAGATATTATTATTTTTTGCAAAATATAGAAGTCTGATCCTTACCAATTGTAAAAAATATAAGGCTCCTACCTAAAACCTAAAAGGTTTTTTGTATGTAGAACGTAGAAAGCTCTTTATTAATCTTAAAACTTTCCGTTTTCGTTAAGGATGTAAAAAATTCGTTTATTAAACTTTATAGATACGAAGTTATGGAAGAACGCGCAAGATTCACAATATACAAGTTAAAAGTGGAGGATGACTCTCGGGACCAGTCATGGCTTGTTTTTCGACGTTACACAGACTTTGTTCGCTTATATAACCGGATACGAAGTGAACGACCGGATATCATACTACCCCTACCAGGTAATCCTTACATATTATACAATTAAGGCCCGGCCGCGTCTATTTGTATGACCAATAAAGTCAAAAATTGCCGAACAAATTTTGTACGGTGATTCCTAAAGGTTTGGGTGCGTATTTAATTTATTGACCGAAATATAACGTTTATTGTTGAAGAGGTTGCGAGATATATTGCCAAATACACGAAATCCAACACAAAGCTAGGCTAGCTGTCATCTCTCAGCTCTCTCATCTCCAATGTTTACACTTAAATTGCTAACACTCTAAACTCTCTACAGTTGAATGACGCAGTCATGTTTATTTATAGCTTTCATGTAGAGGGAAAACGATCGTGGAAGCAATATGAGCTTGGACGTTTCTTGTCCGCAGCGCCAAAAAATGGAACGTCTTCACTGCATCTATTTTTTCTTGGTGTTCTTCAAGGGCAAATTGGGATTTACTAGCCAACTTTCAAATGAGATGCGCCTAAACACCTGGCTAAACATAATATATATTTATTTTTTAGGAAAACGTCTCTTTAGAGACAATTTTGAGCCAGCGTTCCTCGAAGAGCGCGTACGCGGCCTACAAGCATTTATCAATTCCGTCCTGAATAAGCTACCAAACGACTCAACTGTCCGTGAGTTTTTTTGCTTAGACGAACCACCTCAGGTGTTTACCTACCAACCAGAAGTACAAGCGGTATATGGAGCATTGGAAGATTCTATAACTACCCTCAAAATGCAGTTAAAACAGAAAGATGCAACAATAATGCATTTACAAAAACAACTCGCTCAAATGGAGGTTAAAGTAAAGGGGTGTCCAAACTGCTCCAAAGTACAAATTTAGGTTAGAATGGCTCTTACTCATTGGGAATATTTAATTTTCGTCATATGCCATATTAAAGTTTCGCGTTAATTCCGGTTCGAAGGACCAGGTAACAAGTAACAAACAGGGTTTAAAATGAATATTATAAGTTTGTAAAAATAATTATATGTCAAAATAAGTTTTTGCGAATAGAATCTCGAATAGTTAGGTGTGCATCACTTAAAAAGCAAATATTAAGTCTTTCTAGTGAATTTGAGCCTTAGAGTATGCATTTATTTTATTTTTTAATACATTCGTGAATAATTATTCATTTATATAGTTTAAATAGTTAAAACTCACCAAAAAATTTATAATTTCGTGATTTATTTTTTTACAATATAGTAAAGGTGCTATGTAAGTATTTTACGTTAAGTTTAATAAAATATGTAACTTAATGTCCACTATGTATTGGTGGGATACAAAAGCCGGCGCCATATATAGCTCACTTGTTTTATTCTTCTTATTGGCATAAAACTTTGAATTTGTATTCAAAGATTTGCACTTTGCCTTTTGGTTTTTAACGCATATTCAAGCGTATAAAGTTGTAAATGCTTAGCCTGCCACACTCGCGCACGTATTGGATCTAAAGACAAAATCAATCGTGACCTACACGCCTCGGAAACTGAAGAAAGTTTTTGCAAAGCATAATATTTGCACGATGCGTCAATTTGTTTTCAGCTTTCACAGAAATGTTCAAATTTGTAAAGGATTCTGGCTCCGTCTGGCGCCAATGTCCTTAACCTTGAAAGATACGTCTACGCCACTTTCTTATCTGTCAAAATACTGTTGACAGAAGAGTATCATTTCCATCCATTCCTTTCTCTCTGGAACTGGTCTATGAAAAGAAATGCTGATTCTAGTTTAACCTAATGTATTAACTCGTTCGCATTGACTTTCCTAATTCGTACAGTTTATAACAAGAATTTTATTACAACGACGTGTGTTCGTGCTTGCGTTTATTTCAATTATTATGTCCACAGAATACAAAAAATACGAAACGTGTAGCATGGAGTACAAAAAACGAAAATCTATTGTTTTAATTTTATAACGTTAATCAATCTTACGTATTGTTGGGCACACAATATTTATCTAGCTATATATTATATTTTATAGCCTGTCTTTTGTTTTGAGCAGTGTTGGTTGAAGTTGTGCACCCGTGGATTTTCCTTTTTAAGTGCGCATTAAACACTCGCTCGTACGGTGAAGGAAAGCATGGTGAAGAAATCGGATCATATTAGATATTTGTTGAATCCTATCATTCAAATAACACATCAGTGGATAGTATAGTGGATGTAAAGTTTGAATATTTGTACAAATATTGTTAGGATAAGGTCATACGCTTGTATGACCGCTTGGTCTTTAAGCAGTTAAGTATATTATTAATTAAAAGTATTTATTTATGAGTGGAAAATAATTTCGCTAGATTTTGATATAACAAACATAGATGAAACATATTTAAAAGTGTTTAAATACCGAATTCTAATAATAGTTTAAATGACCACGTCCATAGCTTATATTTTTGTCAGAATTAATATATACAGTGCAGTGTTGTGATAAATAAACCTATGTACAAGCAATAAAGTGCCTTATATGTACAATTTTACTATGGTATAAATGTAGTTTTAAGGTGTTATAAAAATATTATTACAATAATTATTAATTTGATAGTAATTGAAAAGTATAAGAGTGATATCTATTTAGTAAGTTACGGCAATAGTATGTTTAACACGCCACGTTGCCGCTTGTCAAATTAATTGTTAGAGACAGAAATTATTGTCCGTATTTCGTTACTTTAATTAGTTTATCGCTCTATTCATAATTATTGATGAATTTCCAAAATGTTTAGTATTTACTACCGTTTATTACAATAAAATTATTTAATACAATGACGTTTTTACTCGAGCTATCTGTATATTCTTCTAACCTGTATAGTGTATAGACTTCTTTCCTAATTACAGTATTCTTTGAGACTAAATGACAGATTTTAAATAACGTATATTAATGTTTGTAAAATGAAAAAGAAACTTGTGGTCTTACTGTAGTACTGATTTTAGTCTATTACCCTCACGTTAAATGGTCGGTTAGACTGACGCCGATAATATGAGAATCTTGCAAAAGACTGAATTCCCGTACATTAGCATGTTAGACAATGCCGTCTGTAATGCAATTTGAATAAATATCAACCTCGAATTCACCATTCAAAGTTAAGCCCAGTTGTTAGGTGAAACTGATATATATGGACACTCACATTTCAATGAGACCCGCGTATGTTACTGGCCTTTTATTATTTGGTACGCTAATTTCAGAAGGATCCTAAGTTGAATTAGTTTCACATGGTGCGAGGCAAACAGTGTAGACAGTCGCCGAGGCAAGGTATATTTGTGACTGGTTTTTAACGTGATCGACACCTATTTTTTGTCGTGTAATTGATAATTAATATATAAAGTTGAGTAGACTTAAGTGTCAGTAGTCAGTACTATAATAGTATATTTTTTTCCAACTGATTACTGAACTATAGTAGTACTATAACCACCACTCAGAGATTACGCATTTCATTTGTCCCCATTATACACTATAATTGTTTACTAAAGTTATCTGTGGAATATTCATACATCTATGTCAGCTGTCTGACGTTTCATCTTTAAACACTAACGGTAAACGATTAACGAAAGCATAATCTATGGCGCAGAGCTTTTACCACAGGCTTTTATTTAGAAATAAGATTTAATTTGCATTATAGATCGATTTTTGTATTTATTCATTAAAACGAAAGGATATTATTTTCATGGTATTTGCAGAAATTGATAATATATAAACTTATTCATAATTTGCCCTATCACATGAGTTTGATACAGAATGCCGCAAATTGACTTAAATAATGTTTTGTGTGTATCGTGTTTGTGTATAGGAAGAAGATTACAAAGACTAAGTGAAAGTTTAAATAAGTTTTATATGGATGCTCTATACGAAATACCGGTAAGTTTATAAGCGTGTACGTACCTAGAATTAACACTTAATATAATTTTATACTACATCTTTATACAGGCTTTACTTACTGTCTGCCTACTAATATTTTGCTTATAGATATATAAATATTTTGTGTCTTATGTGACATAGAACTTTGTGGACGATAATACTGAATAAACTGTTCTTTAGTTATTTTAAAAACATTGAGAAGCTATGTGATTACCAATTAAACAAATTAGTAAATTGAATATACTTATAAAATGTTGATTTTATTATTGCAGCTGTCCAATGTAGACTGTATAGATCCAGTTGTGTGTTGGGAGTGTGAAGCAATTTTAAAGAAATGTCTCTCCTTCCGTGAGCAAGTAAAGGATTCATATAGAATTCTTCAAACTTACACAGTAGAGGTAACTCCATTTAAATTTTGCTACAATTTATGTTGCCTCTTTTTTGGAAAAGTTAATGATCATAGCTTTCTTACTTGCATTTTAATTTAATTTTGAAAAATTGTTCTTATTTTACCTAATAAAAAAAACTTTTTTGCAGAACCTAAATGAATGTCTACTTAGTGATGTGTCTCGTCCACCAAGATTAATTATTCATAGCAATGATTCAGTTAACATAAACCCATTCAACGAAGTTAAAGTTGAATTTGAAACAGGTAGCCAATCATTATTATTTGTTGATTAAATTCAAGACACATTTGAAGGAAGTTTTTTATAACTAAAGAAAATAGTTAGCTAATCTATAATACTCTTTTTAAAGGGATATATCCAATTTGAGTTTTATGGATATTGGATGCCATACCCATAACTGTTTTACTGATAATTATCTAATTTAATTATAGGCAAGAAGGGGCACCTTCTAGCCTTCAAATGTAAGAGCTATGTTTGTTAGGCTACAAAATGTAAAAATGTAATTTAACACTAATAAGCACAATGAGATATGTTTAATTTTAGTAACAACTATTCATATCGCATAAAATTACAATTTCAAAATATTTTAATTTTTTAGAGATATTAAAAACCGACACAGATTACCAATTATCAGATACAGATGACATAAACAATGATGAGATACAGACAGTTTTGTGTGATATTAAAAATGAATTTGTAAGTATTTGTTTGTAAAGTATTTGGTATAGGTATGTCTTTTTAAACATGCAAATGTAATATGTGGAATTTTTGAAGTTATACTTCTTTAGGCGCGTTATGAAAAATTTATGAGAGTGAAATTTTACGATGCGCGCGCACCTGTGACACAAAATTAGGAGTGTGATTATAGCGTGCGCGAGCGAGATAGGAATAAGACAATCTACAAGTAAAAAGAAATAGAATATGCGTGAAGTTCGTATGCCAAGAATTTTGAATGACCATAATGACATTTGTCATTTACCTTTTAAACAAATAAAGGAGTTTTAATTATTTTTTCAAAGAAATTTAGCAATGCTTTTTGAATTATATATAATCAGAAGTGATTTAAATTGAATATTTAAACCAATACTAATTAATATTTGTGAAAAAACTGTGCTCATCAACCTTCCTAAGTGCTTCATTACAATTGAGGTTAACTATCAGTTTGTATTATTATTATCGAGTAATGTTTTGATTAAAAAATTACCACATTGTTTAATCAAAACATGTAATTTTTCTCTAGCAAATATAAGGACAAGAGACAAAAAAACAATTGATGAATCAGTGTAAGTGCATTAAATTGAATACAAAAAAAGAGTTGTCATCTTATCGCTGTGAAACATCAAAAACTGGAGGTGGAACAAAGCCAAACTATTTTTAATAATGCCAAAGAAGTATAACTTCTTACGCGCGTACATAAGTACACGCACCCCTTTTTTTTGAAGAATACTTCTTTAGGCGCGTTATGAAAAATTTATGAGAGTGAAATTTTACGATGCGCGTGCACCTGTGACACAAAATTAGGAGTGTGATTATAGCGTGCGCGAGCGAGATAGGAATAAGACAATCTACAAGTAAAAAGAAATAGAATATGCGTGAAGTTCGTATGCCAAGAATTTTGAATGACCATAATGACATTTGTCATTTACCTTTTAAACAAATAAAGGAGTTTTAATTATTTTTTCAAAGAAATTTAGCAATGCTTTTTGAATTATATATAATCAGAAGTGATTTAAATTGAATATTTAAACCAATACTAATTAATATTTGTGAAAAAACTGTGCTCATCAACCTTCCTAAGTGCTTCATTACAATTGAGGTTAACTATCAGTTTGTATTATTATTATCGAGTAATGTTTTGATTAAAAAAATTACCACATTGTTTAATCAAAACATGTAATTTTTCTCTAGCAAATATAAGGACAAGAGTCAAAAAAACAATTGATGAATCAGTGTAAGTGCATTAAATTGAATACAAAAAAAGAGTTGTCATCTTATCGCTGTGAAACATCAAAAACTGGAGGTGGAACAAAGCCAAACTATTTTTAATAATGCCAAAGAAGTATAACTTCTTACGCGCGTACATAAGTACACGCACCCTTTTTTTTTACATTAATAATCTTTTTAACACTAGGTTTCAATAAAAATATTTTATATTCTTATTTACAATGCTTTACTTTACTTGGACCATTTTTTTTAGGTGTCAACAGAAGATGAGAAAGACAGTCTTACAATGAAAAATTTTGCTGACATAAAAGATGAAAAAACTGGTAAGTTTTATATTTAAAAATCAGTATTTTACTATATTCAATTTAATTATTTAAGCCAATTTACCAATGAAACAAATACTCAAATTGTATCATCCCCATGCCCTATTATTTTGCCTTAGAATCTTTCACAAGTACGCTATAGATGGAATGTCGATCACTTATATTGTTAAATGTTATCTTATAAATTTTCTTAATATTGTATATTTTTTTATATAATTGCTTTATTATTAATTACAGACTTTGATTCACTAGTAGAAAAGAGAGATATGAAACAGAATAACAAGAGAAAGTTAAACAGAGAAAGAGATAAAGGGAGAAGCAAAATTAAGGCAAGATACAACAAAAGTTTTTAATAAAAAAATAATACTTGTCCTTTTTAACTAGTTTAGGTTGAATAATTTGTGACAATGCTTGTTTATAAATTTAATATTCAAAATTTTTTTTTATTAACACGACACACACACTAATATCCTCCACTTTCTTTTTTTTTTTTGATTGAAGTGTGATGCTATATATTCTTCAATACGGAGAGTATCCACTATTTTATCAATATATTGAAGATCTCTCTGACTTTGCTCATCTTATTCACATCATAAATAAATATTTTGCTAAGCTAAAAACTCGAAGACGACTGGACCGATCTGAGTAATTTTTGGGACTGTGTAGAGTTTTCTGTAGAGAAAATTTTAAGTAAACGAAATCATATTAAGGTGACACGAAGGTTGGGTGCAGCTAGTATAGAATAAAATCTTTGTTTCGTTACTTTTTGAAATTTTCCTTTTTTGAAAAAAATGATGAAGAAGCACTTACATACATTTCACTTATTTAAGTATAGATAAATTAAATTTTACTACAGTTTTTTAATAATATATTCTTCCAGGCTGATTCAAACAAATATCCAACTTATAAAACCTTACCGAGACAAGTTATACATAGAAAGGATCAAGTTCAAAGGTACAGTCTCAAGTCGTTGGAATAACCTGCATCATGAGCACATCCTACATACACACTCTCACGTACACACTTAGTAAAATCTATTTAATATAATATTTTTCAATTTATTTTTTAGTTTCGTAAATGTTGTACCTTTTTGTATATATAATGTTTTACACCTATGTCTATGTTTTCAGTATCTTTGTTACCTATATATTATTTTAGTTAGCTGTACGTAAAGGCGCAACATATTTCCATATACATCAAAATATATCATCAATAAATTATCGAATTTGCAGAACACCAGAGCTTAAACCTCACAAGAAAAGGGTTCAATGTGGCGAATGTGATAAAACATTTAGTCATCGTGCTGGTCTGATGAATCATCGCATGTAAGTACAATTAAAAATGCTTCTAAAAACAATTTGACACTATCTTGGAGGATAATACTTACTTACCACCACAATAACATTAAGTCATTGGCGTAATCAATGATCCTACATCTCTATCTAGACCCGATCCCCTACCCCCTGCATATAAGTAAGAATGTAAGGCAAGTGGCATGCGGGCCATAACCTCCTAACTTCTAATAGGGAAACAGACAGCGATCCCCATCTCAATAATGGGGTTTTGTGTCTGATCTTTTCTTTGTTCACATTAAATTAAAACAACATATACACAACCTTCCTTCACAAACATTAAGTTTTGTGAAGGAAGGTTGTGTATATGGGAAGGAATATAATGTTTGATTTTATCTAAAGTTCTACTGACTTTAGTGTAAATAATTTCTCATTTAAGTAGGCTTTTTAAAATTAAGATAAAAGTTTATTTGTGATATTTGTTACAGAACGGTGCACGAAGCTCAAAATGAATTCCCATGCAAAGTGTGCAAAAAGGTGTTCAGGTGGAAGACTAGTCTAAAACGACATCTGGAGAAACATGCGGCTAATACTGTAACTAGAAATTTCTACTCTTTACATAATTAAAATATATATTTTTTTTACAAAAATTTACTGCCCTTGCTTGAATTTTGACTTTTTGATTTTGATCCATGAAAAAGTTTTTGACGTGCGGAAGTCGACACCATGGTTCGTAGCCTAGAACGTCAATCAAAGTTAAATATAAACTCAGATTTTTCATTTCGTAGAAATCTGACAATTCATAAGTGTTGCTTTAAAAAAGTTCTCCACTGAAAAAGGGCCACATTTGACCCATTTGAGGGCAATAAATAATAAAATGCCGCATATTTTATGAATTAAACAATGTGCCCGGCCAAAATTTGTTTGTAATCCTGACATGTCAAAAAATGATTGCTGCCACGGGCTGTCAAACCGTTTATTCTGTATGAAATTTGACATATTTGACGATTTGAAAGCTTAGGGTTAGAATTAAATTAACCGCCACCTATGAAACACCTTCAACATAAGTGGTGGAGGTGGTGCAAGGGCGTTGCCGACTTTTACTCATAAAGATAATTGAAATAACAGATTTTGTACTTTGTTTTAGCAAACTCCTGAAGCATTTTGTTCGCTATGTGGTATCGGGTTTGGGAGTGTAGCATCACTACAGCGACATCTTAGAAACAGTTTGAAACACGTGACGCCGGATCAACTTAAGTGAGTTACAGACATATTAAAACCATTGATTTTAGGTCTGGGCTATAGATTTCCGTATGGTAATATAATTTTTACTTGTTATGCATATTTATTCACAAATATTGTATACTTTTTATCATATTAACAAGATTACTGTGGAACTATAATGACGTAAGTGTACAGAAAAGATAATTTAGCACTGCAGCGACCTCAAATTCCAAGACGGTTCTATTTCCTCAAAAACTCTATAGAGCATTTTGTATGAAAAATATTTCTTTTTATAATATAATATACTTCGATTAGTATCAGAAGCAACTGAATTTTGTTTATAACACAGACAATAGACATGAAAAATAAAAAATAAAATATGTTTATTATGGAACATAAGATACATGTATCACTTATTCCACGTCATTAAATTTGAACTTTTAGGCATCCCTACTCATCGGCAAAGAAGACAGAGGGTGTAGGCCGAGAGAAAAAGCCGGCGTAAAAAACTCTCGGTACTCTTTTTTATATGTGATCGGTGATCTTATGATCTATATATATAAAAGAAAAATGGTCTTCGTTTGAGGCTCCTTCACGCCTAAACCACTGATCGTATCGACATGAAACTACCACCATTCGATGCGAAATTTTTCCTAGATGGTTTATGGCTATGGTTTATTTATTAAATTCCAACGTTCCTTCATTTTTTTATTGCTGTTAAAATTTATCCATACGGACTTCACCGCGGAAACATTCGGGGAGGCTTCCTAGAACCTCTAAACGTCAACATCTGTTAAAAACTCGATTTTCGAAATATTTCAATTTTCTTAGCGGGAAGTTAAAAAGAAGAATAATAAAAATATGAAAAAAAATAAAATAATGAAACATAAAATTTATTTTAATTCGTCCAGCAAAGCGGGCGCGAAACGGCTAGTAATACTATAAAATGAAACGTGTCACTATATTATTCATTTTGATTATGACCACAGTTTTGAATCAGAATGTTTGTGAAAATTTATTTCAGATTCATATGCGATCATTGTAAGCGTCGTTTCGCAGACAAAACGAAATTGCGAGACCATATAGAAGACAAACATTTACACAGAACATATAAATGTTATATATGTGATAAGGTAAGCGATTGTTTTAACATATATAAAAAAATCGATGTGTTAACCGTGGACGGATTTTTTCAAAATATTTTGGTTCGTTACTTAGACCCAAAAAGTCGACGGCGTGTGTCAGGCACTGGAGGCTGATCACCTACTTGCTTATTAGATTTAAAAATGATTATGAAACAGATTCAGAAATCTGAGGCCAAGACCTAAAGAGGTTGTAGCGCCACTGATTTAAAAAAAAATTCAATTCGTGGTATGTCTCCTTAGTTTGTAGAAATATAGTATAGGGTTTTGGTTATTACCAAAGAATAATAATACAGTAATTTTCAGCCGTCAAAAAACCGGGTTGGATTGGAACAACACATCCGTAACGTGCATAAGGGAAGACCAAATAATAAAATGTGTCATCATTGTGGAAAGGGATTTCCGGTGAGTCTTTTATTTGTAATACGGGGTGTGGGATCCGGCCATAGAAACTGTTGGCTGAAAAGTTCGAAGAAAAACTTTTGTTTTTTATAGAAATGGATTTGATTATTCAATAAAGTTGCCTTCGATACAACGATTTTAGTCATAAAATTTTTATAGTACAACAAATCTGGGGAATACGGTGGAATAAATTAATTACGATTGAACAGCTTCAATCACTGCTCAGAAACATCAATTCGTTCTTGTTTTGGTCGATTGTGAGCTCGAGCGGCACCCAATTTGAACAGAGCTTTCGCATTTAAAAAAATTCATCTACGGTACAACACGTTCCTTTGATATCTTTAGGGTCTCAGCTATCTTAATCAACTTCATCACACACAAAGAGGCGTTATCCAAAAGCCTCTTTGTGTGTGAACTCCACTGCGTACATCATATCCTCGGTGCTTATTTTGCCTTGTTCAAACTTAGTAAACCAATTCTCAACGGTTGAATTTCCTGGTGCAGAGTCCGAATAATGTATATCAAGCAAAGCCTTGGCTTCATTAGTATTTTTTTCGCCAAAAAGCAATGCTTTATAAGGCATAGAGGCAGAGGCATAAACACACGAAATTCCTTTTTATTCATTTTTTTAAACAAACAAAAGTTCCTTAACTCAAAATACTATATCTCGGCGTGATCTCAAATTGGCTTCCAACAACCTATTTCTTACCGTCTGGTCGAAAATTTCTACACCAGTAGCCGTCCTTAGTGTATTTTGTAGATGTCTTGCAGTTGTGGTGCGGTTACGTACAGCACAGTTGACGATGTAGCGATCTTGCAAACGTGTAGTTTTTCTCTTTCGACCTTGACCACGCCTTCGTGAGTATTCTCCGGTCTCACGGTATCGCTTCCAAAGTCTGTAGATAACAGAAGAAGGGGCTACTCCTAGATCATTTTCTACATAACGCATAGTTCGACCCACTTCAAGCAAAGCGATAGCTCGGGAGACATGCAATTCAGTCAGATCTGGCATTATGACCTAAACTCACTCGCTTCAATGAATAATAATACTCAAAAGGCTCACTTCAATTTCTATTAATACTCAAAAGATTGAAAAAAACTACTTAAAATGTGTTTTCTGTGATTAGAAAGTAATGAAAATTCAAAGACGTCACTTTGTTTTTAGGTGTTTCTAGACACACTGCCACTTTATTATAGGACTACTAACCAAAACGCCGATGCTCTTTTGTTTTTTATTTTCTTCGACAATGCCTTAACATTATCTAGTGGCCAGTAATAATTAAAACCTTAAGTAAAAAGTTTAGTTCTACTTTAAAGTTTTGTTCCCGTAATTGTTTTGAGCAGTATATAATATGGATTTAAAGAATACAAAAAACTAAAATAAAATTTTATTGTGAAAGTATTGTTTGAAAATTTTATCAGATTTTATTCAAGTATTACATATTAATAAGTATTAGATATTATTAATATGTATCGTCTGTATTAATAAAACATTTAAGCAAAATTAAGATTTTAAAAATGTATCTGATATTTCCGTAACTATTATTTAAAAATCTTATTTATTTATAAAAAAAACACTCTTGCCCTAACTGTTGACCCTAAATTGACAATTGAAAAAGTGAACAGTAGGTAAATAAAAATTTACAGACGAAAAAAAAAACAAACGTACCATATAATTAGGAAAAACAAAATTACATAATAAAAATTATAAGAAATTAACTAACTACTATAGGCACTAACAAGTAATAGAACTTTTGCCAGTTCACTCAACGGACAATGAAAAAGATCCGTTAACCTGTGTAATTCGTTAACTAAATTAATACACCGAATCATATGTGCCCTTTTCAGAAGGTTAGTCCTAGCTGTGGGCACATGAAGTAACGGCGGACGATGTCGCTTTCTGACGTACCCATCAGGTACATTGAAGCTAAGGTACTGAAGTACTGCCGAATTACTGTCCTTGCCATGTAACAATTTTATGAAGTACATTACAAGCGCGAATTCTCGGCGTACTCTTAGCTCGTTGTAGCCCACAGAACCAAGTATAAATAAGGTCGGATACATGAGTCGGTAAAAAGCGTACACACCGTACATCCGAAGATAGATGTGCCTCAAAAATTTGTTTTGTACCCGCTCCAACATCACCTTATACTTAAATTCATATGGAGCCCAAATCGCTGAATTATGCTCCATATGACTTCTAACAAGTGCTTCAAATAAGACTCTTACAGTAGTGATGTTCATGAAGTCCTTGACTTGTCTCAGTAAAAAGCCAAGTTTTTAGCTTAGATTTTCGACAAATCTGTCTTATGTGTTCACGAAACATCAAGTCCGACGTAAACACAACGCCGAGATCTTTTACTTGCGTCACCCTTTTGATAGATTCCGATCCTATTGTGTAATTATATAGTATAGGCACGTTAGAGCGGGTAAAACTCATGATGGAACACAGTGCCGGATTAAGCCAGCGCGGGGCCTTTAGCGAATTCTGCCTAGAGGCCCTTGGATTGCTTTAGGTTTTCAAGTTAAGGGTATTACAAATAAACTTTTCTGGGTTTAATATGGGCAAATTTAGAGATAACACTATCAATATCGACTTGTTTAAGCAAATTATGCTCTATATTGAACAATAAGAGATTAAGACGTTCTTGGCCCATTGTGTTCCTTAATTCATTTTTAATACCATTTAATATTTAAAAAAAAGTTCACCACTGCAATTAGTGATCAAGAGAGACAAGTAAATGCGCAAGGCAATATCTAAGTTTGGGAAACACGATTCTAAAGAATCATTTAATAAAAGTTTATAAAATTGCTGCTCCAGAGGTTCCTGTTGTTGGGTTATAAGTGTGCAGCGGTAGTCGCGTGCAGCAGTCCAGTTTTATTAATTTACTGGACTATGACTGGGCCCATAACCTTTGCTTGTAATTTTAGATACGGAAATTAAGTTGCATCGCAAATCGGGAACATATAAAGTGTCTGATAGTTTTATCGGAACCTCCCCATTCAAACTCACAGTTCCTTTACCTTTTGCAAATGTACTCACATTGGTGGCCAAACTTAACTTACTACTGCAATTTGTCAAGGTGTCAAATTTTCCTTTCGATCTACAAAGGTGCGATGTACACCCACTATCTATGAGCCAGTTTCCTCCACATCCCGAACCAATCACTCCGTTACACTCTGAAACAGATAGAACACATGAGTTAAAATTCTCACTAGCACCTAACTCACTAACACATTTTGAGTCCTGCCTTGTTCCTTTACACGGGCAGTCCGAAGCTTTATGCCCTTGTTTATGACATCTGTAACATTTAAATTTAAACGCTTGATCCGGTTTATAATTCTGCGGATTTTTAGATGTAGAACTCCTAGCTCCTAGCGTGGTTTTTCTCCTAGCGAACATTGCTGACGACCCCTCTCTGTCTCCTTCCTTTGCTGTCGCCTAGAGGCATCTTCTTCAAGAATTTTAACTTTTAAAGAATTCGGGTCTGGCAATGAATCTCTAGTCTCCATCGCACATCTAAAGTTCTCATAACTTGGGGGCAGACTATAGAGTAAAATAATAGATGCAAGATCATTATTTATATTTATGTCCATGTCTAGTAACTTTTCTTTGGCTTCAAAGAAGCTTAACAGATATTCACGCATGTCGTCCTCCTCACACATCTTGTGTAATATGAGCTGCTTTAACAGTGTCGCTTTCTTAGCGGGACCCGAAGACGCGAAGATGCTTTCTAATTTGAACCAACATTCTCGCGACGTACTCGTCCCCTTAATGTGTCGTAGCTCACCTGGACTAATTGAGAGAATAATCTCCGCTCTCGCCTTTGCATCCGCCGCTTCCCAAAGCAACGCCTCTGCTGGCTCAGCTGGCTTCTTAATGCTACCATCCACATAGCCCCACACATCGCTCTTAATCAATAGAGCATGGGCCTGGATTCGCCATGAGTCGTAATTATCACGGCTTAATAATTCTATCCGCACACTCGCCATCGTTACTAGGTTAAGCACTCTAGTTCCCCCTTTTTTTTTTATTAATTTACTGGACTATGACTGGGCCCATAACCTTTGTTGGGTTATAAGTGTGCAGCGGTAGTCGCGTGCAGCAGTCCAATTAATTAATAAAACTGGACTGCTGCACGCGACTACCGCTGCACACTTATAACCCAACACCTGTTTCTACTAACAGTAGCCACATCTGTTCTCAGCATCTATAAAAACTGCACAAATTTACCTCCTAGGCTGTTGCCCTAATCATTTTCGTAGGCGCTGATCATAATTAAGTTTTGAATTTTCTAAAATCTCTTCTGTTGTAAAAGATTTTAGCTATCGAAATACTTCAAAAATACTAAATCTTATGATATACTTTCATACGTTTAGTTAAATCAGACAGGGCGATATCAATAATAACATTAAACATCTAAACTTCGAAAGGTTGTCCAGGTTTTTATTTTAAACAAAGTTGTCGAGTGTAGTAGAGCCGCTAAAATGGTCGTACTTTGTATTTTGCTTGATTCATCTTGATGTCTGTTGTTGGTAATCTTCAGTTGGTCGGATCCTTGGCTCTTGGTTTAATATCTGAAAATGTGGATCGCATTCCTTGGACGTAGCCATTTAATGATTCATAAAGGGCATATCCCGTATTACGGTCTTGATCAGACGACTGCAGCGAAGCACTAGTCGCTTGCAAGCGTTCTAGGATTCCGTTCCACGTAATTGTCATTATTCCTGTTTCTAACTTATTCATCGTTGAAACTAGTCTGTAAGCTTTATTACGGCACTCCGCTACTTGATCAACTTTATTGAAAATTTCTTCTAAAACTTGTTTAATCGGGCTGACCATCTCGTGTCTAATACGACCCCATCGATAGGTAGAAGCCTTAATTTGCATGATAGTTAACAAAGGAAATATATGTTGATATGTTCAGCTCTGGGCTATTATTTCTAACAAGCCTAAATAATATCCAGTGAGGTAAATAATTTCCACTGTGAATTGATGAACCAACAATTTCGTCATTACCCCAAAACCCAAGACCTCTTTCTGCTAAAAACTCGATTACTGAAATGATTCGTTTAAAGAGTAGCCTCCAATACTTTTGCTCAGTCTCAATTTGGCTCACTAGTTGGCAATCAGTACGCGTAATATAGTTTTTGAGGTTTAACAGCGAAATTATGACATTGAAATCAAGTAATGATATGCCATCGACTACTTTTAGAACACGACGAATCTAGAACTGGCTTGGACTGGCTTGCTGTGTGCTTTTAACTTCTCTTTGGCTAAAACATGATATAGCTAAATTTGGAGGAATTTGTGTCTCTTCAACCATATCATGACTTACAGAAAATGTACCTTCATCAGAAACGGTAGTATTACTACCTACTATCTATATATATATTATGTACAATGAGATGCAATTTCTGTATTTTCTGATTTACTTTCTGTAGATTCAGCAACAGCAACATCACTCTGAACATTAAAATACTCGATCAGGTTACGTGTTTTTGATAGAACAGCTTCGTTTTATACCGTAAAGATATTCAAGAAAATTGCATGTGTGAAAATTCAACGTTTCACGTGAACACATAAAATTTATAATTTTTAATTATATAACTTTTTGTTTTGTCATTTGTCATTTTTAAATTACCAGCCTTTTTACTAGAAACTCTAAAACACCTTGCTCTTAATCTACCGTCACTAGCTTTAAAAAATCTCGAAACAAAAAAAAGGCCAGCTTGTATTCACTCATAAAATGAATCAATGTTTTATAATAAATCAACCAACCACAGTGGAAATTTAAATGTTTCCTCGAAATACTTATAATCGATATTGTAGCGGCGAAGACAAAGAAAAGTAGGCCGAGGGGCAAGTGGAATGCGGCGTAAAAATAATGGAAACACCACTCACCTATAGTCCTCCGTCTCTTCACCTGTCTCCGTGGGAGAAGACCACAAATAACTGGAAGCACAATCGTAAGCACAAAAAGCGTAAGCACACGAAGCGCAAGCGTAAGCACAAGCGTGACCTCGCGTCGGCGGTTAAGTCTTCTCTGAGGCGCGGGAGCATGTAGAAATGGTCCCCTCCTTCTACACTTGAATACCGCAAAAGAGACATATTGGTGTTTAGGGAATGGGTGCGGTAAGGACAGAAAATGTCACCAGAGAGGACTAAAGGTAACTGGATGGCGTGAACAGATATTATATTAAAATCGATTAGAAAAGTAAAGTCTCGGCTACGTAAACTCGCAAAATTAATGTATATATATATATAAAAATAAAAATCTGGCCGCTTGAAGGGTAGAAATGACATGCTAGTTTAAATCGATTATAATTAAAATTTGAAAATTAACGTTAAAAAGTTAAATACATACTTATTTTTACGATTAAAAATAAGTATGTAAAATAAACTCGACTTCGTCAAGTTTATTTTTATGTGGAAGTGAAGAATAGACTAAGCGCTTCGCGTTAAAGGTATGCAAGATATTTTACGCTCCTATCTAAATTAATACTCTTTTTATTACGGTCAGACAGGCGTTGGAGCGCGGGGCCCCTAAATTTGCGGGGCCCGAAGCATTTGCTACTCTTGCTACGTGGCTAATCCGGCACTGATGGAACACTTTGCAGCATTAAAACTGAGTTTATTTAAAATACTCCAATCAGATAGCTTCGAAAGATCGCTCTGAAGATGCTCGCAATCAAAATTTATTTAATTTTTTTTGAAAATCTTTAGGTCATCTGCAAACAATAGACATCTGCTAAAACTCAGGACCTCCGGCAAGTCGTTAACCATAAGGACGAATTCGAGGGGTACGAGATTCGAACCCTGACTTACTCCAGATGGAGTAAAATACGGCGCAGACTCATGATTTTTGTAGTCTACATACTGATTTCTGTCTGTCAGATTTGATACCTAGAAATGTAGCAGTTTTGGTATACAGCCGAACGCCGCTAACTTCCTAAGAAGAATGTCATTGTCCACCGTGTCAAATGCTTTTTTTATATCCAGGTAAACTACATCAACTTGACCCCCAGCATCCACTACAGGCATCAAATACATGTACATCATTGTGTACATCATCAAGTCCAACAGATTCATAGTCGTACTATGTCCTGGTCTAAACCCGTGCTGTTCATCGCGCAATTGAGCCGCTACTTGTGAGAATTTACTACGCTGTATTGCTGACTCAAAAACCTTTGCCGGCGTGGAAATGCAGCAATTGGTCTATAGTCACGTATATCCGGTCCCGGGATCCCCTTTGGAACAGGTGTAACCCTAGTGGTTTTCCATTGTGCTGGGAAAATATTTGACTTTAGACAAGTGCTAAATATATGGTGAAGCGGCGCTGCCAGTAGTCTCTCACAGTCCCTAAAAAGAAAAGGTGGTAGGCCATCAGAACCGGCCGAACGCTTAGGTTTAAGGTGCACCAGTGCTTCACTCACTTCCCGCAAGGTGAAATCATCTAAGTGAACACGGGCGCTGCTCGTCCCATATGCTGCTGCCGCATTCACATCGAGTTGTGGCGTCTCGGCACTGTAAACACTTTTGAAGAACTGGGCAAATTCGTTAGCACGCTCCTCCTCCGTTAAATTTATTCCATCTGTTACAATACCTTCCCTTTTCAATGGTCGTGTGTGATCCTTAACATATTGCCAAAAAGACCTTGGATCAATCGAGAATTGGTTTTGTATTTTATCTATATGGAATTTATATGCCCTTTCTAAGTTATTTTTTACATCTTTTTTACATTAAGAAAACTCCTGGTAATCACACGTCGTTTTGGTTTGTTTGTATCGTTTGTAGAGTCGAGCTTTCTTTTTGATCAGGTCAATTAAGTAACCAAGTAAAATATACAACCATCTCATCCACGTCGCTCAAGCTGTACAGCGTACCCCAGTCTACTGGTAACAAAGGCGTGTATAATATATGATAATCTGCTTTATTAAAGTTCCATTTTGACCAGTCATTACTAATTCCTATTTGTCCTCTAGAATATGATTGTGCCGCCCCGGTCGTAGAGGACACTACAGAGCATACATTGGGAATAAGGCGCAAGCTCACCGCCAGTGGTGGGTGTTGCACGTCTATCGGCACCAACGAACAAACAAATCATAGCTCGATACATCCAAATTGTTTTTGAACTGATTTAATTTTGTGCGCAGTCCTCTGACATTTTGGTAGTATAAACTAATTTCTTTAATTTTTTATACTTTTTTTGGCTGAGTTACGAAACCAAATCCATTCACTAAATGCGGCATTAATCGGCCATATTTCCGACTGATTTAAAATATTGAAACAGGATTGCGATACGCTTATAATGAAAGATGCGTACTGACGCTCCGTTTTATGTTTGATTTTGTCAACGTTTTCGTGTTTCGTTTCGTTTCGTTACGTGACTTTTGACATCCTCCACACTGGTGTCCGGATGCAAGCGCCAAACATGCAAGAACTTTGTGTGCTCAATACCCTTGATAGATAAACAATCTGTTTTTTTCCTAATCCTACTACGTGTCTTGCTGCGAACGAAGCCTTTCTTACGTCCTGTCACCCGATTTTCTTCCTGCTTATTATTCTCTCGCTGCCGCGGCGCAGATGTTGATGGGGAGCGAGTTTTAACCGCGGCTGAGCCAGTTGTTGCCAAAGTAATAGAGATAGTAGGTACAGCAGACGTGGTGGAAGTCCGGCTTTTGGACGACCCCAATGTCTGTTTCCTTTTTTTCATTGATTTTTTACATTATTTATAGATATAACGTTCGAATTTTGACTTTGGTTTGAAATTTCAAGGTTGCTATTATTATTCATCTCTGGAGAAAAACTATTGGCCTGCCTCGAACTAATTTTTCCTTGTAATGTAGTAAGAAATTTTAATAAAATTCTTCTATGTTAGAACTTTGAACCGGCATTTCTACCCCCGGCTCTTCTAGCAGAGTAACTCTTTCCTCCACTACAAAGAAAGGAAGAAAAAACTTTATTATGCACAATATACGAGATATTTAGATAAAGTAAAGTGCACTGGCCCCCACACTAGGATTCCCTGTGTTGTGGGCAGCCAGTCTCTTCCTTTTGACACGTAAACAGTATTTTAAAAATTATATTAATTATTTCTACACATTTATATTAAAACTATTTTTGCACAATAAGAATATTTTCAGTATCAGAATAGGACAGGTTAACAAGATATCGTTTGAGATGTTTAGTAAATGTATGTAATGTGATTTTTGAAATGTTCGTGATAATTTTGTTTTTAATGAAGTGGTTAAAGATGAAAGGGCCTCGGAAGGAGAAAAAGCGTTGGGCGAAGAAAGTGCGAGTTTTGGGTTGCTTATATATGGGTTTGCGTTTTGTCTGATGCGGTGCGGTGGGTGTTTGTTTCCAAAAAAGTCTGCATAATGCTATTAAATATAATTGTCTCACAGTTAAAAGTTTTGTTTCATTGTACAATTTTGAAGTTGAGTAGCGGAAAGGTTTCTTATATGAAATCTTAAGAATGGCACGTTGGGTGCGCTCAATTTTCAGCATTGAAGACAATGCCGCTCCACCCCAAACCGATATGCAGTAAGATAATATCGACTGGCATAATGCAGTATACACTATCTTGATTGTATGTGGATCAGCAGGCTTTCTAAGGCGTTTGAAAACATTTATAAGTTTGCGAACTCGAGAACATAGGTAGTTAATTTGAGGGCCCCAACAAAGCCTTGAGTCAATAATTAATCCCAGGTATTTGGTTGTTTTAGTGGGTTCCAGGAGAGGACAGTTGCAGTTGCTGTGAAGGTTCAAACATGAGTGTAATTTAATAGGCGGAACAGGGTTTGGTTTGCTGGATTTCGATATGTGAAAACATACGTATTTTGTCTTAGACGTATTTAAGGATAGGAGATTATCTAAAAGCCATTGAGAGATTTGGCGAAGACCTAAATGAGCTAACCGTGTGACTTGTTCCCAAGAGTGTGAGTAGAAGACTATAGCTGTGTCATCTGCGAATGAAAAGAGTTTAGCATTAGTAAGTGCGAGTGAACATAAATCGTTAATGTATACTAAAAAAAACGTTGGACTACCTTACGTTAAACTCATTTATATATGTAGAAATCCTAGCTATTTCATTGTGAAATTTAGATAATTCATTCCTTAGAAGTTCTATATCATCTTGACTACTATCGTGGGATTTCGGCGTGTGCTGATTTTGGCTGATCAGACACTTTTTTTATTTTGTCCCTTAAATTTAGTAAAAATCCATTTTTTTGGATCAGAACCCATTGTTACGCAATGCTTGTGATACGACCCTGCACATTTCACACATTTCACCTCATCTATTGTGCTGTTTAAAAACTTGCTGCAGACTTCAGAATCTGAATCATCGGAGCTATCACTTTCATCGCTACAAATATCATAATCGTCTTTATTATCGAAAGATTTGTTCATATAATCAAATAGCACACTCTTAACTTGCGTTGGAGTTGAGTCTCCAAAAAAACATGTAGGTTTTAGAAAACTATCTAATAGCAGCCAGCTATTATTTTCCGGACTGAACTTGATACAGTCCAACTTAGTGGCATTTAACCACATCGAATTAACAAAGATTGTCGGCAACAATTTTAGTTTTTCCAGCATGGTGGAATGTGCGTTGAGTCTAAACCTTTAATTATTTTCATACATTTTTCATTATTTTGTTTTGAAGCGTACATTTTGTTATATATTAAAAATCTTGCGGTATTTACACCAACTTTTTAGTTTACACCAACCAACATACATTCTTTTCATGGTAACGAACTCCTTTCTTTTATTTTCCGCATATCTTACAAGGTTATTTCTCTTCATGGTTCTTACTTTTAAAATTAAACAAATCCACTATATCATGTAATCTTTCTCTATCACTCTTATTGATAATAAAATCTAGTAAACCAGCTGCAATAAGATCTACTAAGGTACCTGTATCTACGTAGTCGGTCCCAAAGTTCTGTCATAAATGGAAAGAATGATAAAAACAAAAGTACTGATCAGTTTGTAATGAGTGATATATCAATTCTTAGTACATTAATTAAGGAATAAAAAAAGCATAAAAATATTCGAAATAACCTCCCTCATTTTTAATACAGGCCCTTAAGCGTCGCGGCCAGTCGTCTATCGCAGCACGCACCATATTCGTGTCGATTTCAGTCACTGGTTTTTTTAAAGATGACTTCAGATTCTCCAAATTTTCATGAGGTTTATCACAGACCTTCCTCTCTAAGCCCTGTCATAATTTCTGGTCCAAAGGATTAAGGTCCGGACTGGAGGAAGGCCAATCCTCATGTCTAATTAAGACGATGTTTTGACGCTCAAACCAGGCTTTAGTGGTCTTGGCTTTGTATGCAGACGCAGAGTCCTGCTGGAACACGAAGTGATGTCCCGCAAATAGGGTGCTGGACATGTCTTTGACAAGGCGATACAAAACCGTCTCTTGGTACACTGTAGCACTGGTTTTGACCCCCTTTTCGAAAAAATTAACCTCAGTTAGCCCGTAATAGGACACTCCCAACCAAACCATTACTGATGATGGATGATGTCCATATTGCACCCTTGGAACTTTATTTTCAGCTTCTTCAGAACTCCTAGCGTACACTGTATAATTCTGTTTATTGTACTTCTCTTCAATATCGAAAAATTTTTCGTCCGTAAAGAGGATATCACGGTGTCGGTTTTTCGCGTACCGCTTAAACAACACCCGCGATCTCTTAAGCCTTATTGCTTTTAGACGAGCATTAAGTAAGTGCCCACTCTTTTTTTGTATGCTCGTAGACCAAGATCTTCATTTAAAACCTTTTTTACTGTTTTCCTACTGACACCCATCTGCAAATCCATCAACTTCTGTTTTCGGACAGGATTTCTTACTATCCGCGCCTTGATAGCTTTGATTACTGCTGGTGTTCTTGCGGAGCGTGGCCAGCCAGTTCTTTTCTTGTCCTCAACACTGGAGACTTCAAGGTACCTATCAATAGTACCGTACACAAACCTAAGCGTTATATTCAAATTTTTGAGCAACTTGAAAATGGTACTCGGCGAGTGTCCACAGCGGTGCAACGCAATAACAACTATTCGGTTTACTTTCAATGTCCACTCCATCGTGAAAAATTACGGAAAGTTATTGTTTTTTGTTTTAAAACAATAATCAAACATTCCAAAATAGAATGCAATAATTTTTTTATAAAATCCTGCTCGAAATGTAGAAATAATGTGCTAGTGACAGAACTTTAGGACCAACTACGTATTGTTCTCATACTCGTATGCAGTAATAGTTTTTCTTTTCTCATCGCATAATCTAATCGAGAACCTTTGTATTTAAAGAGTAATGTATATGTTACTGGGTTCCATCCTTTGTTTGCAAATGTCTCACAGAACTAGGTTTTCCACCTTATCTAATAAGAACACATAGTCAGTTTTATAAACATTGAACTATACAAATCCACACAGCTTTTATCTATAAATAGTCTTAGGATTTCAATGTTCTTTATGTCAGTTGTTATATCAAAACGAATGCATTCATTTTCAAACATTGATCCATTGTGTAGCATTAGAATTCTTGCTTCTGAATTTTTCGAGTACGAATTTCTCAGGAATGTTTTTAGGTTTTGTTGTTTATGTTCCATTAGATCATTTAATATATTTTTAATAGTATCTGTCTGTTTAATGTTTTCAATTGATACCAGTTTTTCTGAACAGATTTCTTCGAGATATTGATTTACAAATTGTATGTTCTCATCATCATCTATGTTAATTTTCCTGAGTATTTCTGACATACCTAACCAAAATCTTCTTACTTGATATCGTTTCTTTAAACTATTTTTATCTTTTACAAATGCGGCCGAAGTTCCAATTTAAACGAACAAAAATGTTGCTTTATGATGAATGAATGTCAAATGTGTTGCTGAAATATGAATTTTAAGAAACAACATTTAGAGATTGTTATTATACTTGAAAACAATCACTTTCTTTCCTATTTCTTATATAATCCAAAATGTACAAACAAAAAAATCTTCTAATTAAAAATTTAAATGACAGGCTAAGTTCAGGCTAACAAACAATTTAAATGAAACATCAGTTAACACTAGATAATTAATAATAATCAAAAGAATCTAATCTAAGAAATATAATTATTTCTTTACATTATATAAAATATATATATTAGAATGGTCCATATTACTAAGAAATGTTTTATGTTTAATTTCGGGCACCGCGTTATTTGGTTATACGAGGGCGGCACTGAAAATTTCGGGAATCAAGGAAGTGACACAACATTACTATTTAAAAATGTATTTATTGCTTTTCGAAGTATTCTCCGCGAAATTTGACACATTTTTCCATACGATGGAACCAATCATTGAAGCAACCATTCCATTCGGAAGTTGGGGTCTCCAAAATGGCCGTTTTGTAGGCGTCCACAGCTTCTTCAGGTGATGAAAATCTCTGACCACGCAATTTATTCTTTATTTTAGGGAAAATATAGAAATCATTAGGGCTAAGGTCGGGGCTGTACGGCGGATGGTCTAATAATTCTTTGTTTTCTTGCTCTAAAAACTCTTTTGTTCTGTGCGCGGTGTGAGAACTCGCATTGTCGTGATGGAGGATGATGCGGCGGTTGCAGTTCTCTTTACGGAGTTCAGAAACAACCTGTGGCAAACAAATGCTAGCATACCATTCTGCATTAACCGTTCTTTGTCCCTCAAGAGGAATAATCTCGACATGGCCGGTTTTGGAGACAAACGTGGCCACCATTTTTTTTGCAACACTCCGTGAACGAACTATTTTCGTTGGCTTTAACTCATTTTCGAACACCCAAACTCGTGACTGGTTTTTTGTTTCGGGTTCGTACGCGTATATCCAGGATCCGTCACCTGATACGATACAACAACAATCAAATGCAGCATTTGAGGATCCTGCGTGGAATCTTTCGAGAGTTCTGACGCACCAAGTAACGCGAGCCGCTTTTTGCTCTTCACAGAGCGAATGCGGTATCCATCGGGAAAACATCTTTTTTACACCTAATTGTTCATGCAAGATTATTTATATTTGACTCATGCCAATGTCTAAAGTTGCCTGAATTTCGCGGTATGTCACATGTCGATCTTCCTCAATCAGCTTACGCACAGCATCAACGTTTTCTTGGGTGACTGCAGTTTTTAGACGACCTTGACGGGGATCATCACTGAGCTTGACACGTCCACGTTGAAATTCAGCAAACCAGCGATAAATTGTGGTTTTGGATGGGGCTTCAAAAGAACCAAATGCAGAAATCATCATGTCAACACACTGTTTTTGTAATAAACCACTTCGAAAGTCATAATAAATCAGTGTGAGTCAATTCCATTTTCTCAACGACTAAACAAATTTGACAAAACTTTGTGACAAGACCGAGAATCTTTTTTTTTTTTTTTTAAAGTATTCGATTTTTAAAACCAAGGAGTTTTCAATTAAAAAGATTTAAATATGACAGGAACAGTGGTATGATTCCATTCCCGATACATTTAGTGCAGCCCTCGTATACCATAAGAAAGTATTTCAGTATTGATAACACAACACATTGTGACAAGTGAGCCTCTCTCTGCAGATGTTGCTCGTCCAACTTGTTTTGAGCTTTTTGAAGCAATTACTCTTTGTGTACGCTGAACAGTCGTCAATCCTGTTTCATCTATATTATATATGGCTTTGGGACCAAACTGATGTCGCTGAAAGACCGTTTTTTAAATTTTAGAAAAAATTATCCACGTTTGTTTTGTTAAAACTTGTTGCACGTGACAACGATATAGCTTCTGGTGTCCGTATTAATAAGTGAGATTGCTTATTTATAAATCCCCTCATAAAGTCCTTAGATGCGATTTTTTTCTTGATCCAATTATCAGGAATATTAGTTTTATTTATGGCTACAGCATAATCATAGGCCAATTTACGTGCTTGTATCTGTGTCAATCCATAATTATGTTTAGAACAAACTATCATGTAATTTGACAATTTTTGTTCTTCTTCATCGGTGAAAAATTGTGGGGTTATAAATCTGTGCGAAGAATCCTTTACATAATCTTGTTTAAGGTACCGTTGCAAATTTGATATTTATCAGCTGTTGTTTTTATTGTTGATCCTTTTGATAACTCATCTATGGCTCAAATCTTTAGGAATTTCCCGTCGCAAACCTTTATTTTTGAATTTGAACGGCATCTTTCTGTAATTAAAAATATTTCAAATAGTTTAATTAATGCATATAATTAGAATTTTAAAAAATCCTCCTATACTCAACATATAGGAGCATTGGGCATGCCCAAACCTCCCTCACATCAGAAAGCCCATTTCCCCCTCTGTATACATTTTTAACATAAATTACCGGTATTTTTTTATTTAGGCGTGTTTTTTTTTGTTATTTCAGTTTAATTCATAAGTTAGTACATATACAATAGATATATAATAAAAAATACACATACCTTTCGTTAGTTTTCTCTTTATTACGATCCGAAACCACAACAAAATATTCACTTTTACGAGCGCATAACCTTCAAACGTGTCTGTGTTTGACAACTGACAGAAATGACAGATAGTCTATAGATGAACAGTGTGGCCAGTCGGTAAAGTAAACTACCAAATTAGGAAAAAAATAAAATCTGTGACCGGATCAGAATAAGAGGGGGGGGTGCCCATGTCCCCGTCCCTCCCCTACTCTTTTACCAACAAAAGCCAATATTTTTTTTGTTCTTCATTTGTGGTCATTAATTTATTATATTCTTCCATTAAAGCAACACCGCGCTCAGCTAGGTCGTTCACTACTCGCAATGAATGAACAATTTTTTTGGCAGCTATCAGCGTCTTCGTTCCAGGTATCGACGTCTTTTTTTTTTTTAAAAATTGATGAGACACTTCGGGTCTGGAAGAATTTTAAGGAATTACTACTCACAAAGATTTCAATTTTTTTTGTGGATATGTGCAAAGATTATTCATTTTAAGCAATCTTCTGTGCCTACAATTTTGAGTGCTTTTTTTTTCATTACCATAATTTTTTTTTCTACTTGATTTCCAATGAGAATGAGCGGTTCCTTATAGTTTTGGGAACGTATTATTGAAATCCTCGGTGGAGAATAGAGTAATATTTCTGGACAATTATATCAATGGCCTTTTAGTGAGTTATTCCAATCTATGCCGTTAAGATATTCCAGCCTATGTAGGGTAAATTTAATTCGCCAGCTAAATCTAATTGCCCTAACTTAATTGCCTTAACGATCAAATAGCCCCCTGTGGGGCGTGTTGGGAATCTGTTTTAGATCATATGAGTAAACTACTATGTCATCAAAGTTTACAAAAGAACGTTCACGTTGTTCATTAGCGTTAGTTGTTGGTTTGGTTAGGCCATTTAAAACTAGTAAATCGTAATGCTCTTGAGGTACACTAAATGGCGTTTTATTAGTGTCTCGAATCCTCAGCTCAAATCTAATGTTTAATTTTTTTGGATTTACCTAGTAAGTAGGTTATCCAACTGCTAATAATATTATTAATCGTTGACCAACTGGGTCCTAGTTGGTGAACGTATTATGATGTCATTTAGTGTTCGGTAATCAACAACAGTCCTCAATTTATGAGTTCCAGAGACATCCATTTTCTTAAGTAGCACCCGCATAGGTCCAGACTACGCTCGATGAGGAAGATGGCTTGATTAACCCTTGATATAGAATTTTTGTGCCTCTGGGAAACGATACGTTTCTACACTTATTGTTTTGTCTTTTGTTTTGGTATTGTTTGTGTCGGTTTTAATACGTTATTATCATGTATACATGACTGATACTATAGTATCAGTTGCTTCCAAGGATTCATTTGGCAAATGGAATATGTTAGTATACTGGGAACAAATATAAAAGAGGCATTCTTCTTCATTTAAATGAGCTGTGCTCCATAATTCACCTATATCCGTCAATGGCAGATCCATATTAACGAGATTTCAGGTTGGAGATTAGATTATATTCAATTGGATTTTGATGTATTGTTTGAATTTCAATTTTTATTTAGATTCAGTGATATCGGACTCGGGAACACATTGACTAGGGATACATTTGCTCTATTTTTGAAGTGAAACTTCTTAAGGAGCATGAGGGTAAATTTTTTACGGATGAAACGCAATAACAATAATATTAGCGTCACGAATCACGATGTGCAGCGTTTTTGTCGAAGAAAAGGAAGAGAGCTATTGAGACCGATTGACAGAGAGTGAGAAAGGGCGAACGTAGCATGAAGCAACTAGCCATGGAGCGAGATTAGGGAGGAAGCAAGTGAGAAAGATAGAGAGGGAGAGTGAGATAGAGCAAACGTCGCATCACGCACAGTGCCATGGAGCGAGAGGTGGGAGAGAGCTATAGTGAGAAAGATTGAAAGAGAGAGTATGAGAGATCGAGAAAAAATACACGCTATTGGTTGATGTACTCGTTTAGTAGGACTTTAGACGGCAATTCTGTCGCATAAAGTCTTGTGCAGTAAAGGCAGATTTTTTATTTATTTATATCATCATTAGCACGGATACAGTGTGTAAACAGTTTGAATATAGATATACAAATACATGGAGTGATCATATACTGGTACATGATCATCTATTGGGGCTTTTACCTTAGTAATAATTAATTTACAAAGAAGTTTCACTTCTGACATGTGTACTTTGTACGCACGAACTTTTTTCTTTGACTTTGAGGATGCAATTTAGCGAATAATAATTTGTCTGAAATGCATTCAACTAATATAAGACTGTCTTTAATCTCGAAATTTACAACTGAACTCTCTATAATAGTTTCAGATCAGGGAGGCATTTCATAATTGGGGTTATTACAGTGGAGTTTAATGTTATCCAGTCCTTCTGAAAGTCCCGTTTTAAATTTCGTCGACTTTAAGCTGTTCTAAGTCATCTTTATAATAACTGGGAATATCAAATATAACAACGCTGCGTATGCATTATTTCGACGCTCAGAGAACTCATTAGTCCGCTTCGGGATTTCATTCCATAGTCGGAACTCACCTTGTCTTGCCACCGGCCGTTTGACGAACCCGATAAATACGAATGCTGTGGGTACGGCCAGAGCCCACCTGTTTAAGCCATGTCACTTCAACAGAATTCGGGAAGCCTGACCAATACCATCCACGAGAAAACAGATGGCATCTCCTCATATCATTATACCATGCGCATACCAAAATATTGATGCCATAACCTTGCCAGCTGATTTGTGCGTCTTTTCACGTTTAGGAGTCGGTTCAGTCCACGTGGCTGATTGGACCAGAACCCCGGTGTGGAATAATGGAGACATGTTTCATCCTTTGTCACATATCGACGCAATTTTTCTAATTCGGATTTATTACGATTGAACAGTTTCAAACACTTTTGGTTGATTGGGATCACGCGCAGCTCCCACTTCGAACAGAGCTTTCGAAAATACAAATATTCATCTACGATAGGTCTTTTGATGTTTTTGGGGTCTCAGCTACCTTAATCAACTTCACTTTTCGGTTATCGCAAAACCTCTTTGGGGATTCACTGCGTGCATCGTGCTCGGTGCTCATTTCGCCTCGTTCATACTTAGCAATCCACTTCTTAACGGTTGATTTTCCTGGTGCAAAGTCCGAATAATTTTTATCAAGCCAAGGCTTGAATTGTATTTTGACAAAAAGCAATGATTTATTAACACACGAAATAACTTTTATCCATTTTTAAAAAAAAAACAAAAGTTCCTTCACACAACATACTATAGATACTACTCAGAAACTAATAGTACGACACTTGTCAAATTTATACATAGGGCTAACTTAAAATCATATTAATTTAATACAAGAAGCGGCATATATGTGTCAGCCTACAGATTTTCAGCCCACCTACCAGATATTGTGGAAGATAAGGTTAAATGACGAGCGGTGTTAAATCTATAGCTTCTGTTAATAACATTATTGGAGGAGCTACAACCCTTGGTTGCGGTTATACTAGTGAGTGTTTTTGTAGTTGGTTCAGTTAGATCACGAAATTCTTGATTCGATGAATGAAAAATATATACAGATCCTTTTCTTTAATGACATTTCTATCACACGGCCAGTATAACCCAGTTGATTGATCAGCACGTTTCGCTGTGTAAATTTGGAACTCAAAAACGTAGCCAGTCTTGCTATCTGCTCTAGTAGACACTTTATACCCTCTTATTATAGGTTTTAGTGGCATGTACTGTTTTAGTGATGAAATGCCTTTGAATTGTATCATCGACTCATCTATAGGTTGGGAAGTTGTAGTTTTTGCAGCACTTTGACAGGATTTGTTAAGTATCTCGAGAAGCGGGCGAACTTTATACAATTTGTCATAATCAGGTGTTCCTCTCGGCGGCATTTTCATATTATCGTTCAAATGTAGATTTTCTAATCTCTAATCTAATCTCCCATCAAATAATAAATATAAGCAACAGGTCTGGTCCTACTTGGCATAAATTGCTTAGATTCTAAATGTATGCTATCAAAGTATTCTATGTCGGGAGTCTGTGGGTAAAGCACCTTTTTCCATTCATTTTCTTCAGTATCTGACTCTACTGTATCAGACATGGCTGTATCTGGTACCGTAGGTGTTAGGGATTGAGCTACGACACTGGGAGGAACATCTGGTGAGGATGATTGGCTGATACCACAGCGGCGCCTATCCAGATGAAGACCAGATGTAGATGGTTGCACTTCAGCAGAGCTTGTTGAAGGCTGTTTAGTGAAGAACATGGTAACGTACTTTTATATAATTTTTAACTAAATAAAAAATACTAAAATATTTCTTACTTAATCAAACCTTTTTAGGTTTTTGATTTCTTATATTAGGGACAAAAATGATGAAATCATGAATACAAAAAATCTTATTAATTTAGGCAAGGCATACACGATCAGGAAGTAGGACCGCGATAAAATATTTTTTATTGTATATATAGTCTTGAGTATTGGCGCCCTGTGGTAAAATTTCTAGATGTTCGAATGGCAGTAAATTTAAGTGTTGGTTTCGACTTTCGCCTTACAAGATTCTTGAGATTTAGATATTCAAGACTTCCCTTTCTCGCTACTGTACGAGTTCAAGAACAATATTGGGTGTATTTTTTTTGGCTTAAGCCTCCTTTGGTTTGTAACCAAACCAGCCTTCGAAAAAAGTCGCTCTGATGGGACAGAGGAAGCCGGTATGCATAAATACTTGAAGGCTATTCGATGAAGGATAGGAAAAATATGTTTACGCTATTCCCAAAATTCGTCCTATCTAGGTAGGGCAAATCTAAATATTATTTTAAAACTATTGAAGCGGATGATGTTGGGGTTTGCTGTGTGACCGTTTCAATGAGTTTTCTGTAAAAAAAATCACAGATTTCATCATCATGGCCATCTGTAAAAGATTGCGCCGTAGAAACAGTCTGCAACCGATTTCTTCTTCAACTGGTGGGTGTTGAACCAGGTATTGAGCAAATTCCTCAAGGACAAATTTAACCGCATCAGCATTGCTCTCTACACCAAAACCTTTTTTTTAAACGTGGATCCAGTAAGGTGGCCTTTGCTGCTGTTCTGTTGGACTCATAAACACTTAATCTTTTATCAATGACTTCCAGCAGCGACCGCTGATCATGCCTTCCAGCTTCGGTTTTTGGAGACTTATTGTGAAGCGAATTTCTGAGACCTCTGACTATTGGTATAGTACACGATAGCGTCGGATACTTTTTCCATGGGCTGTAAAAGAGCAACACAGTTTTCTATTATCAGCCAGTCCTCTGCGTTTAAGCTTGGTGGAGGTGACGTAAGCAGAGGTAATGTTGCTGATAGGAGAACTTTGGTTCTCAACAACCTCTTCAACATATAAAAACTTGAATTCCACCTCGTCTGTACGTATTGTTTTAGTTTAGACGATTTTATGCTTTGCTTAAATTGAGTGACTATGGCGCGACTTTTCGACGTAGCATTTTTTAAATGTGGGAATGCGTCATTTTCTGTTTAAATGCAGTCTTTGGCGGCTAAATTTATAGTGTGTGCAACACAGAAATGATTTTATTTATTTAAAAAATCTTTTTCATGCTCGAAGCATTGTCGTTCACAATTGTAACTATTTTGTCGAAAATATTCCATTCTGTTAAAATAGCTCGCAAAGCGTTTGCTATATTTAACGAGGTATGCTGTTCTGCAAGTTCAGATGTTGATATAACAAGCGAATGTAATTTTGAACTTTTAATGAAATGAGCAGTAACACTAATATAACTTTTTGACCTTCTGAACTCCAGTTATTATATATTCTACATCTTGTAATTTTTGTTTTATTTCAGAACTGCATATGTTATATTTTTCTTTCAGAATTTGAATTAATTTTTTTCTAGATGGCAATACATAATCAGGATTTAATTTTTTTTAATATTTTATAAAACCCTCGTTTTCAACAATTTGTAGGGGTTGCATATCTATTGTTATTAGGTCTAGTAAGGCTTCATCACCAAATTTTTGGTTAAGCGCATCTGTCGCGCCTGCTTTGGCTGAGAAAGCTCAGGAGCTGAACCGCCAACGGTATTATTCTCCTCCCGATTCTCCGACACACAAACACCGGACACGCTTGGAATTGGCAAGTCAATTCTCGAAACCTCACACTCACTACTTGCACATTCGTCTCTGGGTAAATTTGCGCCAACGGTTTCACTGTATTGAATTGCATGTTTCTTTTTTAAGTGGTTCACTAAAGTAGTGGTATTTCCACTATATTTATACTGACAGGAACATAATTTGCAAACTACCTTAGTCATCTGTTTTCGAATAAAACACCCATGCAACACTTTTTTTTACTTCCAGGAGCTATTCTGAAATAAATAAAGTCAACAAAACAAATAACAGAAACTAATAAAACTGCAACAAAACAATAAACAATGAACAAAGTAACAATAACAAAAAATTTAACAAAACAAATAAGCGAGCTGGCTTTTTTGCTCAAAACTCTCTCATAAGAACGTCAGATATGAAACCAACAACGGTTCGCTCGGAGTTGTTCGGGCCTCGCGAGTCGCGAGCTAGCCGAGGGGCGCCAGCCCACCGCACCGCCCGCAGCCCGCGACCCGCGTGCCCCGCAGCCCACCACTGAACACACGCCGCGCGCACTCTCCAAGTCAACTCGGTTTGCAGATATTTTAGCTCGGGCTGACTCGCCTACGGCCTGACCCGAGTTACTCGAGTTGCCCATCGCTAATTGTTGTACTTTACCTTCAACCAAGTTTCTAGGATCTTGTTTTTCTGTGCATCTTATTTTCGGTGACCTTTTGCGTTATAGATTAGGTACCTCAATTTTTCGGGGATATTTATTATTTTTATTGTTTAGTAATATCGATTTAAAGTCGATACTGAATAGACAGCCTCTTGTGTTTTGTTCTTTATTTATAATACATAATAATTAGTCACTGTTTGTGTTACAAACCATAAAAAATTTTTTACAATACAATATCTGTTATATAAAAAGATATCTGCATGGTTCTATTTTCACTACTTCTACTCACGGCTTGCCTCTTTAATGTCGTGAGTCTACAAGCTCAGGTAGTATTTGATTCATATAAAACTCAACCAACTTTCGTTCCATCGTTTCCTTCGAAAATTTTGTCTTTATTTCTATGACCCTCATTGCTTCTCACTCCCCCTAATGCCGACAATACATTTTTCACGGCCAGTAATCATAAGCTGGCCTTGAACTTGGTAAAACCAATCGCTGTTTTTATTTATTACAGTTTGATTCGTTTTCTTATTGTGTTTGTAAATTTGTATTTTGTTTGTTTTGATGGCTTCGTACATTCCAACTTTACCCGGAGCTACTGGACTCTTGACTTCCACTATTGTATCCGTCCCAATAAGTCCATCGGGACTAGCTCCAAGAAAAGGGTACTTGTTGTCCACAAATAGTCCACAGGGTTCTATAACAATATTATTTGTGCTGACAGTTGCTCTAACGCAATTTTCTCATTGTTTATACCATGTGCTATAGACGTTATAGATGAAATGTTTGTCTTTGTGTAAAACGTCTTTTACTAAATTCTCTGATCTTTATTTTACTTTTAATCCCTATACCAAAATTCGAAACAGTCATTATTTTTTTTCTCAATTCTCGCCAATCACTGCTATCGCGTTGGAGAACTGTATTTTTTTCCACAGCTTTCCTGTCTACCACAAGAGATTCCAAGTATTTTATAAAATTATCTTTGGCAAGCTTCAGCTCCTCAGGTGGCATATCTGGCGCACAAGCATTCTTGCCGTAGTTGTTTTGGAATATATCAATATTGTGAAAACCTCTTCTGTTTTTTTTTCTGGGGAACAGACTTCTTTTTTTTTCTCCAATTTGTCGCGATTCGTTTCTAATCGCTTTATATGATGAGACCTGGGACTAAATACCAGCATTTTTTATGCAGTGTGGTGATGGGTTTTCCAGTGTTATATGACACTACAGCTGCTGCACATCTGCTTTGATGCGAACGACGCTGTGAAAAGTTTATTCGCTTCCCACCAACAAGTTTTCTTTAAAAACTCCTTTTTTTTGCTCTTGACATACTATTTATATTTGGTCCTTACATATGAAATTGGCGTTTTTCGTACTGGCCACTTTAATCACGATGTTCTCCTCTTTGGTAAGGAATTCCAAATTCAAATTTGTACAGCTATTTACTCATGTATTTGTGCTTCGATGACCGTCACTCATTTGTTTTTTCTTCTGTTTTTTTCTGTTTGCGTCACTCATTTTACAAAATGGAAAACTTAAAGTATCGCATTATTTACGAGTACGAGTTCCGCCGTGGCACTAGTGCTGCGGAAACGACTCGAAGGGTGAATGATGTGTATGGCGGTCATGTTGCAAAAGAAAACACAGTTCGTTTTTGGTTCCAACGTTTTCGTTCTGGAAATTTCGACCTGCAGAACAAGCCCCGTGGACGGCCTGAGACCCAAGTTGATAATGAAGTATTGAAGACTATTGTGGAAGCGGATCCATCGCAAACCACGTCCGAGTTAGCTGCAGGCTGCGGTGTTAGTGATAAAACTGTTTTAATTCACTTGAAGCAAATTGGGAAGATTAAAAAGCTTGAAAGATGGATACCTCACGAATTGACTGAAGCAAACCGGCAAACGCGCGTCGACTGCTGCGTTACATTACTGAACCGGCACAATAATGAAGGTATTTTAAACCGAATCATTACCTGTGATGAAAAAGGGATTCTTTACGATAATCGGAAGCGCTCAGCGCAATGGTTGGATCCTGGCCAGCCAGCCAAATCCTGCCCCAAGCGAAAATTAACCCCAAAAAAGTTACTTGTAAGCGTTTGGTGGACTAGTGCCGGTATTGTTCATTGCAATTTTCTCAAATCTGGCCAGACTATTACGGCTGATGTCTATTGTCAGCGATTGCAAACCATGATGGAAAAGCTAGCGGCTAAACAACCTAGGCTGGTCAATCGCTCCAAGCCACTGCTACTTCACGACAACGCTAGACCACACACTGCACAACAGACGGCTACCAAATTAGAAGAGCTTCAATTGGAATGTCTAAGACATCCTCCGTACTCCCCGGACCTTGCTCCAACAGATTACCATTTTTTTCGAAATTTGGACAACTTCTTGCAAGGGAAAAAATTTAACTCTGATGGGGCAGTCCAAATCGCCTTCACAGATTTTATTGATTCCCGTCCGACTGATTTTTTTTGTAAAGGGTTCAATGAACTACCTATGAGATGGCAAAAGTGCATAGAAAACAATGGTTCATACTTTGATTAATTAAATATATTCTATTTAAAAATATATTTGACTTTTTGTTCCTCCCATACAAAACGCCAATTTCATATGTAAGGACCTAATATTTTCATCGCTTGCCTTCTGGTTTTCTTGAACTTTATCTATAATTTCCATACTTTTCATTCGTTGCTGGTTTCTTGCAGTTTTTTTTTAACGTCTGCAACCGGAGTTGTTTCCGGTTTTGGAGACTCATCAACTAGTGGTAGATTGTTTCGCTGGGTGGATCATCAGTCGTAAGTATCGAAGAAGAAAGTGTACGTGGAGTGGAAAGTTTTTCTCTTTATGAAAAATTTCTTCGAATTGCACATAATATTCAAAAGTGATATGAGCTCTTCCACTCTTATTGTTGTTGTCAATACACTCCTTATATTTGTTATATAAGCGATTAAATTTCCATTTAACCTGATCTGCTGTTACCTGTACAACCGTAAATTAATGCTTATAATTTATAACGAAGATTTCAAATCAACACACTATCAAGAGTTTAATACACCTTCAGCATTAATGATATTAAGTATTTTTACCTGTATACATAAATCTTTTAACCCTTCTGATATTTTCTTCCACACCCTTGATTTCTTGCCGACATCCATAAACATCTGTACATTTGCTTCGTATAAACTAAGCATTGCCATCGTGGATTGCTTTGTCCACACAGCATCTGAAATATTAAGAAACACAACATACAATTATAATTTTATTAAAACTTCAAAATCTTATGTACAGTCTATAAACTATTGTTTATGATCTCCAAAGGCATGCAACACTGAGTTTGAAACTACCACCTTTCGCATGCTCATACTTTTTTTGGTCCGTCAATGGTTTCTTGTGGTCTTTACTGTATTTCAGATCTTTTGTGATAGCACGTAATTTTTTACACATATTTCGTAACAAGTGGTTACGACATTGTATTTTCTGTACCACATGATTAGGATACGAATTGGCTATCAAAATGTTAGCGTAAGTTGAGGCACCTCCGTCTGCTGCTAACCTGGATTAGATGATTTCCTACATTTCGAGGGACTGTTCGGAACCCTCAGGAATTACATCAGATTCCATCCCTGAGAATGGGCCATCGTAGTTTTTGTAGCAAACGTGTTGTTTTGCCTCTACTCCTTTTTTGCTTTCGCACACATACTAAACAGTATTTGTTATTCACTTCGACATACAGAACCTCTTAAAGAAAACACTTTTTTTAACGGATTGAAGCTATGTATTATTATAAACTTATAATTATTTTACATAATTTTAAATTTTTCCGACGTTTCGCGTGCTTTACAGCGTGCGTGGTCATGTTGACTGAAGACAAAACGTGTTGAATGTCAAAGATACAGAACCTCTCCAAATTTTCTTCCTATTATGACTGATGCTCCAGAAAGTGCTTTGTAGTTATCGCCATATGATCTAGCAGACCAAAAACAATCGGCACGAACTTCTACTAAAGGAATTCCGTTTTTTAATACAAGCTCTTCCAAGTATATGAAAATCCTTTTAATTTTTATAATTACTGGGATTTTCAAATATAACAACGCTGCGGTTGCATTATTTCGACGCTCAGAGATACGCTTGTTCATCGAAGAGAGAGATACCTTTTCTAATACTACTGCCACTTGAACGGACTCATCAGTTACGAGATATCGTCACGTAACGCTTCGGGATTTCATGCCATAGTCGGAACTCACGTTGTCTTGCCACTGGCAGTTTGACGAACCCGATAAGTATGCTGTGGGTACGGCCAGAGCTAACCTGTTTAAGCTATGTCACTTCAACAGGATTCGGGAAGCCTGACCAATACCATCCACGAGAAAACAGATGGCATCTCCTTATCTCATTATACCATGCGCATACAAAATATTGATGCCATAACCTTGCCAGCTGATTTGTGCGTCTTTTCACGCTTTGGAGTCGGTTCAGTCCACATGGCTGATTGGACCTGAACCCCAGTGTGGAATGATGGAGACATGTTTCATCAATCGTCAAATATCGATGCAAAAATTCGGATTTATTACGATTGAACACTGCTCTGAATCATCAACTTGTTGTTGTTTTTGGTACACTGGGAGCTCGCGCAGCACCCACTTCGAACAGAGCTTTCGGAAATCTAAATATTCATCTACGATAGGTCCTTTGATGTCTTTACGGTCTCAGCTATCTTAATCAACTTCACTTTTCGGTTATCGAAAAGCCTGTTTGGGGATTCACTGCGTGCATCGTCCTCGGTACTCATTTCGCCTCGTTCATACTTAGTAATCCACTTCTCAACGGTTGATTTTCCTGGTGCAAAGTCCGAATAATGTTTATCAAGCCAAGCCAAGGCTTGAATTGTATTTTGACAAAATGCAATGCTTTATTAACACACGAAATTACTTTTATCCATTTTTCAAACAAACACAAGATATAGTCCATTGAAATGTTACAATTTGAGGGCCAAACTGAACATTTGATAGAGGACCAACATTTGATATGAACCATATTTTTTATATGAAAAAGATCCAATCCCAAGTAATAGCGGTGAAATGAATGAAGCAGGACGAGTTGCTGCAAATATGAAATGAGCAACGGAAACAAATTTTCTCTATGCTGCAGCCAATGACTTACGTTTTGATTGACAGATAATTCCAGAAAGTAGAACTGATAAAGATTCAGGAATTAAAGAATTAACTTTTAAAAAATCATCTGAAGGTGGATAATTATTCGTTTCATAGCGCCCTCAACGGATGTCTTTCAAAATAATTGCAGCTGCATCTCTGACTTTCTGCAATCTCTCTTCTTGCGGATCTTTTTTTTATGAGATGATTTTTTCGACATTACTTTAAATATAATACCTTTAAAACACACAATGCTGTATTGTCTACTTTCGGTTAAGATAACGATGTCATCCTTATACTTTGCCTTTAATCGTTCAATGATCGTACTTCTCTGGAACGTAGTATCCCTTAATTGATTTCATGAAATCTGTAATTCGAAATTGACACTCTTCGCCATTTTCATACAAATAAGCAAAAACATCCTACATGGCACTGACAATGTTATTCTTGCGCTCGTCATACTTATTTTCGTCACTCCATTTTTTGGAGTACAATTATCATCCAATACCCGAGCTTCAACATCAACTAAACTGGAAACATTAGCAATGCGATGCCTCATCATCCGAACGTTTCAGAAAAAGATCCAAAATGCTTTTTTTGTGCGCCATGCACATGACATATCTTTTTCTGAAGGCTGTGACGCAAATTACTCTGATCCTGGAATACCTCGCCGCAAATAAATTTGATTTGAGAAATCAAAATCAGTATCTAGATTTTCCGATACTGAAGACGATGAACTGCTACTACTGAGACGACGAACTTCATTATCTGTTCGACCATCACTATAATAATGATAGCAGGGAATATGAACAGTTACTACAGAAACACTTTGCAAAAACAATTCATTGTCCAAATCGTTTTTGAATCTTGCTCGTTCAAGCAAACTAGTTTTAACTCGCCTAGCTTTTACAGTTCGGACTTTAATGTCCCCAAGAGGTTTTTTACATATAAAGCAATCACTCATGATTCATTCTTAAAAGTAACTTAGACATAATTGTAGGCGAATTGCTACAAAATGTGGCTTTACAAATTTTATGTACGATGGATAGTTGAGGAGATATAGCCAAAAACGTGTTTTAACTCCTGTAGCGGCGAAGACAAATAGAAGTAGGCCGAGGGGCAAGTGGAATGCGGCGTAAAAATAATGGAAACACCACTCACCTAAAGTCCGTCTCTTCACCTGTCTCCGTGGGAGAAGACCACAAATAAAACTATATGAACAATAAGCGGATGAAGCGTAAGCGCAAGCGAAAGCACACGCGTGACCTCGCGGCAGCGGATAGACCTTCTCTGCTGCGCGGGAGCATGTAGAATACGGTCCCCTCCTTCTACACTTTAATACCGCAAAAGAGAAAGAGTGGTGTTTAGGGAATGGGTGCGGTAAGGATAGAAGATGTGAACAGAGAGGACTAAAGGTAACTGGATGGCGTGAACATTGCCCCCGGCCTAAAAAACCTTTAGGTTTTTTATAAAGAGATAATTTGTAAATTAAAGAAAGAAATTATAAGATGTAATAAAAATATTAATGCGAGTTTGTAAAGCGAATGTAAAGCGATTTTATAAAGCGGTTTGTAAAGCGGTTTTATAAAGCGTTTGTAACGCGGTTTTGTAAAGCGGTTTCTAAGCGGTTTATTAAGCGGACTGTAAAGCGGTTTTATAAAGCGGTTTGTAAGCGGTTTATTAAGCGGATTGTAAAGCGGTTTTATAAAGCGATTTATCAAGCGGTTTTTAAAGTGATTTGTCAAGCGGTTTATTAAGCGGATTGTAATGCGGTTTGTAGGGTGATTTGTAAAGCGGTTTTTAAAGTGATTTGTTAAGCGGACTGTAAAGCGGTTTTATAAAGCGGTTTGTAAGCGGTTTTGTAGAGCGGTTTCTAAAGCGGTTTGTTATGCGGATTGTTAAGCGGTTTTATAAAGCGGTTTTTAAAGTGAAAGTGGTTCATCATTTATTTTTATCTTTGCGGGTAGAACCTTTAATGGTGATGACATCAAGAAGTGAGCCGGAGTCAATGCCGTGAGCTCAGATGGATCCTCACTTAAAAGTGTAAGTGGTCGAGAATTGATTACAGATTCGATTTGGGTAAGAACAGTTAACATGTCATCGTACGTGAGTAACTGCTCACCCACTACACGACGCAAATGGTTCTTAAAAGCCTTAACAAATATTTCGAAGCAGCCACCAAAATGAGGACTTCGGGGAGGATTGAATTTCCACTGAATACGATTATTTGAAAGCTCTGTTGCAAATGTTTCACGAAATTCGTTCGAATTTGTAAGTGTAAATATATCTGTAAAATGCATTTTTAGCTCCAACAAAATTCTTTGCGTTATCTGAATAAAGAACAGAAACCGAACCACGACGCGCAATAAATCGTTTGAATGCAGAAAGAAATGAACTAGTACTAAGGTCTGTTGTAAGCTCAACGTGCACAGCTCGAACCACCATACAAACAAAAATACAAAGATAAGCTTTTATAGAGCGGACTCCACGTTTTCGATAAGGAATTATTGAAATAGGACCAGCATAGTCTACAGCTGTATGAACGAAAGCTTTAGATTCGTTTACACGATAGTCGGGTAAGTCACCCATGAGCGGTATCATAGGTTGAGGATTTGCTTTGAAACAAAAGTTACATTTATGTATAATTGATCGCACTATGCTACGGCAAGATAGTATCCAAAAACTTTGTCGGAGTATCGCCATTAAAGTAACTGCACCAACGTGACAGTTATGATGATGATAATAGGAAATAATTAACTCAATTATCCTATCCTTTTGCGGTAACAAAATAGGATGCTGGTGATCATACTGAAGATTGGCATTTTTAGTCTACCACCAACCCTTATCAACCCATCAGAATCTAGAAAAGGACATAATCTTTGAATAGAACGTGAGCAGCGACCACTAGTTTTAATGTTATGGATAACATCAGAGAAGTATACTTTTTGTAAAACCTTAAAAATCTGTATTTCAGCAAAATTGATATCATCAGCAGAGATACTAGTAGATCTAGGAAGTCTTCAGAAAACGGTATATCCATACCACTGTACGGAGAAACAATAACCAAGAAGAAACTCGATGAGACAGTTCTAAAATTGGGTTTGGATCACTCCAAACAGTAGCGGGAATAGAAACTATTTTTCTTTCTTCTTCTACATCAACAGCTGTTTCAGAGTTAACCGAAGTAATTGGCCACTCAGATGATTCCAATTCTAACCATTTTGGGCCCGTGAACCAAATAGAATTATTTATAAATGCAGTGGGTGACAAACCGCGAGATAGACAATCACTAGGATTTTGATCACCCGCAACATGATGAAATTTTTCAGGTCGAATATGAGAAACTATTTTTGTAATGCGAGTAGCAACAAAGGTCTTAAAGAGGTACGGAGATGTGGAAATCCAATGTAGTGCAACCATTGAATCAGTGAAACAAAAAATGTCATTAATGACGTGACGTTTCTTGTAAGTATCTATTACCCGCTGAGCTAGCTTAGCCATGAGTAAACATGCGCAAAGTTCTAGTCTTGCAACGGAAATGGTTTTAAGCGGAGGAACTTTCGACTTAGCACATACTAAGCGAATTATAGGCGGAGAGTTTAAAGAGTTATTTGTCTTTAAATAAACAGAAGTGCCATGGGCTTTTTCACTGGCATCCGCAAAGGCAATTATAGAAATTGTAGATTTTTCTTCAACCCCTAAATGTCGTTGAACACGTAGCTGTCGTAAACATGGAAGTTCCCGAATATAAACTTGCCAAACATCAACTATAGCTGAAGGAAGTGGTTCATCCCAGCCTATTTTAAGAAGGTGTAATTGTTGTATAATTAGTTTAGCGTAAAGTATGACTGGAGCTATTAGTCCTAGGACGTCAAATTGTCGTGCTATAAGTGACCAAATATTACGTTTAGTCACATGGTTATTATGATTAATTGAAACCGCGTACATAAACTCATCAGTGGTTGGAGACCATTGTAAACCAAGAACTTTTAAATTATTTTCTGAACCATCAAAATCTATTTTTCCTAATTCATTATCAGAAGATGATAAATTTTCAATAAGTTCCGATGTATTGCTTTCGGAAATAGCGGGCCGAATATTACAAAGCGAAATATTTGAGTTTTTAATCGGCTGATTGTCGCTGCGTGAAGGTACATAAGGTGTGTTATTAGCGGGAGGCACAGCAACCTGCGCAGTTGCATTGCTCATGCGATTCAAGTTATTAGCGTGAATGTTTTCTTGAGAAACTGTCGCATTACGACACAGCGTTGAATGATGTCTCATGCGGCAATGACGACAATTCCATGCAGACTTACATTTATTTAACATATGCGATAAACTTAAACAGTTAAAACATCCTTTATTGTTTTTGATAAAAGTATATTTATCCTCGATAGACAATTCTTTAAATAAATTACATTTATATAATTTAAAATGATCGATGCGTTTACAAAATGAACAAGAAGACTGCTTCTCTGTAAGCGAAACGAACGCACGCGACGAAACCGGTTTGTTATCAAATGTGCGAGTAGGATCCAGATGTTGAGCTATTCTATTATGTTCGCGTATGAATGCAATTAAATCTTTATAACTAGGTATTGTTGGGTTATTCATATTATGTAATTCAAAGGAACGAATTGTACTAGAATCTAATTTTTTACATGATAAGTATAGTAAAATAAAATCAGCTAAATTTTCTAATTGTAATGATTCTAAACTTGATATTGCGGTGCAGTAATTGTCAAGAAACAATTGTAAATTTTTATGTGAAGGGGTGGTAAGCGGTTTGAAGTCTACAATCTTTTGCATATAGGCTGAACCCAAACTTCGTTTGTCATGGTATTTGTTTATAAGCGTTTGCCAAATTAAAGCATAATTTTCGGCATTTGGAATGATACCTGCACAAACTGAAAGGGCCGAATCAGACAATTTACTGATTAAATATTGAATGCGTTCATGATCTGTAAGGTCAGGGTTTTCGTGTATTGTACGTTTAAAAGATTCATAAAATATCGGCCACTTAATGACATCACCATTAAACATCATCAAGTCTAACTTTGGTAAACGAAACGATCTGCGTTGGGTGTTTGAATCGGACAAACCATTGCTACCTGCCACTGATTTGTTAAATTTTTCAAACATGTACTTAGAATGACAGTACATATCTTCAAATGCATTCATGCATTCAAAATTAACAGTGTATAGGGGATTAATTGTTAATTCGATTATATTTATTTTATTTACAGTTTCTGAAAATTTATCCCGAATGTTGTCAATCGAAATCATTCCCGATAAAAAAGAATTTATCTCTCTTTCGTCCGATGTTTTCTTAGACCTATCATATAAATCTTGTAATCGTGAAAATAGATTGTCGCGTTTTGCTATTAACACGGCTCGTTCAATTTCAAGCGAACTGTTAGCACCTTGTTTCTCTAATGTTGCTTTACGAGTCTCCATATTAACTAAAATATACGTAGTTGGTCCCAAAGTTCTGTCACTAGCACATTATTTCTACATTTCGAGCAGGATTTTATAAAAAAATTATTGCATTCTATTTTGGAATGTTTGATTATTGTTTTAAAACAAAAAACAATAACTTTCCGTAATTTTTCACGATGGAGTGGACATTGAAAGTAAACCGAATAGTTGTTATTGCGTTGCACCGCTGTGGACACTCGCCGAGTACCATTTTCAAGTTGCTCAAAAATTTGAATATAACGCTTAGGTTTGTGTACGGTACTATTGATAGGTACCTTGAAGTCTCCAGTGTTGAGGACAAGAAAAGAACTGGCTGGCCACGCTCCGCAAGAACACCAGCAGTAATCAAAGCTATCAAGGCGCGGATAGTAAGAAATCCTGTCCGAAAACAGAAGTTGATGGATTTGCAGATGGGTGTCAGTAGGAAAACAGTAAAAAGGTTTTAAATGAAGATCTTGGTCTACGAGCATACAAAAAAGAGTGGGCACTTACTTAATGCTCGTCTAAAAGCAATAAGGCTTAAGAGATCGCGGGTGTTGTTTAAGCGGTACGCGAAAAACCGACACCGTGATATCCTCATTACGGACGAAAAATTTTTCGATATTGAAGAGAAGTACAATAAACAGAATTATACAGTGTACGCTAAGAGTTCTGAAGAAGCTGAAAATAAAGTTCCAAGGGTGCAACATGGACATCATCCATCATCAGTAATGGTTTGGTTGGGAGTGTCCTATTACGGGCTAACTGAGGTTAATTTTTTCGAAAAGGGGGTCAAAACCAGTGCTACAGTGTACCAAGAGACGGTTTTGTATCGCCTTGTCAAAGACATGTCCAGCACCCTATTTGCGGGACATCACTTCGTGTTCCAGCAGGACTCTGCGTCTGCATACAAAGCCAAGACCACTAAAGCCTGGTTTGAGCGTCAAAACATCGTCTTAATTAGACATGAGGATTGGCCTTCCTCCAGTCCGGACCTTAATCCTTTGGACCAGAAATTATGACAGGGCTTAGAGAGGAAGGTCTGTGATAAACCTCATGAAAATTTGGAGAATCTGAAGTCATCTTTAAAAAAACCAGTGACTGAAATCGACACGAATATGGTGCGTGCTGCGATAGACGACTGGCCGCGACGCTTAAGGGCCTGTATTAAAAATGAGGGAGGTTATTTCGAATATTTTTATGTTTTTTTTATTCCTTAATTAATGTACTAAGAATTGATATATCACTCATTACAAACTGATCAGTACTTTTGTTTTTATCATTATTTCCATTTATGACAGAACTTTGGGACCGACTACGTATATATCGCGAATTGAAATAAACTAAAATACTATATCGCGGCTCGAAAGGGCCAAAATAATGTAGCGGCGAAGACAAATAGAAGTAGGCCGAGGGGCAAGTGGAATGCGGCGTAAAAATAATGGAAACACCACTCACCTAAAGTCCTCCGTCTCTTCACCTGTCTCCGTGGGAGAAGACCACAAATAAAACTATATGAACAATAAGCGGATGAAGCGTAAGCGCAAGCGAAAGCACACGCGTGACCTCGCGGCAGCGGATAGACCTTCTCTGCTGCGCGGGAGCATGTAGAATACGGTCCCCTCCTTCTACACTTTAATACCGCAAAAGAGAAAGAGTGGTGTTTAGGGAATGGGTGCGGTAAGGATAGAAGATGTGAACAGAGAGGACTAAAGGTAACTGGATGGCGTGAACAACTCCTTTTTCCAACATGGCGGCCGTGGGACAAGGGCGCCGACCCAACAAACTTGAAGTTAAGCTTGTATTTGACCCCCCCCATGTTGTTCAGATGTTCAGCAAATGTAACATTTCAATGGACTAATACTATATCTCACAAAGTAATAGTACGACACTTTTCAAATTTATACACGTTTTTAAAGTTTAGGGCTAACTTAACATCAAAGTAACCTACAGCTTTTCAGCTCACCTACCAAATACTGTGGAAGATAAGGTTGAATGACGAGCGGTGTTAAATCTATAGGTTCTGTTAATAAAATTATTGGAGGAGCTAAAACCCTTGGTTTCGGTTATACTAGTGAGGGTGTGAGTGATTTTGTAGTTGTTTCAGTTAGATCACGAAATTCTTGATTCGATGAATGAAAAATATATACAGATCCTTTTTTAATGACATTTCTATCACACGGCCATAACCCTCTTGCTTAAGACCCTATCCTTACACGAATTGTAGGTATTTGAGGGGTTGAAGCAGAAGAAGCGGTAGACGGGTTGCCCCGCCCACTGCGGGGTGCCCGCACTCGTCCGTTGCCGCCGACGCGTTACTGTTGATAAGTCTGTATTCAAGGACACCGGATGTTTTATTGTTGTTAGCGATGTGCCGAGTTGACTCGACTCGGTTTGCCTTATGGTCCGTCGCGTCGCCATGTCGTTCGTTCGAGTCAATATATTATGCTCTACTCGGCGTATCGTTCCGTGGGTTGCTAGTTTGCTACGTTCACGGTTCGCCGGGTCCGGTCCGTCGAGCTGCGTGGCATCGAGTCTTCGAGTCAATGGTAGTCAAATAAAATTGAGCCCATTAAAAAATCATACTTTTATTATTATTAAAAGTGTTTACAAACGTCACATCACAAAACGAACTTACGAACGATATGTAGCGCAAAATAAAATTATGGTAAAATTTTTACCTTGTAAATAATAAGAAACTAAAATAAATTCTTAAATGAAACACCGCACCGTTTGGTATTTGGATTTGGTATCTACTTAGTATTTACTTACCTTTTTCTCTTTGCAGATAAGTTCTCATAATGCTTCTTACGAGCCAATGATGACAACTTCCGTTTTTTTTATCCTTGTTGCCCATTTTTCCGGTTTGATACACTTTCTCATCAATTATTAAAAATACGTAAACGGTACCGCAACACTCGCGCAAAATATTTTTTGCACGATCAAAGTGTTGGTGCAGTGGTATTAATTATAAGAAAATTTATTTAGCTTTTTAAAAAACAAACGGTTACATCGGAAAACATTGTTACTTAAAATATAGCACTTCTAAAAATAAACCATTGTTTCTCTTATATTATAACACAATAAATTATTCAATGCAGTCTTATGCATTTTTTCTTGTCTGAGTTTTAACAAAAATATAGAAATATTTTTATAACGGAACAAATCCCGGAACTAAATGTCCGTTTGGCAAGATCTCTCATTCTGAAGTAGATTAGTTTTCTACTTATTTTTTCTTCAGAAGTCTACAGCCATAAGCAACAATTAAAGGATCTTGTTTCACGATATGAGAAATTTCGTCATTACGCAGCCTAGGTTGTATGTTTTGTTGAAATTCTTTTGATGTACGTACAAATTTTGGTTTAATACTTAATGCGTGTTGAGCAAGGGCATGTTTAGTCATATCATCTTCATTACCTATACACTTTTTGCTGTGTTTGTAGAACGTTGACCTTCTGTAAGTACCCAGGCATTTTCTACAGATCACAAATCCTGATGGGCTTTGACCTAATTCTTAGTTAGCTTTCCTTCTCGTCGGAATTAAATATCCCTTATTATTTGAAACCACATTGCTATTATGAATGAAATTACCACGACTTCTCAAATTATCAGTAAGATCTTGCCTTTTCTTTTTTATCTTTTAGGATCAGGGTCATTGGTAGACATAAGCTTTAAAACCTAAATTTCATTACCATGATTTCTCCATTAGATGGCGCGTAAAATTCGTAACTAAATTCTCGCAATAGGGGCAGTAGTTTCGTCTATCCCACAACAAAACGACATAATTAATTGAATAGCAAATAATATTAAGTTATATAACGTATGAAAAACCGTCGCATATCAGGTAAAATTTGCATTTCATAGGCCGCTCAATAACTCTGATACTAAGGTTTCTGAGGTCGATCGCCGATCTTAATAGTAGCTTCTTTTTTTGTCTATAATAGGGGCGCAAACGAGCTTGCGGGACGACCAAAGGGCAGTCTGCGCAGCCCATAGACACCCACTTTTAGTGGGTGCGTTGCCGGCCTTTGAGGGAGGAGTAGACTCGCTTTTTAAACATTTGGAGGTCGTCTCTGAGGGAAGACCCCTCCCGGGAGCCGATTCCACAGTTCGCAAAAGAAACTGCATTGTGAAACGGACTGTGGAAGACCTCCAACCATCAAGATGATGCTACTGAAATTTAGAGGTCGTTCGGCTCGTACGGTGTTGAAAGGAGGCAGGAGGGATCAACCCAAACAATTCTTCCGAACACTCTCCGTAATAAACTTTGTAAAAAACGCAAAGAGACGCTATGTCTCTGCGTAGCGAGAGAGAATCAAGCCGATCAGTAAGACATTGGAGATTGACAATTCGACAAGCCCTTCGCTGAATTTGGTCAAAAGGAAGAAGCTGGTATTTGGGAGCACCGGCCCAGAGATGCGAGCAGTATTCCATATGAGGTCGTACTTGAGCTTTGTAAAGCTGCATACGTTTCACCTCAGTGAAATACTGCTTAGCCCTACCCAAAACACCCAGCTTTTTGGAAGCCAGTTTGGCTTTTTCTTCCAGATGACTGCGGAATTGGACTTCTTTCGAAATGCCAACCCCAAGGATACCGAGGCTGTGTGACGAACTAAGGAGAGCGCCTTCAAATTGAGGAGACACGACAAAAACATCTTTCTTGGCAGAAAACGAACAAACCTGCGTCTTTGTAGGATTAAACTGAACAAGGTTGTTACTACCCACCACAGAAACCTTCTCCAGAATCGACTTTTATCGTGTATAAATTTTTTTTACTAAAATACGTATTTAATGTTAATTCTGGGAAATAAAAACACTAACATTAATTCCAAAAATAATTTTGAACCATCCCAAAGTGATGGTTCAAAATTATGTGATGTATTTATTTATGTGAACGTGCGTCCACCATTCAACTGATGAGCGCGCGAGTCTCGTGTCTCGTGTCTCAAGTAAAAGATTCGATCTCAGGATAACGAATCTTAGGATCCCGGCCTCATTTTGATTCCGAAAAGTTTGGAATTAAATTTGAAATTCGGGATTGAAATTGATTTCTTAAATTTATTCCCGAAATTAATTAAAGAATTTCTCCAAGCACCTTTTATTTCCATCGAGCCTGAAGACGCTTTTGCAGCATCTGCACTTATTATGTGCAACAAAATAAAACAAGATTAGAAACAAATCTTCATATATCGATTCTTAAGCAAATCTTTAAAGAATCGTAATTTTCTTGCAATTATTAAATAATTATTATAGGTGGACACCCCGTTTCACATAGGGGTTTGAAAGATAGTAGCCGATTCTCAGACTTACTGAATATGCATTAAAATTTTCATAAGAATCGGCAGAGCCGTTTCGGAGGAGTCGATCATTGTGACACAAGAATTTTATATATTAGATAAATAACAACTACCTAATTGTTAAAGACATAAAACGCATTTATTTTTCAGACAAAAGTCCAGCTCGAATCCCACATCCGAACACACACAGGCGAGAGGCCATTTATCTGCGAATATTGTCCTACGACCTTCTCACAACAATCGAACTTGTATAAGCATCATCGGCAGGTAAGTCTTTTCGTCTATTCCAGAATATCAAATTTTACGTAGTTTTGAGACCTGTCATACGTTTAAAAATGCACTTCTACCGGATGCAATCTAACCTAGGGTCTGACGACACTACTATGGGTAACTCAATCACGTGTTTCATAAAATCACTTATTTAAAAAAAACAATCATAACAGATGCACATACATAGATGGGCGGGTAAGATGAAAAAATACTTTGAATGAATAAATTCAAAATGGCGACGCAGTTTTTAAGGTGGGTAGCCGCCATTTTAAACTCAAATTATTAAATTTAACTTTTCAAAATGATAAGAACTATTAGGAACATTTTTCATGCGATTATTTTCATTTTGTTATTCCTCTCTAATATATCTGCCCTATTTGAATGGACGGTACTTCATTTTTATATTTAAATATTGTTGTGTTTACCAGGTCCATCAAAGTATAAGGATAAGAAAAAAGAAATTACCCGCAATGAAGAAAAATGATCACGAAAGCACTGAAGATCCCGTCTTGCCCATAGCCGTTATACAATACATGGCACTACCAGACAATGTGTTCACTGTATGAAATTAAAACTTCCCTCATTGTATAAGTGGTCACTTATTTCACCAGTGCTACACACAATAGTCTGCAAAAACAATTTTTACCACTATGTGGAAGCAGCTGTCCACAGAAGTATAGTAATGCGACTAATCCTCATCAATTCTCAAAAAGTTAGCGGCTCAGCTGATTAGTAATTAGGATTTTATCAGGGATATTCAATTAATTTTGTAATGTTTTTATTTTATTTCATCTTGACTTAATATTTTTTTTTAATGTATAAAAATTTAGAATGTTGTATGCGCCTATAATTGGGGTAGCACTTGGCTTGTGTTTGTGTTACATGCTTGTATTAGTGTCTACTTTTTTCGTGCATAAATAAATAAAATAAATATCCTTCAAGAAAAGAGCGTACCAATTCTTAAAAGGCCGGCAACACACTTGCGAGCCTTCTGACAGTGTAGGCGGCGAAGTTTAATGGTATCACTTAACATTAAATGTCCTGCCCATATGCCACATGTTTAAAAAAATTACACTAAATCCTCAGGACAGTTCTCAATGGCGTTTAAAATAATATATACCTAGTAGTAAATTTCTACTTATGTAAAAATATAAATTAAACGTTTTGATAAAAATATAAACCTTTTTTTAAACAATAAATACATTGTTTATAAATATCCTACCAAGATGTAAAATATTTTTTTTGGATTTAATAACATTCACAGGTAAACAGTATGAAGTTAGAGTTTAAATTAGATGCAGGTTTGAATAAAAACAAAAGAATCGAACGTTTCACCTCTATTAGCAAGGAACAGTGTCACACACACACGCGCAAACACAGTGTCAAAGCAGCAAACAATTAATACACAGCTGTATATACCGATCGAAGTCCGACTAGTCAACACAAACAGCATCCGTTCACGAGTACACACTACACATTTTAATTCCGCAGTGGGTTTTGAAAACTGGGCATAAATACGTTAAATAAAACACCTTTTTATTAAAAATACATTTATATAAGCGTTTTACCTTATACTATTAAATAAAATCTTGGAACTTATATAAATTCATAATGATTATTATCATCAATAAAACAGTTAAGAATATTGCATTGAGGCTCTAAATAAAACACGTGTCTCAAGTCAAACTGTGCCCGTACACAGTAACTTCTATAGTAAAACCAATAATGATTACAATTTTAATTAATATGCAAATCGCGCTATCTTTCTTTAGCTTTAGACATATAGATATATAGAGCGTATGTTTCCAATTATTATAAATACCGGTCCGATGTAATTCTGCCATTTATTAAGAATTAAATACATTATTGGAAACAATATGTACGGGCGCTTGTCAAAAGCTTCAAACTTGAAAATAAAACGGTTTTGACTGATGTTGAGATTTACGTTTAAGAGAAAATAATAGGTTATTCTTACAGGATTGTCTTCTACATTAATAGAATATAGGATTCTTATTTACAAATAATTAATTTAAATAAAAACTCAGTTTAAATACTGCATATGCTATGTGATAGCGAAAGGTAAATTTGAAATTTTTCATATATATCCCACAAAAAGTTCTTTGCGAATTCGTATGGAGATGGTCACGTGACCTAATTTAAATTTTATATTACATAAGACTATTTGGCAGTATCAAAAAATGAGCGTTATGGAGGAAAATTACTAGTAAATAATCATATATATATATATATAAAAAATTCTAAATATTGATATACATACATCACGTGACACAAACCGGTCACAGATTGATGACGTAGCATGCTCGTAAATTATATCTTCACCTTCGAGAAATCTATAAGAATTTGTGTGATATAAGAATGATCAAAACGTTTGTTTACGTGTTTACAAGCATGGTACGTCATAGGTGCGACGCCATTTTGCATAGAAAAGCGTTATGGTAGGTTCTTAAAATTATGAATATTTAATTTGAATTAACCTTAACGGAATTTAAAATAAAAATTGTGCAGTTTCTATAGTCGGTAATAAATAATCTAAAATACAGCCAAATATCCTAAATAATTGTTATACAAACCACATATTTGCATAGGTTTCACTGACGTTTTAAAATGTCCGGCTTACCATTGTACGTTATCAATTAAGCCACAAACGGTATTTTAATTAATTCAATGTAATATAAATATATTTTAGTTTATTTACATTATTTACATAACTCGACTTTTCGAGTGCTTATCAAACGATTACCACCATCAAGCTGAACGCATTTTTTTATACGCGTAATACGAAGGATTTTTATACAAAAACAATGAGTAAAATTTAACTGCAATTTTCTGTGAATATTGGCCGGTCGAAGTGGTTATTCTAGTCTCAAATGTTAAATTTCATAGATTTCTTGCTCGCCTTGAGCCGATTAGCTCACACTAGTTAAAAGTAACTGTATTGGTTCAAACGCACCTTGATCTGAATTAGGACACTTCTCTATCCATAAATTCTACGACTCGTTTCTGAGGTTGCACTTTATGTACACGTTTCTTATGTGTATATAAGGATGCCTTTTGCTTGAACGATTGTGAGCAGATCTCGCATGTCAGCGGTCTGTCCATTGAGTGGATCACCTCATGTTGGTTTAGGGCCTTTTTGTCCTGAAATATATAAATTATTTTTTATACAAAATTTCAACCTTATCGTGAATTTATGACTTATTTTGAGCGCAGCGAGCCAAAAAATTTATTAAATTTATATTGATACAATTATAAAAAGCCAATATTAAAAAAAAATGTTTCTGTATTTAAGTTTCTTCCTTCCTCAAAAATGTATAGTTCTTCTACTCGCTGAATTTTATCATTAAAACTGGAGTAAATTCTATGCAATTATATATAAATAATATGTAATAAGAAGTAAATATATATGTAGTAAACACATAAATTTTAATAATAAGTCAAGAGTTAAAGCTAATAAAACTCTTGAATATCAATACAAAACGTTGTGGACATACGGATGTAATCTCACCTTAAGTTTTAATCTTTTAGATTGTGTTTTTTTTATTTGGTCCATTTATTTACTGTAACTTAAAGTGCCAGTACTTTGCAATACATAGATTTATAATTTCACGCAGTAAATTTACGTCTTTCATCGTTACATACTTTTCTTTATTTGGACCACAAAATTAGGACAAACAGACGTACAAAAAAAGAAATAGAAAATAAAAATAGGAAAAAATAAACTACATTGCAACAAACTTGATTAAAAATGATCTACCAACCGAAAATTTCTTCCCGCAAAGATTACACATATGATTCTTCGGTTTCTCCTTTTTCTCGCGATGTACCCTCATTATGTGCTTTTCAACATTGGCCTTTGATGCGATCGGCTGAAATTTAACCATTCATGAACATTCAATTTTATTGAACCCTGGAGGCAAACAATTAGTTTGGACATGATTCGTTCGTATGGGAGAATTAAAAATAGATTTGTGTTAAAAGTGAGTTAGGAAGCGTTCTACTATTACGTAACGAATTTTTTGGTTCTCATGTAAAACGTTACGATGCGGGGCGGGGATTAAATTACGCGTTATTGTTAATATTATTTTCGACTTTCCAGTACTTTACACCACATAATGGTAACTTTTAGGTATAAAGAGTCACTGGGTGGTCACGAAACGTTTTACTATTGGGTACAGAACAACGTTACGGCGCGTTACATGGGGAGGGGGGTCAATAATCTCCAAAAATTGCGTGACGTAATACTTGAAATCCCTTAGTAAATTAGACAGAAATGTAAGGTCTTAAATACATTGATAAAATAGTGCTTTTTTGAGTAAAGGTCAAATTATGCGGTTTAAACAGAACGGGGCATCAAGTTTTCTATAAATGTCAGACTTAAAATGCATTTCACTTTGAATACTATGGAATCTTAGTTAAAGAGTAATGTAGACCTCAGCGAGCAACTCTCATCACTGAGGTAGTAGGAATCCTGGCTGTGCATCAATGGACATTCTACGTTCCGATCTAACATTCGTTCGTACAAAATATCGTGATTTTCTAGGATTAGTGCGTTCATCGGTTATTTGCTAAAAACCAAATTGTATATATAATTAGGAGAATTAAATTAAATTTTCTTTTTAATAATTTTTATGATTACTTTGTAGGTTAAGAAAATTGTAAATAATGTATACTTGATTGTGAATAAAATTACATACATAAAAAATTAGGAGAATATATATCTACTAAGTTGTCTATCAAAATTTGGCCGCTAGTATTTTAAATTGATTTTATTAAAAAACAATCCGAACCAATTCGACTTAGGGTCCTTCCCCAAAGAAAAGAGCGTATCAATTCTTGAAATTCCGGCAACGCTCTTGCGAGCCTTCTGGCAGTGTGAGTGTCCATGGCGGTATCACTTAACATCGGGTTCCTGCCCGTTTGCCTCCTACCACATAAAAAAAAGTGAACGAAATTAATCCTGCAGCCGGATCTAGTACTATGAGAAAACCGGCATTTCAAATCCAAAAATCTATGATATGTGTCAGACAGTAGGCTGATTTTGTCTATTAATTAAAAAATAATCAAATATGGGAAAGGGTTGTAGTCGGAGGCCAAAACTCATTTAGTGTTCTAGCGCCACTGGATTATTAATTAAAGTACTTGTTAGAAACAAAATATTTTTAATAAAATCACATTACCTTACTACATATCGGACATTTATGCGTCGTTTTCCCCAAATGTTGGTAGTTGAAGTGGTCCTGCATCGCGTCTTTCGTCGGATAACCCTTGTGGCACATTGGACATTGAAATCTGAAGTACAATGGATACATCTAAGTTTAATTTAAAGCATAGTTTAGTCCAAAATATAACTTCTTAACAACATAAAATGATAACCTCTTTTCATTAAAGTCGGTTAAAAAAACTCATATACTAAAAAAATCCTCAAAGTATGGTCAGAAAAATACACTTAAAACGGTATGGTAAAATACTTACTTAAACACTGTATCCGACGCGTGCGCACGCGAATATTTAAGATGCGCTTGATACGTAGCAAGATGTGAGAACACTTTATTGCAATCCGAGCACTCGTATCGACTGGAATTTTGATGTCTCTGTATGTGATATTTTAGTTGAATCACGCGCACCATTTTATTACATATGGGACATTTCTCGCGCGGCAAGGGCCCTTCGTGAAGTCTGAAATTTCAAGATTAATTTTTGGTACATTTATACTTAACCGAAATTAAACGCGTTATTTATAGTCTGCTACTGACCAAGATTCTGAAAAGCACTCACGTAGAATATAAATTCGTTTAAAATAATACAATTAAAAAAAAGTCATAGATTCGATCAAACTATTTAAACACCCCATCCAAAAAGTGTGTACATTGCCTGATCACCTTTTTTTTAACTTCGGTAATTTTGTCGGTTAATAGTCGCGGTTGTGTTCACGCACATTTGTTTTTACCTCAAATGAGTAACCAGAGTAGTTCTGTTCACAAATCGTTTTTTACAGTGATCACACTGCAATCCTTCTCTATGGCATCTCGCGACGTGATTTTTTCTTGCGCGGGAGTTTCTGTAAAATAATATATTTCTATGAAACAAGTACGACTAGGCTAAACATTCAGGTACGAGGTCGTGCGTTCTAACCCATAGATTTTGCCACCAGTCTTACTGTTTGCCGTCGAGATATTTGCATATGATAAATATAGGTAGAGGTTGAATATGATGCCTCAATTTTAAAAATATAATAATAATAATATATAAAATAAATTAGAATATTTTTAATAGAATTTAGTTTTTATTTATTTTAACTATATGTACTTAGATAAGCTAGCTATGCCGGCCAAAATCTTAATATATATAAATTACGTGTCACGTTGTTTGTCCGCTATGGACTCCTAAACTACCGAACTGATTTCAATCAAATTTGCACACCGTGTGCAGTTTGTTATTTAACTTATCTAACTTAAAAGATAGGATAGCTTACATCTCTATTTATACCCGCATTATTATTTTATTGCAAAACATTTGTTTAGTATTAGATAATCACAATTCTAACAGATGGCGCTGTGTTGGAAGTACCAACGTTTCAAATAAGCTACAATTTAATGGCATAACCACCAAAAAAGCATGGTGGTCCCCATGAATGGTGTTCTCCTACCGTTTCCCTTGAATAGGTTACTACTATGTAATATAACTAAAACCTTAGCCACAGCAACGCTTGGCCCGTCTGCTAGTTATCTATAAAATTTTGCCATTTTGATGCATTTTATTTAGAAGTCTGCCGGACGAGGTGATGAAGGCAGCGAAAGGGTTGAATGTTGCTGGGTTGGCTGTTGGGTGTTGAATGTTGTTGAATTTTTTCCCACTTTCGAAAGTCCGCTGAGAACGGTGGGTGACGGAGACCGGGCTATGGTCTGCACATGTTATTTAACAATATATTTGCCCACCTCTTTATGGAAACGTTTAAAAAAGGGTACCGTTTAAACTACCGGCCTTTAGCCGACAGTGCACTTGCAAACCTGATGTTGCGGTAAAATCTTTGCCTCTTGTACCAAAAAAAAACTTCTAACATCTGATAGTAACTTAATTGCTTCGACAAATTTGTGAATAATTAAATATGTAAAATACGAATTTCATGGAAATAATATTTAAAATGTTAGAATTGAAGATTCGAAATTGTATCTTCATAATGACAGTATGAAATATTTAGAGTAATCTGCATAAAACATTCAAAGACTTTACGGTTATATAACTAGTAATCATTAATTTATCAAATCCATAATTCATCATTTTGATTTTAATATTAGGTCCTTACCAAAAAGTCGAATATTTTTAAATATAATATACACTTGGCGTCAAAAAAATCGCACCTTTCTTAAAATTCGTGTCAAGCGATTATAACTTCTAAGATCCTTTCTGTACCCTATCATTATTAGTATCATTTAAAAGCTCAATTAATAAGCTTTCAAAAAAATAATCATTTGTTTACGGAAAATCAAAAACCACAAATCATCAGCGCTTTGATTGAAAAGTGGCGATGTACGCGTTTGGAGGCTCACTAATTGTACCACCCTGGACGCGTATATAAAGAGGGGGTAAAAGCCAATGATGGGTTATTCGCTATTCAGACGTCACAGAGGTCACTCCTGAAGAGCTTCAACAAGAAAAAACCCAGTGAAAATGGATACCATGGCAGCTCAAGTGGTGGCCCTACTGCAAATCGGACTACGGCAGGTTGAAGTTGCTCGGCAACTGAAAATCAGCTGATTTCGAGTGCAACGGGTATACCAACGGTTCCAAGAGACTGGAGGTTACATCAGGAGACATGGATCCGGGAGACATCGCTGCACTACCGTCAGAGGTGATCGCTCCATTGTGTCGACGTCTTTGCGGAACCGCTTTTTCAACGCTGTGGAGCTGCATCAGCGGCTTTGAGCTACTCGAAGGACAGCTGACAGCGTCTCCACTATCAGAAGAAGGCTGTGAGAGAAGAATTTGCTGCCCCGGAGAGCTGCTACAGGCCCCCTATTGACTACCATCCATCGGACGAAAAGGAAGCGATTTTACGAAACGCACGTGCCGTGGACATTCGACCAGTGGAGGAATGTCCTGTTCTCCGACGAAACCCGAGTGTACCTGTACACTAACAACATGCGTAAGAGAGTCTACAGTCGGCCAGGGGAGCGTTTCACACCAGCCTGCATCGTGGAAACCGTCGGGTATGGAGGAGGATCCTGCATGTTCTAGGGCGGTATTTCTATAGACGGCAAGACAAACCTCGTGTGCGTCTCCAGAGCTGGAGATGGTCGCGTCCAGGGGTCTTTGACTGCCCATCGGTATATCACCAAGGTTTTGGAGGAGCATGTGGTCCCATGTGCAGGTTTTGTCAGTTGTCAGTTGAAAGTTTGGGCCCGTAATCCAGCTCCTGCCACTCTCGATGAGCTTCGAGGTGCCGTCATCGAGGAGTGGGACAACATTCCCCAGGAACACGTCGTGACGCTCATCAGGTCCATGACTGACTAGGTTTTAAGACTAATTTTTAAGGATTGTCATTGTTTATTTTTAATTTTTGTATTGTTCACTTTTTTTGTAATTTGGATCAGAATACACATTGTTTCACATTTTCCCAGAATTTTCTTTTTTTATGGGGGTGGTGGCCAATTTCCTACCGTTTTCAAATAAGGGATTTAATTAGCTTTCAAATGATACTAATAATGATAGGGTACAGGAAGGATCTTCGGAGGTATAATCGCTTGACACGAATTTTAGGAAAGGTGCGATTTTTTGACGCCGAGTGTATTTAATTAATCAAAGTATGAACCATTGTTTTCTATGCACTTTTGCCATCTCATAGGTAGTTCATTGATCCCTTTACTAAAAAAACCAGTCGGACGGGAATCAATAAAATCTGTGAAGGCGATTTGGACTACCCCATCAGAGTAAAATTTTTTCCCTTGCAAGAAGTTGTCCAAACTTCGAAAAAAAATGGTAATCTGTTGGAGCAAGGTCCGGGGAGTACGGAGGATGTCTTAGACATTCCAATTGAAGCTCTTCTAATTTGGTAGCCGTCTGTTGTGCAGTGTGTGGTCTAGCGTTGTCGTGAAGTAGCAGTGGCGTGGAGCGATTGACCAGCCTAGGTTGTTTAGCCGCTAGCTTTTCCATCGTGGTTTGCAATTGCTGACAATAGACATCAGCCGTAATAGTCTGGCCAGATTTGAGAAAACTGCAATGAACAATACCGGCACTAGTCCACCAAACGCTTACAAGGTTTAATTTTCGCTTGGGGCAGGATTTGGCTGGCTGGCCAGGATCCAACCATTGCGCTGAGCGCTTCCGATTATCGTAAAGAATCCATTTTTCATCACAGGTAATGATTCGGTTTAAAATACCTTCATTATTGTGCCGATTCAGTAATGTAACGCAGCAGTCGACGCGCGTTTGCCGGTTTGCTTCAGTCACATCGTGAGGTCTTCCCAATCTTCCCAATTTGCTTCAAGTGAATGAAAACAGTTTTATCACTAACACCGCAGCCTGCAGCTACCTCGGACGTGGTTTGCGATGGATCCGCTTCCACAATAGCCTTCAATACTTAATTATAAACTTGGGTCTCAGGCCGTCCACGGGGCTTGTTCTGCAGGTCGAAATTTCCAGAACGAAAACGTTGGAACCAAAAACGAACTGTGTTTTCTTTTGCAACATGACCGCCATACACATCATTCACCCTTCGAGTCGTTTCCGCAGCACTAGTGCCACGGCGGAACTCGTACTCGTAAATAATGCGATACTTTAAGTTTTCCATTTTGTAAAATGAGTGACGCAAACAGAAAAAAACAAATGATTGACGGTCATCGAAGCACAAATACATGAGTAAATAGCTGTACAAATTTGAATTTGGAATTCCTTACCAAAGAGGAGAACATCGTGATTAAAGTGGCCAGTACGAAATACGCCAATTTCATATGTAAGGACCTAATATGTCAGTCAGGTGACACAAAACGGTCACATATTAGTCGAATCGACGATGACGTACGAGTAGCATTCCTGTTAATAACATGTATCCGCCTGTGTTATATGTGTAATAATATGTTATTTAAGAGTGATACACATACAAAAATTTACTGGCATAGAAAGGGGTTTTAGCGGGTTCTTGAAATTACGAATGATTAACTGGAATTTAAAAAGAATTAAAAATAACAATTTGTGTAGGGGCTATAATCACTAATCTGAAATGATTTTTTAAATCTTATCAAATGACACACTAAGTTGGTATTTTTGCCGTCTCACAATACATATTATTTGTAAAACACAAATCTTTTATAGTCCCTTTAAAATACATTTCTTATTTGACTCAAAAATGTGTTCTTAGATGTGCTTAGGACTACGGATTGAGAACTACATCGAAATACAATAACGTCGCAAAATTTGAATTTATAGGGTGATTACCCCCCTAACAGAAAAGTCCAGAATAAATATGTCTACTTAGCACCTGTGCTTATAGAAAAACGAGGGTTGAAAAAATGTACTTACTTGAAAAATAGATCACATTCCAAACACTTGTAGCCAACAATAGTAGTTTTTGATAATAACTTTCTGAGGTCACCTGGTTTCGGATTTGTTATTTCTTCTACTGCTTGAGACTTTTTCTTTCGGCGCTGTAAACATTTTGACTAGCTTGATATATATACATAAATCTCTATATATATTAAATTTTCGTGTCACAATGTTCGTTCCCATACTCCTCCGAAAAGGCTCGACCGATTCTTATGAAATTTTTTTATGCATATTCAGTAAGTCTGAGAATCGGCATATCTTTCAAACCTCTAAATGTTAAGGGTGGGTCCACCCCTAAAATTTTATTTTTTAGTTAAACATTTTTGTTTTTATTTTGTACATAATATGTACTTGTATTTTATAAAATTAAAAAGAAAAATTAGATTGCAAAACTAATTGTATTTGTTTTAGAGTCGTGACCACGCACGCTGTAGAGCACGCGAAACGTCGGTTAAATTTAAAATTATGTAAAATAATTGTAAATTTATAATAAAACATAACTTCAAATCCGGTGAAAAAGTGACACCATTAATTAATGAGTGATCCTACCCTCTCTATGTATTACCTTTTTCACACCGTCGCTATCTCCAATTTGTATAACACTATTAGGCAATTTCTTATCCAAATGTGTTTTAACGTGAAGAGATATTAATTTTATACTATATTCAACTCGCGAACATAGTTTACATATATATCGTATGTAGTGCTTGTCTATATGTGCCTGCAGTTTCGACGACTCGACATATACGTAGCAAATTTTGCATGGTGTGCAGCCGGGTCGCTGAAAAGTTTTAAATTGTAAAGAATAAAATCATAAGCCATAGTTGACACATGAAAGTCTTACTTAGCGCTAAGCATCCACTGTGAATTAAGGTCCATTTTCTAATTCGTATCGCAAGTCAGAATCTCTTGATCTTGTCAGAAATTGTCAGAATCGGAGCTTAGGCTAAGTATGACTCCCGTATTTCAAATTATTTTTGGTTTTTTCCTACTGAAATCTTAGTTTTAAGCTCAACTTTGAATAATCATAAAAATGCTTAACAGATATAAACGTGATTTTATACACTAAAATTATTTTTAGGTTAAATTCTACTAAAGTTTTCTTTAAATGTCGCGTAAAGACTGTAATTTTAAGCGATTTGAACCCAAAATTATTAATCTAGCTACATAAATCGCAAAGTATGTTGCTAAGTTCAAAAATCGAAGACAGCTGGACCAATTCGTTTATTCTTTTTATTTATTCTTTGAACTCTGAGGAAGGTTTTGGAGCGAAAGTTTAAAAAAAATTGAAAGCTTTTATTTAATTTCGGAATATCGAACAGTCTCTATGGGATAGCATAGCAAAATGTTTCATATGTATGTAGCTACTAATAAATCATATTAAACGAAGTGCGCGGCTAATTAAAACAAAATTTTAATTCTTACCTCACTATGAGCCGCATCGAAATGTTCCTCTACCTGTTGTTGCAGGTAAAATTCTAATATACACAATTCACACTTATACACCGAGCTTACGTAGCGGACTTTCTTCTTTAATTCCTCCCTAAAACAAAAAACATCTTATTTTCTAATATAACAGCGAGTCTTCTAGCAGTGTGTCCATGGGCGATCACTTAACATCAGATAAGCCTCCTGCCCGGCCAGCCATTGATGGGAAACTTGGCGCTGAAAGTTTTTCGTTTTGGGTCACAAAGTCAGCGAAGTGAGTGAGTGAAATTTATTTACGTGGCACCAGTGGCCTTAGGGGGTGGCGAACAGGGCAATCGCCCGGGGCCTCGCTCTTGCCCCTGCCTCGCGCAACAACCCAAGCAAATTTAAAAAATATCGATTTTTAAACTTTTTGAAGTTATACTTCTTTAGGCGCGTTATGAAAAATTTATGAGAGTGAAATTTTACGATGCGCGCGCATCGTGACACAAAATTAACAATGAAGTTGCCCACGGAAGATGCTACGGCATTGGACATAATTTAAAAACAACATTCGAATAATAATAGAATTTCTGTTACATTTAATGTAAGAGAATAATAATATTTATTTATTTAATTTTTCAAATGTAAACTAGCTTTATTGACTATAATAACTCCTTTTCCATTCTTTGATTATTTAATTGCAAATAATTATTTATATGCAATCAAAAACTATTTTTAATAATGCCAAAGAAGTATAACTTCTTACGCGCGTACATAAGTACACGCACCCTTTTTTTTATATTTCAAACTTTGGAATTTGATCCTTCATTACTTATTAAAGTTATAACATAACGGTAAATTAAAATAAAGTTAGTTAACTAATTCATTCACTCAAAACATAATTGAAAAATTCATTATGTAGTACCATGACAAATATCTAAACCAAACATCCAGACCTACTTTCGCATTATATACATTTCACGAAGAACAAGGGGCCTTGTAAAAATGTTTAAAAGATTTAATATTTGATTAATTTGTCTAATTGTAATTCATTGTTTTTAACATCACGAGATTGTGGCTGGGGATAAGATAAAACGAAAGAAGCGACGACGCGTTTCATTGATTTTGATTGGTCAACAACTAATCATACGCTAGTTTTCTTTTTCGTGTCCTTTTTTATTATTGTCACTTTCATTTTCTGCTATGTTTACATATTGCCATGCCATGACCCCTATGACACCAAAACCCTCTGGAACGTGTATTGATAACTTACCGAGATGCCAACATGTCCTCTTGCGACATATACTCAGTAATAAATCCAGATTTTCCTTCCATCGCCTCATCTTTGGACTTCGATTCGGGTTTAATAGATTGCAGATTTTCTTGGGGCCTGCAAAAGATATAAAATTTTTTTTTCAATTCAATGTTCTTGGCTTCAACCCTGATGAGATTTTATGTTCTGTGAAGGAAAACATCTTGAGGAAACCGAAATGCGTTAGACCTAAAATGCGAGTGCAAGTGATTAGTAATTGAGGATGATTAGTGCAGGTGTGTAGTGTAACTAGTGTCCAATTATTGTTTAGTGGCTCTGTTAAGTAAATTCAGTTGTCAATAGTTTGGCAGGCACGCTGCGAGTGAGGCGGAAGGGAGGGCGACGTCACTACTCGCAGTTCACTCGCAAAAAAATAGAACACGCTTCTAATCACTTTACTACGCAGCCAACTAATCACCTGAACTAATCAGTCGCTGTCCACACTTGTTTTCTCCAAATCACTAATCAAAGTGAATACAGGCCTTAAGAACAAAAATAACAAAAGATACAGAATTTTGGTTCTTTATAAGAAAGTATTGGCTTCTGTATGACGCGTCGACAATTTTTGTGTGACATGCCTTGCTTTGCAGCTGAGACTCTATTGCACGACATTAAGGTTGACAATACCTAGACTAGACTTTAATCCCTTACCTCAATTGCATAATCACCAGCAATAATAATATTTTTTATGGCACAAAATATGTATTCTTTCTCCTTGTATATAAACTCTTTGCAAAACGATATTAATTGTAACTTTATTTAATAAAAAAAGCAAAAACATCTTCATATCATTTTTTCCGACAACTTCTTATTGTGGCCGTGATCATCGGTTTTACAGATTCCATCAAAAATTTATTAAAAAATTGCCAGAATTTACATGACGCGTATTAATTTACACGTTGCATACTTATACAGACTACTTCAGGTAATTAAATTTAATTAACTAATACGTTACTCACTGAACAATCAGTTCCGTCATTTCCCCCTTGACATTATAGTCCACTGATGAGACCAGAGCATCTGTCCCCACAACTATATGCGATAAGGCACCGGTGACCGGGTTTTTTAGTACGAGCTCAGGTACTGAAATACAAATGATAGATTTTGTTGACATTTGATATTCATTTGTTTATATTTATAAACAAAACCCTATTAGGAGTTAGAAAAAATGGCAGATAATGTAGTAAATACATAAGAAATTCCAGTCAATTACTACTCATCTAATATATAAAATTCTCGTGTCGCGGTGTTTGTAGTTAAACTCCTCCGAAACGGCTAGACCGATTCTCATGAAATTTTGTGTGCATATTGGGTATGTCTGAGAATCGGACATCTATTTTTCATCTCCCAAATTTTTTTTTTAAATTTATACATAATTTTTAATTTTTTTTGTGATACAGCATTAAAAAAACACATACAACCCCTAATTTTCACCCCTCAACGATAAACCCCTATTTTTTATTATAAATATGCATGGCAATACGATGTTTGCCGGATCAGCTAGTAAATACATAAAAAATTTCTGTGCATATGTTTATTAACTACTCCTAAATGGCTGGATCGATGTTGACAAAATATGTGTGTTCAAGTGGATTCCAGAATGTAAGAATTTACACCTAACATTCTAAGGGCGCATATTATTAGCTGTATTACATTAGTCAACGAATTACATAGGTTAACATTTTAAATAGTATGTTGAGTGACCAGACAAAAGTTCTACTATTTGTTAGTGCCTATAATAATTAGTTATTATTTTTTAGTTTGTTTGCCTAAATAGTATCTTAAGTTTTATTGTGTATGTATCTTGTTGATTTGGGGTCAACTGCTAGGACAAGATTATATATATTATAAATAAACAAATTTATTTATTTACACTTCGTTGCAATAAAAATAAAAGAAACACAATACATAAAAATTATAAGAGATGCAACGGGCGGCCTTATCGCTAATAAGCGATCTCTTCCAAGCAACCCTAGTTAAAGAGAAAAACTAAAAAAAAAACATGACATAGATGCGAGGGAAACCTCAGTAACCTCAGCTTGTAGTTGACTAACCTTCTAAAACTGGATCATCAGTTCCCAAGGTAATGTGATCCCTAAGTGCTTGTGATACCTCAAATGACTCATTTTTAACATCCTGAGTAGTTATTGTAATGTATGGCTGAGGCCAGATTTCTGTATGCTCCTGGTAATCAATGTAGACTCTATCATAATCATTTTTTATTGAATACTCTAGTGGAGACAGAGATTGGGCCATATATGTGTGGTCCAGAGTCTGCAAATGAAATCATAGAAGTATATGGAATATTAGTACAGGTTTTTTTCACTGAAAATAAAAAATTACTCTATTATTGTAATGTTTCCCCTGTCAATAAGGTAGACTATTAAATACTTTATTTATATAACAATAATTAGTATTCTTTATATAAAAATAAGTACTATTTCCTAGAAATGTAGTTCAACAACTATCCGTTTTACGCATTTTATGTAAGAACTAAGGCACCCAACAATATACCATATGATATATAGGCTATAATAGCTCAAGAATCCAAACTGTATATATAAATCTTTAGATTATGTGTTTGTAATTAAACTCCTTGGCCGGACCAATTTTAATGAATTTTTTAATGTGTTCAAGTGTATTTAGATTTACAATTAATGTTAAAGCTTTTTTTTGTTATTTAATTGAATACAAAATTTTGTCTTAATTATCGATAACTCTACAGACCTCTTGTGCTTGAGTCAAGGACAATACTTTTAAATGCTCATACGCGGTTTGAACTTGCTGTTTGAACTTTTTAAATTTGGTTAACATGGCAACACATTCCCAGCACAGTGTTACTTGTATTTTATAAAAATAGCTAAGAGAGTCTTCAAGCTGAAATTAAAAAGAAAACTTTATTAGATTGCAAAACTTATTGTTTTTGTTTTAGTGAGTATTTTTTTAAATTAAACATGTTTTTAATAAAAAGTTGATTTCTAGAGTGAATTAATTTTATTATATTTTACCAGGGCCAGTTCTTGTAATGTTTAATACCAATACTGATTTCTATTACAATATAATGTTATCTTCCAGATATTGGAAGACCCCTCCCGAGAGTGACAAAAACTAAATATTGAAGTTTGGATCACTGTTTTTCAAGAATTTGAAACTAGATAAAATCTATGAGACCTTTAATATCGGAAAATATAATCTTGAAGAATAAATTGAATAATAATTTTAAAAACTATGACTAATAAGACGAATCTAGTAAAATCAATACCAATTTGTTAACATAAAAATAAATAAAAAGCTAAAAAGTTTAGGAATTACATGTAGTATGAGTAAGAATATTAAAGAACTTGTAATTAATTTAAATGTATATTTTTTTGTACATTATTAAAAGGATTAAAATAAATCTTGTGTCTTAATGTCTTTCTTACTTTTGTTATAATAAACATAATATATAAAATAAGAACTAGTGGTGTAACAAAGGTGTGTAAATAATATTATCACTGTTTTTTAAATTTAAATTTGTGTTCTAATTATCCATTTAAATTATTTTTATTATTACTATGTAGGTTAAGAATATTAAAAATAATATATATTCATGTTTTGTTAAAATACTATCTATATACTTATTACTCTACTTAAGTTATGTAATTAGACGTGAAAACATTTTAATGAAATGGGTAAACTGTAAACGTAAATTTTTTACAACTTACATTTTCTCCCGCGTAATCTGCTAAAAGCGATCGAAACAACTTAAAAAGGGTTGTAGATTGATTTACTTGAGTAAAATTTCTATCTATGCTTAAGCAACCACTGCAGACCACTTTATAACAAGAATCAGGAACAATAAGCTCCATAGTAGTTATAAATTATTTGACACAATTAACGAAATACACAATGCTTATTTTGATTACTTTTCCAAAACATAACAAAAAGTTATACCCCCATGTAAAATAGACGAAATTTCGTCAACATTATTCAACGCTACAACGACACCACAAAATGGCTTCTTTGCTTTAGTGATGTATCGTTTCGCTTCTGGGCCCGATACAGAGTTCGAATGGTATGAGAATCATTCGACGTTCGGTTTGAATTCAATTGTCCGAACAATGGATAGACTCGTCTATTACAATATGGCATTTTGCATTATTAAATAAATGCATAAGACATATTATAAAGTTTATATTCACATTATCATATAGCATAGATATATATAGCAGGGCTTGCGTCAGGCTTCTTTATATCAAAAAGGTCTTCGATATACTGCTTTGATGACAGCCTTTTTGACCGTACATACTTATAGCTATGTACTTATCCCGACCATACCATACGGTAGTGAATGTTGGGTGTGGCAGAGAAGGAATGAAAGTAGAATATATGTCGTGGAAATTTGAGCGTTAAGAAATATATTTTGAGCAATAACAATGCGCGGTAGGTTAGATGAGGACGTCATAATGACAAGGATACTAAAGGGAATGCTTCGGTGGTTTTGACACGTAGAACGGATAAATGAAAAGTGGTTAACAAGTAGGATATACAAGGCAACCGTGGATGGTGAAGTCGAGTTAGGTAGGCATTGTCGCACATATCTGGATTAAAGGCAGGAAGTACTAGAAAAGGTACAAGTTAAAAGTACTCATATCTGCCGAGCATGTATGGTGAATGTTATGAATGGAGATAAATCGAGAAAGGTATGTCAGAACCATAGCAAGTGGAGGTTGGTGGTCTCGGCCTAACCGTTTGGTAAAATGGCATAAATTTGTAAATAAATTTTGTTGACTCTAAATTAATAATTATTCATTCACTCGCACTCTGCCTCATGTAGTTAAATATTATGAAAAGATGGAATCACAAAGTGCCCAGTTGGTAATTTTTACTCCTTTCCCTACTACACAAACACAAAGAAGGAAATTAAGCTAAGTATTACTGTATTAATATTTTTAGCTATTACATACAAAAATTTATAGACCACGATTCGATACTTGAAAAAGTATAGGAATCGTTCCACCGGTCGGGTAGTCTGTATTCTATCGAAAATCGATTCATCCACTTTTTATGAGAATCGGATCGTCACATCACTATTGTCCCTTTCTTTTCCCCTTTCTTGGCCTGCAACTATTGTCCTTTTATATATCATTTAACTGGTTACTGGCTACTGCCATATTTAAAAACAAACTATGTGTCAAGTTCGAGATCTTTTGTTTTCATGTCACAACTATAAAGTATTATACTTTATAATCGCCATTTTTGTTTGTAGTTGATACGTAGTGATTCGTATTTATTTTAATCATAAATAATTCCAAATTTTGCCTATTAACTAATTTTATTGGTGTTGTAACTGTTGACTCCATGTCTATTCTCTCATGTCCATTCCTTGTCTTAATATTGTGGTCTGTATTTTGTGCTTTACTAGTTAATATTGCCAAATAATTGTGATTTTATCGCCTTTTCAGGAGTTAGGATATTATATATATTTATAGATAAATTTTAAAAGACATTTGGTCTAGTTAGGAGGTGATGGATAAAAAGTCTTTGGTTTATTTGAAGAACCCAAATATTTTGAAACTTGGTATGATATGAAATAAAAGTTTTAATCTTTAAGTTACTAAACTTAAGCAAGTATGGCATTGGCTATAACAAATTAAGTAATGGAAAGTCTTCTCCAATTTCATTCATCTTCTGGAATTGTCATTCATTTATAGTTGTCTTGTTTTTTGTTATTGTCTTCATTGTTGGTACTTCCTGTGCTTAACCTTCTATTGAGATCATCAGAAGTATCTGATTTTAGTTGTGAAATACTTGGACTAATGTTTTTTAGTTTGACCATCAAGTTTTAATTTTCAAGTGGAACTTGAAATTTGGATCTGTCTAGGATTTCGGTATTGAGTAAAAGTAAAAAAAAATACATAGTATAATAATATTAAACTTAATATAATATATAATAAAATATTATATTAATTACATATAATCTAACCTAACCTAAGCATAAAAATATGAATACCCCAGTTTTCTACTATGGTTAGGGTTGAAGGACTCCTTTCTCCGCAATTAGACTCGAGGTTGGTCCGTTGTGCGTTCTACTATGGTATGTTTTCTTAAATATTTCGTAATGATCATCTTTTTATTAACTATCCTTATTCGTTGTCATCCCTACTGCCCTGACTGATGATGTGGCTGGGCACTTAGAATGTTGACACACTTAATTGTTTGTCAAGTTCCTTGAGAATTAACTAGTTTTGCAGACCATGCTATGTATGTCTTTCCAACACATGTTGAAAACCTTCATTTTCTTTCAGTTAAAATCAGTCAGATTGTTACAATAATTTCCAAAGGGCCTCAGATATGTTTATTTAACAAAACATAATTTTAGCCTGTAGTGAACCCTTCTGTTGCATGAACGCACACTGTGGTTCACATTGAATTTTAGTGTATCGTCATAATTCCCCTTGCTTGTGAAGTGAATCAGTTCTTTAAAAAGATTGATTTTTAGACCATTCAAAGTTGGCAATGTTAGTTGTACAATTTCATCTTCCATATTGTTTGGGGCATATAGTGGCCACTAGCACTGAAACATATTTCAATAGTTGTTGTAGTACCTCAATCCGTAGAAGTAATGGATACCACTTAATTCCATCCTTTTCATGCAATTATTATGACCTCCTAAATAACTGAAACACCTGTTTCATCACAGTTATAAACTCTGTCTGTTGAAAGTTTGTTTATCAGCAAGGAAGTTAAAAAATGGTTCAACAGCCTGTTTATTAAACCCAGCGGAACGTAGTTTTTGGTCCTATTTCCTATTTTTTAACAACGTTTTTTCTGTATACCACATTTAGAGCACATGTCTTCAAAATCAGTGCAATTTTCGTGTACCCAAAACTGGCACACCGTGCATTGTAGCCAGTACTCGCAGAAAGGAGTTTCATAATAATTTTCACAAGTATCTCTTTCATTTAACTCCTTTTTTTTTTTTTGGAACAAAGTGTGTTTTAAACCACTTAAAGAATATCTCTGAAGTTATATAATATATGCTGATTTTTGAACAGATGCTGACATGAACAGTTTTGATCCCGTCTTCAAACTCAGATTTTTGGTTTTGCCCTTAATGATACCAGCAGGTGGCGGAAAAGTGCCTTTAGCATTGCAGCAAGCTATAATTAGCTAAAGGTTAACCATTAGGTTATCGTCTCCCCTTTTCAGTGCAAGTAATTGTGGAAACCGCCTTAGCACCCTTTAGAGCCAGCACATGTCTTGGGCGGCTATTTAACCGCACACCTGACTCATCTATGTTAAATACGCAATTTGGTGGTAATACCTTATTGTCATGCATACCTACTTAGGTACGCATTCAAAAAGTCGGAAATATTCGTTTACTTCTGTTTTATTCATCGCTCGAGCCAAGGAGACAACTTCTGATTTCCGTAATGTGATATCTGTATTTCTGCTTAAAAACATTTGTAACTAGCCATATCCTGCCATCTGAGTTTCATTGATCCCTTCTAGCCTACCCCAGAATTACCCAATATCATCAACACTTCTATTTGAAACGATATCTTCTATTTAGTATTGGTTGCTTCATCAGTCTGCGTCTCCGTATCATCTTCTTGTATTTCTTCGTTTTCTATGTCCTGTTCTAGTTCTTCTTTTTAATTCTGTATTTATAGACTTCCATTTTGCTTATTCTGGTCTTTTTCTTGTCCTATCTATGTTGTTAATTTCTTGTTGCTTTTAAATGTATCTCTCTTCTAAATGTTTTTGTGAATTATTGTTCAAGTTGCATTTCGACGTTTTTCTATCTGTTTTTTCGTGATAAGTGAGCGCATCATTCTCAAAAGAAAATAGAATATTGTTTGTATTACCTGTGGTCCTTTCGTTTATAGTTATTTTAATCAATGTTTGCATACTGCTCTGATTAAATTCTAAAGGTAATAAGCACGAACATAAAATATTATTCAAAGACGAGCACCTGCTTGATGTAGGTACATAAAGCATTCAATGAGGCAGGAGAAGCTTTAGCATTTGTGTTGGTTGTTTCTGTTAGCATTTGAATGCACGAGTTAGGAGAAACAGTACCACAAAATCTACGAGTAGGTGTCATAGGATTAGTAGGTATAGTCGGTATAGTATTCGTCATCGATAATGTGGTATTATATTTACAATTTTTTGGACTGGGTATCGTATTCTGAAGTATTCACACTAAATCGTTTCCCAGTACATGGGCATTTTCATTACTTACCTGCGTGTGCTCCGACGTAGAAAGGTTTATCGTTTTCTTTTTAGATATGTCAAATATTCCATAATCAATCTGTCATTATTAGCCAATGGGGGGAAATTTGAACATTTACCAAAAAATATATTTTACTGGACGATGCAGCAGTATAATCCGGCGTTGATTTTTTGTTAGAAACCTCACCAAGATAAATAGATTTTTTACAAATTTTTCTTTTAAAATCACTCGTTTATCAAAAATAATCAACACGTAGTCGGTCCCAAAGTTCTGTCATAAATGGAAATAATGATAAAACTAAAGTACTGATAAGTTTTTAATTAGTGATATATCAATTTACACTCGTATTATGGTTTTATGACCAGGAGTCGGCAAATAAAAATAAGCTGTTTACGATTGTACTGTAGATATTTTTCGGTGTTATACAGGATGGGCCATAAGGGGGTTGGCGGTTTCAATATTCAATTAAAAAAGAACTGCGAAACATAACAAAAATATATTTGTATTTTTAAAAAGTAGAAACAGGAATTTTTAAGCCCTAAAAATAAACGAAATGATTTCCCTCGGCTGCTTGGCACTCTTGGAACCGAAGTCGCAAATTTTAGAAAACTCGTTGATAAGTTGTTCTCGGTATTTTGTTATTTTCCTGAATAATATTCCTCTTCAGCTGCTCTTAATTAGTCGGATTTTCGTAGACTACCGATTTGAGGTAGCCCTATAGAAAATAATCGCATGGAAAGAGATCGGTATGAGTACGTGGTGGCCATTCAATATCCCCCCTTGTCGAATTGAGTTTTGCGGGAAACATTTTTCAGCAGCTCTATGGATACTCTAGCCGTATGACATGTGGCCTGTTGAAACCACACCTTCGAGGTATTGGTATTGTTCTTGTAAAGCTGACACAAAAAGGCTGTTATCATGTAGCAAGAATTACCTAACCTAACCGTCATCGCTTGCCCTGTTTCGTCCTCAAATAAGTATGGCCCAACAATACCGGTTGACGTTATCCCAGCCCACATGACAAGCATAGGGCTGTGAAGTAGGCGTTCATGCATGCGTCGGGGATAAGTCGCGGACCAGAACCGACAATTTTGCTTGTTCACATGACCATTAAGGTGAAAATTGGCCTCATCACTAAACATCACGTTGTTGAAATTGTTTAACCGCTCGAGCATCAAGCATTGACAGAGTTAAGTCTGTTATTGGCATCATCTGGTTTTAATTCTTGGACTACCTGAATCTTATAAGCAAATCACGCTTCACGATTCGTCCCAAAGTCGTTCTTTTGGTGTCCAAAGTTCTCTTACGTGTTGACTGTTGCGGATTTCGCTAAACTGAAACATGAACTCGCTCCACAATGTCGGCTGATCTTGCAGAAACTGGGCGACCACGAGCCGTAATTAGTACTGTTGACCCGGTTGTTTCGAACATTCAGATCCATTTCCGTATCACATTGGCGCTTGGAACTTCACTTACATCGCGTGTTAATATCGATACAAACGTCGTGCCGTAATCAATGATTTATTGTTTTCGTAATACGCTCGGACACAAAGTGCACGCTGCTTTCCCGTGAACGGCGACTAAATTTCCAGGACAACAAAATATTCCCCGCTGCCCCGCGCCACGCGTATCCAAGAAATTGAAAAATTAGATCGCCAACGCTCATATGGCCTCGTAATTAATCACTGTCAATTTCGTCATTGTCATTAATTGTTTCTTCGTCCCCATCATCAACAGCTGGTTCTTTGAGAGATACATCTAACCTTTTAAACACCTCTATAGGAAAAGGTTTTCATTTCCTATTATGGCTTCTCTTCTTACGATGAAATAATTGGATGGGATGCTATTGGCATCCAGTGCACAATGTCTGTATTACGTAGTATGGATTCTGGAGGTTTTCGTATCATGGAAAAGTTGTACACTTTTGAATTCCTTTTGACTAGTCTTCAGCACATCATCAGAAAATAATCCTACAGGCAAAGGCAGGTCCTTGATTATGTCTGCTCCGTGTATATTAACAGTTTGTGCACAGATGCATTCATTTTATACCAGTCACACATATTTTGCATATGATTCGATGCAATAATGTTTAAAATAAGCGGAGTGTACACTAAATCCGCAAGATATTCACTAATCTACAAAGTAATAATTAAAATAATTAAAAATATTTAAAAAAGAAAATCAAAACAAACTTAAAAGTTTGGCCCCTGTGGCAGTGTACCTTTAACGCTGGCAGCAGGTCCTCGCTGTATTGCGATACTTATTCGTTGAGCCAGGGAAGTGCCAGCTCTGGGGTCACCGGTACTATCTGCCAGGCGCCAACTTAAATCTTTAGTAAGCGTCGCGCCTGTGCACTTGAACCCTACGGCCCAAGGAGTCTCTACTCCAAAGGAAACAAAATTGAAGTTGGAGGAAGGACTTATATTTGTGGCGTTTATTATTTTCTGCCTGCTCTGCGGCCGCCCCAGCTTCTTTGCTTGTCTGAAGGAGGTGAGACGGGGCAAACGTGTCCGCACAAGTAGCATCCCATACTAAAGCCCGTCCCATTTTCCAAGAGATCAACGACATTCCATCCGCCCTTGCCATCGTCTCTTGCGATGCCTGTTGGCTCCAAAATTTCTAGAACATTGACGGAGGCAAGAGAGCGGCGTATAATGTCGTTGAGCGCGGCATGGCGAGAAAAACGACCTGCACTCTTTCGGCAATGTAGGCCATGGTGTTCAAGGCTACTTACTTCAAAGCCACAGGGACACTAATGGGGAGTACATATGGGCACCCCTAAGCGGAAGCTGAAGGCAATGCGAAGTGGTTCAGGGTCCAAAAGTGTGCCAGAAATACTGCTTAGCCCTACCCAAAACATCCAGCTTTTTTTGCCCCTCTGCCAGTGGCCACTGTAAAATTTTGATCAAAAACAACCGCAATAGAATTTTTGACTGTAGTAAGAATAAACAGCTGCACGCAATTACAAAATGACATATTTTATCATTTTTTAAAAAATACTGCCGTTTAGAAGGAATCTGGAGGTGGTACGATTTATCCTGCGGTACAATACCCCCCGACTCTCCCCAAAGTAGGGGCAATATCTTTGTTTATCTCCCCGCAAAGCATTTTATTAATAAGTTTTTTGAGTGCTTCTAAAAGACGAGTACCTGTTTCACCAACACTGAATGATGTTAAATCTTTTAGATGTTGTGGTGGCAGCCCATCCAAGCCTGCAGCTGAACCTGGTTTAACTGCCATTTATTTTACTATGTAGCTCTCTTCAATACTAAGACGTGGGCGGTAGAATTCACCGGCTGGAATTGCCATTGTATTTATCTGGGATGATCGTCCGCAGAGCAGTCGATACTCGCGATAAAATGCATAAGGAGTACAATCAGGGATACGGTCTGGACGACGTCCATACAGTTTATAGATCTTTTTAAAACTCCACTGAGTATACGAACCCACTGCCCGAGTCGTAACTGGGATAACGGCTGCCGGCAACGGCATTTCTGTGTTGAAAATTCAACTGCCTTTTCAGCTGTTAAAGCATCACCATAATTGCCGGGGTGCCTGGCTGCCTTCTTCAGGCGGCGGTTCATGCCAATTCTGTTGAGGGTGACGACCAGGTGACTGCGGGTGGTCCGCGAATCAAATCCACGTTGGTAACTCATAATGATGGTTGTGTTTTGGGGCATCCAGAAAATAGTCAATAATAGGTTAAGAAGTAATAATAGGTTTAGAAGTCTTGCGAGGCCCCCTTTAGATCTATTACGCACTGTCGACTTGTCGCCGGCGACTCGGTCGCTCGGGCGACCAAAACATAGGCAACAAGGCAGGAGACCAAGTCGAGCGACAGTATTCCAAGTACATTCGTGCAGAATGGATGTCGAAGAAGCTGCTATAGTAGCGCTACTAATCAAGAGAAAGAAAAATAAAAGAAAATCAAGAGAGTATTGGGTACATCCTTTGTTACAAGAACGAAGATCAAAAGGAATGTTTAAACTATTTTATGAAGACGTGAGAAAATACCCTCATAAATTTTTCAACTACGCAAGAATGTCTGTGCGTTCGTTTGATGAGCTATTGTGTCTTTTGAAACCACATATAACTGGCACAGATACAAATTTGCGACCATGTGTTTCTCCGGAAGAAAAATTATGTATAACTCTAAGGTAAGTGTAAACTTCATTATTTTAAAACCAGAGCGTTTAAGTAACAGTGCTTGCTCGACTTGCAGTGGCACTACCGTAAAAGCGTTGTTTAAATAAAAATATAAGTCTACAATAAAAATATTTGAAGTTATTATATATAATACTAGCTGACCGGGCAAACGTCGTTTTGCCATGTATATAATTTATAATAAAAAAATAGGGGTTGATCGTAGAGGGGTGAAAGTTACGGGTTGTATGTATTTTTTAATGCTGTATCATAAAAAAATAAAAACAGAAAAAAATATCTAAAAATAAAAAAAATTAGGGGTGGACTACCCTTAACATTGAGGGGATGAAAAATAGATGTTGTCTGATTCTCAGACATACCCAATTTGCACACAAAATTTCATGAGAATCGGTCGAACCGTTTCGGAGGAGTTTAACCACAAACACCGCGACACGAGAATTTTATATAGTTAGACTAGCTGACCCGGCAAACGTTGTTTTGCCATATAAATAATTTCTATGTACTTTCTAGTGCCGACAGAAAATAACTAACCTATTTTAAGTGTGTAAGGATGTGGTATATGCACGAAATAGGTGTGTAATGCTGTGAACGATAAGGGAATATAGAAATAACAAACGCCAAGCACTATATTTATTAATAATTCATCATAATTTATTTCTGTAATATATATATACGTATCATTATTCGATAAGAGCGGCAACACTATCAAAAAATATCAGTCTCTTAATGCAGCGTGAACAATATTTTTTGTTAGCCCATCTTTAGCTAACACAAACAAACTTGATGGTTTACCCACTCGAGAGCATGCCACGTATAATTGTCCGTGTGAAAAACATGGCGTGCTTAAATCTAAGCCACAAACCGACATCGTTTGGCCTTGGGATTTATTGATGGTCATGGCAAATGCCAATCGAATTGGAAACTGAACACGCTTTAATTGAATTGGCACATCCGTAGGTATTATAGGAATCCGTGGTATTAATATGTTTTCACCTCGGAACTTTCCATTTAAAATGCTAGCTTCGATGACGTTCTTCATTAATTTTCGAATGACCAATCGCGTACCGTTGCACAGCCGTGGCGGGTTCAAATTGCGAAGCATGATAATCGGAGATCCAACCTTTAATTGTAAATTATGCGGTGGCACACCTGGCAAATCCAGTGAGTTCAAAAACTCTGTCGGAAAATTTACAGTTTCGCTCGCATCGCAAACTGTGTCAATAGATTTATATGATTCCAAGTTCCCTGGCAATAACTGTTGTATCTTCAGATTCAAATTGTCAACGTCTACATTTTTTGCCGCTAAAATTGCTCTTTCTGCAAGCCACTCATGATTTAAGTACTGTGTGTGTACATCGGGAAATATTTTTTCAATGAGAGTGTCTTGCGAGTCAACGATTGTGCAAAAATCTGTCGGTAATTTTACGCATCCAGTCTCATCTATAGTTACTTTTCCATCACCGATATCTAGGAGTTGTTTTGAGAATGTTTCAGCGGATGGATCTTGAAGCATTTGAACGCGCATATTTACTTTCAGCTGTACTTTTTCAACATTACGCCACAGTGTAGATGATTTTAAGCAAGCATTAATCTCATCAGCGTATGTTGAACGTGGAATGACGGGAAGTGTTTGCCTGAAATCACCTGAAAGGACTAATAGAGTGCCGCCAAATAGTTTGTCGTTGTTTTTGATATCTTTTAACGTCCTGTTCAACGTCTCAAGTGAATGTTTGTGCGCCATAGTACATTCATCCCAGATGATAATTTTACATTGTTTCAGCACGGTGGCCATGGACGATTGTTTTTTTATGTTGCACACTCCGTCAGGGTTATTTTGAATATTTAATGGCAGCTTAAATACTGAATGAGCTGTTCTGCCTCCATCCAATAAAGTTGCAGCAATGCCTGACGATGCAACGGCCAATGCGATGCCATTATTTGATCGTATTTCAGCAAGAATTAGCGAAATAAGGAATGTTTTTCCAGTTCCACCTGGTGCATCCAAAAGAAGAATCCACCTTGTCCTGCTGAAACTGCGAGCATAATGCGGTCGTAAATGATTTTTTGTTCCTCATTCATTAATGGGACATTGCGAGTAACAATCGCCGCCATTTCTACAGTGTTGTACTGCATTTCACGATTCATTTCCGTGTTCATGAAATCAGATACAGCTCGATCTGGCGAATTCATACCGAAATGACTGAGTGATAAATTAGCAATTATAATGCAGAGATCTTCAATAGCAATCAATGCTTCATTGTACATAGCGTCGCTGAACGTTATCGTTACATCGTTGCATCGTGTACGATGTTGATGCAATATATCATCAGTCATTGAATCTTTGTGATTATCCCACAATATCTGTGCTCGAGCTGGAAAACATGTAGTTAACACTATAGCGAATAGTAGACGAATTTGTATTGCTGTACAATTTAATGCTGCTTCAGCAAACATACATTCCCACTGGTTGTCGTCTTCCAGCAAGCCGAGTGCAAGGCACGCATCTTTATACGTTGAATACTGTTGCCCATTCACTTTCCGTATATCTTGAAACGACAATGGGCCAGTAACATTAACCAACAACAATCGAAGATAAAAGCATTCAGTTTGCTTTGGATTGACTGTAAATACTCGCCCCAGAGCGTTTGATTTAAATAAATTGGGACATGCATCAACTGGGAGCCTTGCTTGCGGGGCATCCATTTTTTTGTTTGAGCCCATGTGAAATAGCATGGTACTTGTGAATAGAGTAACGTTCGTGCAAAGGCACCAAAATCATCCACACGATTACACAATTCGAAAAATTCAGTGAGTGTAGTTTTAGGTGGATTTACAGCACGATCAATTGCTGTCTCGTTCGTGAAAAATACACGCTGGCCGTTTTCGAGATGGACGGCTAACTGAACAACTGCTGGATCCCGTTCATGAATCGGGAAACCAAAGATATGCCAAGCAGCTTCATTGGAGCTGATGTACCGACCAATTTGATAAAGTGTTATTTCATCGTTTTTATTCACTGGTTGAGCATTCACGTTAGTATTTTCCACTCTAAACACAGCCATATCACTGCCTTTATGGACATACTTGCAAATGTATTTGATGCTCTTCACAGAACTGCAGAACTCAACATTAATATGAGCATTGTATGTCTTGCTCAACAGAGGTGAATATGGTCAACGATTATCAATGTCAATGTCTGTGTTGTTGATGTTTTTAATAAATGATCGTCCGCCATTATCGGGACTTCTTCGACGATATATTGGATATCCGTCGACATTTGTGATCGTATCGTTCGTGAAATCTTTAGGGAAATTTTTAGTGCATTTTCCATCTGCCATGCAAGGCGATGTACGATTAAGAGTACCGCATGGACCATGAATCATGTTCGCTGTAACAATATCAAACAGCAGTTGGTCAGTAGACGGATCTGGAAGTTCTGCAGAAATGATACTATCGATTTCTTCAGGACGGATTTTATCGATTAACCAAACCAAAATGTGAGCATGAGGTAATCCTCGCTTTTGCCACTCAACTGAATACAGCCAGCAACGTGTGCGGCCGAATACATGTAATTTAGTAATGAAACTTATTAAAGACTTTTCAACTTTTGTTTGAACACACGTGCTGTAACGTCATGACGATGGATTGAATTTTGGCCAGGCAATAGCAAAGATTCAATCTCTGGCCATTTTGGATTACATGTAATCGTGATAAATAAACACGGTCGTCCATATTCGCGCACGAAAGTCAGAGCATCCTGTATATATTCTTGCATATGACGTGGACTGCCCACATACGATGATGGTAGAATGACAGAGTTACCAATTTCGGCAGCGTCAGCGTTGTTGTTAATAGCGTCCCGCAAGTGAATGTACTCTTCCGCACGCAGCTTGAGTTGATTATATCGTAAGTATCGTAGTCGTTCGCCTTCTATCTTGGCGTACATGTCGACCATGAATTGTTGACAAAGCTCGCGACATCGTAGAATGACGTTGTCCCGGCCGCGTCGAATCATCAATCGGTACGCATAATAATCTTTCGAGCTAACGTTCTTGTTTGTTTCGGCTCCTGTAATAATATATTTTTAAATATTAGATTAAATCAATTACGATAAATAATTTAATTTTTTTTTAATTAGTAATCAAGTTTAAAATGAATGAAGTACCTGATACGGGATCGCGTTGTTTGATATTTATGCAGTATCCGTCTTGTCCCTTCCAGAACATTAGCGGATATTGGAGAGCATCATATGAACGATGTGTATCAGCAATGAACTGAAGATTATTACTCCTTCTACGAACCACAATTTCTCGTGCACCTGTACAATCGCCAACCATGATTCCCGCAACGTCGTCAACAACAGGTGCATTAAATCTACGAATATGCTCTCCAGCTGGTGTTTTATCAGGATTAATGACAATAGCGTGGTTATCGTTTTGTAATTTATGCATGTGTGATTTGAATATTTTCAACAATTCATTGTGCTCATTCGGTAAAGCGTCCAGTTCGCTCACGATGCGTTTGGCAAAAAATGAATCAAGGTTGTTATAGTCACAACGTGCATTCACACGATTGGCAAGTGCGCTTCCGGAATCCTCGCCGCCCATAAAGTAGATTTGTAAAAATTTATGTGCTTCGTTTGGCATTGGCAGTAATGAGCCTATTTTATGATAAACTTGGCCTCTAATTTTAAATGTAGAATTGTATTGTTGACCAAGTGAATTAGTATTTCGAACTATTTCTGTTGCTCCGAACGATGTCATTTGAAAGCATGAATTGAATGTTCGAATGGACTTCAAGAACACGTTAGAATCTGGATCCGTGCCGATAAGTAAACCGTTCAATGGTTCCGGTGGTGTTTCAATGTCGGGTAGTTGAACTTTTCCTGACGCGCAACACATCCCAGCTGGCTCGTTTTTAAATTTAAGAGCATGACAATTTGAACATTCAAAATAAAAAAAAAAAAAAAAAAATATGTTTATTATGGAACATAAGATACATGTATCACTTATTCCACGTCATTAAATTTGAAGGCATCCCTACTCATCGGCAAAGAAGACAGAGGGTGTAGGCCGAGAGAAAAAGCCGGCGTAAAAAACTCTCGGTACTCTTTTAAAACAGCAAATCATCAAACAACACTTATTTAAAACAAATATCGCAAATTGATTAGAAGTAGCCTGTCTAGCACTAGTCCCAGGCCCTTTTATCAACTAGATAATCGTTGACTTTATAGTAAGCCTTTTTACACAGCTTTTCTTTAATACATTTCTTAAATTTATTGAAAGGCAGTGATAAAAGAGCCTCTGGGATTTTATTAAAGAAGAGTATCCCTTTCCCAAAAAAGAATTACTAACTTTAGATAGTCTAGTACGGGGAAATTGCAGCCTGCGTTTGTTCCGTGTATTAACATTGTGCGTATGTTCTATTCTAGTAAACTTATCACTGTTTTTGTATACATACATAATATTTTCATAAATATATTGCGAGGGAAAGGTAAGTATATTAATTTCCTTGAATTTATCTCTAAGAGATTCCCTACATTTTAAATTATAGATTGCACGAATAGCCCTCTTCTGCAGGATGAAAATAGTTTCGACATCAGCAGCATGACCCCATAATAATAAGCCATAAGTCATTAAGCTATGAAAGTAACTAAAATAAACAAGTCTAGCTGTATCGACATCAGTTAGTGAGCGAATTTTTGTAACCGCGTAGGCTGCAGAACTAAGTCTCTTCGCCAATCCGTTAATATGAGGGGACCACTGAAGTTTTGAATCCATGGTGATTCCGAGAAATACAGTTGTATCATCCAGATTCAATTCCTCACCGTTTATAATTGGTCTAGTATCCGTAACCCTTGCATTTTTTGCACAAAATTTAATGCATTTTGTCTTTTTTGCATTAAGTAGAAGGTTATTCATACTAAACCAATGGACAATCGAAGACAGAGCATTGTTCACATCGTCAAAATTTGTTATTTGTCGTTTGATTTTAAAAATCAAGGACGTGTCATCAGCAAACAAAACTTTCTGATGTTTTCTCTCTACCATGAAAGGTAGATCATTTATATAAACAAGAAAGAGGAAAGGGCCAAGAATTGAGCCCTGTGGTACCCCCATATCTACTGCCGACCCAGAGGACCTCTTACCATTCACTTCAACCTTCTGAGTTCTTCCGTGTAAATAGGAAGTCAGAAGATTCAGTGCGGTATTCTTGATGCCATAGTGGCGGAGTTTCCCGATTAAGGTCTCGTGTTGGACACAATCAAATGCTTTGGATAAGTCGCAGAAAACACCTAAAGCGTCATGCGACTCCTCCCAAGCCTTAACTATATATCTATATAACTCAACACCGGCATCGGCTGTCGAGCGACCCTTGGTAAAACCGAACTGATTATTATGTAATAATTTGTTTACGTTAAAATGACTTACCAGTTGATTTAATATAATTTTTTCAAATATTTTACTACAAGTAGGTAGTACGGAAATTGGTCTAAAGTTACTGGGGTCGGACATACTACCTGCTTTAAATAAAGGAATAACTTTACTATGTTTCATTAGATCGGGAAACTCGCCACTTTTAATACAATTGTTGAAAATTATAGCTAGATGGGGAGCAATTACATCAATTATGCTACTAATTATTTTTACAGAAATACCCCAAAGATCGGTAGTGTTCTTAATATCTATGGTTCTAAATATCCTCACTATATCGTCGGCACCAATGGGTCGGAATGAAAAACTGACCTTGCACTCGTTTACATTATCTTTGAGCAGCGATTCGGCGAGGGCGGGAGATGATTGAAGAGACTTAGTAGTCGAAATTGGAATGTCAGAAAAGTACTTATCAAAAACAATCGCTATCTCTTCGTTAGATTTGATTATAGTGTTATCGACACATAGTTCGATGTCTTGATTGCGATCCCTGACTCTTCCAGTTTCACTATCAATTATCTTCCAAGTCATTTTAGTTTTATTGGTACTATTTTTAATCTTGTTTTTGATATTTAAAGACTTGGCCGCGTAACAAACTTTCTTAAATAATTTCGAATAATTTCGAACATAAAGAATAAATTCTTCAGTATGATTGTATGACTTTTCAGCGTAAAGGTCATACAACCGTTGTCTACTTTTATAAATTCCCGCTGTCGCCCAATCACTAAACGATTTACACTGCGAATGAGAGACTTTCTTTGGGGTAAAGATGGTGTTAAACTCTTTATTAATACAATCACTTAGATTGTTGTATTGTGTATCAACGGTAGTACCTACCGGTAATAAAGGTAGGCGTTTACCTATATTATGTCTAAATCTCACCATTCGCTTTTTATTCACTGGAACAAACACACTGCTCTTATTTACTTGTTTCACCACTTTACATTTTAGCGCCACTAACTGTCCACAATGATCTGAGCTAAGATCAGTTGTAATTGAGGTTTGCATTGCCTCTGCATCTGTAAATACATTATCTATACATGTAGCAGTGGAGCTTGTAATTCTAGTGGGCTCAAGAAACAAGTTAACAAGATTGTAAGATTTTAATAACAGATTGAATTTTTTACTAATGGAGGTATTTTCTAGTAAATTTATATTGAAGTCACCACATACAATAATATACTTATTGTTCTTAAAACTAACTTTACACAAAATTTCCTCCAACTTTTCTTCAAAAAAATCGTAAGATGCACTTGGTGGTCTGTAAACACTTAAAATAATGCAATTCTCAATCTCTATACAGGCTACTTCCAAAGAGTGTTCTACAGACAGACACACGATGTCATTACGCTCTTTATACTTTAAATTTTTATTAACAATAATCAAAGAGCCCCCATGAATCGCCGACAAAATTCTTTGTCCATAGCACCAATCACCACTTTTGTATGGGCATAATATTCCACATCAGGCTCATACTGGAATGCTAGCCGCAGGAATGAATCATATGTAAATGCTCGGTGTACCTGTTGGCGTTGCTGGTTGTTTGTTCTGCGTCTATTGGCTGTGAATCGGCGTGATTGTCGTTGTTGTAATCTTATCACTTCATTGCGTTCAGCTCGTGAATCTTCAGATTGTTCTTGACGCAATTGCGCCATGCTCACACGCGCATCAGTATTTTCTTGCTGGATTTCTTCTTCAGTTCTTTCGGATCTTAAATTTCTCTTGCTTCTGGTTTCACTTGTATTACGGCTCAAATTAGCCCCTTTGCGTTTTCGTGGCATTGTTCGCTGTACAAAATACACATAATTAGAACTAACAAAATTACTTTAGAGTGAAAAACATCGTAATTATATTGTTATTAACAACAATTTGAGTATAAAAAAAAATATACTTACAACAACACAAAAGTCGTTGTTGGTAGGAGCCCCTGACACGCGTTGAGTATTTTTAGGTTATAATTAATAATAACAGATATTATTAATATTATCTTATATTATTAATTTACTATTAATTAATTAATTGTATGATTAATTTAAGAGAGTTATTATAATTAATAATGAGAGTTACACTGACATAAAAAAATAACAATTCTAAACGTCACTATACTAAGTTTGATACATAAACACACATTTACATTAATGATGGCCGACAACAGTGGAGGGAGTGAGAGAAACAGGAGACCGGCTTCGGTCTCATCCCTACTCCGCGTTGTTCACTGGGTAGTTACACCGATATAGTCTGGCCAATGAGTATCCAGAGTAAAAGCGCGGAAAATTTTAAAATAATTATTAAAAAATAGGGGTTGGTGATAGAAGGGCAAAAACTTAGGGTTGTATGTATTTTTGAATATCGTATCATAAAAAAATTAAAAAAAAATTTTTGTCAAAAAAATGAAAAAAAAAAATTGAGGGGTGGACCACCCTTATTATTTAGGGGTGTGAAAAATAGATGTTAGCCGATTCTCAGACCTACCCAATATGCTTACCAAATTTCAGAGGAATCGGTCAAGCCGTTTCGGAGGAGTATGCAGACTAACATTGTGACACGAGAATTTTATATATAAGATGTAAAATAAATGTAAATTTCAGGATTCCAAACAATAATACAAATTATTATCATTCAAATAGTCTTCCATTTTATAGTAACTCTTTTTTATTAATAAAGTTTTAACATGCAACTTAAACCTTTAAATTGGTAAGTCACTTACATGTTGTGGGATTTTTTTGGGATTTTTATATTCTTATGAACATATATAATGCAATTAAATATGTACTGACATGGTACTGTTAATATATTAATTTCTTTAAATAATTCCCTAAGGGAGTCACGCGGTTTGAGACCATATATAGCACGTATGGCTCTTTTTTGTAATACGAAAATATTTTGTATATCGGCAGCAGTTCCTCACAGAACATTGATGCTGTTATTTCAGTAAATAAATAAAATAAAATAATTTGACATCATCGAAATTATTGTTTAACTAAATCAATACTATATAAACTAATTTTAAATTCAAAGCACAAAAAATAAAATAAAGATTCAAAATAAGTCCAAGTAATCAGAATCTTGCGAGGCACTTGAAGTGGCAGTAGAAACTCGCGACTCTGAGCATTCTTGCGGTGAAGGAACTGAAGTCGGTAGAGTATAGTAATTCTGTTTTGTTGGTGCCTCAGAGCGTAACCGTGCTGTTTGACTTCGTGCTGTAGAAGACCCGGTCTCCGCTGTGAAATAGCCACGCTCATACTCGAACTCGTTATAATTACGCCAAACGGAGTTTGGATATACGTTATTTGGCGTATTGGTTCCGAATGAATCGATCATTGTGATTAATTGAATTTTCGCTGCTGGTTTTTTGTGATCGGGAATTTTCCTAAAAGACGATAAAAGGGACAGCAGAAACATTCTGTCCTCATCTTGTTCCAAAATGTCCGCGTTATTTTTACGAGTATCAATTCATTTGTTCAGTGTTTCCAATAATTCTCTTGTGCCATCATCTGAAGGTTTTTTCTTCTTTCTTCCCACTATATTTTCCCTAGAGTACGGTCCTAAAGGTTCTTGATCAGTTGTCGACTTTTCTTCTTCCGTAATGCTACTCTCCGTGTTTAAATTACCAACAGTATTTTTCAAAATGATGAGAAGCAGAAGACCCACTTTTGGTATTTTTCATTCTTCGTATTTCTCGAGCAAAGCAGCTTCTTATATTTTTCCATTTTTTTTGAAGTGATTGACCTGTAAATAAATTGTATTTTTTTTATTTCAGATATCTTGGAAGTGGCTGCAAATTTGTAGATCTGCATTACTCATATAGACTTGGGATTTCAACTATTGCTGAGATAATAAGAGAAGTTTGTCATTTTATATGGGTTTTACTGAAAGACATGTGTTTGCCACAACATACAACAGAAAATTGGTTAAAAATCGCAAAAGATTTTCATTTACGAGCCAATTTTCCAAATTGTATAGGTGCCATAGATGGTAAACATATAAGGACTATAAAACCTTACAATAGTGGATCAGTGTGTTATAATTATAAACACTTCTTTTCTATCATTTTGCTTGCCATTTGTGACGCTGACTACAAGTTCGTATACATAGATGTTGGTTCCTATGGAAAGGATAGCGATTCTACTATATTTACACATTCAACATTTTATCAAAAGCTAATGAATAATGATTTACAAGTTCCGGAACATCAGCCTATTTCATCGATAAATCCAATACCAGTACCGTTTGTCATTGTTGGTGACGAAGAATTTGGACAATCTGATAAAGTTATGCGACCATTTGGTGGATCAAATTTAACAACAAAGAAAAAAATATTTAATTATAGGCTTTCTCGTGCTCGACGCTACATAGAATGTTCATTCGGCATATTAGCAAATAAGTGGCAGATTTTTCACAGACCTATTAATGTAAATTTAGATCTAGTAACAAGCATCACCAAAACATGTTGTGTTCTTCACAACTATGTTCGGGAAAGAGACGGATATAAATTTGAAGATACCCTGTGCATTCCTGGCTTAGAAGAAGTGCCAACAGGTATTCAAAGAGCTACGCGACGTGGCATGTCATACAGAGATATGTTTGCTGATTATTTTATGACTGAGGGTCAATTACCTTGGCAGATGAGCAGAATTCATTAAAAAATAAATGACATTTATAACTTACCTATGTTTTTTTTTTCTTCGTCTAGTAATCCTTCACCTCCAAATAACTCCACTATTTCTTCCCACTGTGTTTTCTTCAAATCCCGATTCGAATATTCGTCACTTAGTAAGTCCCAAATAGCTTTTCGGGATTGTATTTCTATTATAAATTTCTCGGTATCGAAAGCCTGAGCCATTTTTGTGCGCGACGTCCGGTCGTTACGACAGTTGCTCGCAGTGTGAATGCTTCCATTTGAAGCCGTGCTCCTATTGGTCGCCAGCGACCGGCGGTCGCTTGTGTGTCGCCACGACGCGGCGAGTCGCCCAGTCGCTTGGGCGACCGACGATCAAGTGCGTAGACATCTATTTAAACTGTAGAAACTCACAGTCGCCAGCGACCGAGTCGCCGGCGACTAGTCGACAGTGCGTAATAGCGCTTAGATCTACATCGTTAATTATTGTTCTACTATTTATTTCATTTTTTTTTATTGTTAAACATTTCGTTCTTGTTTGGATTGTTGATGTCGGGAACATTTGTTGGGTCAACATGTATTGCATCCAACCACCATACAGCATCATCGTCATCACTCAAACAAAAAATTTCTCTGGCACGTCTAGGAGCAATTTTTTGAGGATGTATCTTCGCGATGGGCAAAACTTCTTTTTGACTGTTACTTGTGTTGATTTGTTTATTAAGTTGATTTAGATTAGCCTTGTATGATGCAAAATATAGACCACAGATGCCACATGATCGCTTAAACAAGTATGCCTCAACACAGGAGCAATATCTCACTTGTCCAAATCCTACTCGACTAAACATGTACTTTCTTTCAACTATATTATAACGTTAAGAAACTTAACCTCCCTCTTGACTAGCTACATAAAACATAATTAACTGTAATAGTCTTAAACGCCAGATGTGGACGCACCCTTACACTATTATTACTAACCAAAATAAATAAAAATGAAAATCTTTAAATATTTAATAATAGCACAGTATTTTCAACAGGGTCCAGTGCATGTAAAAACTCGTCACTTACTCTCTGGTCTGATGATTCCTGTTGTAAAGAGATTTAATAATATTTCAAATAGTTCTCCTATTTAGGTAGCTCATCTTAAACAAATTTTGACTAATTTTTATGTGAAAAATTAAAGTAATTTTCTAAGCAAATACTAATTAATATACTTATAAATTGAATATTAATGTATCTTATATTTTGAGTTATTTCATTATTATGATTAATGTTACTGAAGTGCAACTGCAAGACCTTTTACGACTCGTCGTTGGGCCCTCTTCCACCATCGTCATGGACGAACTGCTCTTGTCCACTGTCACTGTAGAAAGCCTCGCTGACATACCCAAATCTTTCGTATCCTGAAACGAAGGCTTCTGCGGCGAGTATTTCAGCGATGCCCAACTCACTCAACGTAGAAAATAATAATTTTTAATAATGCCTTCTCGTCTCCCTACAATAATCTCTTCAAGTTTATTTAAAAAAGTGTGTGTGTGTCAGCTACGACGCACGATTGGAGTTTACTCCTTACGAACGATAAAATGGCGATAATGTTCTGTGGCTGTCGACCATATTTTCATACTAAAGGTGCTAAGAATATATGTTTTTATAATATAAATGTTTGTAGTAGTAATAAAACGTACCTACATCATCTATGCCCAAATAAGATTTTCTTTCTGTGACCAAAGTTACCTTTATAGTAAGAGAAGAATAAGAATGAACAATCTTTTTAGTTTTAATTTCACTGACCATTACTATTGACAAAACTCTATGGCACGCTAGACAATCTACTTTTATTTTTTACACCTGTCAACACTGACAATGTTGTAACTTGGCTGTCAAAACGTGAATTCAAAATAGAAAAGTCTGTGTAATGTATTCCATCTCATTCTTTTACTCGTTCAATCCTACTGATATATATGTTTGTCTCTTTCTACATAACGCCTCAACTTTTCGTGTTACACTTGATTTTACTCCTCATAAAATTTCCGTACCGGGCCTTATAACTCAAATCGTTTCTTAAGGAGTAAACTATGTTTGTCTCTTTCTACATAACGCCTCAACTTTTCGTGTTACACTTGATTTTACTCCTCATAAAATTTCCGTACCGGGCCTTATAACTCAAATCGTTTCTTAAGTAGTAAACTCTATATGTTTGTCTCTTTCTACATAACGCCTCAACTTTTCGTGTTACACATAACGCCTCAACTTTTCGTGTTACACTTGATTTTACTCCTCATAAAATTTCCGTACCGGGCCTTATAACTCAAATCGTTTCTTAAGGAGTAAACTCCAAAAAACTTTATCTCCTTTTGACTACTCAATTCATAAAAACATCTTTAACTATAAAATAATAATTGACTAAGTCTTCTATATTCGCGATATTAGCAGTGGTAACCTCAAATAGCTTTATTGCAGAACATCTTGCCAACAAGATTTCATTGAAAAATTTCAAATTTACGATGTCCTTGCCTTCAGCCATCGCTTTATCAGATGTTCTTTTTAATGTGCCACCAGGAGCACCTTTGTCATGGCCTGGTTCCGCGAGCAGAGAATTCCCGAGAGAAAATAATACACTTCGGTCGATTTTCTGGTACTTTTTTGAGTTTTTTGTCTGGATATACTGTTTTCTTGAAGTTCATTTTAAAAACTTTGTCGTAACTCAATGCTTTTTTCTATTAAATCACTTGTTCTTCTGGTATATTTCTTTTATTTCGTTTAGGGGACGTTCTTCAGTGGCTTTGGATGCCTTGGCGTTTACTTGATCAGTCTCATTATTGTCTTCTCCTTGCTTTTGCTGACTTACATTTGACTGTTCATTCATTAGTAGTAGTTTCATCGTTGTCTACACTCTTCGGCAGAAAGAAAGCCTTGAAAAATACATATATTGGGCTCCTTTACGAGCACCTGAACCGGAAGAACTTGGTTTCAATTTTTTCGATTCTTTATTGTAACAGTCCCGTATGTTTTTCCATTTTTTTGGAGTGTCGTACCTGAATAAAATTCATTATTAGCCGCGTACTGACTGAGCGAGCAGCCTCGCGAAGCAGCCTCGGACGTTTGCTTCGCAACGTTTGCCGCGCGAGGCAGCCTCGGTCTGTAAGTTTTCTAATCCGAGGCTGCCTCGCGCGGCAAGTCCGAGCCATCGTGAGCATCGACGCTCAGTTTAACTTGAAGTCGAATAGAGACCGCGCGTGCCCGTATAGTTTGCCCGAGACCACCATGAGGCCGCACATTCGGAAAGCTGTCGCTACCACTGCCTTTTAATAATTCTAAGGCTTGCAAAAAAAAGAAAACAGAAAACTAAACGTTTTTGGATTAAACTCTTAGAGCTAGTTCAGACATGGCGGAATCCGTGCGGATGCAAATCGCGCGGTTCTAAACGCAAGTGTTCAGACAGACGCGGATGTAAATGCGGAGTGCCGTAATCCGCATAGAGTGACAGCGTTCTAGTCCAATCATGGAAGTCGAAGAAGCAATATGTGTGTACTTGTTGCTCCGTAAAAAAGAAAGAAAGAAGAAACGGCAGTATTGGGTGCATCCAATATTACGTGATCGGCTCACCCATGGTCAGTTTCTGACTTTATATCCAAAATTAAGAAGTTTTGAACCAAAATTCTTTAATTATTTGAGAATGTCGATAAATTCATTTGATGAATTATTAGAAATGATCAGTGAACAAATTGCATCTAATGATACCCATATGAGGTCAAGCGTGGCCCCAGAAGAAAAACTCGTGATTACATTAAGGTAAGATATTTATTTTATACATCAGAATATATGTTTTGTACTATAGAAGACTGTGAGTCGTCAGTGCTATTGCATGATAAAGGCGATGGAGACTCTCCTGGTACGATTGTAGAATATCCTGTAAAATATCCTTGTGGGTTTGAATATTGTTGGTTTTGCCAAAATACTTCATTAGGCGTGTTCTGCTGGCTCGTGATATGAATAGGCGCTGGTAATTTCTGCCCTTTCTGTATTACCTGGAGTAATTCAATTTTAGTAGCCAAACGCTTATTTTCTGGAACTTTTTTTAACTCTTTATACAATGACATACAAAAAAGCTTATCATCATCATCTTGCTTTGACATACTTTCTTGTAATTGTCTCTGTATTTTATCCCTTGATTCAATGCTATTTTCTAATATGTCAGCCAATCGCTCTTCTGAAGTAATTTTAGTCTTCTTCCTTTTATTGGGTACTGGTTGTATTTCACGTGCATTAACAAAATTATCTTGGTTTTGGTCAATGTTTTGAATTCCTTCATTTTTGGCTTCATGTATGTTTGATGTCGTTTCTTTGTTTTCTACTGTCTTCTGAAGAAAAGAAAGCCGGTCAAAATACATGTATTTTGAACCTTTACATGCACCAGAACCAGAAGGAATTGATTTGCCTTTCTTGAATTCCTTATTATAAGCATCCCGTATATTCTTCCACTTTTTTTGTAAAGTTACACCTGGAACAGAAATCAGTATTTTTAACAAAATTGTAGACTTATAAATACAGGAGCGGTCAAATAATTGAAGACACTCAAAAATTTGAAAAATTTAAAATAAAATAATTGACACTCATTATTTTAAACTAGCTGGTGCCCGCGACTTATAATTAATAAATGAAAAGTTTGCAACTTTGTTAACAAAACGATACAGATCAAGATTATATTGTTTCAGATATCTGGGTACTGGTTGTTCCTTTGGAGAACTGCATTACAACTTTCGTCTTGGCAAATCTACAATTACAGGAATTGTCCGTGAAGTATGTGAAGCTCTGTGGGAAAAAGTCGCAAAAAATGTCATGCCTGAACCCAGCGAAGATATATGGAAGAAAATAGCTACAGATTTTGAAAAATATGCAATTTTCCCCAATTGCATTGGCGCCATAGATGGCAAGCATATAAGGATTACAAAACCCAATGATTCTGGATCTTTGTATTATAATTACAAAACTTTTTTTCCATAGTGCTGTTGGCACTTTGTGATAGTAACTATTGTTTTTCTTTCATAGATATTGGATCATATGGAAAAAGTAGTGATTCTGCAATTTTTAAAAATTCGGTATTTTATAAAAGATTAATAGAAAAGTCATTACACATACCAAAACCTAAACCAATATCTAACACAGATCCTACGCCATTGCCATACGTCATAGTTGGCGATGAAGCGTTTGGTTTATCCGAAACTGTAATGCGACCCTATGCAGGTAGAGGGCTATCATACGAAAAAAATATATTTAATTACAGGTTATCAAGAGCTCGACGTTATATTGAATGCACTTTTGGAATTCTGGCAAACAAGTGGCGCATTTTTCATAGGCCTATAAACGTTAATATAGACTTTGCCGAAGACATAATAAAGGCCTGTTGTGTGCTACACAATTTTGTTAGAACTAGAGATGGTATACAGTTTGAAGATACTTTATATACTGGGCCAATGAGTAATCTTAATACATTACATGCAGGAAGGGGTACACCGTCATCATTAAATATTAGAGACAAATATGCTAATTACTTTGTAAATGAGGGTCGTGTAGAATGGCAAGACACAAAAATATAAAAACTTGAGAGGTGTCAAGGGACACCCGGATAGAACGAAGTTGACCTCACTGGAGGCGAGTACTAGAGGCGAGTAGCGAGGCGTGGTGTTTGCGTGCGTGAGAATCGTGAGATTTTTTTCCGTCTAGCCCCCTTTCACAACGCGCGATAAGGAACTTCGTTCCAAAATTAAAATTTGTTACAGTTCGCGCCAAATAACTAAACTCAAGATGGCGTCGCGTCGGTTGCACATAGTCACTAGCTACTCCGTTACTATGCTAACGTGATATTTTTCCCGCGCCCGATACTTACCTCCAATCACAATAACAACATTTTTATATAGTTTAGTTATTTGGGGTGGACTGTCAATTACAAAATATGTAAACTACCCTGATAAATGTAAAATTAAATACATACTGACCAAAAAGAACCTTTTTTTCCAAAGAATCCTCATTTTCTCCAAAAATATCCACCAGCTCCTGCCAAGCTCCGTTTCTAATAATTTTATTGGAATATTCTGCACATTGGATGTCCCACAAAGCAGGTCTCTTTTCCACCTCATCGATGAATAGCTCGGTGTCGAAGCGATCCATTGTCACCGTCCGATACGCGCGGCTTCCGCAGAGCAACTGAACGCGCTCTAGGTACGTCAAGTAAATAGATCCGAGCGGCAACCGCGCGAATTCATTTTCTAGCGGTTGAGTGGCGGTAGCCGCGCGGTTTGTCAATCCGCGCGGACAGGTATGAACGAATTTATAGGCGCTAATGTAAATAAGATCCGCGCGGTCTAACCGCGCGATTTGCATCCGCACGGATTCCGCCATGTCTGAACTAGCTCTTATACAAAAATAGATTACAGGCTGGGAACAGATTATTTGAAGAGTTGTGCTTCGATGACGAAGAAAAAAATTTCACTCGAATGAGTAAAATCGAATTTGACAATGTGTATTCTCTCATAAACGCCAAAATAAGCAAGAAGGACACAAATTTTCGAGAAGCAATATCCGCTAGGGAAAGATTATTAGTGACGTTGAGATTTTTGGCCACAGGAGATTCTTATACCAGTCTACAGTATCTATTTCGTATATCAAAACAAAGGATATCGGTTATAGTTCCTGAAGTCTGTGATGCTATAATTGAGGTGTTAAAGGATTATGTTAAGGTAAAATAAAATTACATATTTTTATTATTTTTTTATTAATCTGATTAGAAAATTGGACAAATAATATAAGAAAATTAAACAAACAAATATTTAATGATGAGGAGCTGGAGAAGGAGGAGGGGGAGGCATCGAAATTGGTGAGATAGGAGGCATTGGTGAGGCAGCAGGCATCGGTGAAGTAGAAGGCATCGATGAGGCAGGAGGCATCGGTGAAGTAGGAGGCATCGGTGAAGTAGGAGGCATCGGTGAGGTAGAAGGCATTGGTGAGGCAGCAGGCATCGAATATGTAGATGGCGTCGATGAGGAAGAGGGATGAGACATATATCTTAAATTATCATGTTCACCATATGATTGAGTATAATAACTATAACCACTGTATGCTCCCATGTCTGCATCAAAGATAATTTTATTTATTGCATTTTTTACGTATGCTAATGTAATTTTATCATACTTTCTCAACTCATTTCCTATATATTGGCCATACACATTATAGGGATCATTTTTTTCTGATATATTATCGCTTGCACACTGTTGTAAGAGTGTTAATGCTTCAGTATGGCGTTATCAGTAAGATCATCACTTTCGTTCATTTTGGATCTCTTTTTAGGTCTAGTTGACTTTTGTTTAGGTCCTTCCGTTGTCGTCGAGTTTGAAGTTTCATTTTTTTCTTCGTTATAACCGTCATCATTTCGAGTATTATCCAGACTTGCATTCTGTAAAGATAGAAATTATTACTTAATTTTATTTACAGATACCATCATCCGAAGAAGAGTGGCTTACCATAGCGAAAGAGTTTGAGAGCAAATGGAATTTCCCACATGTCATAGGAGCAATGGATGGGAAGCATGTTATATTACAGTCGCCGATAAATAGTGGCAATGATTATGACTGTTACAAAATGTTTCCAAGTATAGTGCTGTTTGCTTTAGTTGACGCTAACTATAAATTTCTGTACGTAGACGTTGGCAGCAAAGGACGTATATCAGATGGCGGTGTGTTTAAAAATACCAATTTATATAAAAAGGTCGAAAAGAAGGAATTGAACATTCCTTCACCAGAAATATTACAAATACCGTATAAAATTGCAGTGCCCTATTTTATTCTAGGCGATAAAGCTTTTGCTCTCAATGATTACACATTGAAACCTTATGAAGGTACTCCAGAAAGAGGTTCAATGGAAAGGATTTTCAATTACAGGCTGTCCAGAGCAAGAAGAGTTGTGGAGAATGCCTTTGGCATTTTAAGCTCCGTTTTTAGAGTACTGAGGAAGCCGCTACTATTAGAACCAGAAAAAGCTACGAAAGTCGTATTGACTACCATATGCTTATATAACTACTTGCGTAGAGATTTAGCTTCCTCACAAAAGTTCACTCCCCCAGGATCATTCGATGCCGAAGTTGAAGGGACAGTAATACCCGGCCGATGGCGACAGGATACAGAAATGTCATCAATGCTATCTATTCAAGCCATACCACGGCGAGGATCAACAAATATAAAAGAAATACGTTCACATTTAGGGAGACATTTCATAACAAACGGAGCAATTTCTTGGCAGAATAATTATCAGTAAATAATAGGTACTCACTTCTTCACCTAAAGTATCTTGTGTATTTCCTGGGTGATTTCTATCTCCTAGAAAACTGAAGGCTTCATAGGCATACCAATTCGAAACATATATTTCACCACGACCTGCAGTATAAAATAAAAAAAATAATATTAGAAATAATATTAGAAATAATATAAAAACCGATGTAACTTTGAATATAATAAAATGAATGTTGTTAACCCTAATCATAAACATTAAATAATAAATACCTGATCCTGTGATTCGGCTTTTTTTTTCTCTCGACTTTTCCCTCCTGTAAGACCCTAGTAAAGAGTCCATTTTTTTCTTTAATTCAGCTATTGGAAGGTTCATTTCCTGGCTTATTTTTCTCCATGCATCTTCCCTTAGTCCTCTATTTGTGTAATCAGGACATTGCGCATCCCAAAGTCGTCTATATTCACCATATAGTCGTATTAATTTAAGACACTGTTCTTTATCCATGACGCACAACTAACACGCAACGAATAAGCGAGGCAAAACACTACCGTCTTGAGTGAGCGCGGCAAACGTACTGAGGCGCCTTTGAACATCGACAAAAACCGACAACGTTCGGCTCGGGCCGCGGCACGCTCGGGCGAGGCAGCGCGTGCGTTTGCCTCGGGCGAGGCACGTCTTGACCGACCGAGGATTTGCCTCGCGAGGCTGCTCGCTCAGTCAGTACGCGGCTATTAATTTTCTTGTTTTATGTATCTTGGTACAGATTGTTCATTTAGACAACTAAGCTTCGACTATCGCCTTGGAAAATTTACGATTACAGGTATTGTCCACGAACCAACTGAAGATTTCTGAAAAAAAAAAGCTTGCTTTACTTATCGTCATAAAATGAATGAATTAAAAGTGTATTCTCTGTCTCTATCTGTTACTCAATTTACTTGTTTTCTCTTTTACTCTGCATTTGCATCTAGGCTTTAAAACTCTTCCATTCTTTTTAACATCATACTTGCAGGTGGTTTTTTCCCGCTTCTTGCTTTTGTATGGATAGCCAAATTGTCTTACTATTTCGTTACTAACTTTTTTCGTTTTACTCTCTTGTCTTCTGTCGAACTGTCAGAGCTCTCTGAATATGTTACAATTTTTCTGTCCATACTATCATCGCAAATAAGATAGTCTGGAGCCTGAACTCTAGTCCATGTAACTGCGTTACTCGTTGAGGGCATTTTTGGTTCGTTTTCATTACTAATTGTTGTAAGTACAAAAAAATCAGACAAATCGGTCAAGCCGTTTTCATGTTATGCCGTGACAACGGAAAACGGGTTTCATTTTTATATATATAGATGAGTCAACTGTCGGTGGATCGCAAGATGGCTCATTTTCTTGAATATCATCATCAATAGCCTCTTTAAAAAAATTTTGTAATATTCCAGTTCTGGATGACTTTCCCATTGCGATCCATAATGTTTTTCCAACAACTTCCTCACGTCACTGATTTTGTCTTTTTTGATGATGACATTGTTTTTTGCAACTGGCAGTGGCAGTACATCTTTAAAAGATTTTCCTCTTTTTAAAATAGATTTGTATTGGGTAAAGTCCGATGTATAATGAGTTTCACCTTTTACTTTCACCTTATTACCATTTTTACTGATAAAAAACCGCTTACTTTTAGGGAATTGAAAATGCCATAGACCAGGCGGCTTAATGACATCGTGCAGAGCATTTTTCCAATCGTACACCATCTCCATTTGCACAACTAGGCCATATTTGTTAAAAATATTGTGGTACTCCTCTGGTTGTACAATTACTTCCTTCCTTTTTAACTCCCTTTCAACATTACCAAACACTCTGGTCAGCAGGTAGAAAAGAGTGACCTGGTATTGGAAAAACAAGTTCAATGTTTTTTATGTTATTAGGGGCATTGCATAACCGCACGCAGCACATTCCAATAAAAATTGAGTTTTTGTTTTGAGCCCCGCAACCATCAGCCACTAATCGCAACGTCTGAATTCCATTAAAATCTAGTGATTTTAATCGGTGATAAACTCCAGAAGCAATTTCATTAGCTCCTTTTCTATATTCATTTTCGTTCCACATGTATAAAGTAACTGTATCTTTGTTAAGCCTTTTTCCTTCCACTGCTAGTACAACTGCGAAATTATAAATATAAAGTTGTCTGCTGTAATAGGTAATTTGATCCGGTAGTTTTGGAAGAACCTGGTTCTTTTGGCAGTTAAATGATAGTGTTATCATTCCATCTTGTCTTTGATTTAGTAGTTGGTAAAAAAATTTTGCTTTGCGTTTATGAATGGTCTTTTCAATCATATATTTTGCTTTCACTGATTCGTTTTTTTCATTTTTAATTTGTTCTTCTAATTCCGTGCATTTGGAACAAACATCCGTTCTTGGATTACCAAACCCAATATTGTATTGAATGGTGAAAATTCTGCGAAAATAGCATTGTTTGACGGTATTAACTGCTTGTTCATTGTACATTTGCCACAGTTTTTTTATATTTAACGTCGAATCCAAGTATTTTCTTTCTGTGGTAGACGGACAATAATGTGACTCGATGCACTGCAAAGATTCTATAAAGGATTTAACTTCCTGCAGTTTATAGACATTTTTGAGGGATGTATGATCTCCACCTCTATTTTCTTTAACGAGACCACCAGTTTTTTTGAAAGTTTCTGCTACTCTACGGATTCTATTTCGTGGTATTTGCAATATTCCCAAAAATGATGATTGGCAAACGTGAAGTAATGTGCTGGAATTCCGTTTTTTTATGATCAACTTTGTCGAGTAATTGGCCTGGCGTGTACCTTGTGTTCCCGTTCTAGGACGACGCCGTTGAACTTCAGTAACATGACAAAATTTTGGCAAAAAAGCATCTTGGGTTTGTTTAGTTTTGTTAGAGTAGAAAGCATCATGAAATTTTTTAGCATCAACCAAAGTAACGTTTTTGCATTCATAAATAGCTTTTTTATTATGCTGCCATGCAGGTAATTGCGGCAGACTTTTTGCAGAATACCTTGAGCAAATGAAAAAAGAACCATTACCAATAGTAAATTAAAAAGGACACACAGTCACTTGCAACTAAAGCGTAGGAATTTTGTTATTGACATCAACAAATAAATAATTGCAAAAAAATGTCTTAGAGAAAGCTTCTGCAGACCCTACTAACGGGCGAAATGCTAGTGAATTGGTAGTTACCTTTTTGCCTTATCTCGTACGCGTCGCCACTTATTTTCATTTCTCACTCGTTTACTCGTCCTGCACGAGCAGGTTGAATATTTTCTTCCATTACACAAAATATATCGCGAAAACACAAAATAATAAGACGCAAGCCACCTACACCTTACTATGAAAAAGTAACAGAATCGCCATCTTAGAAAATATGAAATAGCGGCTTCGGATTGGTCGATTGAGACACAGGCGGATTTGCTTCTAACTAATTTAGGATCTAAGCTGTTTTGCATGTAAACGCTTTTTTCGAAGTGTATTTTAATCGAATTGAGGCGGATTTGCACTAAATGGTTTTTAAGTTATTGTCGCTGCTTTCGAGGGCTACAATTTGGTATGACCAGATAAAAAAAAGCTATAATGGACTGAAGCGCCTTTGCTTTTATACCCCTCATATAAGGAAACCACATGGGGTATGTGTGTATGCGTAAATTATGTGTATGTGTCTGGGTGTGTGTCTGTGTATGTTTTATTACTTAAGTGTTAATCTAATAAAGCTAATACTATTATACTAAAAAATTATTCCCTATTATTAACATAGATTAGCATCAACTTTATACTCAACTATTTAATTATGGTAAGCATTTTTTCTGTTTCCTCATAGTTGACGTCCAGTAGCAACCGTCTTCTTGCACTCATGTATTGTTAGAGGATGATTAATGGCGTATCTTTCATAAACCTATAGGTAAATGTTAACATAGACTTTGCCGAAGACGTAATAAAAGCCTGTTGCGTTCGGCACAACTATGTGAGGACTAGAGATGGTATAAAATATAAAGATACGTATATACGATATACGTATACTGCACTAATGACTAGTCTCAATACTTTGCATGCAGGAAGAAGGCCACCGTCATCACACATATCACAGTTAAATTCGCTCATTACTTAGTGAACGAAGGGAGTGTTCTATGGCAAGATTCAAAAATATAATTCTATCATTTATTTTTTGGTGAATGAATTACCAAGATGGTAATTGGAATTGTTAAGACACTTTGGACAAAAAGGGTATTTTAGGTAAGAACCTAAAATACCCTTTTTGTCCAAAGTGTCTTAACAATTCCAAATATCTTCACCAACTCTTGCCGTGCTCGGTTCTTTGCAATTTTATCCGTATAATCAGCACACTAAAGATTCCATATTGTAGGTCTTTTATCCACTTCATCAATAAATAACTCAGTGTCGAAGCGATCCATAGCGAGCTCGCGCGTGCTCTTGTTGTGACGTGAAAATCGCGCGGTGCCCGCAACGCTAGTCAGTGTGACCGTTTTAAGTAATGGTGATCTACTAAAACTACAAGGCGCCATACTAAATAATACCAAAACACATACTGAATTATACTAAAATACAAAGTAGAAGAGGAAAAATTTAATTAAAACACTTATTATCAGTAACTTTTTTTACTTTTACCAATTACACAACTGTGTGGGCCTTGGTATCCGGAAGCTATATCCAGGATGCTCCCTTCCCTCGGTAAAATACTATACGCTGGTTCGGCTGACTAAGACTAGCACTTACGGTCGACGGTGGTGTGTCCCACTCTAAGCACTGGATCCTTAAATAATTATGGTAAGGAAATGCGTTACGGTGTGCGGTCTATACTAAGTGCGCACGCGACATAGGTTATAATTTAACTATACATTCTTGCGCCATTACGCCGGAACGCCATCCACCATTTCTGCTCGTGTGTCAAAGTCAAAATGGACAATTGTCATTCTTCTTTGACTGACACCGATTTAGCGGAAACACCTTCATTGTACAGACATATATGAATGTCTACATACGAAAAGGGCACTTGTCATTTATTTCTCAATTTTATAGGAGATAGAAATAACTGTATAGTTTTTGAAACAATGAAGATACAAACTTGGTTTTTATTTATTTATTTGTTATAGAAATACATACATGATCCTTACAGACTATGCCAATACGATAATGTCGTGAAACATTAAATAAAATATAATAAAGTAGGTACATATATAATATTAAACACATAATATACACAACATCGCTACTGTGAATTCACTCTGCGAACATATAAATATGTCGATAGTGTCGGAGACAGCATTCAGTAGGCGCAACGTCTTTGATAACGGGGATCTGGCAACATACTGGTTCTTGCCCTTGGTATCGCAAATAACCTAGGCCTTCTTTTAAGTATGCTATTCAGAATGTACATGACAACATAATCCATATTAAAAAGTTGCATATTTCTCTGTGAATACTTAAAAACAGCCATAAAAATATCATGGACAAGTGACCTTTTAGTAATTAGATTTGTATTACCATGGACATGTTCCCTTTTACCACTTAATTAGTAATCAATCTAAGTAATATTTAAATAAAATCAAACACAAAGTTAATCAAAAAAGGTTATAATGTATTGAATTTTTTTATAAAACTTATTACACAAGCTCTTTTAGCACTTTCATTCAATGCGTTGTCTCGTAATTTGGCTTTCAGCGATTCACATTGAGAGCAGGCATCTACAACAGGTCTACCAAAAGACAGGCTGAAGTTTGTTCTGAAGTATTGCCAGTAAAACTGATATTATACGTCCATCTCAGGATATTTCTGTTTAAAGAGCCTATGCATTTCTCTAACTGACAGGTCAGCTGATAAATAATATCGAGTCTCTGATGTGAAGTGTGATTCTTTAGTGGGGAACGAAGCTATGTGCTCATGTATGTTTCACCACACTTAACCAGAGATTGAATTTGCACAAGGATGCTTGCCACGTTTATCTTATGGAATTTCACCTTTCTCCAATAAATTGGGAATGTGGCAGATCCTTCTTGGGGTGATTTTATGAGCATTTATAAATGCTTTCTTCCATACATTAATCCGCTTACGGTTTAGGAGCAAATAGTACTGAACAGTTTTTGATTTTGGCTTTCTTTTGGTTATCAAAGTGGACTCTGTACCTCTTTTCCTTTCCACACCTTTTAGCTCCATCAGTCTCTGAATTTATTGTTAAAAGAGCACATGTCCCTGGACAAGTGCCGTTTTAGTATTTAGTAAGAATAGACAAGTCGCTTACTGTTCGTGTAAAGGGCGGAGAAGTGCTGCTTTGACAGAAAATGGTGTAGATATGTGTTGACTAGTGATTGAAGCATAAAAAAATTGGGTTAAAATGTGACATGTGCCCTTTTAGTATTTAGACATTCATATAATAATAATAAATATTTAAAATAAGTTTTATTACAAATAGTCAGTATTCGACGGATTATTTTTTACCATATCTTCCGATGGGTCAAATGAGACACAACCTACACTCCCTTCACTTAGACCTTGCTTTACATGCAACAGGCACGCAATATGTTTAGTTAGAAAATGTTTGTATGATTGTAGACATATCATTTATTACTAACAAACACATACACACTCATAATAACAAAAATCAAAGAAAAAATATATAATGAGAGATAACATTTTTTCCCCTTTTCCCTTAAAGAACAACAACTGTTTCTGTATTTCGTTTATATATGATAAACTTTTAAAAAATTCTTTCGCATTTAGCGTTTGAAATGGGTATGGACATTAGACATTTTACCATTTTTTTCATTAATGGGAATTCGACATTTAAGTTGAGTACATAACTCAATGAAAAAGCTTTGACGCATTAAAAAGTCTCTAATAACGATACTGCTGTTACTCAACAACGCTTTTTCTTTTATACCTAAGTATATCTCTTGTAATTCTACAAAATTTATATTACTATTAGGATCTATGTCCTCAATAGCATTGGCACGAATGTAGCTGCTTTTCATTTAGCACCTTAATATTATTTTCAACATGTCAGTCAAATCCCGATACAAAGTATGAACAACACATGCATTACCTTGAAAATTTATGTTAAACTTGTTGACTATATGCAAAATATAATCTAAAAACAAAAAGTAGAGCTTTATTTGTTTATTTTCGAAACTTTCAAATAAAAAAATCGCCGATTGGTTAAGGTTATGTTCCACGCGACTTTCTTGCTAAAAATGCAGCTGTAGTTCATTCCAGTTTTACTATGCGATTTACACAGCCGTGTAGGGAGAGCCAACGTATGTCGTAGTGACGTAAAATATTGTGATGCTCTGATTCTACAAAAGTGTGAGTATCTGCAAATTCTCTTCTCCGTTTGCTACTGTGGCCAAATTATAGACTTCTTTCACAATTTGATCCAAAATTCAAAATCATTTATTCATGTCAAACTTAATCTTTGCAACCACACTATTATTTCTGCCAAATACGAGGGCGACACTGAAAATTTCGGGAGTCAAGGAAGTGACACAACATTACTATTTAAAAATGTATTTATTGCTTATCGAAGTATTCTCCGCGAAATTTAACACATTTTTCATATGATGGAACCAATCATTGAAGCAACCATTCCATTCCGAAGTTGGGGTCTCCAAAATGGCCGTTTTGTAGGCGTCCACAGCTTTTTCAGGTGATGAAAATCTCTGACCACGCAATTTATTCTTTATTTTAGGGAAAGTATATAAATCATTAGGGCTTAGGTCGGGGCTGTACGGCGGATGGTCTAATAATTCTATGTTTTCTTGCTCTAAAAACTCTTTTGTTCTGTGCGCGGTGTGAGAACTCGCATTGTCGTGATGGAGGATGATGCGGCGGTTGCAGTTCTCTTTACGGAGTTTAGAAATGACCTGTGGCAAACAAATGCTAGCATACCATTCTGCATTAACCGTTCTTTGTCCCTCAAGAGGAATAGTCGCAACATGGCCGGTTTTGGAGACAAACGTGGGCATTTTTTTGCAACACTCCGTGGACGAAAAATTTTCGTTGGCTTTAACTCATTTTCGAACACCCAAACTCGTGACTGGTTTTTTGTTTCAACTTCACTGGATATATATAACTTGTATCACTTTACTACACTCACTTAACAGGCCAAATAAAATTATTGTTTAATTACCACTTGAAACACACACGAGATAATTATATACGGAACTTCGGAGTCGTATTCGGGTAGAGGGATTTTCGTGTCCCACCGCTGCCACCATTTAATGTTATACGGATACTTAAAATAATATTTTTAAAAAACAAAATGATTTTATTTAGAAATAGTAATAGAATACAGAGGTGTAACCTTAATGGATACCGAACAAAGACTGACTCTGCTCCCGCTTGCTATGCTTATATGCTTTCCTTTTGATTACTTAGCATATTAGATAATCAAGTGGTTAGCCATTACTCCTACATATTAAGGGTATAACAGTACGCGTATATCCAGGATTCGTCACCTGATACGATGTTGTATACTGCATTTGAGGATCCTGCGTGGAATCTTTCGAGAGTTCTGACGCATGTCGTTCTTCCTCAATCAGCTTACGCACAGCATCAACGTTTTCTTGGGTGACTGCAGTTTTTGGACGACGTTGACGGGGATCATCACTGAGCTTGACACGTCCACGTTGAAATTCAGCAAACCAGCGATAAATTGTCATTTTGGATGGGGCTTCATCACCAAATGCAGAAATCATCCGGTCAACACACTGTTTTTGTGATAAACCACTTCGAAAGTCGTAATAAATCATCGTTCTTGAATTTTCTGGAGTCAATTCCATCGACGAATTTTCTCGAGTCAACGACTAAACAAGTTTGACAAGACTTTGTGAAAAGTCCGAGAATCTTTTTTAAAAATAATAAATGGTATGGTGGTTCGATTTTAAAAAAAAAGGAGTTTTCAATTAAAAAGGTTTAAATATGACAGGAACAGTGGTATCATTCCATTCCCGATACTTTTAGTGCAGCCTATGTATTAAATTTGTTGTATCAGCTGCAAATCCTTTTAATATTTTCAATGTTTAAATTTAATTCTAGCAAACTTTGAGATAAAATTATTTTCGGCAATTTCACTTGATAGATTCACAGAACATAAAAAATTGTTTTTGTACTTTATCCTGAACGCTATAAAACTTTATTGCAATGGCAAGTAATTTTTCTGTTGTGAGTCTGTGCTTTTATCTTAAATGAATGAAAAAGTAGCGGCATAACCTGATAAACTTGACGTATTTTGATATCGGTTAATAACTGCTTTTCAAATCATAATTGCGTCGTAGACTCAGCAGATTTAGTGCGTTTGCAGGAAAAATCTTTGCAATTTCCGAATCGTAAAACATTTTGTTGAATAAATCGCTGAGATGATCCATGGCCCGAAATGGTATGTTATGTTCTGCCAACGCTGCACAAAATCTATATTTTGAGCCTATGCTCTGCTTTTCTTACTTCTTCAGATATGGGTCCTTTCCTTTTAAATAATTTATCGATCTGAAAATAAACAGTATTTGATTAATTTTGTGAGTTAATTTTTGACATTTATGAGGAGCGCAGACCGTAACCCCAAGCCGTAGATAGGTTTCGATTTGGATTGTGTATTTTGTCTGTAATACAGATCAAAAGATTGTCATAAGTCAATTTGCAGTTTATTTCGTCCCAGCTCCTCTCTGAATTTGGAGAATCTGGAAAATTTTGACCATGCAATTAAGGAAGCGTTTCTAGCTTCTTCCAAGCCTGCAATCTCTAAGTTTGAAGGGGATACCCTTAAATTTTACTTACGAGATAAGCATAACAAGCATATTAAGAATCGATTCTAAGCTAATGTTGATTAAGTCGTCTACTTGTGTCAAAAGATCTGGGTGATTCCAAAAGGAGCAGCAACGGAGCACATACGTAAATTTTGGGGCGATAAGACAGAATTTTAAGATGCAGTTGAATTATTAATATATTCAGACGTAGATTCATAAGACATTGGTTGCTTTTACAATGATATCACAATGAATTGGTTTTAAGGCAGAAAAGAAGTCATTTATGGATGGATCAATCATTTTTAATTCTAGTTATAATTTCGCAAGCTCACTCATTTTTCTAGACACTACGTTAACGAAATGTTTTTCTCGGTGAGTTTTTAAATATTGAGATCCGAAAGCACACTTTTTTTTGCAATAAGTGATATTTAGTCTGCCCGCATTCGGGGAAATACAGTTTCCTTAAGGTTTTCGTCGATTTTAAGATGACGTATCAGTAGATTTTGAGTCTCAGATTGAATGTTTTTACTTCCTGATTTACCACTAAATTTATTTTTATGTTTCCACAATAGTTTTTTTAGAATAGAATCCCAGACACTCTGTACACGGCAAATAATCTGTAAATTTGAATTTTCGCATTGGTTTAGTGACCTCTTTTGAATTTACAAGGTAGTTTACTTTTTACGTAGAGCTGCAATGAATTGTTTTCTACCAAGACTTTTTTTGGGTTTTGACACAATTTTTTGGACTTTAGTTTCATAAATATGGTGTCAGAGTAAATGACAAGCAAAATTTAAAACGAATGACTCACAGTAAAAGCAATAATCTTTATCTCGAACCTTTGAGCTTTTAGGATTTTGCCTTTGGATAATTGTTGTACTATCATTAGAATTATCTTCTATTTGAGATTCACTATTAATATCGTAAATAATCTCTTCATTTGGTTCTGATTCATTGTAAGGCTGTGGAAATTCCCTACTTACAATTACATTGCAAGGAGAACTGCTTTTACAACTAACTTCACTTAAACTTATGTTATTAGGTGGCTTGAAAAATACATTAGACAAGGAATTATTAACATCGAGAGGTATTCCTTGATTTGGTACGAATTCATCTGCTTTATAAGATTGAAGAAGTTTCCTTTCTACAAATACACTACATGGAGAACCGCTTATGTGACTAATTTCGCTATGATTAAGATTAATAGGCTCCTTGACCGATGAATCGAAGTTCGAAACACATTCTAATGGCGTTAAATTATTCGAAGTTCCAAATTTATTGCGAATAGAATCATCAGAACTGGTCTGCACCAAATAAAGCTTATTATATTTTGTTGCACTTTCCTATTGTTGCTTCGTTAATATGAAGGTAACAACTTGATTAGTGATATAAGTGTTGTCTATCCCTTGCTGAACATCAAAATTACCTATCCCTGATCTCAATCCTGAATTGGCGCTCGCAGATATTTTTAAGCCACCTAGAAGAACAAATACACAACAGTTTTCACTTATTTTAATATCGTAAAAATACGAGCACGTCAGCGTGGTGGCAACGTACTTCCGAATTAAAACGTGTCACCTCACTAAGTGAAGACGCGCCGTTCCGTGCGGGAGTGAGGCCTGTAATTTTTGAGATACTTTAATCCTCATTCCGCACTGCACGGGATTAATTTACATTCAATGCGTATACGGCTCAATCAACCTCATTTCATATTATGTACGCCTTTGAGATATACTTCATAAGGGAAGTAATAATATGTATGTTTGAAACTACACTTTTAACCCAAAAACATTTATTGAACGAAAAGAAAAAAAACAAGAGAATAATTTTGCCTTAAAAAACTAAACGTCAAATCTGATTTTTTCTTCTTTTTGTAATTCAACCTCACTTGACTGTTAATAATAAAAAATTATGAAGATTAAGATAGATAAGATTTGAAGATTTTATATTAAACAATATATTTGTCTTTAGAAACTCGTAGACCGCGTGTGTTCATCATAGTAGGTTTTTGATTTTTCTTTTGAAGTTTTGATATTTACCCTGCTGTGTGACTTTGGACATTGAAATAGGAGTATGGTCTTCATTTTGGGGCTGGTTACCCCGTTGTGTGAGCTTGGAATTGTAATAGGATATAGAATTGGCGGTGTCATTTGGAAATAGCAACAGAGGACGTCGAAATTTCGGACTTGGGATACACCGTCGGGAGTCCTTTATTCGTTTAACGTATTGTCTGTCTCATAGACACTATAATCTTCATATGAAGCTGTTGCATGAAACGGTTGGTTCCGATTTTGAAAGCATGTAGAAGGGTTTGTGAGGTTGTAGAATGTTGATTATTTCCAAATTTCTTATTATTGTATTCTCGTTTGCGACAAACTTCGTTATGCCCTGGGGCCTTGCAATATCGGCACACTATAGGATTAGAGGGCCTAAACGCAGCAGATGTTGTTTTATTAATAATTGTTGTTTGGAGTTTGCGCGTAATTAGTGTTTCTTCGTGTCAAAGCATTGATTTTGGTTGAGGGTCACGGCATCGAACTACAGTAGACAATCTTGGATTTAGACTACAAATGTGTGTAACGCTAAGCCTTTCCATAGCTGCGACTTGGCCTGCCAGTTCGTCCTTTTTCTTCGCAGGGATAGTTATATTTCAGATATAATTTTGACAAGCTAGACTATTCGTAATGCAAACAGGTTGACCGTTTCGTTGCCTAATTAACGACATTGTTGTAAATCAGAAAGCAGCGCAGCATAGTGCTTTTTATCACCAAATTGAGATTTTAAGAAATCTTCAAGCTATTGCCAATTTTCAAATTCTTTTACACAACAAGCAGTCTCTGCGCGTCCTTCTAATTGGCTTACAATATATTTTAGTAAAATTTCCTGTTGGTTTTGAGTAGGAAGCTCTACTGCATTTCTACAATTATTTAAAAATGCTCTTAATTTCGCGGTTACCATCAAATTTAATCAGTATATTTAAGTCGACGTCTGTGGCTGACCTATTCTTAGATTCACGTACAATAATATCTTCTTTAGGCATTATCATATAGTATATGGCTTAGACAAAACAATAGCGATGACGACGCGTCGACGGCTAGCGTTACTAAGAACTGATAAGGCGCTGCACTGATTTCTAATTGGAATTGTAACCAAGTATGGGATTGTAATTTTATAAAACGACCTTTCTATTTATAGCACTTTAGAGTTCACTGATTGTTTCACACAACACACTGATATACGAGTAAAAGATTATATATCTTATTTGTAATTTATGAAATTCATATAAACTATTGTGTTGATTTAGATTTTTATTTTAGCACTTACACACTATACTAATTACATTATCTTAAAGTTAAATTTAAAAATAATGTATATAGGATTTATTTAGAAATATAGATTTTAGAAAGGCAACTGCTCGGTTTGAATCGTAGAATGGGGCTGACTAAAGGCTGAAAGATAATGCTAATGGCAGTTGAATCGGAAAATGCAAGCTTGCTAAAATAAAGGTTAAAATAGGGTTATTTCTAGGGTATTAAATAGATAACAGCGCGCTCACTACGAGAGCGCCACGTTCCGCTGCAAATGCCCGCCGCTACTCGCTAGTAGCGACAGGCTCGCAGCGATGTAATGACGTTTCGCGCGCACTGAACCACCCGTCGCATCGCCGTGTGGAGACACGTTCTATGAGATTGTATAGAAATGCGTGGCAGGACGTTGTATCATCGCGATTTCCCCGCTCGTGGAGACAGCCCCTAACTCTTTCTCGTCTGTGCTATAGAGCTTATGAGGCGTCGGGGAGAGTTTATTGGGACTTGACTAAAGTCCGCAATTCAAGAATTGTTAATATTTTTTAAAGTCTGTTGCATTATTTCAATTCTTCGCTGTAGATCTTGAAAACTTTTATGACTTTGTTCTTAATTCATGCTCTTCACTCAATTTTTTATATAAAAATTATAACAATATGGTATAAACTGTATGTATCATATTTATTATTTATATTGTGTAAAAAGCCTTAGCTCTTTCTAAAACTTACGCAACAATATTTGGGTCATCGCTGACCGCGGCTGTCGACGCCTACCAAAATGTTGATGCGTTAAGCCTATATATTTTTTTAAAATTAATGTTTTCTAGATAATAAATGGTATTGGTAACCCGAATGATTAAACACTACTACCTATTTCTTTTAACAACTTTTTGTATGACCCTTATAGCAAATCCTAAAAAGATGCCTCTTAACCTAATACTGAAAATTATTTCCTTTAAATTCGTCTGTGTTACTTTTATGCCCATAGCTTGCTCAGTGTTATACCTGTCGTATCCATACATTGAACAGTCGCACATACGGCAATCTGACCCATTTTGGCGGCCAAATTTATAAAAATAATATATACATTGATGACATAATATAATTGTTCGATTCATACTAAGCAGATGCATTAATCACTGTAAAGACGAAATTGCTTCTTCGGCCCCATCATCAACAGGTGGTTCTAACATACATCTAACATTTCCAAGACCTCTATAGGAAAAGGTTTTCTTTTACTATTATGGCTGTGCACGATAAAATTGCTCTTTGTTTAGTTTGTTAATAAATAGTGTGACGCAACTGCAGGGGGCGGGGGCCGGGCGAGCGTGTGGTGTGCTATCGTCTCGTTCATTCGCCTGAGGTCACTGACCACACTACACGCCGCTCGACACTGCTTCCGCAGCTGCACACTTTTTCGAAAATAGTCTTTTAATTCTTCGCCTCGTCATCAACAATGGCTCCTCTTCTTAGATGCAATAATTGGATCGGATGCTATTAGCATCCAGTGCACAATGTCTGTATTTGTATGGATTCTGGAGATTTTCCTAGCATGGAAAAGTCGTACACTTTTGATTCCTTCTGATTAGTCACCAACACATCTTCAGAAAATAATCCTACAGGTAAAGGCAGCTCCTTGATTATGTCTGCTCCGTGTATTAGCAGTTTGTGCACAGATGCACTCATTTTATACCAGTCATACAGTTGTATGCACATTTTTGCAGCTTCGATGCAGTATTTTTTTAAATTAGCGTAGTTTACACTAAATTCGCAAGATATTACTCTAAGTATATTGGCAAATCTTTTTATGATGTCAGGATCTAGGCCCGTTATAGACGCAGATTTTGAACGCTCAACAAAAAACCTCCTGGCTGTATTGCCATCGTTCGAGTTCCCTCCTCCTTGCTTCGGTTGGTCTACCACTAATCCCATTTCCTAATAGAATTTTGTGGTTATTTCTTGTTTCCTCTTTTTTATATTTTCTTTTGCTGCCCCTAGCTTGCCACCGACGTTATTCCATTTTATATGATATGTGTTAAAGGTACTCTTAGTACTACTACTCAGATATGAGTGAAGTACAGATATTCTAAACTTAAAGGAAGCAGTCTTGGGGTATTGTTTCCCCAGAAGTAAGTCATGGTTGTTAAGCTCCTTAGGTGTAGCCTTGCATACATTGCACGCCTGCGATGAGGCTGTTTCTGTCAATGCGTTGCATGTTTTGCCATCCATCATTCTACACACAGCATGATGTTTTAAAGTGTAAGTAATCAAAGCATAAGATCGTTTATGAATTTGAATTATTTGAATAGAAGATGTAATTTGAAATCGACTTGGTAATCGATACGTGTTATTAACTGCTGATAAAAATCATACAAACTCCTGTTCTTCTTCTATTCGGAAAGAATGCTGGCCGTGTCTAACAAACTTTATCAAAAGTTCATATATAATAATAATAATAATCTTTATTCATTTCTCACAAAAACTTAGTACATAAACAAATGACAGTTATAGTTTTAGTGACATATACTAAGGGTGGGCTGCATCAACAAATTTTGACGGACTACCTTTAAATATGTCGCTAAGGAACGTTAGACAAAAAAAGTGTTGATTCACCATCTATGAACGCTTACGTTCGTTTAAAAGTTACGCTTACGTTAACGAGTTCTTGAGCCATTGGTAATTGTTAAATTTTGGTTTGTAACTTCGTAGTTCGTACTTCCTACACGCGCATACCTCTTTTTGGTCAATAACAGGTTTTTCACTAGCCATCTCTATCTTTGACTCAATCTAAAAATAAAAATAGAAAGTTAAAAAAAAATACTTTTGTAAAACCTACACTATATAATAATATATTTCACATAAAACATACTTTCTGTAAGTATTCACAAGTCTTATTTAATATTAATAAAACTTTAGGGATATCTTCAGTTTCTTGGACAGTAATCTATAAATACAAACAGATAACAAATAATAATCAATCCAGCAGTTGAGCTGTGAAATAATATTAAATAAACACACTTCCAACATCAGGAATTTATATTATTAGTAGGATTATAGGTTTTTATAAAAGAGCAGTGTAATAAAATATTCTTACCAATTCAGAATCATCATCAACTGTACTAGCCAGTCCATCCATTGAATCTGGCATCACAGTCCTCCGCCACCACCACCCTCCGTTTTAACCCTTAATTTGGCGGAGATACGAGTTGTTTTATTTTATGAAATAAGATGTATATCTGTAATCCTAGGGTTAAATACAACTTAGGAAAAATAGACAAAAAAAATTTTTTCCTTTCAGATTTTCAGGAAATCGACGTTCATCACAGTGAACACTGCGAAATATGTTGAGGATAACAAGTAATTTGTAATGTTCACTGTGGTAAACGTTGTCAAATTAGTGTCATATAAACAGGTAAATTAAAAACATTATACATATAATTAAATCAACTTATTTATTATGAAAATGTAAAAAACAATTGCGAGGATTTTTTCCCGTAACAAAACAAAGTCTCACATTGCATTTTATACAATATACAGTTGTGTTTTTCTGGCAAAACTTGCATCGCCCCATGTCTTCTTTTGTGCTGGGAAAATGTCCTGTATTATCGAATCTGATGGGGCTTGTAGGCCTGGCTGATCTTGGGTTTATAATTTTACATTCTTGTATATTTTCACGAGGTATAGATCTATTTTTCTTTGTTAAACTTAAGTAAATTTTATATCGGAAAACTTTCAATGACTTTGATTTTCGTTGACTTCCCTGACAGTTACGTTTATACAATAGCCATGCATTATTTATACACACATCTAGAAGTTGGCTAAATATTCCTATGTACCACGTTCTAGTTTTGAATGGAACTTTATATAGTGATATCAGCATATCAGCCAGGTCTACACCCCCCCATATGTTTATTATACTCGCGAACTACTTGCGGGCAATCCACTTCTATTTTTTTTTCTGTTCTTTGCAATAACTTTTTCTTTTTAGTACTGGTTCAGATCCAATAATTAATGAGCTTATAAGAGTTACAGGTTTATTATCATTCCAGCGTACTATAACTAATTTGTTTGCATCACAGACAACTTGTAAAAACGCTCCCCTCTGTTTTTTCTTCATCACTTTTTCATCCGGTAGCAACTTTTCAGCTCCTCTAATCCGGTTGCTTCGTATTGTACCAAGACCAAAGACACCGTAGTTTTCTTTCAGTAGGTAAAAGCTCTGACGATGAGAAAAAATTATCACAAAATATAGTTGCTGGTTTTTTTTGTATAGTCTGAGTCAAGGCTATAACTATTTGTGCTCCAAACCCAAGTGAAGATTATTGCTCTGTAAACTTATGTGAACGAAAGGTATCTTCACCTGCATATAAAATGAAATCGTAAATCATTCCACTTACACCAGCACGTACATAGTTTTTAAAACCCCATTTACTTGGTTTATCTTTCATATATTGCTTTCGGTTTCCAGCTTTCCTGCCCTTGTAGGGAATCATCATCTCGTCTATACTAAATTTATTTTCATTTTCTTGACGCAAACAATTTCTTCGAATTTTTTCAGCTATCGGTCGTACTTTATAGTATCTACCAGAGTCCTGCAGATTATTGTCAGTAAAGTGTAAAAATCTGCGGATTTGTTGGTAACGTTTCAAGGTCATTATGTCTGCTATCTGTCCGTATCGAAATCTGTTGCTCCAATAATCCAGATAACATGGCATTTCAACAATGCCCATCAGAATATGAATGCTTATAAAATCCCTCATCTCATTCTCCGATACTTGTATGGATCTTCCGGTTTGTTGGACGGAGTAAAGATTGGTCTGGTCTACTAAATCAGTAAAAATATCTTCAGAAAAAAATAAATACAAATAGTTAAGGGGGTCATCATCTGGAAAATCGACATAAGTTTCGGTTCTTTCTTCAATTATAGCACGGTGACGAAAAATGCCTTTTTTCCATTTGTAAGAAAGAGAAAATTTTGAAATTTTCTTAGCTTTCTTGGCAACTGGAGCATTTGCTTTTTTGTCCTAATTTTTCTAGTATAAGAAGTCCTAGGTGTTGGTATCTCAGATGGAACAGAAATTATTGAAGATAGTGATGGAATGTTATCATAATTTGGTTCTCTGGATGGTGTATTACGGCAAATTTCTTGCAAAACTGGAGTTATTTGGAGAGCTTCTGAGTGGTATAAGTCTGATGGTTCTATGGGCTGTTCATCGTCATTTTGAGCATGTACTGGTTCGGGACTACTATTGATGTCTCAGCGTTCTAAAGAAAAATTAATGGAAGGTGCAGAAGATGAAACAGGGCTTGGAGTATTTATCACTGATAACGAATGACTGCCACCTACTTACTGATAACTTATCACTGTTATTTTCGGATTTGTCACTAGTATCGGATGGCGCATGCTCGACAGGGACAAGTGCTAGTATTCTATGCGTGCGGTTATGTATTTTATTCTGTTAACAAGCAAAAAAAAACCAAATAAGCCCAAAAGAAGCCCACCACACAAAGCACATTATTTGTAAATAAAAGTTATCCCTAATTTGGCAATGTTCATCACAATAAACATATCAAATTGACAGTACTTATTCGAGTATTTGGCAGTGTTCACTGTGATGAACAACCAAGTTTGCCTCCAAATAAAAGTTACCAAAAACACTACGTAAAACCCATTCCAAACCAAAGCATAAGTATTGTTTAGCAAATATAACCCATAAAAAGTTTGTTTAGTCAAATATAACATAATTTAAAAAAATATTTACCTTGCGAAGAATCGAGTGCCCGCGTCTCGCTGACATCTTGTCTCGATAATGGATGTTGCCATTTGTAGAATTATTTTTTGTACCGATTAATACAAATTAAACTTGCTATAACTAAAATAAAAACCGAAAAATAGTAGAAAATAGTCGCTCAATATTTATTTTTTATGAGTGTTTATCACAGTAAACATAATCAAATTAAGGGTTGCCGGGCGCATACATACTGATTCCTGATCAGAAATCCTGATCAGGTTTCCTAATCAAGAATTCCGTGTGGAGAGCGCACACATTCTGTTTTTTGCATTCGGAATTTAAAGGATCAGTTTCATCATAGACGCTTCTGATAACGCACGAGTATGGACGACGAAGACGAATTGATGCTCATTGCTCTTTTATTGGCGCTAGACAAAAAGGGCATAAAACGTCGTTCTTGGGTGCATCCACTGAATACCCAAAGATTAACTGAGAGTCAATTCTATGTCAAAAGAGCAAAGTTACGGGCATACCCAGAAGAATTCTTCAAATATTACAGGATGTCAATGAAATCCTTTGATGAGCTTCATAATAGCATACGAGATAAAATAAAAAAGCAAAATACGCACATGAGATTGTGTTTGGATACAGAAGAAAAATTGACCATAACATTAAGGTATATATGTATTTATTGTAATAAAAATTAAGATATTGTACAAACGTTACGCTTTAAATTTACTTAAAGTTTAAGAATTCTTGCATTGTGCCCTCGTGTGAATCTTGAGGCTGGAGAACTATAAACTGTGTAGCCTCATTGTCTTCAACACTAATATTTGGTATAGATATCTCAACATTCGTTTCCCATGATAATCTTTTTTACCAATTGAAGCATACCGACTATAAAATTAATTTTTTCATGAGCATTCATTGTTTTCATATAGCTTCTGAAACTAAGAAGATATTTCGTGTCGTCATCTTCGTCAATATTAGCAGAAGGTTTTTTCTGTTTTTGTTGCAACATTCTTAGTATTTGATTGGGGACATCTTTCTTTTTTTTTTGACTGACTATAGGTAAAGTAGGTACGGGTGACTCCACACGATTGATATCTTCCGGTTCAATATTTTGTTCTTTAGTTTCTGATTGTTGTTGTGGCTGAGTAGATTCTGCATCTTCGGTCGGATGGTTCCCTTCTGATGTTCTACTAGCAAACACTGGTGTAAGGAAGTAAAGCAAGGAACTATAAACATAAGTTTTGGGCTTTTTAGCAGCACTGCCAGTAGGAAGATTTTTGGTTTTCTGAATTTCTTTGCGATAATAGTCGCTAATGTTGTTCCATTTCTTCTTCAATTCGGCACCTGAAATAAGTTAAAAATAAAACTATAATGCTTTTTGTTTCAGATTTCTGGCAACTGGTTGCAATTTTAAAGAAATGAAAACAGATTTTCTGGTGGGAAGCCGAACTGTGTCTGCACTAGTTAATGAAACCTGTGAAGCTATTTGGGAGGTGCACCAACGTTTAGAAGTGAGGCCACCGTCATCAAAAGAACGTTGGATTGAAATTGCGGACAGTTATTATAGAAATGCCAACTTCCCAAATTGTGTAGGGGCAGTTGATGGGAAACATATTCGTTTGATTTATCCCCAGCGCAGTGGGTCTGCTTTTTATAACTATAAAAACTATTTCTCTATTGTTTTGATGGCAGTTGTAGATGCAGACTTAAGGTTCATAGCTATTGACGTGGGTGCTTTTGGGAGAGACAGTGACAGTAATATCTTTAAAAATTTGGCTTTTGGGAAAATGTTACAAGAAAATCGCCTTAATTTGCCTGAAGCCAAACCTCTGCCAGGAAGTAATGGCCCACCTCTACCATTTGTGTTTTTAGGTGATGAGGCCTTTCCACTGAACAATAATTTTTTGAAACCTTATCCAAGACAGAACCTCAATAATCAACGTCGAATCTTTAACTATCGATTGAGTCGAGCTCGACGAATAGTTGTGTTGAATGTGCTTTCGGCATTCTTTCAAATAAGTGGAGGATTTTTCATACAAGTTTGTCTTTTTATTAAATAATAGGTGTTTATGTTTTTCTATTACATTTCTAAATCTGTCCTTCTCTTCTTTTCCAAAATTTACCGAACGTTCTCTGAAAGTCAATGAGTCACGTAAATAAATACACTTCTAACTATATCTCCTCAATATAATATACATACTTTGCGCATATACAATTCATGCAATATAATAATAAATAGAACTTGAGAGGTGTCAAGGGACACCCGGATGGAACGAAGTTCCTTTTGATTAATTAGTGAAGGAATTGTAATAAAAAAATTTTTTTTAAGTTATAATAATATATTTTTTATTATTAAAATAAAAATAAAATAAAATATGTTTATTATGGAACATAAGATACATGTATCACTTATTCCACGTCATTAAATTTGAAGGCATCCCTACTCATCGGCAAAGAAGACAGAGGGTGTAGGCCGAGAGAAAAAGCCGGCGTAAAAAACTCTCGGTACTCTTTTAAAACAGCAAATCATCAAACAACACTTATTTAAAACAAATATCGCAAATTAATTAGAAGTAGCCTGTCTAGCACTAGTCCCAGGCCCTTTTATCAACTAGATAATCGTTGACTTTATAGTAAGCCTTTTTACACAGCTTTTCTTTAATACATTTCTTAAATTTATTGAAAGGCAGTGATAAAAGAGCCTCTGGGATTTTATTAAAGAAGAGTATCCCTTTCCCCAAAAAAGAATTACTAACTTTAGATAGTCTAGTACGGGGAAATTGCAGCCTGCGTTTGTTCCGTGTATTAACATTGTGCGTATGTTCTATTCTAGTAAACTTATCACTATTTTTGTATACATACATAATATTTTCATAAATATATTGCGAGGGAAAGGTAAGTATATTAATTTCCTTGAATTTATCTCTAAGAGATTCCCTACATTTTAAATTATAGATTGCACGAATAGCCCTCTTCTGCAGGATGAAAATAGTTTCGACATCAGCAGCATGACCCCATAATAATAAGCCATAAGTCATTAAGCTATGAAAGTAACTAAAATAAACAAGTCTAGCTGTATCGACATCAGTTAGTGAGCGAATTTTTTTAACCGCGTAGGCTGCAGAACTAAGTCTCTTCGCCAATCCGTTAATATGAGGGGACCACTGAAGTTTTGAATCCATGGTGATTCCGAGGAATACAGTTGTATCATCCAGATTCAATTCCTCATCGTTTATAATTGGTCTAGTATCCATAACCCTTGCATTTTTTTGCACAAAATTTAATGCATTTCGTCTTTTTTTGCATTAAGTAGAAGGTTATTCATACTAAACCAATGGACAATCGAAGACAGAGCATTGTTCACATCGTCAAAATTTGTTATTTGTCGTTTGATTTTAAAAATCAAGGACGTGTCATCAGCAAACAAAACTATCTGATGTTTTCTCTCTACCATGAAAGGTAGATCATTTATATAAACAAGAAAGAGGAAAGGGCCAAGAATTGAGCCCTGTGGTACCCCCATATCTACTGCCGACCCAGAGGACCTCTTACCATTCACTTCAACCTTCTGAGTTCTTCCGTGTAAATAGGAAGTCAGAAGTGCGGTATTCTTGATGCCATAGTGGCGGAGTTTCCCGATTAAGGTCTCGTGTTGGACACAATCAAATGCTTTGGATAAATCGCAGAAAACACCTAAAGCGTTATGCGACTCCTCCCAAGCCTTAACTATATATCTATATATATATAACTCAACACCGGCATCGGCTGTCGAGCGACCCTTGGTAAAACCGAACTGATTATTATGTAATAATTTGTTTACGTTTAAATGACTTACCAGTTGATTTAATATAATTTTTTCAAATGTTTTACTACAAGTAGGTAGTACGGAAATTGGTCTAAAGTTACTGGGGTCGGACATACTACCTGCTTTAGATAATGGAATAACTTTACTATGTTTCATTAGATCGGGAAACTCGCCACTTTTAATACAATTGTTGAAAATTATAGCTAGATGGGGAGCAATTACATCAATTATGCTACTAATTATTTTTACAGAAATACCCCAAAGATCGGTAGTGTTCTTAATATCTATGGTTCTAAATATCCTCACTATATCGTCGGCACCAATGGGTCGGAATGTAAAACTGACCTTGCACTCGTTTACATTATCTTTGAGCAGCGATTCAGCGAGGGCGGGAGATGATTCAAGAGACTTAGTAGTCGAAATTGGAATGTCAGAAAAGTACTTATCAAAAACAATCGCTATCTCTTCGTTAGATTTGATTATAGTGTTATCGACACATAGTTCGATGTCTTGATTGCGATCCCTGACTCTTCCAGTTTCACTATCAATTATCTTCCAAGTCATTTTAGTTTTATTGGTACTATTTTTAATCTTGTTTTTGATATTTAAGAACTTGGCCGCGTAACAAACTTTCTTAAATAATTTCGAATAATTTCGAACATAAATAATAAATTCTTCATTATGATTGTATGACTTTTCAGCGTAAAGGTCATACAACCGTTGTCTACTTTTATAAATTCCCGCTGTCGCCCAATCACTAAACGATTTACACTGCGAATGAGAGACTTTCTTTGGGGTAAAGATGGTGTTAAACTCTTTATTAATACAATCACTTAGATTGTTGTATTGTGTATCAACGGTAGTACCTACCGGTAATAAAGGTAGGTGTTTACCTATATTATGTCTAAATCTCACCAATCGCTTTTTATTTACTGGAACAAACACACTGGTCTTATTTACTTGTTTCACCACTTTACATTTTAGCGCCACTAACTGTCCACAATGATCTGAGCTAAGATCAGTTGTAATTGAGGTTTGCATTGCCTCTGCATCTGTAAATACATTATACATGTAGCAGTGGAGCTTGTAATTCTAGTGGGCTCAAGAAACAAGTTAACAAGATTGTAAGATTTTAATAACAGATTGAATTTTTTACTAATGGAGGTATTTTCTAATAAATTTACATTGAAGTCACCACATACAATAATATACTTATTGTTCTTAAAACTAACTTTACACAAAATTTCCTCCAACTTTTCTTCAAAAAAATCGTAAGATGCACTTGGTGGTCTGTAAACACTTAGAATAATGCAATTCTCAATCTCTATACAGGCTACTTCCAAAGAGTGTTCTACAGACAGACACACGATGTCATTACGCTCTTTATACTTTAAATTTTTATTAACAATAATAAAATAAGAATGAATCGCCGACAATCTGCAAAACGAACTTGCAACTTGGTGCTGATCAAAGTTAAAGATGATTTGGCATTCTCTAAGCCAATGTTCGGTAATGCATAGGACATCAATTTTACTTGATTTTAAAAACAACTCCAATTCTAATTCTTTGCCCAACATACCTTGCATGTTTTGATGCATCAAGTTTAAACAGTTGTTGTTACAGTAATATTACATGTTGAGCGGAGTTGTACTAAATTATTGCTAGAGTTCGCCTCTATTGTCACACTATCTAATTTAAATTATTAATACTTAATGAAGTGCTACTGCAAGTATCACTACATTCTTTTAAGCTAAGCTGCTCAATAGAAGCAGTTGTCTGAAAAGCTATCTGCTCAATAGAAGCAGTTGTCTGAAAAGCTAAATGTTTAGCTTTAGTTGTAAATAAAAAGTAAGATAGCATAGTAGCTATCTGTTGTAAATAATAATTAGGTAGGCGGAACCTATCCTTTGTCAATACATACTTATTTTTAAATATACAATTTATGTCCATTAAATTAGGTAGTGTACCTAAGTCACAATTTAATTGTATATTATTAGTAGTCAAAGTATTGTGCAACAGCATGTTTAACTTATATCTAATTTTATTTTCCTTTGGTGCACCTTTGATGTAAGGAAATGTATACAAGACAATATTCTCTACATTAAGTGATTTTACTTTATCAATAAATGACAACAATTCATTTTGTCCTACATTTCCCCTTCTCCCAAAAAGCAATATTAAAGTTGTGTTATTTGTGTAATTTCCACACAAGACTTTGTTGAAAATGGTTACAGGGGTGGCTCCGGGCATACAATGATTTGTTACAATTTTGCCGGAGGACTGATATAAATTAGTACCAATATTTTTCCCTATATCATCACTAAATAACAGAATTTCACTCTTATTTACACTGACTTTTTCTATGAAACTGTCACTCTGCACACTGGGCTCACATGATAACAATGGAGGCTCCGCATTTGTCCCATTAAAACCACACTGGCAATTGTTGGTAAATGACAAGAAGCGTTGTTCATTGTATTGAGACAGTAGCAGAACCTCATCCATGGCCAATATGTGCTCCCCTATTTGTTGCTGGGCACAACTATATTTATCTGTCATATCTTCAAGAGAATTATGAAGACTTGTAATCCTAGAATTTAATGTGAGAATGTCAGTTTCATATTTATTCTTTACTGATTCAACCTCACTTGAAAATATTTTACATTGATTTAAAACATTTTTATATTTTTTTGATAGGTTTATATGATTTTTGTAAATATTATTTCCATTAATTAATTTTTTAGTTTTTTTAATGAATTTTTGCAATTTAATATAGGGTGTCTCACGTAAAACTTCATATTTTAAAGTAAAATATTTAAATTTCGAAACAAGCGAGGGCAGGGAGGGGGGGCGTCATTCAATAGCGGGGGAACGCGGATTGGTTTGTCGCCATGGAGCACACCGTGCGTTCGTGGTAGAAGCGTATTTTAAAGGCGCCAATTCGTTTACTCAAGCGAGGCGCGCGTTTTGTCAGCGGTTCCAAATTCGTCGATTAAGCGACGCACCAAGTATTCAACTAATCAAGTTGTGGACAGAGAAGTTCAGGCTAACTGGTTCAACAATCAACAAAGCAAATCGTCGACAGAATAAACCCGTAAGATCAGCTGAAAACATTGACCGCACCGCCGCTGCTGCACGGAATGACCCACGGCGCTCCGTCAGAAAACTTGCGGCATCGTTGAATATTCATCGCTCCAGCATTCACCGAATTTTGCGATTAGACCTTAAATTCCATCCATACAAAATTCAAATAGTCCAAAAAATCAAACCTGAAGACCTCACAAAGCGAAAAACTTACTGTGAACAAATGTTAGAGAATTTTGGACAGGAAAATGACCTGGATAAGGTTTTCTTAAGTGATGAAGCCCATTTTCACCTCGAAGGCTACGTCAATCGACAGAATTGTCGCTACTGGTCGCCGAGCAACCCACAGCAAAACCATCAGAAGAAATTACACAGTCCTAAGGTAACCGTTTGGTGCGCGATGTCTGCGACACGAATGCTGCAACGCGTAATAGCAAATATGCGTCTACGTTGGCAGGAGTGCATACGCCGTGGTGGAAGTCATCTCGACGACGTTATTTTTCGTAAATAATATCCGCATTAGTGAGCTTGGATTTTGTATTAATTAAAACAATATATATGCAACGGTTGATTTTTTATTATTTTACTAAAGTTAAATTCTGGAATGAGACACCCTTTATATTTCTTTAATTTGTTTTTGCTGTTACAATTGACTTGAGTTGATGTATGTGACACAGAGTCATCACCTGTCAAGTCAATTGTTGCAGTGGACCTAATACAGTCTTTACCTAGATTTGAGATGACCAGTTCTTCATACAGACTTTGTGTATGAGAAGACTCTAATTTGTTAATATTTAATTTAAGCTGTTCAATTGTTTCATAGGCACAAGAGAGTTGAGACCGTAGCTCCGACATGGTTTTTAAATTGTCCTCATATTCAATGGCACAGCGGTCAAAGTTGCCTGTTTGTCTTTTAAGACGGTCTCTTTCCTCCTGTGCCTCCAAGCAAAGATTGTGAAGCTGTGTCATCTCAGTTTTCAGTAAAGTATTTCTATTAATAACCTTCAACGTCTCGATTTTGTCATTCCTTTCAACAATTAATTGTTCACACTGCTCCTTGTACTTTTTGAGTTCTTGGAGCGCGAGTTGGAGTTGGCTTTCCAACTGGCGACTCTTAGCACTACGAGTAGTCATTGTTTATGATTTAAATTACTTGACTTAACAAAGATTGATAAAGATAGAATAGGTACCTACACAGGGGCAGTGTGAATGTAAGCTCGCGAGATTATTAGTATTGTAATAAATACTTGTTTCAATTTACTTATTTACACTATTTATTTATTCGTATTGAAAAAGAAATACAAATTACCGAATTTGGATGACAACGATTCGAATTAAGTACGTTACCTAGTACACAGCTGTTACTGACACCGTTTATTACACTTTATAATCACTATATCACTGTAATATTTTGCAACAATATACTTAATACACTAAGTTATGTATAAATAAGAGATAAATAACAAGTAATAACAATAAAAAACACTTAAAAATAATTAAATTTAGTATTTTGGGAGAAACCGTGTATTGACAGTTCGCACACAAAAAAAAAAAAAATGTTTATTAACAAATATAATGTTATAGAAACTTAGTCAGTAGGCTCAATTTTCGTAATAATTGGCTTGTGGTAACTGAAGTAGGAAACATATGTTTGGGATTCTATTTTATTTAAATGTCTTGAAAAAACTGCATCAATGGTAGTATTATATTTTGTTGTTGATTCTGCTGGATTATTGTTAATTCTTAAATCAAATTCTTCCTCTAGAAACTGTAGCAATGGTTTTGATTTTTCATTACTGAAGTTGATGTTAAAATCACCGGCTAAAATGAGTGGAACTTTATCTAAATTTTTGTTGTATCTGCTAAGCGTTCGAGATACATCTTTCGAATACTCTAGCAGTGCTCGATGAATGAACTCCTGAATATCTATTAATTTGTTATTTGGTGAGACATATATGACTGCCATGATTAAGGTAACACCGTTTTCCATTACACACTCTGCTGCACATAAATCTGCAACACTTGTACGTCTTACGTGCAAGTCCTGAATATTGTTCTTTATGACCGACATATTTGGTGTTACAAGAGGTTAGTATTATTATATTTATCTATGCATTCTCTGGCTACTACAGTCCATGTAACCTTGAGTATTGCCCTCTGAGCTCTCTCTATTTTTAAAAGGTGGGATTTTGCGGAGCCACTCCAAGAAGAGATGCAATAGGTCAGAATGGATTGACATAGCGACAGGTAGACAGTTTATATTAATGTGTGATTGGCAATGTGCCACAAAATTTGGAACATATAAATCAATTTTCGAATTCTACCTGCCAGTAGGTCAATATGAGCTAGAAAATTTAGCGCGAGTGACGCCATCTTTGCCCGGGAAAGTCGCCACGACCCATTCCCCTAGGCCACGAATTTCTGGGCAGGGTTCCGTCCACCACGAGGACCAGATCTCCCAGCTCTGGCATCTTCCCTCGACCTGTAGGACCCCGACGAGACTGTAAAATGTTAAATAAATATTTTTTAGTCCAGCGTGACCAAAACATACCTGCCAGGTGCTGCCACGCCGCCAAATTCGCCCGGGAACCGAAGCAATAATTTGAGTTCTGCGGGATAAGATGATGAACTTTAAAACTCCACTCGTCGTTCTTATTATTAGGCGCATCCAGGACGAAAATCTGGATACGTCAGGCAAGCCAGTGATTAGGCGATTTCTTGCTCAACTATCGACAACTGTCACTCGCTCTTCTCCTGTAGTTTGTACAGTTCCCGCTTCTTCTATTTTTTCCTTAGGCCACGCCTCTTCTGGAGAATATACGAAATCGGATCCCTGAAACCATCGATGATCCCTATTGAAATTTCGAGGCACATTTCTAGTGGCATCATCGGCCACCAAACAACCTGGATAACAACGAGGAATGTAAAGTCCTTTTCACGAAAGAAGTCCCCCAGACGCGGCGCTGCAATCGCATGACGTAATGTTGCCATTTATGAGTAAAAAATTTACCTATTTTATTTACATTTAGCAGATGTAATTTATCAAATAATACTATTTTCTGCGTACTTCGATGAAACAATATATCTGTTATGTAAAAAGTATATTTTTATTTACTTATATTGCGGTGTTCTACCTACTTACAGGGAAAAGATAAGAAAATAGGGTAAAGAAAAGCAATACAATTGTTTATTCAGAGTTTTATTGCATAATTGTGATCAACGGCCATAGGGACATCACTGTCCGAAGAGTGTATTGAAACAGAATCAGATTCTGTTTCAGTATCACTAGCAGTTGATATAATTATTCGGTCCATCACTTCATCCATAAGGCCGTCATTTTTTAAATATTCCTCCTCTAAATGTTCGACATGCGAGCACTGAGCTGTCCAATCTTCAGCCGTAATAGACTCAAAGGCCTCTTTAGTTAATTTTAATATTTCTTTTGGATCTTGTGCCACGTTCTTATCCGCCACCTTTCTTTTTACAAGGCTCCAGATATTCTCAATCGGGTTGAGGTCACAATGGTAAGGCGGCAACCTTAATACTTCGTGTCCGTGAGCTGTTAATAATTCATCCACTGCAAATATCGGTGGACCTTTATTTTGTTTGATTAGCTCATACAGCACAACTTTTGTCCAGGTGTCTTCAAAATATATACCCTTTTGCCGGAGCCACTCTTGCATACTACTTTTTATATTTGACATAGAAGGGGCTTTGTTTAATTGAGTGCAATGGTAAGGAGCGTTATCCATTACCACAAGCGACCTTTCAGGTAGATTAGGTATTAGTTTTTCCGTCACCCATTTTAAGAAATTTGCTGAGTTCATGTCATCGTGGTAATCTGAGGACTTTGATTGGGATTTGAACATTAATAATGCACCATTTATGAATCCATCTTTTGTTCCCGCATGAGCGATTATCCAGCGACTCCCTGATGATTCTGAGACGAACATTCCTGGCTCCTCCTCACTCTGCCAACAACGTTTTGTATGATAAGTATTGTGTATATAGGTCTCATCTAAGTATACAACTGGTCGTTTTTCCACAGTGCGATTTATTCGTATTTTATTCAAATATCTTGCACGCCATGCGGTAATGTCGTGGCGTTCCATAAGTAGTTTTCGTCTGGATTGACATCGCTTGTACTTGAAACCAATTCTATTTAATATCCTGTGCAATGTTGTGATGCTTCCCTGATAATTGATGTCCTCTCGCAGAGCTGCCCGTAATTTAACCAATGTTGGTAATTCTTTATGTACGACGTAAAAACTGTAAATTTTTTGCCGGATAGCGCACAAATCGAACCCGTCTAAGTCGAACTTTTTCGGATGCGGGCGACTCTTCCCCGGGGTTACAATTTTTTTTGAAGTACACGCCGCTGTTACACCTTCGTTTGTAATTCTTGATACAGTTTTCTCTGACACACCTGCAATTAAATTATGAACAATTAAAAATAATAGTAACTTTAAGTTTATAATGCTTATGTAATATATGTTTTAATTTCAGTTACCTAGTTTCATCACGTTATGTATTTGTTCAATTTTGTCGTAAAAACGAATTTATATTATCATAAAACTCCCATCAATACAGCAAAAAATTATTAAATGGCAACTCTAAAAAGTACCTGTTATGGCGGCAACTCTCTTCCGAACATTGTTTAGTGGTATTAAAACACCTTTATTCTTTTGTTCCGCTTCACAGAACTCTTTCACCTTTAATATCAATTCTCGAGCCGAACTTTTTACAACTTTTGGCATTGTAATCAATATTTAAAATGCACTAAGATAGTTAAAAATTCACAAAAATCTACCACAACAAACGAACTTGATAACATCGACGAATGACAACATTGCCGACCTGTCAAATTTAGTTCCAAAAATATCCGCGGGACTTCTTTCATGAAAAGCACTATAAAGTTTCTTGTCCCATACATGACCGACGCGCCACGATTTTTGTAATATCCCTTTGCGGGAAAAGTTATGACCGAAGGGATCAAAAAGAGACATATTAACTTTTAGGAATCCTCGATTAGTGGTTCGCTTGGTCCCTTCGAGTACTTCCAGATTAGCCTTTTTAATATTTAGATTAAAAGTAAGGTGATCATCACTGGTTCTCCAAACTAGACCCAAAGGCTTTTCCAACGGAGCTAATGGGCTATTTTGAAGCTCGACTTCCTTACTTCTATTCTGGAATTGCGGCTCCATCTCGGCTATAACTTCAGGTTCGTTACTCGCCCATTTTTGTAAATAAAATTTACCTCGACGGTGCACAAAACTGACTTCTTTTGCTATACGCTTAGCTTCTTCCACAGAATCAAAACTTTGGAGATCCATGTGGTGATTGCGACAAATTGCATTTGCAGCTTCAGAATACTCCCTACGATATTCTTCAGCATTTAAAATTTTAATATAAATGGCAGTACAAGGTGAAGACGCCGCACCAAAAACCTCGTGGCAATACAAGGCTCATACCATGTCTGGCCTTGGTCAGTACATCTGCATATGTCACCCCCTTCTCCACCGCCTCTCTCAGCAATGTGATTACCACTGCGGCCGTTTTCGGCGGAGTAAGCGAAGGCTGCACACTGACAGGCCTCTTTTCGGCTGCCACTCGCCCAGCCGAGGGACCTAAGCCGTGACCCACTCCAGGGTCCTCCAACCGGCCAATAAGACCACTTCCCCCATAAACAGGAAGAAGGACACGGACACAGCGGAAGGACCACCCCTCTTACCCTTTCCCTTTTTCCCCTTAGTGACCCAGCTTCCATCACTAGGAGCCCTGTGGTCCCGAAACATTTGGAGCCTCCGGGACTCTGCTCCCCACAAAACCTTCGGGGCCCGGGGGCCCCACCAAATTAGCAGCCACATTGTCCCGACCCCCTACAGAACCCTCACAGGTTCCGGGGCCCCTCTTCTCCTTGGCCCACGGGCTGACGTAGCCAGCGGAGGACGTAGCACAGGCTCAGGGAGGAGCCTGTCCCCAATCCCCGCAAGCTTTGCATCCAGCATGCCCCCATCTGCCCGCATCACCTCCCCCATGAGGCTCTTCCTCCCCTGATGACCTAACTAATCTAAGATCAACACTGGTCTGGAGGCCACTGGAGGCCCCATAATCAGAGAGATTCGCCGTAACTCTCCCTCCGCCTCCCTCAAACCAAACTTATGGGAAGCCGCCTTTTTATTTGACGGTTTTCCCTTACCTGGTGGAGAAGAACTTTTTTTCCCATTCCGACCCGGGCTCTTAGTAAAAATAGCATACATCCACAAGATGAAATACAAGAAATATTATCAAAATATAAATTGCGAGATCTTAAAAAAATTACCAAAAAAATCTACTCCAATGCCAGAATCACCATATTCGAAACAAGGCAGTGACGACTTGTGGTGGAACGTGTAATATTTTGTCTACTTTTTGCCTTATTACTTGTTACTTTGCTATTCTGAAAATATATAATTATATTCTAAAAACTGTTTCCTTTTGTACGTACCTTTATAAAATCTTCTAATGCTGAGTAAATAGCTTCAAGTACTTCAAGCAAGAAAGTACTTATAAGTACATTTAGGTACTCTGAATAATTCTGACAGTATACCTAATGATTCTCTAGTTGCCAAATATTTTTAAGTTATTTCTAATTTCGTTCGAGCAGGAATAGCATTACGCATTGTTGTATTTTGCCTTTGTATAGAACCAACTTTATCTAAAAAAAAAAAAAATTGGGTTCTTTTCAAACTAAACATATCCTTAAAGTAATCTTCATTTTCTGTTTGTAACTCTAAACAAAGATTGTTAGATGCTCCTCTCTTCTTGCTATCCATTTTTTGATCTAACACCTTTTTTACGAGGTTTTCTCAATATTTCTTGCCTTAGAAGAGCAGCAAAGGTCAACACACTCTCACTCACTGCACTCATGTTTGCAAATGAAGAGATAATTGCGTACAAGAATTGCGTAAGAAATTATTCTACGTGCTGTTTACATCAATAATATAAACGTTTTGAAAGGAAACTTTTCCCATTGATCAAGAATGTTACGTTTTTTTTTTTTTTTTTTTATGTAATAGGAGGCAAACGGGCAGGAGGCTCACCTGATGTTAAGTGATACCGCCGCCCATGGACACTCACAATGCCAGAAGGCTCGCAAGTGCGTTGCCGGCCTTTCAGGAATTGGTACGCTCTTTTCTTGAAGGACCCTAAGTCGAATTGGTTCGGAAATACTTCTGTGGGCAGCTGGTTCCACATAGTGGTGGTGCGCGGCAAAAACTGCCTTAGAAAACGCTCTGTTGTGGAACGACGGACGTCGAGGTGATACGGATGGTATTTTGTATTTTGCCTTGACGTCCGATGATGAAACTCAGCTGCAGGTATTAGACCGAACAACTCCTCTGAACACTCTCCATGGTAAATGCGGTAGAAGATGCAGAGAGATCCCACATCTCTACGCAACGCCAAGGGATCAAGCCGCACGGAAAGTGACTGGTCGTCGACGATTCGAACCGCTCTTCGTTGAATACGGTCAAGTGGAAGGAGCTGGTACTGGGGAGCTCCCGCCCAGAGGTGAGAGCAGTACTCCATATGGGGCCGAATTTGCCCTTTATATAGTTGCAAGCGGTGGCCCGGAGTGAAGTACCGTCTCGCCTTGCTGAGCACACCAAGCTTTTTGGAGGCTAATTTAGCCTTTCCTTCCAGATGACCGCGAAACTGAACGTTATTCGATATGTCAACGCCCAGTATTCCGATGCTAGCTGAGGCTTTAAGGAGAGTGTCTTCAAAGAGGGGAGTAGCGACAAAGGGAGTTTTTTTAGCGGAAAACGCGCATACTTGTGTCTTCTTGGGGTTAAATTGGACTAGATTTAGTCTACCCCAGTCCGAGACTCCACGTAGAAGAGTTTCGACTTCAGACACAAGTTTGTTCCGGTACTCATCGACAACAGCCCGAGAGATACCTGCCCGGCCAGTGTAAAAAGTATCCCCAGTGCTGTCGTCCGCATAGCAATGAATGTTGCTAAGCTGCAACATATCATTGATATGCAGAATAAACAGGGTCGGGGATAGGACACAGCCTTGTGGGACACCAGCATTCACAGGTTTCAGGTCGGAGCATGCTCCGTCGATGACGACTTTGATGCTCCGATCAGCGAGAAAGCTGGAAATCCAGTTGCATAATTTCTCAGGGAGCCCATAGGCTGGAAGCTTCGAGAGCAATGCTCTGTGCCACACCCGATCGAAGGCTTTCGCTATGTCCAAACTTACCGCCAGCGCCTCCCCTTGGACTCAATTGCCTCTGCCCACCTATGTGTAAGGTATACAAGGAGGTCACCAGCCGAGCGACCACGACGGAAGCCGTACTGAGAATCGCTAATCAGCTGGTGGCCCTCTAGATACCTCAAGAGCTGGCTGTTAATAATGGTTTCCATTATTTTGGAGAACAAGGAGGTTATAGCTATTGGGCGATAGTTGGACGGATCAGAGCGATCGCCTTTTTAGGGATCGGATGTATCGAAGCGATCTTCCAGCACTTCGGAACAGTGCCGAGCGTGTAAAGGTACCGGAAAAGGCGCGTTAGGACCGGAGCCAACTCAGGAGCACAAGTACGCAGCACAATTGGAGGGATGCCATCAGGCCCGCTCGACTTATGGATGTCCAAGGAAGACAAAGCTTTACGGATAGCACGTTGCCGGAATATAACTTCGGGCATCGTAGTATCACACCGCAATAATGTCGGTGGTTCCTTCCCTTGATCATCCAAAGTGGAGTTCGACGCAAAGAGACAGCCTAGAAGATCGGCCTTCTCTTTCGCGGTATGGGCAAGTGAGTCATCCTCCCTATGCAGTGGTGGAATTGAGGGCTGACAGAAATTCCCTTGGACAGCTTTGGCAAGAGACCAGAAGGCTCGAGTTCCCGAAGGGAGGTGGGCCAATTTCTCACCAAATCTGGCAATGTGCTCTGACTTTGCTTTAGCGATTTCTCGCTTGAAGGACCTGGAGGCTGAATTGTATGCTTTTTTACGTTCGCCGATAGTCACATCACAGGATGTCAAAGTCAAAGTCAAAGTCAAATCGTTTATTTCAATTAGACCATCTAAAATGGCACTTTTGAACGTCAAAAAAAAAAAAATATAAAGATGATTCTAGTTGCCCCTTCCAAAAGGTAGTTTCGTGTGGAGAAGAATGGGCAAGAAACTCCACACTTACTCTTTTAAAATAGGTTTACAATATTTTGTTACATTTGTTAAATAATTATATGTGAAGACAATGTACTCTTAGAATAAACTACTATACTAAAAAAGTTAGTATACATGTTCCTCACATATTTACAAATATCGAAACCTTAGAATATTAACATTAAAGAGTAATAAAAATATTAAAAAAACACAACAAAACAGTGTGTGAGATACAAAAAAAATAATTACATTTGTAGCATTATATAAATTAAAAAAAAATAATAATAATAATAATAATAACAAAATTAACATATTTTTTTTTAGCAAAAAATCAGCAACCAATTTGATTTTGTCCAGGCTATAGAGCCAATCATAGGATTGTCCTATGGAGCAGGACCAGCATGTTTCCAAGCATTCTTATCTTGAATATAATCATCTAATTTGTAATATGCTTGTTTACAAAGTGTACTTTTAATAAAACATTTAAATTTTCGTTCATTTAGTTTTAAAATGTCACAAGGTATTTTATTGTAACATTTCACACAGTACCCCATAAATGAATTTTGAACTTTGGCTAATCTGAAAGATGGTTGAGCTATTTTATCTTTATTTCTAGTACTAAAATTATGTCTTTCATTTATTTTACTAAAAAGATGTAGATTCTTTCTTACATACATAATATTTTCATAAATGAATTGGCAAGGTACTGTCATAATATTAATCTTTTTAAATAGTTCCCTGAGAGATTCGCAACGACGTAGATTATAAATGGCTCTGACCGCTCTCTTTTGCAAAATAAAAATGGATTCTATGTCAGCAGCCCGACCCCACAGTAAAATGCCGTAAGACATTATGCTGTGAAAGTAGCTAAAATAGACCAAACGCGCAGTTTCTACATTGGTTAAATATCTTATCTTTCTAACCGCATAAACGGCCCCGCAAGAGATGTGATATGAGGTCCCCATTGTAACTTCTCGTCTAGCGTGATGCCTAGGAAAACCGTTTGATTAATAAATTCCAGTTTTCCTTCATTCAACATTATGTCACATTCCTTACTTTTAACATTTGGCAACGTAAATCTAATACATTTAGTTTTTTATCATTCAGTGCCAAATTGTTTACCGTAAACCAATTTTGGACCCGAAGAATAGAGTTATTCACGTCGTCACGATTTTGTGACCGTCGATCTACTTTAAAAATCAATGATGTGTCATCTGCAAATAACACCATCTTCGGTTTATTCTGAACTAATTGGGGTAAATCATTTATGTATACTAAAAAGAGGAATGGACCCAATATTGAACCCTGAGGAACGCCCATTGTAATTTCAGGCCCTAACGAGTTTATGCCGTTAACCTGAACTTTAACCTGTCTGTTTTTCAAGTAAGATCTTAGTAAGTCCAGAGCTTTGTTCTTAATCCCGTAGTGATTAAGTTTCAGCAGAAGAGTCTCATGGTTTACGCAATCGAACGCCTTCGAAAGGTCGCAAAAGATTCCAATAGCATCTTGTGCTTCCTCCCAAGCGTTAAAAATGTTCTTGATTAGGGAGACACCGGCGTCAGTTGTACAATGTCACCGCTTCTGCCCAGGCTTTAAAGCATTCACGCTTACGGCGCAAAGCCGCTTTGCAGGAACGCCTAAACCAAGGCTGGGACTTGCCACCGACCGGCACCGCAGAGAATGGAATAAAGAGTTCCATACCCTGCAGGA